GCGCGGCGGCGGGCTCTTGCGCACACTTTCCGGAACGTAAGCGATCGGTCTCTGCGTCAGTGCCGGTGTCGCCGGGAGCTCAGAAGCCAGAGGAAGGTGATTGGGCGGTTTGCGCTGGGAATAAACAGGCGATAGAGGTAATGCGTTGCGGCAGCGTCGCACGGAGCAGATCGCGATGCGAATAAGGCAGGAAGCAAGAGGGAAAGGGAGACCGAGAGGAACGCGGCCGGATGGGGACGGGGGGGGGGGGAGAGAAGAAAAAAAGGCGGGGAAGAGGGGGGGGGGGGGAGGGAAGAAGGGGAGGAAGAGAGAAAAGAGGGAAGAAGGAGAGAAGGGGGGGGGGGGGGGGGGGGGGGGGGGGGGGGGGGGGGGGGGGGGGGGGGGGGGGGGGGGGGGTGGCGTTTCTCTCTCCAACAAAATTAACAAGGGACTGGAGAAAAGAGGGGAAAGCCTCCTAGGTAGATTCAAGATGGTCTTTGCCTTGTTCACTGCGCAACCAGCAAAACCAGGTCATGAGATTGAGCAACCCAAAAGCCCCGTCTCGAACCAGTTTAACCATCTACCAGTGTTTCCAGATTACTTGATGCAACATCGATTACTAAGCATGTCGCCGGCGGAGAGAAATCCGCCATCAGGAAGGGGGCCAAGAACCAACATATTCCGCCTGGCCCCTTATCAATAATACAATGACTAGTACGGATAGCAACGCGCATTACAACCCCCCAACCGTCCCATCTCCCGCCCAGCATCTGACCTGATGAACCTGGGCGGGAAGATACCGAGGTGAAGGAGCATTACCCCACGGTTCATGACGAGATAGCAAGACATGCGTTCGAACAACGGACGGGTACAGGAACCCCCCTTTCCTGTCAATGTCGCCCGTCCAATGGGTCAAGTCACCGAGGCCAACTGCCGGCCGGTCAACGACGCATGGCTTGATGCTGCTGCTGCTTTGCCTGCTTTTGAAGGCTGGGGGTTCGGTCCCCAATCCCATTCTCCGACCCAGTCAGTCAGCCATTCCATCATCCCCACCCCTTCGTGGTGGGCAGATCAGCACTAATCGCGCTGGGGGGCAAAATGCTTGTCTTGTCGCGGGCCCCAGGTCAAACTCGCCGGGAATGCCTCCCCGACCGCTGCCATGCATGATGCCAGTCCCAGGACCTGGATTACCAACTCAAATCCTGGACATTTCTGGACATACTGTGCGTCTGGCGCTGAAGAGGGCTCAAAAATTCTCGAGACCTGCTTTCTTTTGAACCGCTTCCTCGTGAGAAAAGTGGCCAGAATACAGGCAGAGCACGCCTACGGGATACCGTTCAGAGCATGGAACCAGTTGAGCTCGTCTTCCACCATCATAAGGACTTGGTCAGCTCGCCCTCGCCTCGCTACCCATCCCAATGTGCCAATGTTGACAAAGGGAAACATGCAAGCGTCCAATAGACCCAGGCATGCCAGCCTCATGCGCATCCACGCATCTCTTCTTGCCTGCCGCGAGCTCCCCTGCCGGTGGAGATTTTTCCCTCCCATGTGCTCGCTCGCAATTCTACCCGCATCGACGTCACCAATGCAATTAACAAATCCCCCCCCACCCTTCGCAAGCACCAGCAAGTATCTTTTCTGTTCAACAATGGCCTCATCTCGGGGGAGGAATTTCAGAATGGCTTCAACGTGAGTCCCATCTTTGCTGTACTCGCATTCTCCCAGGCAATTAGACTCTCTCATAACGTGCCCGCACAGAGGAACCTGGCGATTCCCAGTTCGGCCCTATTGCGCCTGCGCCCCAGGTCCGCCGATATCGCCTGTCTCTTCTCGGGTACCCGAACCCCTGCTGGCCCACAGAAGAGAGGGAACTCTCCTGCTCTACTCTCTCGCACTCTATGGCTGTTGTTTTCGGCGATGAGACTATTCAATCACAGACCGCGTCGATGGTTTAGTGGTAAAATTCTCCGTTGCCATCCAGCAGCGTCGGGGAGCCGGGGGTTCGATTCCCCCTCGACGCATTCCTTTTGCCACTTTCATTGTAATCGTGGTAACATTTCATTCACCCTTTTGTAATTCCGAGGAAATTCGCGTCGTGTGGTTCTTCTATGCCGAGATTCGAGTTTTCTTTTCCTTACTTGCCGGCCCTGAGTCTACTTGCTTACATGACATCTAGAGATATCAAAGCTGCTAATGCGGGTGACTCACTGTTCTAAGAACAGCAGCATTAATGTTAACAAAACTTGCGTAACCTTGCTTGGTTCGCGCTTACGAGGTTGGCTTGCTTGCAACTAAGAATCACAAAAAGGAGACAGACGTACATCACCAGAGAGACAGCAGTTTCTCCTCTCTACTCGCCCCAAGATACACACACAACCTCGAGGCTCTGTCTGGGACTTTATTTCATCCTCCATGCTGTATCAAAACACCAAGTTTGAACACAACAAAGCCAAATGCTCCAATAGTAAAACTCAAGGTATAAGACAACGTAAGCCATGGCAGCACGCACACCTTTTCAGAACAAAACCTGCAACAGAAGGGGGTTTCCCTTTTTCCGCATCCATGGATGGCCCTTTTCCTTCACTCCAGTCCAGTCCCGTGAAACACCCCGAATTCGTTTTTCAAGTAAACCCGTCATACCGATCATATCATCCCGTGCATCCAACCGTGCATCCATCAATCATCCATCCCACATTAATTTTTGACATTCCAAAGGCCGTCTCTTCACCCGCCCCAATGTGTCCCCACGTACCACACAACACGCTGGCTGAGATCCACCTTTTGACCTCAAAGCGCAAGTCCCGTACCATCGCCAGTCCATCGGTACAAGGCAAGCAGCTCCCGTCGACGCTGATGCTGCTCATGGAGATCCTCCGGCACCCGACCCCTGACCTGCGCCAGAGCACTTCGCATAACCTTGCTAAAGTTGCGCTACGGAAAAAAAAAAAAAAAAACAGCATTAGCCATCATGTCCAAGGTTCTCGACAGTATCACAGGGGGTTCTTGAGTAGAGGGAAGAACGACATCAAGAGAGAGAGAGAGAGAGAGAGAGAGAGAGAAAGAAACGAACCTGGTACTCCGTGTTCAGCGTCACAACGCAGGCCTCGTGCGCACGCACAATCGTCTCACACGCCTTGACAACACTGGGCGACGCTTCGAGCTGCAACTTATCCGCAATGAGGAGCAGCAGAAACGACCCCTGGAGAAGGTAAATCCCAAAAAAGAAGGGCATAAACTCCAACCCGGGGTCGAACTCGAGAATGTGGCTAATGGCCTCGGCTGCCGAAACGGCGTGGCCCGTCGCAGTGATGAACCCTTGCGACGAGATCCACAAGTCGTTGTCGTCGATGAGGTTGATAGGGTCCCATTTGCCCGCCAGCAAGATGTGCAGCACGTGCATCACGTGCGTGCCGTACGCCATGACGATCTTGGTCTGGATGTCGCTCTCCGTCATCCGGTTCAGCGATGAGGAGGCGGTGGTGTGGACCGAGTGGACGGACGGTGTGCCAATGTCGACGATCGGCCCGCCGTGGTCTACGCCGCTGTTGCTATTGTCCGGGTTGACCATCACGTCGCCGTTGTCGTCGAGGTTGATGTTGTTGTTGTTGACCCGCGTGAGGTGGAGCTGCTCGAACCGCCCGAGGCTCTTCTCGTACGCCTCGAGGTGGCGCGTGATCTCGCTGGCCTGGTCGTCCCACTCGCGCGCCGAACGGAATCCCACCCCGAACCGTGGGTGGTTTCGCGCGTGGTGCAGATCCACGATTTCGCCCAGGATCGTCATCAAGGGTAGGAAGTAGCCGAAGATGCTGTGTCCCGTACACTCAAAGTGCGGACCGCGCACGCGGCCGCTCGATATACCGCCGCCGGTGTTCGAGATGTCTCCTCCTCCGAGGCTCGGATCGGTCGTGACGTGCGCGGGACGGAAGTCGCCGTTCTGCCACGCCGTGTCGTCCATTGGTTGCAAAAGACCCGCGCATTCGAGGTCGAGCAGGAATAGGGGTCGGTTGTAGCACAGTGCCAGATGGCGGTCGACGATGTACGTTAGCCACCATATCCTTCGGCGCTCCTCGCGCTCTTCTTCCGTGATGACGCCTGGGTGTCCATTACCTGCCAACTCGCCATCAGCGTCGCCGTCGCCGCCGCCGCGACCATCACCGTCGTGGCCGTTGCTGTGGCTCATGGAGAGAGGGGTCGGCGGCAGCTCGCGGCCGAGCTTCAGCTCTCTGGCCAAAGACCAGGCCGCGTTCCACCAGCGCAGACTCGCGCCCTTATACTCGCTCGCGGAGACCACTGTCGCGAGATGGATGTAGGTGATGACGTCGTCCAGGCTGCCTGCGGCCCCGAACGGCCCTGACTCGCCCGTCAGCGCGTCCATGCTGATGGATCCGGGAAGCGCGACGCCCAGCCCACCGAGCGCCACGCCGTCAATGTCGGGGCTGGTCACCGGTGAGGTGTCGCCGGACGGCGTGTGAATGAGCGGCTTGAGCAGGCTGACAGTCAGCTCTAGCAGCCTCTGGCAAATCTTCCCCCTCGCTGAGGGTACGCTGGTCAGGAAGGGTGCGTCGCTGGTCTGGGCTGCCACCCAGAGAATGCTGGCCAGCAGCGCGGGCTGGCAGCGTCTCGGTTTGCTGGGATGGAGAAAGGACCTCTTGCGGAAGACGAAGCCTAGGACGTAGGGCGACATTGGGTGCATCTGCGCCGATGACGAGGACGCGAAGTAGAGGTCAATCAGGTCGCAGGCCAGAGTCACGGGGATGAGGTTTCCGATATGGGGGAGTAAGGGGTGTAGGACCGGATATCGTAGTTGCTGAGCGGGGTGGCCGTAGCTGCTGGGAGGCATGTGAGACTGGTATTGCGCCGACGGTGGGGAGGACATGGACATCCATCCGGGAGACGTCGGTTCGCCGCCAAGGGGGTATGCGCTGATGGGGCTGGCCGCAATCCGGAACGGGGCGCCGTTGGTGTATGCCGTTGGGCTCTGGGTCTGTATGGGATATGGTATGTCGGGATATGCTGAAATGCCACTTTGATTCGGACCGTAGGCCGCGTGGGCCGGGCCCGGCATAATATGCGCTCCCAGGCCTTGCCTGTCGTAACCGCCGTGAACATCCCCGTAGCCGTTGAGATCCAGAGTCGTCGGGCTTTCTAAATGATCTCTGTCCATTCCGTGGTGGATTGCCAGGTGGGCTTGGTGACTGACCATATCCCCCAAGCTATCTAGCGAGCCCGTCCTTTGGTTTGGCTGCATTGCGTCATCGCTGAGCTCGTCCATGGCTTTGCCGATTTGGCCGTGTTGCGAAATCGTCGTGCCTAGTGATGGCCTAGCCTTGGCGCTGCTGGGCTCGGATTGCTCTGAAGGCTGGCCATTGTCGTCGGAGGGCGATTTCGGGCCTTGTCCTGTGTCTGTCGTCCCTGCTTGTGCAGCAGCTTGCGCGGCGAGGTCTTTCCGAGACGCCTTGCCTCTTTTCTTCCTCTCGCGGATGTACTCGCAACCCAAACCGAATTCTGAGAGCATGTCAGTCACTCAGTCAGGCCAGTTCAACTCCTCCACGACATGATGATCGTCTCTTACCCACGCAGTGGGCGCAGGGATGCTGCCCATCGCACTTTGTGCGGAGCTGGTTACACTGGTCACATGCCCGGCTGATTCTCCTGCGAACGGGACCGGATGTGCTAGAAGACCGCGTCGTAGGGCCACCGCCGTACGGGTGTTGGCGGTGCTTCGTCGCTTGAGGGCCTTCTCTCGCGAGGTGCGGGCTGGGTATTACTCCCCCAACGTGCTGCTGGATCTGTTGCAGCGCGTAGTGCGAGCTCGGCGCGAGGGGATCGAGCCCGTTCGCATGGGCACCGTGGTCGTTTGGTGCGTGGTGGGCGTTGGAGAAAAGGGTGCTGGACTGCATGCCATGATACGGCGAGAAGCGATGGAGCGGGTTGGACAGCATCTTGTCTTCCTCGTGCTGGGGCCAGGCCCGCTGTTGGCGACGTAGTGGCTGAATGGTGCTGGTGCTACTCGAACGACAAGCAACTAGTTGCCTTTTCTCATGGAGAGGTCGCAGGGGCGGAACGTCGAATGTGAGAGGAGTGGCTGGAGGGACTCGTGCAGGTTGGATTGGTTATGAGAGCGAGTTTTGGCGATATTGTTTCCCTAGGTTGGGGCAAGCAATAGACGTTTATCTAGGGCTATGCGAACCTTCAAGAACACAGCGTGACTTCTGCTTCACAGTATCAGCGGTGCTGTAGCCGATCGGGATGGTTGGGGGGGTAAAAGGGGCGGGATGGAGGAAAGGAATGGGCATGGGGTACAGTAATATGAGCTAGACTGAGAACAACTGGTGGATGCAAGATCTGCAATGTCGTTGGAGAACGGTGCAGCAACGCATAACGACAATCATGGCGGGGTTGATGGACAGCAGGCTTGGGAGCCTGTCAGGGCAAGGAAGACGGGACAAGCGACATGGTGGTTGAAGGGAGAGCGCGGCGCAAAAGAGGACCAAGCGAAGAAGGAGTCGTTTTAAGAGAGAAAAATGTTGGGACCGAGACCCGAGTTTACTCACCCTTTGGATATTGATCCTCGACATCTATTGACGTTGGTTGTTGCCGTGGTACGGGAGTTCCGAATAATTGAACAGTTTGGTTGCGTTCCGTGTCTCGCGTGTTTTGCTGTGACGGGAAAGGTATTTAGAAAAAATGGCCGGTGTATGCAAGTTGGTGATATTGATGTGTGTCGGATGCTCGACGACGGTAGGTATTCCGAATCTGCTTGATGACGTTCTCTTCGACGTTGCTATTTGTTTCGATGTTCCGACTCCGAGCTCTCCCTCACAGTCCTTGATGTATACTTTGGCCCTCTCCGGAAGCTGGTCTGTACCCGAAGCTTGGCATGTATGTGAAAGTGGCCCGGTGAACTGTCAAGGTCGTCCGGTTACTGCTCAGTTCAGCTGGTTCGCTTGTTGAGTAATACCATGGACCATGGCATTTACATCGGTAGGATAATGCACACGGCGGGGTAAAAGGGCGAGAGAGGTGGAAGAGAACGACTGGTGATAGACAGAGCGGCGGCGACGGGACGGGCGTATGTACGGACACGCGCGAATGGGTCGAGAAGAAAATGAGAATTAAACAATAAAAAAAGCTCAGCGGCAGCGCATGCGCATGTATAGACAGACGTAGTACAGTTGTACCAACGGCGCGTCATGTAAGGTTCTCGAAGGGGGGAAGGAAGCGAAACGGTGACTTTGTGGTTCCTCGGGCTTAGCTATATTATATGGGACGCTTATACATACTACTAATAGTATGCGAGGACGGGGCAGGGTTGCAATGAGGGGGACAGGGGTGATGGCTCGACGATGGGCGACGGTAAGGTGAGGAGCACCGAACGGCATCGAGAGAAAAACTGGCGACGGGCGGCCATTTACGGGTGCGAGGGTGGAGAATGAACGAGCATCTTAGCAAGGAACGGGGCCACATGCCCCAAATTGCTGTGCCGGTTCTAGAACCACGGGCTCATTTCGTCCATCCTCCTCCCCAGGTTGGATCATCTCGTCTTGGGTTGGGGCAACGGGGTCGTGTATGTGTGGCTCAGCGTTGGATCCGGCTGGTTGATCAACAACAGGAGAAGAAGGTGAAGGGAGAGCCAGCCCGATGAAGGTGATGAACAGCTTCCCGGGACCTCGCTCTGGAAGGATGAAGACAAGACATGGCGGTGACAAGACGGCATGGAGTGTCACCAAAGCTTTCCCTCCCACCGGGACAGGATCCCCACTGCTCCCATGGTTTTGCTCGGCGTTGTTTTTGGCCTGCCTCGGGACAATACATGCCTAGTCACGACATCGTAGTCGCTGCTTGGGTTAGGACATGGGCCGAAGGTAGCGTGGTGTGGCAGCAAAAGAGGGCGGGGGTTGGCGCGGCACACATTGGGGGGAAACGAGGAGGTGGGAGAAGATGGGGGAATCGTCTCTTCGAAGCTCGAGTCTCGCTCGCTTTCTCCAGTCTTCAGGCTCGTCTCTGGTCTCCAGACCTCCACCAGCGCGGCCCCAAGGGCCAAAGTAGGGTGGGACAAGCAAGCTCGGTTCACTGGACTGTGCCATCCCGGCCGAAAGGTAATGTCATTCGGCTTGGCGGAAGGCTTTCATGGCTTCTTCTCGTTTAGTCTGAGTGCAGCCGAGCAATGCACCAGACATCACCATCACCGTCTTCCCTGCAATGACGAAAACGGTAATTGTGAACAGGGTCCGACCATTTCGGGGTGGTGTCCTCCAGCGATGGGGCGCTATTTGTGCCTGGCGTTTTGCTTTCTAAAGACGTGGTGATGGAAGTGAGCTTCCTTTTCAACATCTACATCGGGCGTGGACAGGCCAGCGCTCCACTGCTCGATATGCGGTGATCGGCTGTGAGGTGACAGCGTGTTCGGCGAGGGGGATGCGGACAGCCTCAAGCCGCAAGCCGCGAAATGGGCATGCCATTATGGGATGGGAGAGTGAATCAAAGGCATCGCCATCATTACCATATCGTTCAATGCTTGCGATCCCTGGCAAGCACCCCGGATTCTCGTCGAGTTCGGATACTTTGATAAATGGGATCCAAGGACGTGGGAAAGAAGACCCTTTGGGCTGGCGTCTGGATTGTATTGTTGCCTTGTTGCCAATGGCGCACGGATTGGGAGCCTCTGAAGGGAGGCGGTAACGGATGGTCCCACGGCTTCTCGTCATTTCTTCTGTCCGGGACGACATCTCTACCCGTCATCTGTCAAGCTGTGCCGCGAATGCAACCTGGAAATGAGTTGTCTCGTTACCCCAGCCTGCACCCTCCAGGTTTCTGACGCAGGTGCTAGTGATGTTGGTGGTGGTGGTGGTGCTGTTGCTGTCGGTACATGGCAGTACAAACTCTGTTCGGACGAGGGAAGCATGGCAGGGGTCTGTTTGGTAAGAAGAAAGAGCCTGGAGAAGGCAAAGAATCCGACGGTGAGATGTGCGAGGGATGGGTTGACGGGTGACGGAGGAGGGGAGCACGGGAGGTGTTTGGCAGGTAGAAAGATACAAAGTACTTGGTCGATTTCCACCGAGTTTCCGAATTAATTTGGGTGCTGCCAGTCACGCGGAGGACCCACTCCGAAGGCCAGGGCACCAACGACGGGAGTCTGTGTCTTCCTTCCCGTCTTCTCTTAGACTTGTCACGTTGTGGTCTGCGGCATGATCCTCCCCTCCAATGCCCTCGGATGAGGTCAACACTACTATTTGCCTCGATACCCAAAGGCTTTTCCAAACTCCATCAACTATGGAATCGCCTTCTACCCGGAGATGAACCCGCTGGCAGTGCTTCCCCTGACCGCGTTTGGGCAAACTCTCTTGCTGGTCCCCTTTTGTAATCTTTCCCCTCTGACAAACTTCTAATTAGACATGCTTCGAGAAATCTGGGGCCTGGAAAGGAAGGTACACCACTCAGCTAGCTAGCATGCCCCTTCCAGGTCTAACTAGGAACGCCTGTATCACATCCCGTCCCGAACAACGCTCGCCATGCCTCAGGAAAGATCGTCGAGAACAACACCAAAGTCCTCATCCAGCTCTTGACCAATCCAGTCTCGTTGCATCAAGGAGACCAGCTTGACATGCTCCCAAGAGTCAATACCAGACCATGGTTTTCTACGCGGGTGTAGCACCCATCACTTACTCTCGTCATACCTTCAATTTAACCTGTGCGACGGCGATACCCCGTATGCTCCCCGCACTGTCGAGCAAAATCCTTAGCGAAGACGCTTGCAAACCTTCAGCTCCGGTCCCGTTGGTCGAGTGCCGGTGAATCACAGGGCATCCCTACCAGCTCCTCCAGACCCAAAGACGACAGGAGTCCCATTTTCCCCGGTAGAACAGAAAAACCCCTGGGATTGCCAGAGTCGGCACCCTGCTGTTCGGTGATGGTGTCGACTTAATCTCAGCCAAGGCAGGCCGCAGCTGTAAGGGGCATGCGGCCTCCAGTGCTGCGCAATCGTGCCTGATGCCAAAATATGGATTTAGGTTTTCCTAGGTCAATTTCCACTCGTGGCGGCCACGCCAGCAATTCGTCAACGGTCAGTCACAGCTGTTCGAATTCGACCTCTCTGTGTGTGCACCAGACCGATATTCAGAGTTCCCGCCTCGCTATTGGTGAATGAAGCTCTGTTGGTGCAGGACTCATTACACCCTCGCAGACTGCAGGGCTACCAAAAGGAACAATGAACATCCAGCCTAGCCCTCCATCATCCATCCCAACTGGCTCGCGTCTGCTCCAGATGTCTTCTGCAGGCTGCCACACCAATCTCACCTCCTGTACGGGGTAGATGCCCCAGTGACACCCTCGCGCTTGAGATGAGCGTGGAGAAACGGTCAACCTGATCCGGTCCACTTAAACGCCTCCCACCGCTTCTCCGCACATGCGGAGCTAACATGTGCGGAGCAAAGGATGTTTCCTTTCTCCTCACCTCCCGCACCCCGTGGCAGTCATCCCGCCTCCTCCACACACCAAGCACACACCAACCACCGAAAAAGAATCTATTCGGCCCTCCCCGAGGAATACGACCTGTCCGGGACCGAGCCGAATCTCGGGTGTAAACTGACAGTCGAGCTGACAGCTTCACTCTAGCTCATCCATGTGGGTCATTGGCGATTTTAAGAATTCCTCGGAGTAAGCTTCGCGCCCTTCTCGCAATGCGCAACGAGGACTGTCTGCCACCACAATGATACTCCAACTATCCTGGCCCTCTTTTTTTTTTTTTTGCTAGCCTCTGGGCTAAAAAGGCCCGAGAAAAGCATCAGCCACGAAGCGTATGAGTACGACCCTCCTCCTGGACTGGCTGAAAGGTTAAACTTTGAAGAACGATGGAAGTTGGAGGAGCTAGCTAGCTGACCACGCTGACGCAGCGGGTGCGTGTGGGGCGTTTGGAGAACCTTCGAATAAGGGCCGGCCCATGGCCCATCACCACCAGCCATGAACCCAGCATCTGTGATGACGGGCGCTCTCTTACAGTGAATGACCCAGAGCTGAAGGGCCTCCCTACGTCAAGTCGGCCTTTGAGTCACCGCCAACGCCACTGACAAGTGATATACATGTCTATTTAAGTCAGTGTTGGTGAGGATTTCGTTGACCCATGAAGCCAGGTAGCGGAATGCCATCCCATACCGTGTGTGTCTGGCCAACGCATCGCTACCAAATTTGGCATTCGAGCTTTGTAAAACTGCCCAGGCATTTCATGGTTGGGGGGGGGGATGCAAATGGCTATAGGCACAGTCGCCGGGATGACCTTATCCTCGACTGAAACTCTTCTGAGAAGACATTGCCTTCCGTGGAAGTCATGTCATAACTGATATATCGAATAAACACAACAACCCATCGCAGTGTGGACAAGCTCCCCTTTTCCCCTGCGAATCCGCCAGGAGCACAGCGACGGAAGGATTCCTACGGATACTCTCCATCATGATGGAAAAAGAAGAATCCGGTGCGCCGCCAAATTAGGTAGGCTGCTCAAGTGTGCCACGAGGTATTCAGCCTGAATACGGCACAGCGGTCGCGCGTGGCGCCATACCACAACGATCATCGGTCCGACACTCCCCCAAGATGCCCAAAGATCGGACGCTCCCTTGTTGCTTCTCATTCGTGGCCTTTTCCAGTAAGCCCCTTCTTTTTCTCCACGAACCAATCGAGACCCCTTGTTCTACCCCGAATCATCCACACTTTTCATATTGCCCCCCCAAAACCACAACATCGCCAACCAGTATTCAGATGGTCACGCTCTGCTCTGCTCTGCTCACCCACGTCAAGTGCCTTGCTCTATACTTCCAACTTCTCGAGACAGGCTAGCGTCAGCTACGTCCGTCCGTCAGCCACGTCAACGCCAGGCGATACAGCAAGTACATTGTGTCTGGCTGAACGCCTCGTTTGCGTCCAGGTCTGTCTTGCTAATTAAGGTTGCCTCGCAACAACTTTTCCCAATCATTCCCGGCTGGTTCAATCTACAATCCATGTTCCATTCCGCTATAGACCGCATCGTATCTTTCAGGGGGGCAGGTAGGGGGGCGGTGTCATCGCCTTCTGAGCTCATTGCCATCAGCTCAACGAGGCTTCATCCGTTCGCCCTTCACAACCACGTGGCAACGACACATACCGAGGCTTTCCGGTCATCTGGGGACATCGACCGGTGAGCTAGGATTCCGGCAGATCGACTTTACTCCGGGCTCACTGCATGAATGGTAGTCTCTTACTCACACCTTCATCATCGTCGATATGCCCGAGATAGGGTTTTACATGTCCCCTACCCATCTTGGACGCCGGTCTACTTTTCTAATTCTAATTTGATACAATGCCGGAGACAAGTGCCCTGCCATCCGTCCACTTGCAAGTCTCATACCGTCTTGGCTCAGCTGGGCTACCAAGAAATCCCTTCAACCAACAAATCAATAGCAAGGGATCCGGCTACCATTGGCCACTGCGACTGTGATCAGTTCTGAACGAGAACGCCTCAACCCCACAGCTATTGTTACACTGCTAGGTACAAGTCAAGTGACCGCGGGCGTGTGGTCTGAGAAGCACTACGTCTCGCGTAGCCCTGACATTAGGCCGCAGTATGCGACTTGGAAGAGGGCCGAGAGGACTGTTCTACTCGAAGCAGATTGTTCCACGGCTCCACAGAAGTTTCTCAAAGTCTGGAGTCAATACGTACCCGCTGGGGTCAATCCTCGTTGAAACCTTCGGCAGCTGGACCGCCCTTCCATCCAACGAAGGCGATGCCCCAGCTCCCCTTTCCATCCCCCCCCCCATCTGACCGCATTAGGGCCGACCGACCTGGTGGCCTACTCAAAATCTTGCATTACTTTTTTTCTTTTGGTCAAGATGCATCTCTCGCACGAGACGCAAATGTGGCCCCGATCTCCTTCCATGGAAAATATTTCTGGGGGAGGGCAAGCGACCTGGCCGCAGGTCAACTCCCGGTTTCTCGGTACCGGCATGATGCTCGGTTCTTCTAGTGGACTGTCGGGGAGTTTCCCCGGTTGTTGCTGCATGTCGTATGAGACCGCAGGCAGTAAGGAGACATCCACTCAGTCCTCACGGGGCTGAAGTTCCTTTCGTGAGCCACAGCTCAGCTGATCTTGAGGTTCCGCCGACAGCCGGCCCAGCTACCGTCCAGGCCACAACAGGGACAGCATCCTGGAAGAGATGGAGACACCCGGCCAATGGAGGGAGGGCAGGCAACTCAACACGGATAGGGACCATAATTTTCGGGCCGCTCACGAGCCGCGAAACAAGGTAGGAAGTGGCATGCGACGGTGCCCGGCCAATGTTGGCAACGAGATGCTCCTCTCGGACGTCTAGACACCGATGATACCTAAACATTGCAACGTCAGGAAAACCTGGTCCACTTTGTCACGATCTCCATCCAGCTTAGTCCTTAGCTCACGCTGAAACTGTGCCCTTGTGTCCCAGCCCAATCATCTCATTTCAAGTAGAACCGCTACGTCGCCGCCACACGGCTCGTCCGGGCCTGCGAACAGCGCTATCATCAGACATTGTTGGTGCTCGCGGAGGTCTATACACACGATCATACACCAGCCCGAAGGCAAGCTTCCGGCACTTGACCTCGTGACTTTGATAGCTGCAATCGGAATCCGGGGGGAGTCGGAGGAAAGGAGAAATCTTGCTGCATGGCATATTGCCCCTCTCTACCCACGTGCCGGCTAAACTCAAAAGTTGAGAGTACGTGGGAACGGGAATGATGCAGCCTACTCTATTTGGGCAACGAAGCACCCTCAAACCATTAGCAGCAGCAAAGGCATCAATCCTCTCCAGTGTAACGGCGGCCTCTGTGTGCTTCGTCCACGTTGAATCTCCGAGGTTTTGGAACCTGCAATCTGTAGACAGAATGCACTGATAATTGACAAACGTGGGATTATCGCTTTTACGTGTGCATAATACTGGGGAACCGGGTTGAAGAGGTTTCGATCCGGATGTGCCTTTGAACTGTCATAAGACCCTCCACTTCGCCCTTACGACGGCTATGTTACGCCGTTGCCCTCGCAGTTTGCTTGAATAGGCTAGGACTTTGTGAGTTAAGTATGGAGGTGGGTGTCTCGTTGCGGCAGCCTACGTGTATTGATGTCTCGTCTTACCGAACGCGAGCCGTGAATGACTTGTTCTATAACTTTCACCGTTAATGCCCTACCTATGTGAAACATCCATCTCAGCAAACAGTCACTAGCATAGCAGGCGTCACCACATGACGAACTTTGGAAATTCTCTCGTCCTAAAAGCTGTGGCTTATTTGAAAACATTGCTCATGGAGGAGGTGGTCATCAGACTCAACTAATGAAGCAGCCTTTCTACTCCGCCAACCGATCCAGCCCACAAATATCCAAGAAATTCTCCTTCCGTACAGTCTAGAAAGGGAAAAAGATAGTCACATTCATATGATCATTTTCATTTACGAGTCGAGTAGTATAAAAACTCACTCATTTAGACTTTAGCTGTCAGCCTGGTTTAGTACTCTCATACTAGCCATGGATGTTGATTTGGATTCTAGCGATATTACACCCCATATGAATTAGTCTTGGCTAGAGCAGCGGTTCACTTGAAGCAACTTTAATAATTAACTAAACTAACTCTGTATTACGACGTTATATATAAGTATAGAATCACATCCCCCCCCTAAATTCAGTGCTATTAATTGCAGGACTGGCTTCAGCTGTTGGTCACAGGGCGTTGAATACTTGAAAAATCAATGTTTAGATAGCTCGCTACTAACCTCATGAGTAACCGCAGTTACTGCAAAGAGTTTTCAGAGATGACACTGATAGAGATGGAGATTGTAATTATAGGTTTCTGTGAAATAATGGTATCTATTTTGAACTCTGTATGAAAAACCAACAAGGTTCCTTGGTGCTCCGTACTCAGACTTTGCTCCAGCCGGTTTTTCGCTCTGCTGAAACTCTAAGCGCGGCGCCAAGACGTAAGAGCGCCTAATATTTTTAGGGCCTTGTTTTTCTTTTTTTTGTCTGGAGTAACACACGCTTGAACTGATCCGCCCGGAGGAACAATTATGTATCCTGATTCGGCTTCGGCCGTATTCCTTGACAATCTGCCTACGGGTCTTTTGTTGAGTAGAAAGGAAATCCTCTCTGAGATGGCTTCGTGGATTCCATCAGAGTCCAAAACATCCACATCAAAAGTTGCCCTGGCGTTGACGGTGCCTCCGTTGGTCCATCGGCCACTGCAGATGGGTGAGTCGGGAACCCGGTTCGCCAGGGCGCCGGCGACCCATGTATGGACGTTTTCCTTCTTGACACAAGCAATATCGTGGGCACGGTTTCCCCTGATGTCGGCGCCTTTTGCAACGTCCATACAATACTCTCCTATGCCACACGATCCTTTTCTTCGGGGAAGTGTTTCGATGTCGTTTCGCCCCCCAAAACAGTCGACCCGGAACGTATTTTGATTCTTGTTGCCGCTCCGGTCGCACCAGGCCTCATGGAAATACCAGCCATCTTCGGGTTCTCCAGACTGCGGTTTCCACCATATTTTTGAGCAAACGGCCTGACCGACCCCACTTCGCTTCTCTATCGCACCTGATGAGTCGGAAAAGCGGTATTGGGGCTTGGATTCGAAGGGAGGCTGTTGCGTGATGTCGATGTCCTCGGTGGTTGTTTCCCATTGTATGTCATGTTCGGAGAGAGGGGCTATGACGGCTCCGAGGCCTGAAGGAAGAAGGGCAGCGAAGATAGCAGCCAATTTGAAGCTTTGGTAATGCATAACGGCCTGATTGTAGCGAATCCTGGGGAAGACGCATGAAGATACAGTGAGGAGATGAGAAGTAGGTATATTATGTATTGCGTGTGAGTGGTGTGCTGCATGGGACGAGGGCAGTGGCAGGTAATAATGACCTCTTATACACATAAGCGTTTTGCTTGGAAGTCAATAATGTGTGCTAATCATGATGGAACGCGACTGATTTACAACTTGATATAAAAGAGTTCATTAGCTCAAATTAAGGAATACTCGTCAATAAACAAATTACACCTTCAAATTCATTGTAACCAACTACTACCATTTAATGGTCTGTGTTATTTTTGTATTCAAACTTTCATTCTGATGAGGATCCATGGTAGACCTTGTGCAAGGTACTATGGCCAGCTCCGAGGCAACCTGGCATGGGTCGGTCGTGTACAATGGTAGTTGCTCAGTGTCACGGGACCAGGCACGAGATCTTGTCCTAGTATGGTATTAAGGGTATCCCGAGTAATAAAAGAACCTCGCTGCATACCAGTATATTCTTGCGAATGACTCAAGAATGCTTTGAGCGAATCTCACGGACCCACCGCGTTGTGAGAAGCAAAGGACGGCGTGCCCGGACTTACAAAGTGTGTCAAGTTATGATTCGTTAGTCGGAGCCGCTGTTGTTCCCGTCACGAAAGGGTTTATCGACGACAGAAGTATCCATGGATCAAACACATAGGGTAGTAATTCTGTGTATCGTAGCCATGTCTCACCCATTGTAGCTTCCCAAAATCGGGAGTGACCTTGGTGGGCAATTGGCTTCGGTCCCCTGTGCTTAAAAGCTGACAAAGCGCGGACGGGAAGAGGTGTCATGTGAGCTAGACAAGTGGTAGTGGAATTTGCAGAATATTTTCAAGTGCGGCGCCCTCGGAACGCCGTTGTCATCGGGCATGAGCGGAATAGAGAGAAACGGATTCAATCTGAAAGCTACCGAAAGGCAAAATCTAAGCCCGGCGTCTGCGTCCGGGGCGTTCGGCTGAAAGCATGTTGGTGGAGTGCAATCCTCGCTGTCGAAACGGTTGAACCGTCCAGAAATAGTGATTCACTTTGCCGCCCATGCTAGCCTGAGAGCGGCCTTCGCAATGCTAAAGTCCGGCGATGCTGCAAACAGACATCCGTACCAGAAACGAGTCATGTGATTTACCTGCTTTAACGTTTGATGAAGGACCAACGGGAGGCCGGGGAAACCAAAGGAAAAAGGAAAGGAAAGAAAGAAAAGAAATTGGGGAACAATACGGAGGTACTGAGAACGAAATTGTCGAAAAGCGGAGTTGGAAACAGCACCACGACGCAATCTGGGAAGGCAAGCGGATCGCTCGCTGTGTGCTCGTCGTGAAGCCCGAAGCGATGCATCCACCAAGCCATCACCAAGATACAGCAGATCGCTCATCCGACAATGGCAAGTTGTAAGACTGCAGCGTGGCTTCGTACGGTAGTAGTACGGTACGATTTCAATGGAAGATTGATTGTCTTCGAGAAGAGGTGGAACCACCCACTTGAAGCAGCGGCCCACGCAGCCCGACAAACAGTGGATCGCAAGCCTTGAGCCCGAAGCCAAATCCGTACCCATATGCCTTCTGCAACCTCCATTCGTTTTGGTGCCAATTCTGACTCCCTACGAATACCTAGCGTCGCTTTGTATGGCATCTTGACGAGTGGTACAACCAACTGACGTTGCGCATCCCATGTTAACCTCGGTGTAATATCGTGCACGATGCAACGTGCATTTCTTAGATGTATGGGTTTAATACCTTATCTATCCGTACCTTAGATAGAGTTAGTAGATAGGGGGTGTTAGGGTGCGGCTAAGGATCAGTAGGAATTAGAGTATCAGAGCGGACCAATAGATAGCCCGGGTAGATCTTTTGTCACTTAAGCTCAGCACATACCAGCGTGCACGGTACGGATACTCGTGCATCAGCCTACTCATAATCGTGATTATATTCTATTATTAACCTATTAACGGGAAGAATATTGAACAGGGCCAGAGCCGCAGGCCGCGGCGTTCAATAACCTCCGCTGAGCCTTGCATGCTGACAGGCTTACGTCCAGATATGCGTGCGTCATAGTCCCCCCCCCACCCCCTGCACACATCACTTCGCGCGCCTATGTGACCTTGCGCCGTTCCCAACGGACCACAGCAGGCTGCGTTGGGCGAGAGAACAAGGATGTGTAATCTGTAGGCGGCACCACGCCAGTCTTGCCGTGCAGGGTGGAAAACTTAAAGTGTCGGACCAAGGTGCTGATAATGATGGCCAGGTTGAGATAGGCAAACTTCTCGCCAATGCAGCGGTGACGGCCGGCACCGAAGGGTAGGTAGGGACTCTTTGTGCCCTTGGAAGTTGCACCATAGCCGTAGTCGACAATGTCGTCGTCGGCTTCAACTACGTCGTCCCAACGGTGTGGATCCCACGACATGGCGTTGCGAAAGTGCTCCTCGCTGAGATGGGTCACGATGGGAGAGGAGACGAGGACCTTATCCGGGGTGACGATGTAGTCGCTGTTGGGTATACGCATTGGCTGCTTGACCTTGCGCATGATGGAGTGGATGGAGGAGTGCACGCGGAGTGTCTCCTTGACGACATTGGCAAGCAGAGGGAGTTTGCCAAGGTCGGCGTGCTGGAGCTGTCCTGACAGCGGGTCATGCCTCGATGGGTCGGAGGCGAGCTGCATCACCTCTTGATACAATTCGTCAGCAATGTCGGGTCGCGAGGCAAGACGCAGCATGATCCATGCGCTGGAGGATGAGGATGAGTGCTGGCCAGCCATCAGGATGGTAATCATCATGTGAGCAATCTCCTTGTCGGGAAGGGGCGTGCCATTCTTGTAGACGCAGTCCATTAGGTTACGAATCATGTCGGGTTCCTGGTCGGCCAGGTCTCCGGCCTTTCGGCGCTCGTTAATGAGGTCGAAATAGACATCTCGCATGCGGCCATGGGCAATGTCACGACGTCGGTTTTGGGGAAGGGGTGCCCAGGGCATCAGGAAGTTGATGGGCCGAAAACCTAGGTCCAGGTCGTGATACAGCTCGGCGAACTCGCCCGTCAGCTTCTTCCGGACTTCGGCGCCCTGCAGAGAGCGGCTGGCGGTGAAGATGGTGATTTCAGCCATGGCGGCGGGGATATCGACGGTGCCGTGGGTCCCTTGAAGGGCCGGGGCTGAGTGAATGTAGTCGACAACTTCCTCCTGAATCAAGGGGACGTATGAGTCGAGGGCTTTCTGGGTGAGACCGAATTTGACAAACTTCTTCTGCTCCATGAGTTTGGAGTTGGGGCAGTCGTAAATAATGTCGCTCCCAAAGACGGGGGTGGTAAGAGGGCTGTAGCACCATATCTTTGGTATCCCAGGTTCTGCAGTAGTCCTGTTCAGGATTAGGTTCTTACCTGTAGATCTCCTCAGCATTGAGGTCCTGCAGCTTGCCGTTCAGCATGAAGTCGTTGCCTTGAATTCCCAGGTAGACAGTCATTCTCCTTCCAAACAGTACAAATGTGAAGACATCGCCATATTTCTCGCGGCATTGAGAGTAGAAGCTGAAGGGGTCCATTCCGTACGAGACTGCATTGCCGATAAATGGAAGCCAGTGGAAGACCAACGGCGGCTCGGACTTTGGGCGAGGCAGTTGTTGCCAGAGGATGTTCAGGAGGATGATGGACAGAATGGGGGCGGCGAGGGCGAGGCTGCCGGCATAAGCCCACGACGGAGCGATTGGTATGAAGCCAGCCATGAAGAGATGTTGTCGCGAGGCCAGGTTCGAATATGGGTGCAGTTTCAATGCCGTGTGAATGGGAGAAGTGAGTATTGAAGGCAGGTTTGTGTTTTAAAAACGAATGACAGCCAACGTAGAAATACATAGGTGTAGGTAAGTAAAGGTGTAAGGAAGTGAAGGTGTAAGTGAGGTTGTAAGTGAAGGTGTCGAATTCGTATTCGCATTTGGACGTGTATGCCAGCCTGCAGGGCGCATTGGCACAATTGGCCCCCACTGGTATAGAAGACTGTGCTGGCTGCGGACTGTATGCGTATGCCGTCTAGGCGATAACGGCCAGTATTTATGGAAGAGTTCTCGTATTCGGGTTTGATAAAATTGTTTCCGTGTCGTAATAATTCGTTGGCTGGTTATAGCGATGGGTGCCAAGGAGTGATTCGTACTCACCGTTGGGTCTGGCGGAAAAGCGTCACCCCCTGGCAATGCGGCAGCTCTACATAAATCGGTACAGCAATTATTGGGATTCGCTCCTTACTACATGTACAAGATGATTTCACCGTCTTGATCACTGAACATTAGTTAGTTGAATTTTGTGGGGTAGTTTCTGTAAATACTGCACGTCCGAGCCTTTAAGACTTTGTCTTGGGAGAGGAATGAGATGTATTTAAATTATGGCTAGCAAGCCTTTGCGGGGAGGAATGACTCCTAATGTCACATTATCTGCTGAAAACACTTCTTCTTATTTCAAAGTTAAGGAGCTTTCCTGGCAGATAACTGTAGCTTCCTAGTAGGGGGGTTGGCCGTTATTGCTTATATTGTCCTCTTGTCTGCGATGTTTCAAATGTCTGTGTCTCCATTCGGCGAAGAGTTACCGCTTATAGTTCCTCGACGTCGTATTATTCTTACTTCGCTTGACGAAGAATTGGCTGAAGTGCCCTTACTGTTTTTCCTCTTACTGTGAGGGCTATGAATTTTCTTTAACCTATTATAATAATCATTCTTACCATTTTCATTGTGCCATTTATCCTTTTAAATACGTACGCAGTTCCTTTGGCTCGCATTGGAACTGACCAAGATCTCAACCGTCTGTGAACACAGGGCAGTAGCAGTTGCGCACCAAATGATTAAATCATGGCCCGATTAGAAGATTGTAGCATGGCGACGGGACCGCTTTAAACTTGGCAACAGGTACCTAAGGTAGGTAAGGTAGTATAAGGTAAGTTCCGCTACGACAAAGCCTGTATATACTGATGTGATACTATTATAACGGTCATCTGATGGTTTACGTAGTAAAACTCCCTTTATACCTACATTATAGCCCCAGCCATGACACTTAAACTAAAATCTCGTCTATGAAAGGCCCACCTGAACTTTTTAAATATTACCAGCTTCATTAACTTATACTTCACATGTCTCTGGCAGTTTTCGTATTTCGAAATTTTGATTGTAGGTTGAATTCACGCCACAGTAACCATTTGAGATGGAGGTTGACGAAACAGATGGGCTGCATCATCGCATAAGATACTTGATCACTGTCGGATTGGAAGCCCAATTCGACCTCGAGTCAGCGCTAGCGCAGGGGCCATCTGACGGCCTCTATATCAGCGTTCAACTGACGGTCTAACCTACGGTTAGAACCTCTCTTTTCCACCTCACGCAGAGATCAATATACAGTTGATTGACCCTTCGTCACCACGGTTCGACTCGAACAATCACACCTGTGATGCGTAAACCAGCAATCACTGCTTTAGGTAGGTATATAAGCCTGCAGCTCGCTGAAAAGGGTTACGGTTAAAAAGACTTTTTGTTTAGTTAAATCCCCGCCCCTCTGTCAGTCAATGTTGGCTGATGGGATCTATATCCCGCTTGAGAACACTTTTCACTTATAAACGATAATCAGTTCTGTTCAAGATGGTTGAATCACGCAACCTAGACTCTAACTTTGATGCATCAAGTGGGCCAGGCGCACCCAATGCAACAGATGGAACTGCCGTTCCCTGGTCCTGGCCCGGTGCAGTCTTTTGGGTTTATCAACCCGATTTTGGGTGGTGTATTACCCAGCTCAGAGACATTTGACATAGTCGAAGGCTCGTTCATATTGTAACTGAGACCCAATGACAAGTCGAAACCCAATTGAGGGATCAAGAACTGATATCTACTTTCCTTCCTGCAGTCGCCCAGAGTCACTGATAAGGCTTCCTAACGAGGAAGACGTGAGGGCGGTCTAGATAACGAGCTTGGCCAGGGGGATGATAACCCCACGCGTTGCTGACGTGGGGGCTAGACAATCACCGCTTCTGACAGGACAGAACTTTTGGTCTGTTGTTACACCAGGTGAAGTAGATTCTTAGTCACATCATGTGCTGAGACATTTTCATAATAATCTGCCCACCGCCTGCTCAGCTGCTTGATCGCCTCAAGGCTTACCCAAGGGAGCTTTTTGGATGCCCCTCACCTGTTTCGTCCAATTGCAACACCTCGAGCCGTCACAATTACATATCTTTCCAAGTCTTTCGAGCCTGAGAAATAGATGCTGCAACCCAACGTAACCGTTCAACATATACCGTGTCGCTTTCAGACATGGATCATGGCGCCTATACCATTGGCTGGATTTGCGCTCTGCCAAAGGAGATGACAGCGGCAATAGCAATGCTTGATGCCACACACGACAGCCTACCCCAGCCGAGATCGGACTCCAACAACTATTTCTTGGGAAGTATAGGAGATTTCCACATCGTTGTTGCCAGCTTGCCAACTGGGGAGATCGGGGGCAATCCAGCCGCTGCCGTTGCCACCAGAATGCTCGCCACCTTCCCCAATTTGAAAATGGGGCTGATGGTAGGCATTGGCGGCGGTGTCCCAAGCAAAGATCACGACATAAGACTTGGTGATGTTGTCGTCAGCATACCGGCCAATGGATTTGGCGGCGTGGTACAGCATGATATGGGAAAGAATACCAAAGACGGCGGCTGGTTGAGAACTGGGTCACTAAATGGGCCACCACCAGTACTGAGGACAACAATCTCGAAGTTGATATCCCTACACCAGCTCCAGGGTAACAAGATTGGGTACTACCTATCGCAAATGGTAGAACGCCACCCTAATCTGTCCCCCCAGTTCACTCGTCAAGATAGCTTCTCTGACACGCTGTACGAGCCGGAGCCTGAAGATCCGGAGGCATTCGAATCGTGGAAGGAGGTTGAACGGCCACTACGGCAACCTCATGAACTAATTAAGGTTCATTACGGGCTGATATCATCATCGAATCAGGTAATCAAGAGTGGTCGACTACGAGATACTATCAGTGCCCATCATGGTGGAGTATTATGCTTTGAAATGGAAGCTGCCGGGTTGATGAACGAGCTTCCATGTGTTGTGATACGAGGCATATGCGATTACGCAGATGCACACAAGAACAAGTTATGGCAGGAATATGCTGCAGCAGTCGCCGCAGCATACGCAAAGGAACTTGTCACTGCATTGCCTAGGACCATTGCTGAAAAGCAGCCCCAGACACTGGCGGTATCACCCGTTGTCTTGGATAACGTCGGTAACATGCCAAGCCAGCCAAGAGGTACGTCCTAGTACTCAGTAAGAAGCAGTTTCTTCTATTGTCTGTGTAGACCCACTACAGCGACGAGGTCCTTAGTCCCGCCTTGATCTGACATCTGGTGCTGACTATCAGCCACAGTCACAGAACCTCACTGGATTGTGCCTTTCTCCCGAAATAAACAATTCGTTGGAAGAGAGCAGGAGCTTTCTACCCTACGACAGTGGTCATCGTCGAAAGATGTTTGCCACAATATGGCAATATTCGGGCTTGGTGGCGTCGGCAAAACTCAGATTGCTCTCGAGTTCGCGTTTCGCACAAAGCAGGAACATCCAAACAGCTCAATCTTCTGGGTTCCGGCTACTGACCTACTGGCATTTGAGCAAGCCTACAAGCGAATTGGTCAGGCGCTTCATGTGCCGGGCATTGATGCGAAAGGAGCGGACGTGAAGCAACTCGTGTGCGATGCATTGAGCGATAGCGAGAGAACAGACCCATGGCTTCTCATAATTGACAACGCGGACGACATCAACGTTATCTTCCGACAGCCAACCGACAGCGAACCAATATCCCCAGCCTTGATAGACTATATCCCATCCAGTCTGTACGGCTCCACAATTCTTACTACGCGAAATCGCAGAGTAGCTGTCAAGCAGGCCGCAAGCAATATCATCTCTTTGGAAATCATGGGCCAAGACGATGCCTACAAGTTATTCGAGAAGTCTCTGTTGCGACGAGACATACTTTCCAAAGCAGAATCTGCCAGGCATCTCCTTAGTCTCCTTGGATACCTACCTCTGGCAATCATTCAGGCGGTGGCATACATCAACGAGAATGACACAACTATTGAGGAATACACAGATCTGTACAACGACAGCGAAATTGGAGTTATGGAAGTTTTGATGGAGGATTTTGAGGTTCATGGCAGATACAAGACGACCAAAAACTCAATAGCCACAACATGGCTGGTCTCCTTCAGTCAACTCACCCACGCCAATCCGGTAGCGATTGAGTATCTTTCTTTTATGGCATGTATATGCAACGATAACATCCCCCAATCTCTTCTTCTACCAGCGTCTTCTAAGAAAAAAGATCTGGAGGCAATTGGCGCACTCAAAGCATACTCATTTATTAGAAAACGAGAAGACGGGTCTAGTTTCGACATACACCCGCTCGTACACTTGGCGATGAGAAACTGGCTAAGAAGCGAGAAAACATTACAGCAGTGGACTAGCAGCGTCATCCTACGGATTGTTAAGCTTCTTCCAGATGGTGGGCATAAGGACAGATCGACCTGGACCCAATACCTACCTCACGCGAAGTACCTCCTAAATTCAGCTGGGGTTGCTGTGGATGGTGACATTCAGGTTGTCGTGCTAGCAGAAAAGTTGGGAAAATGCCTTTACAGTAATGGCGAGTACAGCGAAGCAGGTGAAGTATTTGAGCAGGCTGTAGAGCTACGGATAAAAGCGTCAGGAATCGAAAATCGCGATACTCTACGCAACATGTTTGGCATGGCCGAAGCTTTGAATCACCAGGGCAAGCATAGACAAGCTGAGATTCAGCATCGAAAGGTCCTGGAACTTCGGAAAACAGTTCTTGGCCCGAAGGATCCCGAAGTTGGGAGAAGCATGAACTACCTCGCGCAAGCGATGTACGGTGACGGCAGGTACGCTCAAGCAGAGCAGGTGCATCGAGACGCACACGCACTGCAGAACGAAGTACTGCACTCTGAGCATCCAAACATCCTCACGACCACCGGTTATCTTGCTCAGACACTAGGCAAACAGGGGAAATACGAAGAAGCCGAGACGATGCATAGAAGCCTACTAGAGACCAAGCTAAGAGTAATGGGAGAAAGAAACCCAGCTACCCTGGCGACCATGAGTTGTTTGGGCGTTGCGCAAAGCGACCTAGGAAGATATGCGGATGCAGAAAAGACCCATAGACGAGTGCTCTCTCTCCGCGTAGAAATCTTGGGAGATCGCCATCCGCACACATGCCTCACCAAAAGGTGGTTAGCCGATGCGCTTCGCCAACAAGGAAAACACGCAGAGGCATATAGCCTGAACCAGGAAACTCTCAAGCTGCAAACAAGAATGCTAGGAGCGAAACATCCAAACACGATTCTCACTCTCGGGACCCTAGGCGACATTCTCTTCTCTCAAGGGCAGACTGATCGAGCGGAGAAAGTCTATCGCCAAGCACTGGCTTTACAAATCCAGATTCTTGGTTCAGAACACCCAGAGACTTTGGGAGGCATGGAAAGGTTAGCAAATACCATGCAGAAACAAGGACGAGCGGAGGAAGCAAAGGAGCTATTTGGCAAGGTTTTCGAGGCCAGATTCAGGATCTTAGGACCGCAACACCCAAGCACCTTGGCGACCCTTTGCCAGGTCACATTGGGGCAAGACCTGTGAAGTTGCAATTGTATTATATACCACTTGTAGGAGTTCAATCCCTCGTCCTGCCATGTGATCTTCGACCTTCCATGTCTGAAACCTAACAACTAATTCACCAGTTCAGGGCCCACCATATACCAAAAGGCTTTGAACATTGACTACCCCAAATCCATGAGTGTTTAACAGTTCCCTGCCACGATGAACAGGGAACTCGGCCACCGCCATCACGCTGATCCGTTCCACACTCACACCGGCCTGCTCCAACAGCCTCAACACCGCACAAACCGTCTCCCCGGACGCAAACACATCATCCACAACCACAACCGACGCTCCACACGATAACACGTCGCGATCCATCTCCACCCTCCTTTCCTTCACCCCGTTCGCCGGTACCCTCGACGAGATGTGCGACGCAGGCTTGGCGACAGAAACCGTAGGCGGCGGCAGCTTGCCGGCCTCCCGGATCGGGACCAACCGCAAACCAACCTGCAACGCCAACGCCGACGCAAAGACGAAGCCGCCCGCCTCGCAGGAGACAATGGCGTCGACCTTGGACCAGGCGGCACCCGTGAAGTGAGATTGCAGGAGAGACGTGCATAGGGCCAGGCCACCTGGTGTCTGGGCAATGTCGAGGACGTGGCGGAAGTTGATACCCGGACGTGGGAAGTCTGGTATGATGCGCGTCATTTTGGCTAACCGTTTCAAGTCGTCGTGGATGAAGAGAAGCAGGCTTTGCTCTGCAAAGGCCTTTGCGACGTTGTCTCCTGCCGTTTCGTTGTGGAAAGCCAAGCTGGGCCTGCAACCATTCACGTCACTCGTCGCCGGCAGCTCGCCGTCACCCTCGTGATTGCCACTACACTTTTCTCTCCCGTCGTTCGTTCCTCGGCGAAATCGTCTAATCTCCGCGCCGGCGGTAATACGGACCTCAACGAGCTTGCTATCCGGCACAAGGTGTCCCAAACTCGCGACCGGCGCCTCGTCTCTCATGCCCGTGATGAGCAGTACATCGACACCAACAGAACTGTACACCTCTTCTAGGAAATGCTCCGTCGGTAGCCGAGGTCTTTCCCGAACGCGGTCATGGAAGAACGCCGTCAACGCCGGCCGGTGCTTCTCCTTATACTCCCGCTCGCAGAGCAAGCGGTTTAGGTCCGCGCCCGCCGCCGCTGCGAATTCCCGCTTCATGGCATCGCTGATGCTGACGACACGCGCCGTCTTGCCATTCTTGTTGAAAACATCAGCCCAGACTTCGGCGCAGTAATCTTTGCCCGCACAGCTGTCCCCCGTCACCAGGAGGATGAGGCGTGGTTCCATCGTTTCTCTCGGGAGGGGGCAGGCGTATGCGAGTACATGACGCGGATCCGCGGTGCGCTTGAGGCGGGCCAGACGCGGGCGATTTGGCCCAAAGGCTTTGGTTGCCATTGCCGTGTCCCGGGGATCCGGTCCGAGGTCGGCGCCGTACGCTCCGGTGCCTAGGGGCAGCAAAGTTTCGGCAACGGCGTAGACCCACTCCACGACGGCCCGGGCAACGTCGGTTCCGTCTTGCTCGCGCGGCCAGACACCGGTGATGACGCAGGCAAAGTCCCAATCGCGGCAGCCGAATGCGGTGGCTGGTTCCGGCACGTCGCTGACGGCGCCGCCGCCTTGCAGGAGGTGGAGATAACTTTGTGGAGAGGGGCGGTTATGGATGGCTGATATCAATGCATTTGCAATATCGACCGTTCCAATCTCTTTGAGAAATAGGCATCTTTTGAAAGAGGACGTCTTGCCGCCAGCGTGCCCCCCATGCATCCCTGACATGTACATCTCGGTCTCGAAGAGACCAACGCTGTCCACGATCTTATAGCTGTGCTCCGGGCCCAAAATCGTGGGGATGGGCGTGGGGATGGGCGTGGGTGCTCCCGATGCTTTCTCAGTGGTCCAGGCTTCGTACACAGTCACGCCGAGATGTAGTTTCCCAACGTCCCAGTACAGATACGCGTCTGCAGAACAGTTCCGGGAAAGTTGAGCAGCAACGCCCCGGTCAAATGCGGCAAGCTTGCGTTGCGCCTCATCGCCGTCACGCATCGGTATGACCCAGTTTCTGACCAAGAACATCGGAGCTGGATGCGCTGCAAAGGTGACGCTGAAGATGATGCCAAAATTCGTTCCCGCTCCTTTGATCGCCCATAGCAATTCTTCTTCTTCGTCGTTCTCTGGGCGCATGGCACCTGCGGGTTGGTGTTGAGTAGGTACATGACCGATGCATAAAATCCGTCCAGAGTCGACGCTGACGAGGACGGCACCGACGATGGCGTCGCACGCGAGCCCGTGGAGTCGGGCCAGATGCCCGATGCCACCTTGAAGCCACAGACCCGCCCCAACACTCGGTCGAGATCCCAGAGGCACCGTGAGCCCCTGTGCCATGGTCTCGCGGATGATGTCCCCCGTCTTGCAGCCGGCACCGGCGACGACAAGACCACCTCCAGCTTTTCCTGTACCGCTGATAACGTGGACTTGGTTTAAGGCGCTTATGTCAACAGCGACGACGTCGGGCCAGAGACAATGACCGCTGTGCCCGCCGCCCACGACCGTCAACGCCATGCGATGCTCCAGGGCCCAGCGAACACACTCTTGTACGTGCCGAATATGTGTAGGTCTAATGACCGAGGCCGGACGGTGGAGACGAGCTTCCCGGTTCTTGACAGGCATATTCCCGTCGGCGACGGCCGGCAGCTGCGACTTCAACTCGGGCAATGCGGTCGAATGCCGCGTGAAAGCCATCATGATATCGGGCGCAGCGAACACGAGATTGCCGTCGTCATCGCGACGGCCGAGGGCGCGGCAAAGCTTCCGCCATTCGAGGAGAATATCCTTAGGTTCAGGGATAAAGCCTGCGATGAACGAGGCAAAACAGTCGAGCGAGTCGTCGGTGTCTTTGACGCGAACCATTCCGTTCGGGAAGCTGGCGGTTTGATGAGGGACCAACCCGTTCAAGTGCAGCGGTCCGTCTCTATGGAAAAAGATCACCAATCCGTTTGTCGGCTGCTCAGCGAGCAGATCCAGTGCTGCAAAGAGAGAGCTGTGTTTGGGGTGCATTCTGTACATGCTGTGACAAAATAGGATGACATCGAACTTGTCCTCTCCAAGAGTCTTTGGTGAATTGTCTAGGTTAAACGGACGATGCCTGATGTCGGGTCTTTCCTCTAGACAGGGCAATGGGGAGCCAGACTTCTCGGTCGACGTGAGACATTCTTCCAATCGCGAAGCAAAAAGACAGTTCGGTTCAAAGGCGGTATATCTTTTGATCTTGCGCCTCGTATCGTAGGGTAGATATCCGAGCACGCTCTCCGGTCCCGGTCCAATCTCCAGGACTGAGGTGCGAAGACGCGAGTTCAAGATTGGGATGAGGAGCTCAGATAGCTGAGGCAGAACGAAGTCCTGGTATGTTGTACACCCAGAGCTTTGTTTGAAGAAACTGAAGCCGGCGCTGTATTGTGCATCGGACAAAAGCTGGCTTGCGGGTGGTTCGTTGATGGTGGCTTGTTGCCTTAGAACGCGCGTGAGATGTTCTAGCGTCGCCATCTCCAGGTAGCGAGGATGAAAAGGTAGATTTGTGAGGAGGATACCATGCCGAGACCGCACAAGTCGAGCAGGCTGTGGCGCCTTAAATAATTAATCAGAGAGGTGAGCGCTGCAGTGGTTTGCCGCACTGAGCCAACTGTTTTGCATCAAATACATTGACGTGAGATTGTAGACCTGTGCAACTGGCCGGCTTGGTTGCACAAAACCCAATAAAACGCTCTTCAGTGGTTGCAATACTTGTCGGCCTCCGGCATCATGCAGCTGTCATCGTGTTTGGCCAGCAGGCTGGCCGTATGCATGGCTTACCAACAAGTCAGCAGCAGTTTCTATGCCAAGAAATTCAGTTCTGAAAACAAAAAAACTTTAATTTATGATGTTTAGACGGTGCTCGTATTCTACAGGAAGACCAAAACAGCAAGAAAAGATGCGGAGAAAAGATGCGGTTGCGGACATGCCTGTTTTGGCCTGGTTGATCAGAGGTCCGATGGCGGCCTTCCTTAAGGATTAGCAGAATTTGTTGAAGGGAGTTCAAGGAGAAGTGGCTTCTGAGCCTCTCGACGAGAAACCGCACGATGAGCAAAGTTGCGAAGCCGCTGCTCTTGTTTTGTTCACCCGGGTACTCAGCTTAATTAAGGAAGAGATATTGGTGTATTGCGATAGAGTGCGGCAGGATGTAAGAAATAGGAACATACACGCACATTGAATTGTGTGAGTCTCAACTCTCTATATGGCGCATCTCTGCATCGAAGTTTCCGGCGTGATATATTTCAGGCCCTCATTCTATGGGATGAAGTCGCTCAAGCATTCAAAGTTAGTTCAAGACAACTAACTGATGGGTGTAAAGTCCCCCGCCCTGCTCGTTATGAGTTTGCTACGAAGGCTCTCAACCTATTGAAAGAACCACCAAATCCAGACTTAGAATTATAGAAATGAAGAGTTACTCCGCATAATTCGCCAACTTGATTAGTTTCACAGAGTTGACTGAAAACGCCGTGGTTGGCGGCGTTTGTTTGAGCGCACCATAACATAGAGTTGATATTGCGCTTCGGATTGACCAATAGCATCGCACCCGGGGTCGGAAGCCGCGATAACAGTGACCCATGTCGGTGTTCCGCCATGAGCGATGCTATCTTGCTGCTAGGCGGCTTGCAACGGGTGGTGACATGCACCCCGCACGGAACCAACAGTAAATATGCTCGAGTAGGAATTTGGAGATAGGCGTATCTGGGATTGCCCTTGCTAAGCGGACCAGTCACGCCCTCAGTGTTATCTACCTTTCGCCAGTTCGCCCTCGGACGCAGACTGCCGGGAAAATGAGTGAACACTAAACGACCTAGGACGCCCAAACCCCGCACCGTGATTGCTAGAGCCGGACCGGCCTTCCGATATCTCTAGCACCTGAGCGATCCGTCACTCGGTATCTCATCACTCAGATACCTTGTCCACCGTACACCACACTCATACTGCTCTACGTTGTCAAGCCTCTGGAAGTGCTTCCGAGTTGAATAAAGTGCTATAGCCTGAAATGGAGTCTTCAAATACTCAACGACGGATCACGAAGCGGTCATCTTATGCGTATGTGACCGGGGTTTTGCCTCTTGCTTTTCCGCCAGGCATAACTGACAAGCCATTACCAGCTGCTCGCGATGTCGGAGGCAGAAAATCAAGTGCTCCGGACTTCATCCGTGCAACAATTGCACGCAGCGGCGGCTGACATGTATATTTGACGAGCGGGATAACAAAGTCATGGTGACGCAAGGGTGAGCTGTGACTTTGCCAACTTTTCAAACAACTTGACTGAGTAGCACTTCGCTGACAAGGTATTTTTGTCTAGATACCTATCCGAGTTGCAGCAAAAGGTGGCACGCTTGGAGCGCGCTCAAGCAAGAGCCTTGGTTGAGCAGAGCTTAAGGCATGCTGCTGGCGATGATGATGCTGTCGCTTGTCGAGAAGGTAATGACTCCTTGGCTGAAGTTACATCGGGTTATGCTCATTTAGTAAAAAAAGATGACCCAAACAACCCCTCACGCTTTGATGAGCGTAGACGGTCAAGCTATCATACTCCTGACGGGACGTCCGGACACTCACCACCTGGAGATGGAGATGGACCAGACTTGACGAATCCTCTTACAGCAACACCGTCTCGATTCTGCATGTCTGCATCCAATGGGCAACCGTGTACGTTCTTTCCTCTCGGAATTGCATGTTGTTACATGTATATGGCAACTAAACCAAACCCATAGACTTTCTTGGCTCTTCCTCAAATTGGTCATTCTCTCGTCAAGTCCTAAGCGTCACATACGAACATGTCTGCCAGTCCCCCTTGCCCACAAACAGCCTTCTCTTCGACGGCTTCGCATACGACCTCGGCTGGGACGGCTCCAGGACGACGCAGACCCTGGACAACAGGCTCATACCGAGCCACGACTACGCCATCTTCCTCATCAACGCCGTCAAGTTCCACTGCGGGCAAATGTTCCACCTTTTTGAGGAGGACGAGTTTATGCTCAACATGCAGACCTTTTACTCCAAATCCTCCACCGACAGGGCGGAGGAGAACAGCCTCTGGTACATCCACTTCCTCGTGATTCTGGCCTTTGGCAAGAGCCTCATCCAGAGAAAGACACGGGGGAACAAGAGACCGGCTGGGGCGGATTTCTTCGTGCGGGCGCTGCAGCTCCTGCCAGACGTCACCGCGCTCTGCAAGGAGCCCATCATGTCGACAGAGATTCTGTGCTCGATGGCGTGGTACTATCAAGCTTTGGACTTTCGACATGCGGCGCACAATTTTGTAAGTTTTTTGCTGTCTTGCTGGAATTTTGGGCAGTTGCATCCAAGACTAATCAACGAAAATAGATTGGGCAAGCTAAAAGCGTGGCGATGAACCACGGGATGCATACAGACATGCCGATAATGGACTTGGGGCCCGGCCTAGTCCAGCGATGCCGCAAGATATGGTGGACAGTCTACGTTCTCGACCGACAGATGACTTCCTTGATGGGGCTGCCTCAGTCTACTCTGGACGAGGGCGTCTTTTGCCAGCTCCCGTCGTATCCGGGTTCCGTTCATCGCACCACCGCACTAAGCATGCAGATCAAGTTTGCTCGAATCATTGCTGAAATAAGTAGCAGTAAGTCTGTTCCTCATCCGTAAACACCCTTTGCTCGAGTCACAGCGTGCTAATATCCTGCTCCCCCCCGGTCATTTAGCCGTCTATGGGGCGAACGGCCGCCTCAACAAGAAATTCGTCCTGAGCACAAAGGCGGTGCTGCAAAGCATTGTTGCCGTGGCTGACGAACTGCGTACTTCGTTTCCTCTCTTTGCAGATGAACGTTTCGACGGCATCTCGAGGCTTTCTGCCCATTTGCATCTTTTATATTACCAGGTAAGTAAATGAAGGGAAATGAGGCTGACGATTTCCCCTTTAGAGTTCTCACTAATGTTTACGCTAAAGTGTATTATCCTTGCCACACGACCTCTACTTTTATGCTGTTTGATCAAGAGATTCAACTCCCCACTCGAGGCGGACTCGTTGATGGCATCGCCAAAAGTTCGGAACCCGCTACAAATGTGCGCAGAGTCTGGTATCCAGATTCTTAATATTCTCGACCGGCTTAGAGCGCAAGGACTACTCGGTGAGTTTTCACAAGAACCCACTCAACTCCTATCAGAGTCACAACTCTAATTTGCGCTATAAAGAAACATTCCTCCCGCTAGATTTAGACTCTCTCTTCGTGTCAATGGTCGCTCTCCTCGTCGCCCGCGGTGTCGACTCGCGCCTCATAGAGAGCCAAATACCCTGGGTTGACAAGTCGCACGCCATTATCGAAGAAATGGTGGCCAGCGGCAACCTCATCGCCGAGTTCAGGAAGAACGAGATGCAGAAGCTGGAGGAGATGCTGCTTGAGTTCGACGCCACTCGGCCTCGGCCGCTAAGTGACTTGACAACAACAGCCACCATCATCGCGCAGCAGCAGCAGCAGCAGCAACAGCCAGTGCCATCATCTGACTGGCAACAACAACCAGATACTTGCTCGACAGCTGCCCTCCAGCCGGCCCCTTTGCCAGCGGAAACGAGATCGCCGTTAAGTCAAGAGACGACGTTGCCGGTCTACAGAGAGTTGAGTAAAGACAGCAGCAGCCAGGCGGAGGACTTGACCACGCAGCAAATTATAGACGTTGTCAACTCGATGGAGTGGGAAGACAACGAGTGGATGTCATTCACCATGGTCCAGGATGAGGCATAAGTTTGTAGGTCTTTCAGAGGGTTGTTGTTTGTAAGAAGAATGCACTCTAAATTCATTCCTTGAAAAAGTTTATTTTCGGTTTTCTGGGCTGATTAATATCGGTGACCCCGACTTCTTCAGTCTCGTGAAACTGTCCCATGAGGTTGTAAAGCTTTGTCTTCACAATCAACCAATGCTTTAGACTTTTAAAGTCTACACAAGCAACTCAACGTTGATGATCGTATTCTTCCCTTTGAGGCAATTCACAATCGGAGCAAGAAGCTATCAGCAAGCTACCTTGGGCTCGGCTAGTAGAGCTACGTTGCAACGAATATCCTCGCGATTAATCAGCCAACCAGACTAGACGCGTCCCGGGTTTGGTCACCTCGCTACGCCAGCGAGATATCAGTTGCATTTTGAATGGGGTCAGAGAACAGGGGATGGGGGACAAAAAGGCTCTATCGGCATCCCGCAAGGAAAACTAGCCGCCCCGCTCACGCACATGGATATTTGCAGCCGGCAGCCCCCCTCCCTCCCTCTATGCTGCAGATTGCAGAGAAACAGCAAGCGGACTTGTCAATCATTGGGTTACAGCCGACCAGGTTAGATGATGCGACCGAATGCTAGAGCGCCCTGCCTCGTATCAATGGTTCCCGAGCTACTGCTATGGGTGATGGCTCCAGATCGCATGAAACCATGGGGAGATTAACGGTCCATAACGCAGATCTGTACAGACATACTACCTGGTGTACTGATCCTGACCGATGATGGAGGCATTACAGAGGCTGTACGTGGCGATAAATAGGATGCGCTTCCCGTTGTGATAAATCAAGCAAGGCCTTCGTTGTGATTGATCTAGTTGAGACGATTAGCCGCATCATCTATGATGTTTCGGACACCGCTTCTCGTGCCAGCATTCATGCTGGCGTTGACTTCCCTACTAGTCAACGGCCAATCCAGCGACGCTCTGGGCGTAGGCAATGGCTTCCTCGATTTCAAAGCCGGCCAGTTCACCGGCCAACTCGTCAAAGACTCCCAAACCCTCGCCTCCCTTAAGCCCGGATCCGACTTTGACTTTTTGCCCTCGGATCTGCTTGCGAACCTGACCTTGAATAGTGCCCACCATATCGGAGACGTCTCTTTTCGCTTCAGGCTCGGCAGCGTCGGTAACTGGACAACCGTCGACTCCGCCGCCGCCAGGAAACCCGTCAAGGCCCTCAATGACCTCGCCCCAGGCGTCATCGCAGCAGCGGACCTCGCCGCAACGCTGCCCGCCGGTGTGCCCTTGACTGTGACACGCGAATGGCTGCCCCTCGGCGACGGCCTCGCTCTTAGAATCAACCTGACAAACACCGCTAACGGCACCGTCGAGCTCGGGGCCCTGGGTCTCCCCGTCGCCATCAACAACATCTTTTCCCGTCCGTCGGCCGAGGAGACGCAGGCAAAATGTTCCCTCGCGGATCCCTACATAGGACTTGACGCCGGATACGTCCGGGTGTCCCCCATAAAGGGCCTTGGCGACGCCCTCGTCGTCGCGCCGCTCGGCTCGAGCCCGCTCGAGGCGTGGAGGCTCCTCGCCGAGCCGACGGGCGATTTCTCCTACCAATCGCAGACCTACGAGGGTACCTATGAGTGGATGATTCACTCGCAGGCATGGGCTGACAACGAGTGGAAGAGTGCCACGCCTTGGAACACGCCCACGTCAAAGACGTTGAAGGCTAGGGAGACGTACTCTGTCGGACTCAAATTCGTCGCCGCGGAGAGTATCCAGACTATCGAGGACGCGGTCACGAAGGCGGATATCCCCCTCGCCGTGGGCATTCCCGGCTATGTCGTCCCCGCCGATCTTACAGCCAGGCTCTACCTCACGCATCCTTCTCCCGTGAAGACCATTGACAGCCAGGATTCCTTCACTATCAAGCAGGACACCACCGCCAAGGGCTCGCCCTACCTCCTCACGCCGACCGCGGGCGCCTGGGGCCGGGCCAAGCTGACCATCACCTACGAGGACGGAAAGACGCAGGTCGTGCAGTACTACATCACCAAGCCCGCGCCAGATACAGTCTCGGATCTGGGCCACTTCCTCACCACCGCCGCCCACTTCACCAACGCCTCCGACCCCTTTGGCCGCGCGCCCTCCATCATGGGCTACGACAAGGAAGCCAACGCCATTGTCACCCAGGACGCACGCGTCTGGATCGCGGGCCTAAGCGACGAGGGCGGCACCGGCGCCTACGTCGCCGCCGCCACAAAGCTCTTCGTCCAGCCCGTCGAGGCCGAGGTCGCGGTCGTGGACGAATTCATCCACGACACCATCGTCGGTACGGTTCAGCCGGCCAACGACACCTTCGCCGTGCGCGCGAGCACCTTCTTCTACCAGCCGGACGCCGTCGACTACGCCTACGACTCGGCCCGCGTCTGGACGTCCTGGACGTCGTGGAACAAGGAGAGAGCGTACACCACCGTCCGCGCATACAATTACGTCCACCCTGTCGTGGCGTATTGGTCGATGTACCGCGTGGCGAGGGACTACCCTCAGGTCAAGACCCGTGCTGATTGGAGCTGGTATCTGAACCAGGCGTACCACACGGTCCAGCACTGCCTCAAGAACGGTGCCAAGGACTGCGACTACGGGTTGACCGGGTTGATGGGCGAGACGGTGTTCGCGGAGCTGCTCGAGGACCTCAAGAGGGAGAACATGACGAAGAAGGCTGCCTCTTTCGAGGCCAACATGCGTTACCGCGCCGAGTTCTGGGAGACGCTGGCCGTGCCGTTTGGAAGCGAGATGGCGTGGGATAGTACCGGGCAGGAAGGCGTCTACTACTGGACCGAGCAAGTCTTGCCCGACACAAAATCACAATCTTGACAAATAGTCGGCTAACCGTCGGCAACAGGTACTTTGGCCACAACAACACCGCCATCAAAGCCATCAACAGCATCAGAGGCTACATGCCCACCGTCGCGCACTGGGGCTGGAACGGCAACGCCCGACGATACTGGGACTTCCTCTACGGCGCCAAGCATGAGGGCATCGAGCGCCAGGTGCACCACTACGGCTCCGGCCTCAACTCGCTGCCCATGCTGCACTACTACGAGCGGAACCCCTCCGATTTCGACGCTATCCGCGTCGCCTTTGCCGGGAACACGGCGCCCTTGACGAACATTGACGGCGACGGCTGCCCCTCGGCGGCGTTTCACTCTTTCCCCCAGCACCTCGCGTGGGACCCGTACACTGGTGACTACGGCCTCGGGTTCCTGGGGCTGGGTCTAGGTCAGGCGGTGTACATCATCAACCACGAGACGTACGGCGCGGTCGTCTTTGGCGGCAACGTGGTGGCGTCGACTGAGACTACCCTGGTTGCTGAGCCTCGCGACGCGGTGCGGCGGCGGGTGTTTGTTGCTGATTTGGGGCTCAAGGTAGTGCTCAGCGCCGGTGCGATTCAGACTGTCACGTACGACCAGCAAGGCCCGACGGTCAAGCTGAGCGTGAGGCCTGCGGCTTCTGAGGCGGCGCTCAAGGCCACCTCGACTATTGTTTGGCTGCAGACGACTGTTGGAGAGGTCAAGTTTACGGTGTCGGGAGCTGGCGAGTCGCGGGGAGGATATCTCGTTGACTTGTCTGGCGGACAAGCTGAGGTTACCATCTCCAAAGCGTGAGGGATTACAATTAGAATAAGCTTTTCGTTCTAGGACATTTCAAGATCTGGGCACGTGAGTGTGTCCGATCTAGTCAATACATGTATTTTTGCAGTTTAACTGTTAAGTTTATCATGAAGAGACTTTTGCGAGATACTCTGCAGTCTCAAACTTTTGATGCTTTGTCGGAGCGGAATATGAAATGTACACGGACACTTTGGAAAGATACATTTCGAGCTCAAATCCACAATCCTGGGTTTAAAATCTCAGAACAAGAACAGATGATGACAACTTTGGATGAACCAACTCAACGCAGAGCAGGGAATGCTAAGAAACAACGTCCCGCTTCTCCAGATTACCCCACAAACGAATTAACCTCGAGACCTCCCCCAACCCCGCACTCTTTCTCCTCCTCCTCCTCCTCTTCTTCCTCTCCATCTCTTGATTTGCTTGTTTGACTCCAGTCTTATGGGGAGGCTCCCCTGCATCTCTCTGCCAAGTGATCGACCCCCAATTCATCCGTCCATTCTCTGATCCAGCGGGAACCCCGACTCGTGTTCAGCTGCAGAGCTGCAGAAAGTTACCCAAATCAACCACCCATCATTGACCCGAAGTCACCGAGGGGGAACGACCCCATGGGCCTGGGGCAAGGGGAGGCCACTACCTCGTGCCCGCCACCTCCCACCAAAGAAACCGGACTGGAGATGACAATGATACGACGGACATAGGGGCCTTGCGGGGGCCTCTTCTTAGGCTAATTCGAGGCATTTGAATCACTTGAATCACCAGTGCCTGTATCAACGGGGAAAAGGTTAGCCTCAGGGGTAGCAATGCCGCGGTACACCACCCCAAAAGGGACGTCGAACCACACAGCATGTCACGAACTGACCGGACCTCCTTTCTGCGCCGCACGTCTTAGACTCTGAACTGTCTAGACCGCACGCGGGGTGTCCGTCCGCCATGGTCTTCTCCAAATCCCTCCTCGCAGGCCTCGCCCTCGTCGTCACAAGCACATCGGCCCCATCGTGCTGGCGCAACGCAACCTGCACCCACCCAACAACAGCATCCTTCCCGGGGCTCTGGGATGCAGACATCTACGCCCCAGACTCCCGCACAGCGCGCCCAAAGTCGATCCTCTCCCTCGCGACAGGCCAACAGCTCGCCTCGTTCCCCTCTCGTGAAACCCAAACTCTCACCGGCAATGGCTCGGCGCTGGTCTTTGACTTTGGCGTCCTCGTCGGCGGCCTCACGTCGGTGAACTACACCCTCACCGGCACCGGCACCGGCACCGGGCCCGTCATCCTCGGCCTCGCGTGGACGGAGGCCAAGAACTGGATTGGCGAGTACTCGGATAACTCCAACGGAAACTACCGCGGACCGGGCCAGTCCCTCATCTCCGTCGTCGGCGCCCTCTTCCATGAAATCACCGCCCCCGGCCCGGGATCCTACACCGTCCCCTTCCCCCAGCTCCGCGGCGGCTTCCGATACCTCACCCTGTACCTCATGACCAACACCACCAGCACAACCACAACCACAAACAACACAACCATCACCACGCCGGCACCCACCCTCGCCATCGACCACGTCTCTATCGAAATCGTCTTCCGACCAACCTGGTCCAACCTCCGCGCCTACCAAGGCTACTTCCTTTCCTCCGACCCCCTTCTCAACAAAAATCTGATACAGCGGCGCCTACACCCTCCAAACCAACGCCGCGCCCCGCAGAAACAGGCCGCGTCCTGACCGAAGACATCACAACCGGAGGCTGGTCCAACGCCGCCTGGCTCGGCACCAGCGCCTCCTCCGTCCTCCTCGACGGCGCAAAACGCGACCGCTGGATCTGGCTCGGCGACATGGGCGTCGCCGTCCCCCCTCCGCCTTTGTCAGCACCGGCGACCTCGAGTCCGCCCGCAACGCCAGCCAGACACTTTTTTGACTTCCAAGGGGCCTTCGGGCAATCTTCCCCCGCGCGCGGGACCGCCGTATCTCGACGCCACGAGCGATACCTTACCACATGTGGACCATGATTGGCGCCTACAACTACGTCCTCTTCTCCGGGGACGTGGACTGGTTGGCGCGCAACTGGGCGACGTACCTCTGGGCCATGGAGTATATCTACGGCAAGATCATACCCGAGACGGGGATCTTGAATGCGACGGCCGCGGGCGACTGGGCGCGCTACGTCTACTCGCTGAACGGGAGCGCGCCCATTATGCTCCTCTACCGCACCCTCACAACCGGTGCCTTTCTCGCGGAACTCGCTCCCTCCAACAGCACGTCAAACTCGACGACGACGACGACGACGACGACGACGACGACGACAGCAGGAGACGGTACATCATCAGGAAGACACTAGTCAACAAATCTCACAGAAACCTGGCTCGCAGGCGCAGCATCCCTCCAAAAAGCAATAAAAACCAACTTCTGGGATCCTACCAAGGGCGCCTTCATCGACGGCCACAAGAACAAAACCCTCTACCCCCCAAGACGCAAACGCCTACGCCCTCGCCTTTGGCGTCGTCGACGACCCCCGCAGCCCCAAAGCAGCAGCCTCCCTCTCCGCCGTCCTGACCACCAACTGGACCCCCCCATCGGCCCTTCCTCCCCCGAGCTCCCAGGGCAACATCTCCTCCCCCTTTCATCTCGAGGTCTCGAAATCGAAAGCCCACTTTGTCGCCGGCCGCCCCCGATCGCGCCCTCCGCGTCATCCGCGACAGCTGGGGGGGGGGGGGGGTGGGGTACCCGCCCCCCCCCCCCCGGGCCCCCCGGGCCACCCCCCCCCCCCCCTGCCCCCGTGGGCGCCGAACGCAAAGCCCCCCTGGCGCCCGGCGCGCCCGCGGCCCCCCCCGGGCCTCCCGCGAGGGTGGGGGGGGGGGGGGGTGTGGTACCTACGCCACCCCCAACGGCACCGGGTTGACCGTCATCGAGGGCTACCTCGCCGACGGCACCTTTGGGTACCGCAAGGCGAGGGGGCTACACGAATGACCCGAGCTACGTGAGCCACGCGCACGGGTGGAGTAGCGGGCCGACGAGCGCGATGACGGAGTACCTCGTCGGCCTGCGCGTCACGAAGCCCGCGGGCCGAGAGTGGAGCCTCACGCCGGCGTCATTTGGCGCCGGGGAGGGGATGCCGACGGAGGCGCAGGCCGGGTTCACGACGGCGCTGGGGGCGGTTTAGCGCCAGGTGGGTCGTCATCGGGGAAGGCGGCGGCGGCGGCGGCGGTGGCTTCGCGGCGGTGGAGTGGGATGTGCCTGAGGGCACGAGGGGATGGGTGGCGCTCGGGGGCAAGGAGGGACGGTAGGCGGACGGCGGGAAGGGCGCGGCGAAGGGTTGAATGTGGTACGAGTGCGCGGGTGACGAGGAGAGACGCGCGGCCTATGTGCCGTGATGGCGTGGATTTTGAGCTGATTGTGATAAGCCTTTTTCCTTTTCCCTTTGGCTGCCGTGAACAGAAGTCGGCATTTGGGCAACGTGCTAGCTTCTCCAACCGGAGAATCCCGTTTGCGCTGGAATACGAGGTTGCCCAAATACGAAAGCCCGAACACTCCGCTCGTTGATAAGAAACTCACTCAGAGCGTCTTAGATCCGAAGTCTCGAAGAGATGTCTCCCCCCCCCCGCCCTCCCTCTTGGCCCCTTCCCCTCACCTTCCCCTCACCTCCAACTTTGAGGTGTACTGAACTCCTCTTCACCGGATACCCGGTAGTCAATGACCCCGGGACTCCGACTCCGCGGCTCCGTTGGCTGTTCGGATACCGAGACCTGCTTCACTAGCCCGCGAGTGCCCATTGCGAGCTGTGAGCTTAGCGCGCCAATGTCTGTGTGGTATGGCAAGGGTCCCTTTGGCACCAGTCACCGGGGAACAGTCCTAGCGGGATCTGAGCTAGACCCCAAGCAGTCGCGGGTCTTTGAGAGGATATCGGCCATGTCATTGTAATAGCATTCAAGAAGACCTTGATATGCGATTGTAGAGATCCTTTTTCTCGAAATCACCGTTGAATCCGCTTGCTCTTCAATCAGAGCAAGTATTTCACCGCAAAACTACCAAACGAGTGAAAATGAGCATGGAAACGACCTATCCCGAAAGAACAGACGAGGACTGCCCCGATTGACTTTTTGGCATGCGCCAAAAGCCGCCACCAGAAGGTGGCTACCGTTACCGTTTCAAACGGTCCCAAGCCTCGCAGCCCCAAACGCTCTCAAAGGTCGCCGCCGATGAGGTGGTCATTGGGGAAAGGGGGGAAGAGGAACTGAGCCGGATCCGACGGAAGTGAAGTACGTCGCCAGTGGGAATGGTGAAGACTTGATACATGTGAAATGGCGAAATCCGTGAGCATCATTAGTCATGAATTAATCCTGGTGTTTGTGCTATTGGAAATTGAGTTTGGGTATCTTTCCTAGTCATGAATGACAATGTGTTAGTACTGGTAGATATCCCAGTACCTAGTACGCTCTCATCAGCTTTGATGGATCGTCGTCTAGAATTACACCACGGCCGTCGGCCATCCAATGTCTCTGTGTCCGCGCCGTGTTACCCAATATAGTGTGAGTCTCCAGGAAGAAGGGGAGGATGTTTCCGTTTCCTCCCCCAATAATCGCCGGCATGGGCGTGAATATTCATGTCCCCCGGCCAAGACCAGCACTTGCTCATGGCCGCGTCAAATCTCCGTCTCCCATGTCTCATGCAGAATCCTGTTTCCTGGTCTCCAAAACGCCCCAAAAAAAAAAAAAAAAAAAAAACCCCCCCCCCCCCCCCCCCCCCCCCCCCCCCCCCCCCCCCCCCCCCCCCCCCCCCCCCCCCCCCCTCCCCCCCCCCCCCCCCCCCCCCCCCCCCCCCCCCCCCCCCCCCCCCCACAAAAAAAAAAAAAAAAAAAAGCAGCCCCTACCCAAGCCCGAGGATATTTTCCATGCAAAAAGTTAGTAAAAAGAAGACGTCTTGTTAGTCTTCACCGGTCTTCACCGGTTCAACTCGTCGGCACCTGCGCCGTCTCAGGATCCCCCTCCAACCGGCTACTCGCCGCCCTCCTCTCCCTTCTCTCCACCTCCCTCTGTCGCCTCCTGTGCCTCCTTCGGCGCTGCTGCTCCGGCCCGCCCTCCTTGCACGCATCGACGCAGTGCAAAGCCATGTACAGGAAATGCAGCACGGCGGCGATGAGCTGGAGCCACATGTACCAGGGCGCCCAAGTCTCCTTCTCAACCCTCAGGGGATCATTGCTCCAGGCGCGGTACTCGCGGTTGGGGCTGCCGGTGCGCCAGCCGTTGAGGATGACAAAGTAAAAGAAGGCCACGAGGCCGAGGACGAAGAGGACAAAGTCGGCGACGACAATGGCAGCGGTGCGCATACGTGGGATTTGGTGGGTCGCGTTGGCGAGGGTTACCAATTCGGCCATGGAGAAGACGATGCCTGAGACGGACTGGTTGTGTAGTTAGCACGAGTGTAGCATGGAAAAAGAGTTGGTTGGGAATAGGCAGAGTCCGTGGGAGCTTACTGTGAGGTATCCGAGTGGGAAATTGAAGCCGTATCTGGACAGGTTGATGAGGGCGGCGAGGGCGCACACCTCAAAGACGACGAGGATTAGGCGGAGGCAGAACTGGAGGATGCCGTAGAGGGTGGGGATGCGCGGGCGCGCCATGCTGGAAAGGCAGGGGTTCGCCTCGATCGCTCGGTGAGGTGCGGGCCTCTATCGTGGAATCATGCGCCGGCGGTAAGTAATGTTGGCTGCTGTGATTCTTTTCAAAATGAGCTCCGAGTGCAGTGCAGTGCGGTGGCACGGCGGGTCGGCCGGTCGGTCGGGTTGTCGTCGACGTCGAGGGTGGTATCGCAACGGAGGCGGCCTCGGCGATTGGCAGCGACGGCTGACCGGGCCAGAGTCCTGATTCCCGGGGTCCTTTGATGTCTTCGGGTGCGACGTTGGGGCGTCGGCTCTCTTGCGTACGGTGAAATGTTCGAGGGAATTCCCGTCAATCACCTATGCACGGCAATGACCCGTTCGACGGGGAAAGAAGTTGATATGGAAGGTTGGAGGTTGGGAGAAGAAAAAAAAGGACGAAGAAGAAAATAGACAATATTGGGCAGAGAGGTTGGGAAGCTGTCGGTCGGTCGTCAAAGTAGTTGTTTGGAGCTTCTCGCTTCTCGCTTTTCTCGCTTTCACGCCCAACCAACCACTGTACAGAATGCCCTGGCGGAAGGGGGGCGGGGTTGATTGAAGATTGGCAGCCGCAAGGAAAAGCAATGGAACACGAAGCGGGTGGGCGCACCGCTACAGAGCGACTACTGCGAGATTGTGGGTTTCCGCCGTGTTTCCCCTTCTGCACACGAAAGAACAATGGCTGTGGTCAAGGTATCCTGCCGGGATAAGCGGTGTAACCGATCCAGCAGGTTGTCGATGAGAAATCCCAGGATCTCAGCGGTGAGAAGAGGAAGAGGAGGAATGGAAAGAAATGGAAAAAGGGAAACAGTGAGCAGCTCTCTGCCTAGACGCTGGATTTTGCGGGGGTTTGCTCAGTTGTTCACGAATGAACAGAGAAAAAGGTAGAGTGTAGGCAAACGAGTCCGCCTTAATTCAGGATGGAGAGTCGAAGAGGAAGACCGCCAGGCAGGGCCAGACAAGGGTGGGCGCACATCCAGGATGGGCAAGGTGGTGGTGGTGGTGGTGGTGGTGGGTAGTGGGAGAGAAGTCGCAGCCCGAGGGATTTGGAGATTTGCAGAGGAGGAGGTCAGGACGGGCCCGGATCGAATCCATTGACGATATTTGGACGGACGGGGCATGGGAGGGAGAGGAATTGGTCCCAAATTCTTCTCTCCCTAAGGTAAGGTACCTATGCTAAGCTATTTCGCCTCTTGGTCTCAACCAAGTGCCACTCATGCATCCATGCGGTGACAATATCCGTCGTTCCCCATTCCCAAATGGCCTTCAATGCTCACATTCTACAATGTCACTTGTCTCCTGTGCTGCGTCCTGCGTCCTGCGCTGTCCGTCAGGTGGCTGTGCGGCTCGGCGTTGCATGAGGTAATGAGGTAGGGGGAAAGAAGACGAATGGGGTCCGGCCAATATGCATACAACAGCGTGGTCGGGGCAGGTCCTTGGAGACCTTTTGCCTTTCTCTTCGGATGGAAACTGTCATTGGATCGTGTTTCTATCCAACCCATGAGCCTTGAATCGTTAATGATGATAAAAAAATAGCAGAGAATGTAGAGATGGGGAATTTGGTAATGTTGTCGCAGTGAGCGGATTCCATCAGTAGCATCTTCTCCGTTTCTGGATCCGATCCGATAGGATAGGCATCGAAACATGTCAAGATGCCAAAAAAGAATATAATCCAACGCCTGGAACGCCATCATTCTATTGCTCTTCTCCCCACCGGCCTTTGGTTTCCCCTCCTTGGCGGAGTCGCGGGAAGATCCCGGATGTCTCTCCCGCTTTGAACCTTGGGAATCTAGGCTGGTAAATTGCTCCGCAGTCCGTACCAAGCCCAGCAGGGTCAGCAAGGTCATGTAAGTAGTGTACGGACACATTAGTCTACCTTGTGAAAGGGGCCCCCGCCAAGGCTTTGGACTCGTACGTCCGAGGCATTGACAAGCTGTAAAGTAGCAATTTGGTCGTCTGCTCAAGCTTTCAAACTTTCAAAGACCTTGGCCTGGGGGAGAGGTGCAAGAACAGCAGTGGTAGCCCAAATAGGTTCGCCAAGTCCCGTTGTAGATTTCTAGCCTCTGCTTGGCAAACGGTAAACGGCCAACGGGCCACACGAAGAGTCCACCGGACGCGGGACCCGAGAAATGCCATTGCGTCATCCCATCTCCCACCGTCGCATGGAAACGATGCCACAGGAAACGGTTCAGGCCCGTAGTCCACTCCTTTCATCTTCTCTCGTCCGTCCCTTGAGTCGACTACATCTCTTGTTGCCTCCAATGAAGCCCTGCCATTCGACGCAGCGGGAGACATCAAGGAGAACTGTAAGATTGTAAATGAAATCGAACACCTGGCATGATGGTCAAAAGCAGGGTCCTTCTATATATAAACTAGTGGGCCAGTCTAAACAATGACCGGTCCCAGCCACCCATCCAACTTTCCAGCTTCTAGTGTACATGGTAGTCAGCCCGGTTTCCCCCACATCGCCACACAACTCTTTACCTTGCGAGTCTATCCGTATGGGTGTGGTAAATTTGCGAAGAGTTTCGCCTCTCCCGTCGGGAAAGCGGGCCCGGCCTGTCACCCCGTCGAGAGATGACCGTCGGACTATGAGATCAGATGGGGGGCATTGCGGCTACACTAGAATGTCACACACTAGAATGTCACACACGAGCGAGTCCACTCTGAGGGTCAAATGGCAACACCGTAGAAACCTGGATCCGGTATATCAATCAAGCACCAAGAAAGGGAAATACCAAGACGGTTTACACGGCACTTGCGCCGCACTTGGCTGGAAGATCCCCCCCACAAACCTCGCAGCTCTGGATTCTGGGCGGTTCTCTCTCACAGCCAAATTGCTTGAATCTAGACGGCGCAATGACACGACCCTTGTTCCTCAATCCACGTTTCTGACGTCGTCTCCCCCAGTATTTCCGTATGCTTCATTTTCTAGGGTTGGACTGTGATGCTTGGTGATGTACTTTTGATGGGGCCATGGATGGTGGGATTTGACGTAGATGAGACCGTTAGATGGGGACGGGCCATGAAGGCGACAAGACATTCGGTTGCAAACAGGCTTCAATGACGGACGTCGGCACGTTCCTTGGCCACGATGACGGACTTGGTTGAGATGGCTTGATCGATTGAATGGGGTATAAAGATGTCCAGATTGAAGCGCTTCCAGGTCTTACTCTCATCATCAACCACAACCACAACCAAAACGACAAGTTCATCTGAGTTTCGACCTCATCGATGCCGCAACACAACACACTCAACTTTCAAGACTCATTGGCATCCTCTAAACATCCAATAAACACACTCATCCATCATGCACGGCGGAAGACGCGAAAACTACGGCACCTCTAGTGGCATGGGCGGCGGCTACAACGACGGCCCTAGAGAACACTATGGAGGCGGCATGAGCGGCGGCGGAACGGGAGGAGCCATGGGTGGCAGCTACGGCGGCGGCCATGAAAAGATGGGTGGTGGCTACCGAGGCGGCGGCCGAGACAGCTACGGCCCCTCCGGCGGCATGGGAGGCGGCCCTGGAGGCGGCGGTCCCGGTCCCCGCGACGACTACAACGGCGTTGGCGGCGGCGGCTACAGCGGAGGTCGTGATGAGTACGGACACTCTGGCGGACACTCCTCTCACGGACGTAAGTCAAATCTAGCCTTTCCTTGTCCAATGTCCCTCTCCCTTTTCCCCCTTCGAAAGGATACAGGGAAGCTAACGGGCATTCACCAGGCCGCGATAGCTACGACCGCCACGAAAATCACAGCAGTCACAACAGCGGCGGCAGCGGCGGCAGCGGCGGCGGTATCCTTGGCGGCATCCTCGGTGGCGGAAAGGATAGGAAGGAGGAGAAGAAGAGCGAGGGCTTCACCGACAAGCTCATTGACGGTGCCGCCTCGTACGCCAAGAAGAAGTGGTAAAAAAAGAAAGAGAGGGAGACCAAAAACCAGCAAGATGCATCTTTGACATATGGGACCGGAAAGATGAATGATGTGATGAACACTGTACCATTAGCTAGGCTACATCATGACCTATACCAATAATTCCATTATTATCAAACATTGTTTGGCAGTTCGCGTGGTCGCATGTGTTCTGTGCTGAATCCTTTGCATTGTCAAACCGCCTGTATCGTCCAGTCATTGCGGCACTCGTCAAGAGTTGTGGGCAAAAACATCATCTCATCACCAGACTCAAGATATCACATGGAAGCTCTTTCGAACGTAGCCAGGAATTGTGAACTTCGGCGATTCTCCTCGCGTCTCATTCAAATCTGCCAAAGACTGGCCTTCGGGATTTCTCTTCCCGGTCAATACTCTTGTTACATGCCGTCAAACGCCGATTCCCATCCGTTCGTCACTCCAAAAAGGGCCTGCGAAATGTTCCACTCCTCTCGGGGAATCAAGCTGGAAGTTCTCGCTGGTATCCGGAGATACTGCCAAAAAATAACCAGATAATCACCGAGATCCATTCCCAGCCCACCCCCAAACTCTCTCTCGTGCATGAGACACAGAGCAAAATTTTTGTAAACCAATTTCCCTTTAACCCCCTCCAATTCTATTTGGGGGCCGCCTACCAATGCTGATGCAGATTTCCGAAGCCAAGCGAACAAAAGAAAACCCGGGTGGGGGGGATGAAAAGCACAACTCGAAGAATCAATTGCAAAGGGCCTGAGAGCATTCATTCCTGGATATTTCAGGAGACTCCCTTTCCATCTTCGCGTGATGATCGGAAAGCAGAACGCGAATGCCTTAGGTGCTCCCTTGCCAAATGTACACATCGATGCCGGAGAGCGTCGAGGGGTGGTTCAGTATGTACCAATGCGAGACCGTCGCCAATCAACAAGTCGTGAGGTGTTGAGCTGGGCGCATAAAACACACTATAGATAGTCGTATCACTAATCGACTATCGCAGATGGGTGGTGCGCTCACTCCTCCTTCTTAGGCTTCTCCGCGTCCTCGGCGGGCTGCTTCTTCTCCTCGTCGGCCTTCGCCTTCGCCTTCGCTTTGCCCTCGTTGTACTTGGCCATCTTCTCTGACAGGTATCGAACGGAGCGGCCGACGCCGGCGGTAAAGAAGCTCTTGATGGACTGGGCCGTCGCGGGCCAGTTGACGGTCTGGCTAATGACCTTACGGATGGACTTTTGCAGCTCCTCGGGGTCGTCTTGGACGATGCGCTGCTCGAAGCCGCCGCCCTCGCGGCGCTTGAAACTCACGGCGTCCTCGTCCTTGGAGGCGTCCATCATGGCCTTGAAGTCGGCGGTCGGGACCATGAGCTTCTTCTGGTACTGGAAGTAGAGGCGTGAGCGGAAGGCCTTTGGCAAGCGGCGGACCATGTTGCCGCGCTTGATGGGATCCATGTCTTGGTACATGGCGCCGTCGTACTCGGCGTCAGCGGCGTGCTTGCTCTGCTGGTCGGCTCCCTCGGCGAAGTCGACGTTGGGCAGGGTGTTGAGCAACGGGCCGTAAAGCTTGCGGAAGGAGACCATGTTGTTATCCACAATGTTGGAGATCTTGCTCTTGTTCTCGGTAGGCAGAGACATGCGGGGGTCGCCCAGGTACGAAATGCCGGCAATGGTCGAGAAGAGCTCCTTCTCTGTAAACTTGGGGGGCAAAAGGAGGAGAGCCGTGCGGACTGCCGAGATCAAGTTAACTTGATTAGCAAGGCGGACTCGGGGGTGATCACGCAGGATCTTAACCGGCTTGTGAAGTCGGCCCGCGAGATACAGGTTATTCCATGTGGAGAGGTCGGTGCAGAGGTTGTCAATCGACGTGACGCCGTACTTGATGAGCATGCCCTTTTTGGTGACGTAGGGGTTAAAGTAGACGCCGGCACCCCAGCGATCCTGGAAGGTAGACACGAGGCCCGAACCGAAACTGGCCAAGCCAGAGTAATGGTCACGGTGCTGTCTTATGTTGAGTGAGTGCCAGTGCTGGGTGTGAGTGACGCCGAAGATGAAGTCGATCATCTTTGGGCCGCCCTTTTGAACTTCCATCAACGAAGGAGACGGCTTGGGGTGCACGGCACGGAAGTCCTCGTCCGACACAGTCCGGCTTGCCTTTGATTGGGGGAAGACGCCGGAGCCGTATGCCATGGCGTACATGATGGGAGCGCGGAATTCCCGGACAACCTCGGTCAGTACCTTTTTGAACTCGGCATTGACCTCCATGTGCTGGTTGATGCCGAACTCCTTGTAGGGAAGTTCCTCGAAATCCTCAATCTTCGCATCGGGGTGCTCCTCCCAGTTGTCCGCCGACAGAGTCGGGCCGGTTCTCTCCTTCTTCTCGCGGCCCCAGTTGAAGTTGATCGCAGAGCCACGATGAGTGTAAGGAGGAGGGCTGTCCTCCTTCTTGTTCTCGTTTCCCGTACTCTCGTCCTTCTTACCGACGTCCGCTGAAAACTGGCGGGCTGAGTGGGAGAAGCTCAGCGCAAGGCCAGGCGCGGCCGCGGCTCGAAGCGCCTGGCTGGGGTTGCCTCGGAGCTGTCCTGTGGATCAGCCACAGTTGTCCCTAGCTCATTCGCGGGTTTTTAAGAGGATTTAGAGCTTACCAGGAGGCGAGAGAGCGTCATGATTGCGATTTGCGGTCCTCGATGAGATTTCGGCGATGTTGGTATTTTGACGGGTGGTGTTGGGTTGAAGGGAGAAAGAGCTTCAAGAGTGAATAAGGTAAAGAAGCCCTGTAGGCTGCCTGTAGAGCTCAACCGATCAAAATCTACTACAAAAGAGGCGGGCACACTGTTGTTCTCAAGGCGGGAGCAACTGGTCGGAACCAGGTTCAACTCAGAATCAGTCGTCAAGCTTAGTCGTCGCAGCCAGGCTCAGCCTTGTGCTCGGTTTTCCAATCGGCCAAGCAACAGGCTATGATATCCAAATATCCTACAACAGATTCTAGTGTCTAAGTCGAGATGCAAGGCTGGATGGACGCGGATTCGCTCTCGTCAAGGGGGTTCCCGGTGGAAATCAAGCTCGGTTGTCCCGGATAATGATTCTCCAGTTAAGTGACGGCCCCTTTCGTGTGCCCCAATTGGCCGAGCTTCTCCTTCGCAAGCGGTTCGATCGGGGAATCGTACGGATGGATGTCTGGGCTCGGGAGGTCGGCTCGGCGTAGGCGTTTGGGGGTGCTTCGGGATTGCGGAGAGGGCGTAATCCGGAGGTTGAAGCTATCGTTGAAATCTGCTTCTGGCAACGGAGCTTGGGAGAGCACAGTAACGCTTAGTAGCATGGGCACGGAGCAGTATCTGGTCAGTGCGACCGCCAAGTCAGGAACAAGCTCCCATGCATGGGGGATGTGGGGATCACGTCATGGTGCAGCTAGCCCTGCTCGCCCTACTTGGTACTGTGTAAGTAGCACTTGTTTGGGGCCTTTGGTGTCTGTCTTAGACTGTTCAGGCATGAAACTGGTGAAAGGCCATGTGGTGGCCTGTTTGATGAGTGTTTTGACTGGAACAAAAAAGACTTTCCTTTTTCAGAAGATGGCGCCAGGTTCTGGCTTGCCATGTAGTGGACGAAAAAGAGGAGAGGAAGAGGCAACTGGCGAAACATCCTGACTTGAGACCCTCACTTGGGGGGCCACCAGGCCCCTTGGAACACCTAGTGCACCAAATGCAGAGCAACCCAAGAATTACAGACTTTGCTGCCTTGTGGTATCGTAACTTTTGAATGGGAGGATCTCGGAGATAGCTCTGTGTGACGAGATGAATGAATAGACCAAGATAACGAGACAATACCATTCGGAAAGGGCAGTATCATCCAGTCAAGAGAGGGAAGGGGTGATCTGAGTCCATCTCATTCTTTCGGTCTGCAATATATCTCATGTAGTCAGCAACACAATTATCTCGGCCAGCGACACCAGGCTCTTTTCTGTCAACAGCCAGTGCGACATTCTCAACTTTCTTCCCTACAAGATTTTGATTCGTTTTCTCCCATTGTATTCCATACTGCAACCCATCATGTCCGACGCCATAGATGAAGACGAAGACTCGAGGACGGCCGCAGAAATCGGCCTTCTGCTAATGACCAGCCAGAACCCTCCAGTTCGGGCAACGGCCCCGGCTGCCGCTCCCGCCCGCGCCTCACCGCGGGGAGTCGACAGGGTTGCTGAACAGCAGACGACGCCAAATCCACGGGGTGCAGGGCCCTCCTTGTCGTATCACGTGACCCGCGCTCCAGCAATTCCCCCGGCCGTCAACAACCGCCAAAACATTGGCCGATCCTCAGGGCGCGTTGAGAAGAAGAAGAAGAAGCCTTCTCGTCACAGCACCGGCGCAATGAGGTCGCATACCCCCTCGGGCGACCCTCCTGGGAGGCGCGCCTCCGTCACGAACCGTTTTCGTAACAGCACCGGCGGGAGCGCTCTTCCTAGACCTCACACTTCGTTGAGAGAATCCAGGGTACGTTTCGTTGCCTCTAGTAAACAAAGAAAAGAAAACAAACGCTAGGCCAACCCGGTCGCTGACGACGGAGGGTATGTGTGTGTTTTAGACTTTTCGCGCAACACAACCAACATACAACCTCTTCACCGGCGGCGATGCCAACAGCAGGCCAGGCTCGCGCGCAAGCCTTGCCCCCGACTCCGTCCGCGCCTCATCGCACGAGAGCTCAAAAGAAAACATGGCACCCCCCGATGCCGCCGAATATGAGTCCCAGCGCCAGGTCATTGAGGAGCTCAAGGCGGAGCTGGGCACCCTCCGGTATACCATCAGCACCTTTGAGCAGGAGAAGCAGATGGCCGACGCTCGACACAATGCCGAGCTCGAAGACCAACGCCGCCGCGCTCAGGCCGACTTCACGGCGAAACAGGCCGCCGAAAGCGAAAAGTCGCAAGCCGCGCGCCAGCTGGAGAACACGCAAAAGGAGTTGAGCGACCTCCGAGAGAATGTTGCGCAAGAAAAGACGGGTCTAGAGAAGCGTGCGCGCGACGCAGAAGAAGAAGCCCGACTGCTACAGGAACAATTGGAAGACTTGTCGAGCTCCAAAGACGAGGCCGCACGCATCAACGAAAGGAAGACAATCGACCTCGAAATGCAGCTGCAGGCCGCTCAAAAGTCGACGCAGGAGCTCGAGCAGGAGGCCGAGGCCCGCGAGGCCGCCCTCCAGCAGGTTCAGTCCCAGCTCGCGGAGAAGGACAACCAGGTGGGCGACCTCGAATCCGAGGTCCTACGCCTCAAGGCCCATACGGGCGACGCCGACACCATGGCCATCATCAAGCGCGAGCTGTCTGAGCAGGTGGCACATATCCGCAGCCTGGAAGCGACGAACCGGGAGCAGCTCTCGGAGCTGAAGCACCTACGCCAGATCCACCGGGCCGTCGAGGTCGTCGAAGAGGAGAAGCGATCCCTTCAACGCAAGCTTGAAGCCGCCCGGTCCCTCGAGACAGAGCTCGCAGAAGCAAATATCCAGCGCCAGCGTCTCGAAGACGAGCGTCTCGCTTGGACGGGCTACCTCGCCAGCACGGGCGGCGGCGGCGGCGGCGGCGGTGATCTCGAATTCGACTCCCCCGAGGCCGTCGCCCGCGCCCTCGTCGAGCAGCGCTACGAAAGCGCCTCCCAGCTCGACAAGATCGGCTCTCTGCAAGCCGAGCTGGCGGCGCAGGAATCTGCAGCCAAATCCCGCCAAGAAGAAATCGCCGCCCTCAAGTCCCAGCTCGCCGAGGCGCGGTCCGCCGCGACGACACAAAACATCGACAAGACCCGCCTCCGCACCGAGCGCCAGCGCGTGCTCGCCGTCAAGGAGGTCGAGTACCTCCGCGCCCAGCTCAAGACGTTCGACGCCGAAGACGAGGCCTTTCAGCCCGAGGCGGTCGACGAGACCCGCGCCCGCCGCATCCAGGAGCTCGAGGACCTCGTCGACAAGTACAGGACCGAGGTGCAAGCCCTGCACACGGACATGTCCGCCCTCGAAGCAGGTAAACCACCCGCCGCCACCGCAGACCCAGTACCAGCAGCCGGCACGAAGCGCCCGCGCGACGAAAACGACCAAGACTCCGCCGCCCAGGAGCAGCTCGGCCTCCTCACCCGCAAGAACCGCAAACTGCAAGACCAGCTCGCCGCCGTCCAGACCCAGCACGCCCTCACCCAAAAGGAGCTCTCCGTCGTGCAAGAACAGCTCAAGGCCCTCAAGACGCAGTCCAAGACGCGCGTCCTCTCCCTCCGCTCCAACCCGACCTCGGATTACGAAGCCATCAAGGTCGCCAAACTCAAAGCCCTCGAGCAGGAAAACGCCGACCTCCTCGCCCAGCTCAACAGCGACCCCGGAGTGGACCTCGTCCCGCGCACCCAGCTCGACGCGGCGGACCGCCTGGTCGAGGAAGCCCGCGCCGAAACAGCATCGGCCCAAAAGTCGGCAAAACGCCTCAAGGAAGTCTGGTCTAAGAAATCCCTCGAGTTCAAGGAGGCCATCTTTTCGACGCTCGGCTGGACCGTCATGTTTATGCCCAACGGCAAGATGCGCGTCGAGTCGACCTTTTATCCCTCCCAGACGGACGAGTACGAAAACTCGATTGTGTTTGACGGCGAAAAGGGCACGATGAAGGTCGGCGGCGGGCCGCGGAGTGCCTTTGCGCGCCGCATTGGCGATCAGATTGGCTTCTGGGTCCGGGAAAAGGGGTGTATTCCCGGCTTTTTGGCCGCGCTGACGCTCGAGTTTTATGAGGAGCATTCGAGGAACCAGATGCAGACTGACTAAGGTAGACCACGGCACATTAGCCGTCGTCAAAAGGCAAAAAGGGGGGTGGGGGTGGTTTGGGACGTGGAGGTTTGGGGGTAAAAGGAGACCTGGCGAGGGGGTTCTTGGCACACACATGGCGAAGCTGGCCCTCAACTTCATATTCTATTTGCTACTAGGGGTGACGTGACGAGATTGGGCGATATGGCCTGGGTGGCTGCTTGTACATGTTTTGATATCACGATGATACCTCACCTCACACCCAAAAGATCGGTATGAGGTTCAGATGCTGGATGGATAGTTATCCTTAATGACACATGGCTTTTTACTTGTTCAAATTTGCAGTTTGCACGTCACCTAACGAAACTACCAGATGGATGGGTGACCTTCACACATGTACGCCCGGCAGCTTGAAATCTCTCTTTTCTTCGTCATATCGGTACAGAAACTACCTACAACCCCCCAAAAAGGTCCTTCTCCATCATCAATAGGACGATCTACAGAGAGATCACGCTCCTCGAAAATCCAACATGGGAAGGAGGGGGTGAGGTTCCAAATCAGCAATTGAGCAGACAAACGTAATCCGGGGTGTCTTCTTTTCCTCTCCTGTCACGCGCTCGCTATGTAAAATGGTCTGTCTTCCAATGGCAAAAAAAGTCTACCACTTTCAACGGGTATGTACACCTCGCACCACATCTTCCTCATTAAAGTCATGGTTGCAGAGATTACTTGGCCTCGTACTTGCCGCTGGTAATCTTCTTCACCAAATTCACCTCCACCCACTGCTGATCAGGTGGCAGCGCCGGCGAGGTCGGGTTGTCATCAGCAAAGGGGTCGACATCCTCGTCCTTGCCCTTGCCCTTGGTTTCTTCCAGTCTGGAGATGGTGATGCCGCTGCCCAGAGTCTCCGGGGTGAGCTCCCAGCGGGCTTCGATGTGACCGGGCCTGGGCTCCGCGTTCTCGGCGCCCACGATACGGCACACAATCTTCTGGGTCTCTGTTGTGAGAGTCAAGTCTCCCAGGCGCCAGTACACCAAGTGCTTGTCCTTCAGATGCGTTCCTGTCGGCTTTGTCTGCGCGCCTGACGCCTTGGCGCCCTCGTATGTGGCGACGAATACAACGTTCTGCAGTGTAACAGGAGCTGTGAGGTTACTCGCGGGGTTCAGAGAGTATTGCAAAAGGAGTCCGAGCTTGTCGCCCTGCGGCTTCCAAGCCGGTCGGATCAGCAAAGGAACTTGCGCTGCCAAACCGGAGCCGTCGGCATCGCCAGCGTGCACCCTATACGTGAACGCGGTAGACGTCTTGTTGAGATGCGACACGTCCAAGTTGAATTCGTCAGACTTCTCGGGGTTGTTCTGGACAAAGATGCGATTTGGTCCAATGACTTCGAGGCTGGGGAAATTGTTGATCCTGATCGTCTCATGTTCTGTTGAAAGTTAGCATTCGAAGTCCCCTGGATTGAAGCTTGACTGACCTTGCGGGGCATCACCGGCTGCGTGGTAGGCGAAAGCGATTTCTCCGTGAACCTTGGCGCTTTTGACAGTTCCATCCTCGAAAGTTGCCGATACCGTTTCGATGACGGATGCATTAAGGCCAGGCTCGTGCATTTCAGGGTGCTTCAAATGTGCGAGGCTCACAAGTGAGTTGGCTGAGCGGATGGACTGCGTGTCTGACGTTGCAGCGATGCTAGCCTCGGAAGTGAGGGCAGCTACGGTTGTGAGCTTGGACGACTGACTGGGCAGTGACGGCGATGTCGGGAATGGATTCTCATTGGTGAGCTCGGGCTCGGGTAGGCTAGGAGGCGGCACGTAGATGGTGTTTCTGACGTCTCTCCTTCCTCGCACAGTTCCCAGCTTGCGTGAAGGGGCAGCCATCTGTGTCAGCGTGTTTGCGACATTCGACATGGCAGCCCGTTTCGCATCGGCGTCCTCTTCTGCGATGGGTGAGCTGGCGATATTGAGCCTGAACATCTGCTCGTTCTCCTCTGCGGCCTCACGCTGAGCTTGGGAGATTGGGTCATTGTCGGGTGGTCGAATCGTAAAGCCCTCGTCGTCCTTCGCTTGGGACTCTTTACCCTGCGACGGGGGAGGACCTGGTGGGGGAGCGACATCCAAAGCATCGCTGTCATGGTTTCCATTGACGGGACCAGCAGACGAACCCAACCGAGCACCATCCGATGAGAACTCACCAAAGCCGTTGGTGCCTTCGTGGAGCGGGCCGTCTGTTCCGGAGGACTGGGGCGGTCTGGGAGAATCGGGTGTCTCGGGAAGAGCGGAAAGGCGATTATTCATCTCGTTTAGGTTATTCGACGAAGCTCTTGGAGAAAGGCCGGGGCGAACGTGAGTGCTACTATGACTGCTGCTGAGGCCTCGGCCGAACGACGGCACACCTCCCTTGCCGGGAGAAATCTGACCGAACCCGCCGTGAATGCTCTGCCGGCGGCGACCGAGCATTGTGCCGATGCGGCTTCGCAGCTTAGACTCTGCGATCATTGTTAGTCTCTGGGTATCTCCAAAGTTTTACCCAATTCAACATACCGCTCCTTCCTTCGCCTAGACCTGAGTGTTCGCTTGCATCGTCGTCGTGTTGGCCGAGACTGCTGGGCGGCGGTGGAGGCGGTGCTAATGTCTGGCTCGTGGGTGCATTGGAGGATTGCCTAGACGTCGTGGCCCTCTTCTCCAACCTCGGCCTGCCGGAGAGGATTCTTTCCTTGAAGCTCGCGATTTCTTGTTCGGTGCTAATCTCCAGCATGGAAGCCAAGGTGTCGGCAGCCCGGCTCTGGTTCCGTTGCGCCTGGTCGCTTTCGTGGGTCTCGTATTGCGTCAGCAGGTCGCGCAGCTGGTTGACGCGTTGCTCATCGAGGGCTTGGAGGGTCTCAAAGATGAAGGGGGCCTGCGAATCCCATTGCTGGGTGGCAGACTCAAGTCTCGCCGTAGCATCCGCCATCTTCTGCGTGTTCGTCTTCGGGCCCTTCTTGGCCAGGGCTTCCGTCTTTTTCTGGGCATCCTCGAGGTCTCGGGCCATAGAAGTCAAGTTGGCGGTGATGGTCTGCATGTTCTGCATCTCCTTGCGAGACTGAAAGTTGCGCAGGGGACCTTCGACATCTTTTTCGAGTTGGCTCGCGAAAACGTGGTGGGAATGGGCAGTCGAGTCGACGGATTGCAGGACCTTGTCCCAGGGGTCGGAAAAGACGCTGTACAGTTGATCAGTACACAATCCTACTGCTGGGAGTCAACCGGAATGGTCGGGCAACCTACCCAAGCTCAGACTGGCTGTTGGGGACTTTGAAGGTGAGCAGCTTCTTCAAGCTCTGGACGTATTGATCCTCGGCTCGGCGGCGTTCCTAGATGGGCAGTATTGTTCAGCATCGGATTGTCCTGCATTGTTGCAGTGTCCTCGTGGGTGCTGCCTTACCTGCAACCAGTCTGCGATCTCGGTGTTGATCTTGTTTATCCTCTTCACACGATCGGTAAGGACGTTCACGGCCTGCATGGGCTGGAGGTGCGCCTAAACAAAGAGAAACAACAGTCAGCAAACGAGTCGCAAACAATGCGCTCCTCCCATGGCAAGGCAAGCGAAAGCACATCCGTCGAGTGCTTTGTAGAAGGTCGCCCCGACCTCGGCCTCTGACCGGCAGTTGGGCCTCCCGCTGGGGAAATAATGACGATTGACGGGAATGGGGGCAGGGAAAGCATTACCAGCAAGGCAGGGTACTCGGCCCTGGCGAGATCATCCATTGTGTCTAATTAGTGGCGCGCAAAGTCATGTACGATGAATGCAAGCAACAAGAGAAAAGGCGCGCATAGCGATGCTGTCTATGATGCGGAAGAAGGTGTGGGCGAGGCGAGGAGCATTCGCATCATGGGAAAGTCGTGAGGGTGAGGAAGGTGGGTTGTCTGCGAGACGGCGGCGGGAATTGTGTGGATGGCTGGATGGATGGAGCAATAAGGCAGGCAAGGAAGGAATGGAATGGCGCAGGTTCGCTCCTGCTGCTGTTACCGAACAAGAAGGTCAGGCAGTCACCAGGTGCAGGTGCAGTCGCCAGTGATGTGTGAGGGTGGGCCCTGGAATGGAAAGCCGGGAAGAACTCCTGGTGTCACAAGTCACTCTACATACTCGGCACGGCGTCGAATGACTTGCACCACCTTGGTCTTGCGCTGAGGATGAAGTGTGGAGAGGACCGGACCGGGGGGTATGGGCTGGGCTGGGCTACCTTATGGTGGACTTGGGATTTTTTGGGACGTCCACGGGTCGAACTTGGACGACGCAATCACTAAGTACGAATAAGATACTTGAGAATACCTCACCTTGGCAGCCAGCGGCCTTGAAGCCGACTCTTGCGGCTTCTTGCGGCTTGCCTCGATCAACATCGAGACGCGTCAACTGCGTTCTTTCTTGCCTCGATTGCTTTAGGTTGTTCAATGCTGCTGCGTGGCCTCCTTGGACTTCCACTAGGTGTCATCCAACCTCATCCTTGATATGTCTCACGTACCTTTTTTTCTTCTCGAATGCGTCGCCAATTGGCCCGAGTGCAGCCTCCAAGTGGCCAAAGGTTCAGCGGATGTTCCACTGGCGCTTGATATGAATTAACAGATTTGGATGGGAGAATTGGCCCGGGAGCAGCGGACAAGGATGCACCATCCATCAAAATTCAACACTCATCCAGTCGACTGAGCCCATTTCCATCCACACTGGCCAACCGCGAATATTTTCTACATTTTGCCTTTGCCTTTTCTTTCGTCCGGTTATCCTGGTAACTATGCTCAGGCAGACAGGGCCGGACAAAGGCAAAAGGCAACCCATGTACACAACTCCCATCCGTATTAAGATTGGTAACAGACATCTCAACTCCAGTTCCACACTGACCAACCGCCCTCATACTGTGCCCTGGGTCTGGCAGGGCTCCTGTAATTGAAACGGGCTAGCTCGGAGGGGAATTCTGCGAATACGTCACGCACCTTACAGACCAAGATAGCATACACTCTCAGCACGAGTTGACAACTAAGGAAGAACCCAATTCAGCCTTCCAGCTTCGCCATGTCCAACGCCTCTTCTAGACCTGGCCGAGTATCCGTACAGCAGGCAAGACATACATGATCATGGGTAGGACTAGAATAGGCAAGGAACCAGGTACCGCTCGTCCCTCCAGCGCTGGAAACCACGGCGGCGGCGGGCTGCATAACGGTATAACCAAGACCGCATTCCGTCAATCTAAGGCAGCTTCCCTGCCTTCGCCTTGCCTTAGTCACGTTGATCCTGTTTAGTATCCCGCAGCCTCTTGGCAAGGTTCAGAGGAACGGTGCCTGTATGAGATGACGGGAAGTGCCCGGGCGTGTCGCGGCCCCCGTGAGTTCTCTGGTCGAAATTCAATTCGAGCACATGGAAACCAAGCCGGCGCAAGAGAGGGAAGCAATGGCTGATCCGCACCATCCTTGCATGACGCCAGCCGCGCATGAAGTGTTATTCTGGCCCTTATTTCAATCGCAAGGATCCTGAAGCCAGAACACCACCCAAGGTCTGCGCGAAGTGAGACCCGAGAATGGTGCGCATTAGCGCGGTTGAAGGCCATGACAATGCTTACGCCTATTAAACCAAGGGCGGAAGCTAAGATTGGGTCGAAGAAATAACTAAAGACAGATATTGACGCCATGGAACGTCTTCGTCAGGTACCCGGAATTGCGATCCTCAACCCGGTATTACATAAGCCTACTTATACCTCTCCTTTTCCTTTCCCCCGAAAAGGAGACGACAAATTCCGCACTGTGTGCAGGTGGTCTCTCAGCGAGTTCCACACCGGCGGGTCCGGTCTGGACAGTTCACCCATGGCTTTTCTCACACGGTAGGTCTCCTGCGCGGTCTCCGTGGCCACATCAGGGATCATCAACAGTATGTGCAACGACGCCTCATGCCTTCCTGCTCGGTGCTCACTAAGGAAAGTCAATTGATATCGGCGCCAGTATACGACCGCCGAAGTCTCCTCACCCTTGCTCGTCCATCTCACGCCGATTTCCGTCCTCGACAGGCCCCCTGTTCTCATGGCAGACGACGACTGGAGGACGCAATTATCCGCGTCAGATCGGTATGAAAACATTCAAAAGATGTAAGTCACAAACCTCCAACATGCATTTGAGCCATACTTATACCATTCCTCTGCAGAAAGTCTGTCTTGGAAGCAACTAGTCCGGATGCCAAAGCCACATCACAGTCCGACGCATTTTCTGTCGAGAATCAGGCTTATAAAGACTCGTCGTCGAGAGTGAGTCTTCCGCCCGTCTCGCGCCTTTGGCCAGGTCTAACGCTCATATGTCATTGCCAGGCTCAATACGACGAAATCTGCCAGCTCGTTGGCTCAGCCAATCTGTCTCGCCCTGAAGCCCCGGCACCTGCTGCTGACCAACCCGATGATACAGGCGTCACTATCGGTTGTTACCAAAACTGCCTCCCTTTTGCGAGTGGCCTAACATCAGAGGTCTACCGATGCAAAGACCAAGCTCTCAAAGTCATTGTGGAAACACATAACATTGAGCCTCATAATCCGCATCGCGAGGCCAAGATTCTAGCAACCTTGAAGCAACCATGCATTCCACTTTTGGAAACATTCAGGGACCAGGAACAAAGATTTGTTCTAGTGTTTCCTTACAAACCCATGACACTTGCCCATGTTATTGACAAAGGAACCCTCCCACTTCCCCAGGTCAGACGTCTCTTCAAGGACATCTTCACTGCTCTCGTAGATATTCACAGCCAGGGCATCATACACCGTGACCTCAAGCCCGAGGCCATCCTTCTCGACGGCCCGGACGGGCCAGCATACCTTTCAGACTTTGGAACAGCCTGGCACCCAACCATGTCGATTGTCTCTGAGCCAGCCAAATCCAAGATCCTTGACATCGGAACCGGCCCGTACCGCGCGCCCGAAGCGCTCTTTGGCGATAAAGCCTATGGTCCTTCGGTCGACATGTGGGCCGTCGGGGCCATGTTGGCAGAGTGCTGTCGCAATCCCCCAAAACCCTTGTTCGAATCAAGGCCAGCACATGAGGATGGTAACCAGCTGGGCTTGATTTTGAGCATTTTCAAAACCTTGGGCACGCCGACGCGGGAGACCTGGCCGGAAGCTTCAAGCTTCAAAACACCGCCCTTTGAGATGTACCGCAAGTTTGATGGCCAGCCCTGGACAGAGATTCTTCCCGAAGTTGATCCCCAAGTTCGAGATTTGATATCGGGCCTAGTTCGCTTTGACTCCAAGAGGGCTACAGCCGAGCAGGTGAGTTCAAAAGATTTCTTTGACTGTAATAAGCAGTGACTTTTCTGACTATACAACAGACTTTGCAACACAAGTTCATGGTAGAGGCTGAAGAAGCCTAAGCCCAGGAGACCTCCCAGTCTTCGAGGACAACGTGATAAAGAGGTGGTACATTCGAAGAGAGTTCGGCTTCAGACTTGGGGCGGTTGAAGGAAAAGGAGCCATATTGTGTTGCAGGTATCGAAAGCCGTTGCTTTGTTTCCGTGGCCTCCATTCAGTTCCGCGAGCTTGAAACCGTCCCGAGCGCTGCGACGGAGAGCCAATGTTGAAGAACAAAGGCCTCGATATGTCGTGCCAGGTATTAATGTCTGCGGTCCTGCGCACCCTCGTCATCGAACCCGGGCAAATTCGACGTTTGCCATCTCGCAAATTTAAGTTGGTTCAGCCACAACTAGCCTCATCTATGCGGAAGAAGTCTGAAGCAGTTTGACAAAAAATGGTCGCCGGGGAAAAAAGATCGAAGGATCCCAGGCAAAGAGGCCCCAAAAAAGTTGTCAATCGTACCGGCCCAAACATCTCCGCTCAGAATGCACCCGACACGACAGTGATCAATGACAATTCCACGGGGCCAAGACGACAACCGGGTGACCCAAACAGATATGGCCTTCCAGCCATCAGCGACGCGACTCAAAGGACAGCAGGAGGCAAAACCAACCACCATTGCCCGCGCAAGAAGGGCCACAAGTTCGATTGGCAATGTTTTAAAGATGGTTGCATAGTAAAATGTGCGGATTGCAACGCTAATGTCTCTGAAAGAGGGGCATCGCGTTGCTGGACTTGCAGAGATGCCGTGGTCAGTAAAGGGCGCAAAGAGAAACAACAGAATCAGGCAGGTGGTCTCGCCAACAAGGTCTTGCTGGTCCAGCCTGCTCGCATCAAAAAGCGCACCACGCAGCTCCGTGGGCGGCCCCTCAAGCGTCAATCTCAGCTTGTGTGGGCCGATAGGCTCCGGAGAGCGATCCCCCCGGTGACCATCGTCAAGGACGCCCCAGAAGTCATCGATCCCGACGCGGATACGGACGAGGTCTCCGTCTCCGACGATGCCGAAGCCGCCATGGATGAGCAGGAGGACGCTTTCGGAACAATCGAGCCAGAGTCCGTGGGCGTTTTGTCTCGTGAAGAGTGGCGCCTTTGGCGCATCAGGGAGGCTGAGGAGATTCTTCAGATCGTTCGTGCCGGTCTTGACAGGTTGATTTGATTGCGGTAGGATTACCCAGGGGTTTCATACGGTATATGGTTCACATTTATTCATAGTCTTGCGTTTGTGAGCGTCTTATTTTGTCATACATCTACTGCTGGCCCTCCGGCTCTTCGCATGCTCTGTTCCGTATCGTGTCTAAGTCTGATTTACAAGAAAATATATTCTTCTGGCTCTTCCTCATCTCAAATTTTCTTTTTCGACGTTATTTAATACGACCTCATATCATGCGTGAGGCGCTAATATTCATCGTCCCTCTGAGCCCTCCGCGCCCTGGAATCATTTCCCAGGTAATCGATGGGGTTACGGCACAGCGGGCACGTATTTTGATTGCTGCTCTGGAACCATTTGTATAGACATGTGCGGTGGAAGAGGTTCTTGCACGTCGTGCACCGCTTGTCGGGCATTCTCTTGTCGGTGGAGATGATGGAATAGCAGATGGCGCACTCGGTCTGGCCCTTGAGGGCGCCGACAATGTTGCGCCGGAAGGCTGAGAGGCCGTCGATGATGCTTCCGTTCTGTTTTGTCTCTGGTAAGTATTCGATTCACAAACGGCAATTGGGACGGAGAAAGGGGGAGAGCCTTACCGAGAACGTAATGACGCCCTGCGTCGTGAGCAGCCAACTCTGCCACTTGCGCTCGTTAACCGCGACACGGTTAATGCCGACGACGCTGACGCCTTCGATGGGATAACTCGCGGGCACCTTGACGGAAATGGACGCCAGGCTCTCGTCGATCTCGACACCGGCCGTAATCTCCTTGGTGGCCTTGCTGACCTTGACGACGAGCTCCTTTTCGTCTTCGTCGGCGGGTGGCTCCTGGGCCGCGGCCCACGCGGCGACCTCGTCGAGGGCGTCCGAGACGATGATGGGGGAGAAGTACCGCGTCATCCAGGCCTCGACCGCGATGCGCGTCTGCTTGGAGCGGCAGTCGAGGTACCATGTCTTGAAGAGGCCCGGGGTGTACTTGAGGGTAAGGTAGTAGAGGTGCACGAGCAGCCAGTGCAGGTTCCGCTCGTCCGACTCGGCGTCGGCGAGGGAGACGCTGTACGAGGTGATGTGCTGCGTCGTCAGACCCTCCCTCTCGAGGTTCAGCGGGTGCGCGGCTGAGTGGCCCAGCACGTCAAAGGTGAAGTCCATGAGCGGGGCTATGTAGTTCTCCGTCTTGAGGTGCTCCGTGTAGTCCTGGCGGACCTTGAGCGAGGCAGTGCTGAAGGCGTCGAAGATGAGGTGCCATGATAGCAGGTACGAGCGGACCGCGAGGGGGAACTGCGCGAGGACCTCGTCCGGGTAGCGTTCCAGAGTGGGCGCATCCAGGAGGAGGGAAAGGAGCTCGTCGGGGAGGCGGGCGTCGGTCTTGTCGAGGAGGACGTTGACCGAGAGCTCTTCCTGGCGCGCAGGGAGCGCGAAGTGGAGGAGGTTGAAGGCCGCGGTCTGGATCGAGCGGGAGTCCGCGGCGATGAGGCCGTAGAGGTCCGAGAGGTCGGTAATATGCTTCAGGGGGATCTTATTGACTTGTCTGCAGATGAGGGCGTCCACGATCTCCAGGGGTTGTGTGCTCTTCTCGCGGTCGAGCTTGAGGAGTTCGATGAGGGAGAGTGATTTCGTTTCGGCGAACTCCTTGAGGGCATCCACGAGATCATCGTTCGGCTCCGATAGCGTCTCTAAAGTGGTCAAGAGCTTCAATGACGCATGGATGTACGACAGCGAGTCGTCGAGACGGTCGTCGGATGCCCTTGCCCACAGCGCGGTGGAGAACTCGATCGTCTTTTCCCAGTACGAGCCGTATACATCCTTCATGCTTGGGAGCAGCCTCTGTAATGATCTGCAGATCTCGGTCGACAGTGCGGGGGTGAGGCTAGGAATATCGTCCATCCAAGACGTGATTTGGCGAACGGCAAAGACGATGCGGTTGTTCGCCACGGGAACCTCGCCGACCTCGTAGACTTGCAGACATGCGTTGAGGAGGACGAGGACTAACAGCGTCTTCTCTACCCTTTCAGGTTCCACACTAGCGCCCGCAATGTCGCTAACAAGACGGTTGCACAGGTTGTTGACGGCTTTTGACGACTCCAGACTCTCACCGAAGCCGGCAAACACGGCCGTCGCTGCCAAAATCGTCGGTGGCGTGGCCTTGAATGTCGCTAGCTGGTTGATCTTCTCGTCTCCTGCAACAGGGAACCCGTGCTTCTCGGCAAGGGTCTGGAAGACATCGCTCAGCGCTCTAGCGCTGTAGACTCCCAGTGGCGTGAGCTCCTTCGTCTCCTGCGTCATGATGGCGATGAGACCGTTGACCAGCTTCGTCGAGCCAGCTTCCGAGCCGTCTCTCCATCCCTGGGCTTCTTCCGCAATGGCGTTGATAGTGAGACGGGTGGAAGAGACAAATGATTCAGCCGAGGTAAGAGCATCTCCCATCTCAAGGTTCAGGAACAGCTTGTTCTCGTCCATCAATGTGATCTGGTCCGATACCATCTGAACTGAGACGCAAAGAAGGTAGAGCAGCTCGACCTGGAAGCTTTCAGGCAAGTTAGAGACCGAAATGTCCGACGACAAGAGCTTGGAGGTGTAGGACGCCATTCTGGCTGGAACAGAAAGGCCGTCTCGGTCTCTGCGCACGCGAAGACGCTGCTCTGGCTCGGTAGGTTGGACCAAGAAGTGAGCGCCCGCTAAGCCGCTAGTGATTGACAATGATGGGTTGAGCTTGGCCTGGAAGAACTTGGAGAGCTGTTGCATCCAGACGTTCGTGCTTGGGAACAAGTCCTCAATGGCGATAGACCCAGCATGGGAAGCCTGCAGCGCTTGTTGAACCAGTGTTTCGATGCCAAGTGACTGTGGCCCTGCGTCTTCGAGATTTCTCTGGATGATGGCGGCAACTGGCGATGTGCCATCGGCGGGCTGTTCCAGTAGCGCTCTCAACGAGGTCGCACGAGAAGAGATTGCTCTGTCGTCAAGTTCGGCAAGTCCCAGCAGTTCAGTCACAACCGCCATGTGAGTTGACTCATCCTGAGACAACAGTCCAGGCTTGTTATTTGCAATAATTTCCAAGGAGCGAAGGGCCTGAACAGAGTGGTGCTTGTCTTGTGACAAGGCCGATACACTGTTATTTACTAATTGCTTGGCCGTTGATTCGGCGACAGCGTTGTTGCCAAAGGCTGTCTCGAACAGGCTCCAGGAGTCCAGCTCTCCGCGGGCTGTGCTGGAGCACTTAGACTCGAGGAACTTCTGGAGCTGCACGTGTGACTGGGAGAGCTTTGATGCTTGTTGGTTGGCAATCAGACGTTCGATGCCTCTAACGGCCTGGTTGTCATCGGACAAGCTCAACAAAGCTTCAATCCAGGTCTTCCAGATACCCGCGTAGTTTTCTTCCTGCCTCTCGAGAGTACCCAAGGCATTCACGCAGTTCAATAGATCAGAAGCAGACCGCGAAGTCATCACGACGTCCATGCGGTCTCGGCCTTGCGTTGATAGGAATTGTTCCAGAGCTCGAGCAGCCTCTGCATCTCCCCATACACGCGGAGCGTTCTTGCTCACGCTGTAGAGCACTGCTGCTGCTCCGTATGGCTTGAGATTTCTGTTTGCGAGAAGGTCCAAGCTGCATTTGATAATGGTCTTTGAAGGCTCATTGAAGAGACTGTCTGTGGGAATCGTCTTCTGAACTTGGCCGACCAGGGAGAACCAACGGGTGCCTTCAGAAGCAATAGCCTCCTGAGACTTTTCGTAGTCCTTTGAAATTTCAGGGAGCGAGTTGGATATTCTGCTGCAGAACGCTGACGAAAGCAGCTCCAACTTGTCAGTTGTTGCCTGAACTAAGGCCTCGGATGACGGGTCGACCGAGACCTCGTAGACTTCACCGAGAACGGGAAGCCGTCCAGTTCTGCCAATCTCCCATGACGTATTCTCAGGTGTCGGTAGAAGGAAATGCTCGATCAAAGGGAAAAGATGTTCTTGAACAAGCTTCGCCCTTTGACCGTCTGAAGGGAAATTCTGTAGCAGGTGCTTGGTAGTTCTAGCATAGCAGGTCCACGCTGTGGTGGCATTCATCCGCGGCTCTTCTCTGCTTGTGATTCCCGTCCTCATTGACTTGAGCGCGTCAGCTGAAGCATCGACCGTGAAGAGCTCAGTTGGAATGGCCTTGATCAGGTGCTCGAGGTGCTCCCAGTACTTGGCGGAGCTGCTCTGGGAACCCTTTTCCAAAAACCCATTCAACCTAGTTATCGGGTTCTTCTTCTCGCTCGAACTCGTCCAAATCTCGGGGAACTTGGCCGTCAACTTTGTGAGGACCCTGACATACTCGACAGACGATCCTGCTTGGCTGCTCTTGAGTCCCTCGGCGATGAAGGCCTTTTTCAAGCGGGAAATCTGGGAGGACACCGAGTCAAGTCTCTTGTCGATAGACACCCATAACAGCTGGCACGCCGTCTTCTTGACCGAACTGTCGCCCGTAACCACGCTTTTCCAGACCTTCTCTTCTGCGAAGAAGGTATCGTATGCCTCCTCTTCCTTTTGAAGGTCGGTCGAATCGAGCTTTTGCAAGAGGCCAAGTACAAGGGAGAGGCTCGCCCCTACAACGCGAAGGTATTTAGCCTCAGCATCGTCGGCTGTCGTGGAACGTTCGTCGCTGAGTGTGTCCTTCGTCTCCTGGATAGCGTCAGTTGCATATGTTAAGATCTGCGACTGGCACTTGTTCCAGAACAGCGCGATTTTCTCTGGGCTGCTAAGGAACGAGGAGAGACCATCGTTGGCCGCCCTCGACACAACTCTGTCCTTGTCGTATAAGCCCGCGAGCCAGGCACCGACGATCTTGGGGATGCGCTTCTCCATGCGCTTCCGTGCTGACTTCATTAACTCAAATTGCAGGGTGTGAGAGAGTTCGCGGACGCGGCGAGAGTTGTCTATCGAAGTACGAGGATATATTTGTACCTATTATACACGTTACCATGAGTTTATCAAAACTTGTCATCTCCTAGGAATAACGCACCCATGCTTCCAAGATAGATTCTTCTGCGCCTCCGTCCACTTCGAATGGGTGAGCCTGTACGTAGGCGAGGAGGTCCTCTAGCCCCTTTGCTTTTGTTGTGGCATCTTTTTTGAGGACGTTCTTGAATGAAACAACGACATTCGCATCCGAGATTGGGGTCAAGTCGGGAGGTTCGGAGAGGTAAGATAGGCCACTACCGCCGGCAGAGGAGAAGCCGCCGAAGCCACCGGGGGCAGAGCTGCCAAAACCCCTTGCGCCGGACTGTCGGCTGCCTTTTCCAAAGGCACGCGACATATTCGATTATCAGTGCAGGTTGTGTTGTGAGTGTTGTTGTCGAGATTTCGGTGCAGCTCAGTGCAGAAGTTCGCGCGGCGCAAGGAAGCAGCTGGAGACCTCGAAAATGACGATGGCGGGGTAATTACAGTGGACAAATGCGAAATACGGCACCACCTTATTTTCCCTGTACGAAATATCGGACAGGTAGCGAAAGGAATTGGCAGCGGAGATGGCGTGGAACGTCTATAAGCAAAATGAAGTCTTCCCCAGACTCAGTCGCCCCCTATCTTAGTGAATGCAAAGGAAGACCAAAGGAATGTCGAGTCCAAAGGGAAAAAGTTCGGGTCGCAATCGCAGCCTTGACGAGAAAGGTCGGGTCTTACTGCGCTGCAAGTAGCAGCACTGGAAGTTGACTCAGGCCGAGTGCATAATTTGGCCCCCGGTCAGTGTGCAACAGCGGCGAATGAAAACGGCCAACATGCCCCGCCAAAGCTCCCTACCCGATGATGCTGTCATACCTCAAGCTACCTTAGGTAAGCGGAAGCCAAGTCCAGACATCGAGTCTTAGGTCAGCATCTCACACGTGATTTTGTCAAGTTCTGGCTTCACCCGTGCACTCTGCCCAGGCGGGTGTCAGTGCTCTCCCTACCCCTACCTTATCCATAGACGTCGATTGGGCCGCATTTATCACAACCCCAACCTACTCCACTCTCCAGCCACTGGCAGAACTCAGCATCCTGCGTCACTGGCCAGTTGCACTAATTGGGTGTCGTTCGGCGGTTTCAAGCGTTCCTCGGCCAAGAGTGAAGAGGGCCATTGTCCCAAAGGCTACCTTACCCCGCAAACTGCCCTGCTAAAGGCTCTCCAGTGGTCCTCAGCCCACGGTGCCCACTCGGCCTACCTAAGATAGTGCGGGAACTGCGCTAGGGAGCGGTAACTATGGGTCCGCTTCCCCATTGCGACCTACCACGTCCCAACCCGGCCAGTCGCAGCTGATTGCCGCTTGCTGCTCCCTCTGGCCCATCTTGTCCCATCGGTCCAGTCTATCTTCTGAACTCTCGCTACTTCTTTCCTGTCAACCCTCCTGCTTCCTCTTTACATTGCGGAGGTGGCGGACTGATCTCAATTTTACCTCTTCAACTCTGCGCTTCAAGCAACATCGTATGCCACAGCCTACATGCGGGTGGTGATACGAGCAATCCCCCCCCTCACTTCTCCCTCGTGTAAGTCGTTCCGGTTTATTCACGTGCGCTTGAGTCCAAGTGCCCGCTGCCGCATTTGGCCGGCCGCTTTCTGCCTTCGAGATAGCAAACTGCGTCCGCAGTTTCAGACTTCTCTCATTGGGAAATTTATTTCGCTGACTTCTGGATGCGACCAGTCTCGGGAGCATGGTAAAGGCAAAAACCTCAAATCCATCATCATGCTCGCCACCGTTTCTCGCTCCTCGCCGCGTGCGGGCGGCCTCTACGCCGGCAAAGCCTCCACAATGGGAGCATTGGTGTGCTCGAACCAGATACCAATGAGGGCGAGCCATTATGGTCAGACTCGCGGCTTCCGCTTCGGTGCGTGGTCGTCCTACTTGGATCCCGACGTCCAGCGTCAGCTACGTCTTCGCCAGCGCCAGATCAAATACAAGTACATGGAGTCGATCAATCGCAAGCTGTCCTGGGACCCAAACTCGCGTGCTCAAAATTCGAGAATCGTGATGAAGAAGATATTGGCGCAATGCTGGATCAGACAAGGCCATACCCGCTCTGGTGGCAGATACGTGAGAGAGGAGGACGTGAAGAAGGGTGGATCGGGCGAAACCCCAGGCACCCGGCCGGGCCAGAACATTGAGGACGTCGAGCGCAGTGCCATCAATGCTCTGTTCGCCGGCAGGCGCGCCAATCCTTTGGAATATGACTTGTGGCAGTCCCCTCTGCAAAACATTCGCAATTATCTCGGTGGCCAGACCAGGAGCAAGTACACGGCTGCTGCCGGCCGCGACGTCCTGTCTGACATCGACCCCATCACGAACCGAAGAATGCACTCTTCGCACGCGCCCCAGTCGGTTTTTGACAACTCTTCGGATAAGAAAACCCAAGAGCCTTTCTTTCCTGACGGGGTCCCCCCAGCCGACGAACTAAAGGAGTATGGCAATGTCACCATCGATACTGCCCCGTGGGCCGAAGCTGGGTCCAGTAGTGGAGTTGTGGAGACCCCGCAATATGCGGATCTCGACAAGTACAAACCGGTCATGGATGAGAATCTTGATGCTAAGCAACTTTCCGAGGAGCCGAAGTACGATGACTTGGGCACGTACACACCTGTGGGCCTCAATGACTTTCTGGAAGAGGTACATGCGACACCCAAGTATGAGGATCTCGGCAAATATGCCAACCCTTCACTGAGCGATCGCCCGCCCGAGGAGCTCTCCCAACCGGCATATGAAGACCTTGACAAGTACCGTCCGGTGATGCACAACGAAAACGCCGAAGTTCCGGAGTCACAGAAAAGATACTCGGATTTGCACAAGTATGGCCCTATCATGCACAATGAAAAAGATGTGGTGGAGGAGAAGCAGCCCTACGACGACCTACACAAGTACGGCCCCATGATGCACAACGAGAAGGACGTCTTGGAGGAGACACAGTCCTATGACGACCTCCACAGGTACGGGCCAAGCAGTTTTAATGAACCTGAGGGATTACACCCCCGTTCCACAGAGGAGAAATCAAAAGACTACGACGACCTTCACAAATATGGCCCGCAATCGTTCAATGAGCCTTCAGGCCTGCGTCCCGTGCACCCCGAGGAAGCCTCCAAAGCTTACACCGATCTGGACCAATATGGCCCCATGTCTTTCAACGAGCCTCACGGGCAGGCTCCCATCCACCCAGAAGTGGCATCCAAGGCCTACACAGACCTCGACGCATACAACCCCGTCGGCTGGAATGAACCACACGGTAAGCCGCCAGTGCACCCTGAAGAAGCTTCCAAGCAGTACAAGGATCTGGGAACATACTCCAAGGAGTTTAATCGCGGGGATGCACCGCCACCAGAGGGCGTAATTGCAGCGGTTGAGCCTGAAGATGCGGCCAAGCATCAGCCTGTGCAATATAACGAGCCCGAAAGCCAACGGCCCAAAAACGACTGGGATCAAACAACTTTTGACGAGGCCAAAAAGTACGATTCTTACCGATACAACGAGCCCGATGGCCAACCTGCCGAGGTTATCGACCCCGTATCCAAGGGGTTGGGTGATTTTGATGCGGAGATCGCTGCGAAGGCAAACAGACGCAAGTCGTTTGCTCATACGCAGGTATCAGAAAAGGAGAGGGCCGATGACCTGGACTTGCTCCGTGCTAGCGATGTTCGGGCCAAGATTCCGACGTCGTCAGGCCAGTCCCGGAGAGAGTATAGCACGACGAACAGACAGATTCTCGAGGCCGATCTTCCCAGGTATGCTGTAAATTGGGATATCTCGAGCAAAGCCGCTCGTATTGCAGTGCGACAGTCGAGGAACAAGGCTTGGGACCATATCCCTTCCAAGAAGGAGAACCTCACTGGCAACTATGTCAGGGATTTTCCCGAGGACTTTTCACGGAATTGGAATGACATTGTGGCGGCTGCTGCGGACAGTCAAAAGGTTGATGAGAGCAAAAACCAAGACGAGGTTGAGGCTGCGTCATTTGACGAGAGTTTCCCGAGACTGGAGCAGAAGTTGGAGCCAGCTCTCGAACGATCATCTTCCTTCAGGACCACCCGCAAAACTGGAAAGAGAGGTCAATTTGACCCTTACTCGAAAGAACCGCAAGGCCTCGAGGTGAGCTACTCTGAGGAGTGCGGTGGTAAGCAGACCTGGCCTTCCTATGTACGAACGTACGGAACCGTGACGGACGCTTTGGACAATGCCTCTTCATCCGCACACGAGGCCGTTGCCGCCGCCAAGAGTGAAGGCGTGGTGGCTTCCACCACAACCGAGACCCCCCGGGAACCCACCATTTATAAGATCCTTGCATACGACCCGACGATGCAGGCTATCAACACGGCCGAGACGGCGTCGGTTGTCCCCGACAGCGCAACACCGTTGACACCTGCGGAGGTGATTCTTCGGCTGTCGAACCCGACCAAGTTCTTTCCCTACTTTGGCACTCTTCAAAAGGAGGGATACGAAATTGTTTCCGGAAGCGGAGACGTCCTGGTATTTCGCAAGGTCCGCGAGGCAGAGACGGCATCCAAGGAGCAGGCTGCCACCCCTTTCTCCCCTGCGATCGAGAAGCCGACGACATACAAGGCGCCAAAGGTGAACCCCATCGACATGATGGGGAGCGACCCCGTAGTACCAAGCGCTTACTCTTCCAGTCCTACAGGCTACCTCAACTATGACTACCCGGGAGCGGAAACCACAGAGAAGCCCCCACCGCCCTTCAGTCCGCTGAGGCGTCACACGATGTCATGTGACAGTCGGGACTTTGAGCCTCCGAAGCGGCCGAAGAGGAGCAAGGTCAAGAGGATTGTTCTCGGCGCGGCGTGGGTAGGTGGGATTTCTTACGCGATTGGTGTCGTTGGAGAGTACTTCAAGACAGGAGGCAAAGACGGCCAGGGTCCCAGGGGCTTGTAGGCAGATGCCATGGGGTTTTTTTGGCGGATTGATGTGGGATTTCGTTAGGAGGGGTATATACCTTTCCCGGTTGTAGGATTCGGCTGCCGTACGAGCCAGGCAAACTCTCTCAATTGTATCAATAGCATTCTCAATGATGCAATGATCACTTCTCACTCTTGTCACAGACCTCAATCGCCTTTGTGCTCTCGAGAGACCTTCCAATCAGAGCAGACGATATACGGCATGAAGATGATGCAAAAGCTGAACATCTCCCAGATGCAAGTTGAGGGTTCTCGACGGTTAGGATCATTGCTCGTGAAGGCTTTCCTAGCCACATGCATGCCCACCATTTATTCAGCAGCAGCAGCACTGTGGCTACCTAGACCTGGGTACTTATATTGTAAGACACCCTACGGAAGCAGTATGTACAATTTTCAAGCACGTCGAAAACATATTGATGTGGTGGGGTTGAACGCAAAGCAGGAATTTGATAATAAATACGGGTTGGAAAGGTGTTACGATGCAATTTTAGAACGCCACGCTTTCCTAAGGTAGCCTCCCAACGGCATTTCATCCACGTCCATCATCCCCCCTCTTATTGTTCAGGTATAGGAATCTTACCAAAAGATGCCTGTTGCGAGTAGGTATTCAATCTTCCCATCAGTTCCAATATCTGTGGTCCATCTCCATAGAAGACTGCAACAACAACCCCAATCTCAATGCAGTAATGCTCTCTCAATGCTCCGCCCCTCAAAACAGTCCCCAAACAAGGTGGTCCAAAAAGTTTACACGAGCAATCGACGTCACACACTCACACACACACAGGCGCGCGCGCTCCCCCTTCCCCCGTTTATCCACGCTCGGTGAAGCCGGGACCAGTCTTGACGTCCTCAATGTGGCTCATCTGCAGCGCGCGCTTCTGATCCTCCTGGTTCCAGCTCTGGCGGCGCTCAAAGGAGGGTTTCCAGCTGTTTGTTGTGGACTCGATGATTGCCGGCGGGGAGGAGGTTTGGTGGTGGTGGTGGTGCGTGGTCGTTGGGGAGGTGGTGTAGTTGGAGATGTCGGGGGTCGCGGCGGCGGTTTGGCTGGTCTTTTGTTCGGATGCCATTCTCGTTTCTTGAGGTTGTATTTACTGGGAGGTCTTTGGAGGGGTATGGTTGTTTGTTGTAGTAGGGTATGGTTTTGAAATGTAGTTGAAGTTTTTCTCTCTTGTTTGCGGTAGACTTTGGGGATCAATGATAATGTTTGAATGGTTGTAGTCCTTTTTGGTCTGCAATGGACAGGTCAGGTTGGTCGAGGGGAGTGTAGGATTGTTTATACTCGGATATGTTGGAATGCTGAGGTTTGATTACACGACAACAGGTGATGCGGAGCAACGGAACCAGGCGAGCATCACGAGAGAGTGGGGGGAGGCGAGGGAAAGCAGATCTTTTAAGCTTCCTACCTTACCTTACACCACGTTATTCTTCCTGTTAGCCTCACTCGTCTCTCTTTCATTCTTCTCCAGGGTCCAATGCGCCTTCCGAATTTGCCTTGCACACGCACACACACACACACATACCACCACCGCACCACATCTTTCCGGATGTGTTTAACCCTCCTGCCCTCCTTGCCTCCCCTCCTCACGCCTCCTCCTACCCCTTTTCGGCGATCGTCGCTGCAGGAAGAAGCGCACAAGGACTAACTATCGGTACCTACCTACCTTAGTGATGGGATGACAAAGTCCAGTTCCAAAAACCCGTTAAAGCATGACATTTGGCTTTGCAACACAGACACACAAACTACCTGCCTGCCTTCAGCATGGGCACACACACGCACAGCAGGTGTGGTGGTGGGATATCTGCATCAGACGATGATCAGATCAGCGGGTTTAGTGCCGTATAAGCCATCTGCCATCATAGCTCCTGTGCTCCTCTGCATTTTATTTTTCCCATGTCCATTGTCGTAAGGTAGGACGAGCTACCGGTGGAGGAGGGGCCAGACATGTCGCCACCGACATCTGTGATCGGAGCAATCGGCGGCTCTCTGCAAGTGAACCTTAGCATCCAATATACCGCGTCTCGAGCACATGTCCTCCGATCACCGCCTTCCCCAGATCATCACCAAGGCGAGGCTGCGCCCTGTTACGTAGATAGCTCCAAGCTACTCTACTAGTAGTTCCTTCGGTACCGAATCCTACTCAACAGAGTACCTAACCACCATGGAAGCTTTTGGCGGTTCATTCTCGTTTGTTAGAGTAAAAAGAGCAGGTAAGTACCTAGGTAGCATGGTAGCAGTCGAATGAAACCAACCACCACCGCCGTCATTGCGGGGTGAAGAAGGGAAAAAAAGTTCGAGACCCCGGCCCAGCCTCAATTTTAGGCTTATCGGATGTTATCGGCAACTATGGTCCGTGCATGATGTGACCGGCCCCACACGAGCTCCGGGGAGCGGCGAACAAAACGACATCACGCTGCAGATTCCGGCTTGCATCTTTTCCTCTTCCTCCTCATTTTGCACGTAAAATAGCTTCTGATTAGTGGTTTATGTCGTGATCAGTTGGTATTCGCGTTCTACTAACCAAGGTAGTTTCCCAAATGCTTGACGAATCACATAATCTTTGATAATTGCAAAGCGGGAAAACGCAGAGTCAGGATCCATGTAATTGGAGTCGAGTGGAATGAGTGTGTTTTTTGGCACGAGCTAGACGCGGCAGGGATGAGCGCGTGACAAGCGTGGACCTCCCTCCAATGCATCTCTAGATGGGCATGGATACGTACACAGCAAAGCTCAGTATAACAAAGAGTCTGTTCATCTGCCAAAAGGACCCTCATCGAATATCAAGTCATGGGCAAAGTCACATAGGTATGCACCACCAGTGTATAGAAGAACATGATTTTATTCGCCAGACCTCTCTGATTGAAGCGAGTCGTCAACTTTTCTAAACCCCTTCCATCCATCCATCCAACCCGTCCCGTCCGCCCGTCCGTCCTACCCGTCATCATTTCCATTTCCGTGACCGGCCTCCCGGCCTCGTCCATTTCATATCCCATCTTTCCTCATTTCTCTTACAACGCATCAAAATCAAGAGGCCCTTCCAAATGACGAACATGCGAGAAGAAGAAAAATCCAGCAAAATCAAGACACACTCCTCGCTTCCAAATCGAATAAACCTGGATGGATCCGCGGGAATGCTGCATGTATCTCGTCTAACGGGGTCGGGGTTGTGGGCGTGTTAAAGGTTTTCTCTGTGTGTGGGAATCGTTGGGATAAAAATAAGGAGGCTCCCCCGAAGGTATAGTAGTTGTGGAATCGTACAGTAGTAATACTTGGGAAGTTCGAAAACAGAAAAAACGCCTTGCGCTATGCAGCCAGTACGCACGAGTCGTTTTGCCCAATGGTGGCTTCAGAGCCAAGGTATCAACAGTAAAAAGGTGTTGTGCAAGAGGAGAATTGACAGGCCTGCGCGGCGTATGCGCGGCATCCGCTCAACCCCAGCAAGGCAAAAATGGGCGTAGGAGCCCCAAAAAATCATGGGATGAAAAGCGAAAGCTGGGGTAAAATTCAAGGTGTACGGGGGCGCTTCCAGTAGTATTGCTAAATTTCGACGTGTCAATTTCAAACCTCTGCATGTCGCGGTCTTTCAAAGCTTACCTTGTGCTGCTTGCGACACGCTCGTAGGCTAGGCTTACGCAGACCGTCTGTCACAGCAAGACGGCGCTGGTCGTCGTCGTCGAACTCGGGGACGTAGTAGTACTCGCTCTCGAGCTGCTTGCCTGCGGCGTCCTTGCCCTGGCGTTGGATGATGCCAATGCATGCCGTCGCCTCGATCAGACTGCGGAGCTGGTCCTTGGTCAAGCCCTTCCGTTCCTCTGACGGCAGATTATTCATGATGGTTGAAAGTGGGTTGGACGACAGACGCGAAAAGGCGAGCTGGTTGACGACATGATTACGGACGGCGGGATTCTCGTAGGGGGGCTCCGCTGCCTTGGGCTCCTCCTCCTCGTCTTCTAGCACCTCCCCCTCCTCTGCCTCCTCTGGCGACTTTGGCGGCGCGGAGATGGGGCTAGAGGGTCTGGACTCGTCGCGGACCGTTGGCAGGCCTGTCCGCTTGAAGGGAGGGAATTTGGGAGAAGAGGTGGTGATGGAGGCCAGACGGTTGGAGATATCTGCGCCAAATGGCCCGAAAGAGTGGACAATCGGGTCGTTCTCCTCGTCGGGGTCGTTCTCGTCCTCTGGTTCACTAAGTTCGGACGAGAAGGAGTTGGTGGCCTCGGTAGCGAAACTCTGGCCAATGATGGTGCCGGAGTCGACCAGCTTGGGAAGCTCGGGCTCATCTGCACTCGAGTCCTCATAGATGTGGACTTCCCCATCTTCCCTGGGCAACAGGGCCTGGAGTCGCTGCGAGCTGCTCAGATGAGCCGTCGGTGAGTCTGGAGACTCGATGCGCGAGGGACGGCGCAAGGGGCTTGACTGCAGGAGGTCGGCGGCGACACGGGCAGCGGAGCGAGGAGGCGAGTCACCCCAGGCAGACTCATCGGGGCTCGCGAGGCGTTCACGACGGTCCCGCTTCGGCCATTGGATCATGACACGGGCGTCCTGAACGTCGAGCATAATTTCAGTTCCTTCTGTTTCGGACGTGAAGGAGTCGCCCTTGAGGAGCTCCCACGTGCGGCCCTGGCAATGGAGCTTCAGCCCGTTCCAGCCATTGCAGATGATTTCAATCTTGTTGGGCTCCAGGGCCGAAGGAGCAGGCACGTACCGGGCCTTGACGTGGATGCGGGAAACGAGGCGGTTGGCGGATAGCTGGTAGTGGGACGAGTTGCTAGAGCGGCCCATGAGGAGGGTTTCGCCATTCTCGTTCAATTCGATGGAGCTGACGGCACCAAGGGGAATGCGTTCGGAGACGGCAGAGAGTGCGCGAGACGGAGCACCAGGTCTTGAGTGGACGCGGGGCGGAGAGGAAGATAGGATGCCGGTACTCGAGGTCGGGATCGGGGTGGGATATTTCAGGTACGCGTTGCTTGCTCCCACCGAAGCAGGACGGGCTTGTCGTTTGGAGGGTCTAGGGAAGCCGGGGGAGGAAGAGAGAGGTTCGAATGCCGGAAGCAGGCTCGGAGCAGGACGTTTGGTGCCGGCCAGAGGAAGCGTGGGCTCCTGGGTCTTTGGTTGGGGCGACGAGTCGAGCATTATGGCGACGACGGCATGCCCAGACGACAAGAGTGAAAGGGCCGGTCCTCGTGTCAAGAAAGACTTGTCTGTTCCTTTGCAGTGTCCCTCCCTCTTCAAGTTTCTTGGAATTGCTTTCCTTGCAAGACGATGTGAGGTGGGCGCGTTTATCTCGGCGCGGGTGTCGCTTCGACTAAGGAATCGGACGTGGGATATTGGCGTTGTGCGGGTAAGCGTGTAAGTGACTCGCTCTTCCGGCAGGAGTTGGTCACCACGCAGGCTGTCGAGGTGATATACAGTAGGGAGGTCTCGAGGTTATAGAAAGAGAGGAGAGAGGCGAAAGCTGCGACAAGTCGATGCTTGAGGGTCTCTAGGATCCAAGCCTGGCCACAAGCATAAACCAGAGAGAAGGGTAAAAATTGTCAAAGTGGTTGCAGGTCTGGTTGAAGGAGGCCTGGTGGTGCGGCCCTGGACCTTTTTGAGGGGGGCCCTGCCCAAAAAAACGGAAGCGTGTCTCTCGCGCGTCCACGTCTCTCCGCGTGTGCTGGGCGCGCGCCGAATTATGCTGTGCAGGACGGGACCTGTAGGCACGTTGTGCTTAGGTACCATGGAGTGGGGAGGGAGGTCGCGTGCCCGCTAAAGGTGGACGGGCTATAGCGTGTAGCTGGACTACCACAGCGGGTAGATGCGCTAAAGATGACCGTGTTTCCAGGCCATGGCCGCTGGACGCGGGCCGCTGTCTGAGCTTGAATCGGCGGTTGCCCGCTAATCTTGGAGTTTAATTGCTGTTCGTTTGCCATTTGTCTGTTCCTCCATCACCAACTCTTTTTCTCTCTCACTCTTACTGAGGCGGTTGTTCTTGAAGTTCATAACCCGCAGACCGCCTCTTCTCTTCCCGTTATTTCGTGTGCAAATCCTGCAGTTTCCAGACCGGACAATGGCCAATATGCCCCTCATCGAGGTCGAGTTCCCCCGATCCAGCCTCCCCGAAATCACGTCTGAGTCTCCTAGTCTCCACCATACACGCTTTTTCTGGGTAAGAGACGAGTAAGACACGGCGAGAGAGAAAAAATCCAATACTGGCCAGTCCCACTTCCGGTGCGCGTCTCTCTTACACCACACACGCACATGCTCTCGATGGTCAGCATTCATCCTTCCTTCCAGCTTATGAACCAAGGTACATTAGTTACAGGGGCACAGGGGCTATCCGTCTAACGGCGAAGAGCGCTGAAGAACACGATTAGCCGCCGCGAAGCACCATACGCCATGGCACCAGTGGAGGAGAGCCCACTCAGTCCAACCATCTAACCCATTCGAACCCCAGCGCAGCCCAAGCCTGACTGGATTGATTGATCTATGCTAACCAGGAAGGTAGCTGAACCAAGGTACCTCGGAATGGCGTGTCGAGGACAAGAACAAGAGGCTTGCAATTTATATTACCAGTACATTAGATAGCTACGGATAGCTGACGTCTCTGTTGTACAAAAGGGCCATGCCTTCCACAAATGTCCGCTGTTCACGGGTCCTTTGTCCATCCCTGGGCCTCACTCAGACCCCCAAATCAAGATATTGCACCGCTTCTCGTCTAAAACCCTCCTTCCAATTCATTGGTTCCGAGCGCGGCCTTTTGCCTTTCCTGCGGCATATCCGCCTTCCCTTTGCTGCCACGAGCGTCATGGATGTGCAAAGTCCGCCCGTCTGGTCAGACTCTGGTTCACATCCATCGACTGGGATGCGGTAACCCAGATCCCACAAGGCACACCCCTAAGCCACTGGCCTGGCTCGCCTCGTTCCAGGCTGACCATGCAATGCAATTCGAAGGGGTTGAAACGAGCATCGCGTTACCGTGTCTGCTGCGCGTATAGTGCCCTTCTAGCCTAGGAACCCTGGAAATGGCGATATAACGTCTGCACACTCTCCCACTTCAAATCTGACGATTGTGGCTCCTTTATCTCTATCGGTAAGCCACGTATCTATCTATGGATATTCTGTAGCCCGTTGCCTTGATGTTGCGAAAATCGACATCCAACGCGTCCGGTGCGAATCTGACTATCTTAGCACGGGGGAAATGAGCTGTCAGGATAGAAACGCCAGACGCACCCGAAAGCCGTGCTGAGCAACCCACGTCTCCCGAACCGTCAATCATCGCGTTCCGGCACCCCGCATCGCTAAAGCAAGTCGCGCTCCCTTAGGCTTCTTCTCACACGACCCGCTGAGGCTTTTGACAGATGATGATCCCGGCGTTCCCAATTGGATTGAAAATCTCGTTGGTATGTGCATACATAGTAGGACCAAGGCAGTCCGGCCCACAACCCACGTTGCCCACACGCCAAGGAGACTCAGAGGTGCCAGGACCCGTTTTCAGACTGAGACAATGCTGCTCGTGTGTCAAGAACCAAGTAATTGAATTAATATTTGTCCGTGGACAGCTTTGATGAATATACAAAGCACTTGGCAATTCTTATATGCATGGTAATTGTGATTGAGAGATATGAGAAGAAAGTGATCCCGAGCGCGCTTGTCTGCTGCTAACCTGGTAGTCAACCGGCTGACTTTGCATTTGAAGACGCGATATCAGCCACTCAACGCGTCAGGACAGGTACAACCCGTGTGCGTTGTGGTCAATATCTGACCGTCAATTCGAGGGGAAATTCTTCCTTCAGGGCCACTGATTTGAACAACTGCTTCAATAGCAGGACAGAACCACCGATATGTGCACTCGAGTCGGCATCCAAGAAACGAGCGGGTCGCGGCGGCGCGATGGTTGCGGTTAAAGACAGTCCTTTACCGAACCCTTCACCTCGGTCAGACCGTATGCACGGACCCATCGGCACCGGCGCCCTGGATCTGCCGACGGGTTATGATCCCTGCCGTTTGGCCAAAAAATTTCTGGACGACGGTCTAAAGATTTCTGGTCGCCCCCACCATCTCTACAGTCGCAGAGATTGAGTGTCGCTTGAAATTTACAGACAGAACAAAACACAAGACGAGCATCAACACCCGTCAACCCCAGCCATGGCTCCCTCAAAGACCGTTGCCGTTGCATCGAAAGATGTTACGCCCTCAATTGACCCCGAACAGGTAAGCTATACTGCCCGTTCTCTCCCCCGTTTGCTACCAGCGCAACCTTTTAAGATTCCCGGATCGCTAACATGCGCGAAACTGCCAGACCCTGAAGGCCTCCAAGGCTCTCTTGGCTCACATCAAAAAGGCCGCCAAGGAAAAGTCCGAAGAATCCGGCAAGAAGAACCTGCTCGCCGACGACAACGAGGACGTCGCCCAGCAGCCCATCTGGCTGACCCTCACGACGAAGCGCCACATCGCCGACAGCGCCCGCCTTAAGCCCGGCAAGATCACCCTCCCTCACCCTCTCAACTCGGACGAGGACTCGACGATATGCCTCATCACCGCCGACCCCCAGCGCGCCTACAAGAACATTGTCGCCTCGGATGAGTTCCCCGAGGCCCTCCGCAAGCGAATCACCCGCGTCGTCGACCTCGGCCACCTGAAATCCAAATTCAAGCAGTACGAGGCCCAGCGCAAGCTCTTTGCCGAGCACGACGTCTTCCTCGCCGATGACCGCATCGTCAACCGTCTGCCCAAGGCCCTCGGCAAGACCTTTTACAAGACCACCGCCAAGCGGCCCATCCCCGTCGTCATCTCCGCCAAGCCCCCCCGCGGCGCCGACGGCAAGCGCGCAAAGCCTCAGCAGCCAAAGACCCCCGGCACCGTTAACGCTGGTACGCCGCAGGACATCGCCGCCGAGGTCGAGAAGGCCATCGGCTCCGCCCTCGTCAGCCTGACCCCGTCAACCAACACCGCCATCCGGATAGGGTACGCCGGCTTCAAGCCCAAGCAGGTCGCCGAGAACGTCACGGCCGTCGTCAACGCCCTCATCGAGAAGTGGGTACCGGAGAAGTGGACCAACGTCAAGAGTATCTACGTAAAGGGCCAGGAGACCGCCGCTCTGCCCATCTGGCTGACGGACGAGCTCTGGCTCGAGGAGAAGGACATTATCGCCGACGACAGCGAGCAGGCCAAGGCTATCAAGGAGAAGGCCAACGTCGGCAAGAAGCGCAAGTCGATCGGGGCCGCCGACGAGGACGAGACCGAGACCGCGACCAAGCCTACGGCTAAGAAGGCTAAGAAGGCAGCCAAGGAGGCGGCGCAGAAGGCCCTCCCCGAGGGCGACGACGAGAACCTCAACAAGCAGATTGCTGAGCGCAAGGAGAAGCTGAAGAAGCAAAAGGCCAAGGCCAAGGCTGCTGTCGACAACTAGGCATGCTTTGAAGACGGAGACTACCGAAAAAAAAATTAGGAGGGATTACGTGCGGGGATTATACCATGCATGGTTTGAGGCGTACGGCGTTGGTTCAGACAAAATAACCATGAGAACTTGTGCTTAGAATTTTATCAATAAGAGCTAGTGTACAATTTTCCCTTTTGCACCACCTTGTTTCATTACCATCGTGTGATTGATTCCCATTACAACTCCTCGAAGACAACCTCGGCCTGCTTCTCAGCCTTGAAGGTCTTCTTGAACGGCCCAAAGAACTCCTGAATGGTCTTGTTGAGCGTCTTATCAGAGATCTGCATGTGCTCGCCGGGGATCTGGCGGAAGCGGAGACCGCCCTTGCGGTCCAGCTCCCTCAGGCCGATCCAGTCCTCCTTGTAAATGGCCCTGGCGCGCAGCGGCAGACTCTCGGTGCCGTTGACCTCCTCAAACCAGGCCGTCTCCTTGGGGATGACGGTCGTGTCGTCCTCAAACATGACCATGACAAAGTTGGCCAGGCTGGCGAGGTTCTTGCCGTACCGGACATTCTTGAGCTCGCGCTCGTTGTTGATGTCGGCCAGGAAGTTGGACGACTCGAGGTACTTTTCGTACTGGTCGGGTTGCGGGTCGCGGTAGTACTGCGCGGGTACCAGACGGTTCTGGACGAAGCCGGACCAGGTGTTGAAGCGCAAGAGGGCCATGGCGCCCTTGCAGAGGTAGTCACCATCGCCGCAGGCGCGGAACTCGACGATGCCGTTGTGCTGGCTGCCGTAGGTGACGAGGGAGCGGACGGGCGGGTTGTTGCAGCGCTCGACGTAGCCTCGCAGGAACTGCCCGCCCTGGCTGAAGCCGATGGCGTCGACGGCGGGCGCGGTGGAGAGGATCGGGTGGGCGGCGAGCTCGGCGCAGACCTCCTCGAGCTGGGTCGTCACGTTGCCGAAGAAGGTGGCGGAGCGGTCGCTGTTGGGGTCAGCGCCGACCTTGATTGTGTAGACAAAGGTGCCCGGGTTGAGCTCCTCGGCTACTTCGCCGAGGCGTTTGATGCCATCGCCGTCGTAAGAGTCGCCGAGACCGTGCCAGACGATGAGCGGGATCGGGTGGTCGTCGGCGTCGTTGGAGAGGGGTCTCTTCGGGGTCGCGGCCGAGTAGGCGGCGGTGGCTAGGTAGCCGACCGTGAGCAGCGTGGGGATGGAGAGGGACTTCATTGCGAATTCTCGTATTCTTCTTTTCTGCTTATCCGCCTAAACTATCAAAGCTGAACTAATGTTATGATGCGGGGGAGCGGCCTATTTCCAGGAGACGTCTTGGTCTTTCTTTGATGTCAAAGGGATGGAGGGATTGTGGCAAAGGGAAAGCTGACGACACCAGGGCCATGGGTTACCTAGGTACAGCTGCGCCGTTGGTTGAGCAGGAGCTTGGCCGTTGCCGCCTCTCTGCAGTGCTGACTTATCGATTGAGCTTCCCATTGGCCACGGACAAAGATGTGGGCTGGGGGATGTTCCGAAAACCCGTCATCTTCAGCAAGCATGCCCGAGTGGTCCGTGCCGTAAAATCACGAGTTTCCCGAGCCTGAAGGAGTTAGCGTCGCAGGAGCTCCAACCTCGACAGCTCCCGGGCGTTTTCTTTGGCCAAGTGCTCTCTCTGACCTAGGCCTGCTAGGCTCCTTGTCAACGTCGGCCAAAGGTCCTGGAGGTCCGACATCCTCCTCCGCCAGGTTCGCAGCAGACTAGAACCAACAGCTATGGTCAAGTCCGTCGGGCCTTTCAAGTGTCGGCCTCGCCCCTGGGAGCTAGTCGCTACCGGATGGCGGTAGAACGGACCTCGATGTTTGGTGACTCGAGTGCTACTCCCCAGCCGTCAACGGCGCAGTGGCGAGTGAATCCCAGGTTGGCGGGATCCCTTGCTCTCTGAAACGCTCTCGGTGCAAGACCAAGATGCACCCAAGAAGGGTCCCATGTTTCACGCATCTCTCCCCTCGCCTCCCCAGCTGACGACGCTGCAGACCGAAGGGTGCATGAAATAGCCTTGTGGCTGGACGACGTTGATCGGCCGATCTTTTCGCGGTCTTGGCTCGGACGGCTGTGTTCGGGCGAACCATTCTGCTGGCGGGACGGTTGGGTGAGGTTGTGTAAGTGGCGGTTCGCGGCCCATAAATATTGGCGACGGCCCTTCTCGAACGGCGCTTGAAACAAGGGAACGGGTATGCTCATCGAACGAAATATCCATCTGCAGAGTCGTCGAGTTTATCTGATCTGAACAACTGCATCTCTACAATCTGCCAACCAAAAATACGACTTTCATCTGCATTGTCTTTTCATCTCTTCCTTTTCGGACGTTTTCTGCATCTTGGACCATCAACCGACCACTATGCAGTTCTCAAAGGTTCTCTACGTCCTCTTCCCGGTCGCCGTTCTGGCGGCACCATTGCAGACGTTCAAGGTCCCGACGCTGGACCCCCATACGGTTGCACCGGAAGTTCCCGCCATCGACCGACGTATTCCTCAGACGGAGGACACTTGCGACGAGTAAGATGGTTCGACGGGGCGGCACCGGGGGCGGATGACGACGGTTCTATCAATATCCTTGAATGCGATGTCAAGGGATGGAGGTGGATACGCCAACCTGTTGCTCGGTGCTACAAGTAGACCAGTGATATGAAAATGTTTGTCTTCTTTCAGCATCTACTTACGCCTACAATGCCACCATTGCTTGACGATTTGTGTTCTCTCAATTACGTTTCAGTACGAGATTGGGTACAGACAATGAAACCAAGCAACACTCCAATATTCTCCTTTCGACCCCTTGTTGTCTAAAGACATGAGGTATGGCACTTGGCTAATCTCCACCTTAGACACCCCCTGTCACTGGTCTTTATGCTCAATTTGCGCAGAGGAGCGTTCAAAAGACGGACTCTCAAGTCCCACTGTCGATACGGCTCGGGTTCAAGGCCTAACCAGCCGCACCTCAACCCCCACCGCGGCTGGAGAGCAGGCTGGCCTCTTCAAGTTTGCTAAGTGGAAACGGAAATATGTTTGAGGGGAGGAACGAGTATTATTGTAATTACCTTATCTTTGGAGGCGGTCTACCGAGCCTGCCTTGGAATAATAGACGCGGAAACACCTGCTGCTTTCTCCTTCACCTCCTGCTTTCAAACCCGACATCTCGACGATCTTCTCGTCGTTGAGTGACCACAGTTTCGCTATACTGCCCCGGCCGTCGTCTTCGTCTCTCGAGCGTATTTATCTCGATATTGACAATCTTAGCATTATTACGAATTTTACAAAGCCGTTGTTGCTCCTACTCTAAAGTCCTGCCCCCTTTCGACGTCTGTACGTCGTACTCGGGATCTACGACTCCAGTCCCTTGCTCAAACTACCTTGCTCTCCATTTACTATCTCAGGTCGCCTTCATTATCGAGCAAATTCATATCTGTCGGCCGACTACAAGCTCAATTTCCGCACCATTTTGCTCTCCCCTTTCCGAACATCATGGCGGACATTATGGCAAGTTGCTTTCCCATGCCATATTTGCTTCTCCGCGCCCTCCTTCCTGAACCTCCTCCATCTTCTTTTCCAAACCTCCACGAAAACCCTTCCAATTTGGTGCTGTGTCTTGGGTGATGGATCGAATTCTTTCCCCGTTTTTAGTGCTCATGGTCACAATATTTGGACTTTGGCCGTCCATCAGGAGCCCTCTTGCTGCCTGGTGATATCAAGAGAGGTATTACCATGCACTAACACCGTGGACGAGTACAGATGAAGTCTCCCGGAGTGGTCCCAGTCGGGATGATCGCTCTCAACGGGTATTATGTTCCCTTCAACTCTTCAATCCCCGGAACTACAGAGACGAAGCAGCTGGATTTTACTGTGGATGGACATCCCAAGTTGATCCGGGTCTTACATCGACAAGACCGGACGGTTGTGCCGCCCCGCTTCCGGCTCCGAGTGGTGGAACACCCGAACTGGAAGACGCGGTCCGTGCGCAAAAAGAACCCACACGTCGATTGGCACGCCGTGGACGCAGCTCCTGCACCTTTCACGCACCCCACTGCGACTTTGCCGGACATTTACAAGGCGGTCTTGAAGGCACTCGGACACGAAATCTCGGAGGCGACGCTGGACCAGATCGACAACCTTGACAAAGACGAGACCACCCTTGACCTGCCCCTCGAGGGAGATAAGGTCTGGTTCGATGACTACAGCTGGATCAAGCTTCCAATCAGCCCACATACGTACTCGGCCAAGGGCCCAGGCGAAGAACCTGACTCTTGCGACTCAAACACTCAAGGCGACGACGGCCATTACCTCGACTGCGACTACGACTGCGGCGACGCTTTCAAGGACGATAACGAGAAGACACTGAAGGACGATTCTGACACGGCTGGCAAAGATTGCGACGGCGACGGCAACGGCAGCTGCGCAATGGCTCCCTCCGGCCCCAAGGCGCAGAGTGCTGCTGCCACGAACAACTCGACTACTGCGCCTGCCTCTGAGCCCGCGGCGCCCAAGGGTCCGCACCCTGGGCACATGCAGGTATCCTGCCAGTTCACCAGCGAGCAGAGACTGAGACGTATGCTGCGAGACAACAAGAGCGATCCAGCTAGGGAGGATAACTATCGCCTCCAGGGAGTGCAGCTCATCGATAATGTCCGCACCATGCTGCGTGTGTTCGTCAAACCCTCTCCTCCACCCCGTTGAGGGGGCCTAGTCCAAATGGTGATGCTGACCTCTCTCGCAGCCCTATCAAGACGTTTGACACAGCGTGTGTCTACTTCCACTGGTTCCGACTATCGTTTCGCGATGCCGAGTACAATTACCAAGATGCCGCCATGGCCTGTCTCTTTTTGGCCTGCAAGGTCGAGGACACCATCAAGAAGTCCAAGGAGATCCTGTGCGCTGCGTACAACAATAAGAATCCCGACCACCCCACGACTCAGGATGACAAGGTGCGTGAGAATCGGTACTACGCTGCATGGCCATCACTAACCCAACCGCAGATGTTCGAGCAGCCATCCAAGATCATCATCGGCCTAGAGCGCCTAGTCCTCGAGACCGTCGGCTTCGACTTCCGTTGCCGCTACCCCCAGTCCGCTTTGCTCAAGGCAACCAGGAAGATACTGGGTACCCAGTCCAAGGACGTTTTCGCCACCGCCATGGAGATGAGCGTCGACCTCTACAAGACATTTGCCCCCGTCAAGCAGACCACCTACGCGTTGGCTTTAGGCCTGCTGGAGCTGAGCGCCCGCCTCCTCGGCCGAGGCATCAACGCGTTTGAGAAGGTCAACTACGCGGACTTCCACACGACCCGGCAGAACGTCGTCGAGACAGTCCTCGACCTGCTCGACCTCTACACCCAGCACGGCAAGTCGACCAAGCTCGGCGTCCAGTTTGACCTCAACAAGTTCATCGAGGTCAAGATCGTCATCAACAGCGAGGTCGACAACACGCCAGGCCTCGTGCGCTACGCCCACTGGTGCACCAATTGCGACGGCGGCGAGGACGAGAACCTCTCCAATGGCGTCTCCGTCCTCAAGAACATTTCATTCTTTGGTAGTAACTCTGCTAAGCGCAACGGGCGCAACCAGGACGGCACCATGCGCTTCGTCTTTGACCCGGACCGGGCCCGCCAGGAGCGCAAGGAGGTCGAGTCCTACTACCGCGACGAGTACGAGGAGTACGAGGTCGAGGTCGAGGTTCCCATCGAGCCCGAGCGTGGCAACAATAACAACCATAACAACAACAACCACCGCGATAAGCGACATGAGGGCGGCGGCGGCGGCGGCGGCGGTTGGGGCGGTAATCATCGTCGTAACCATCACGGTCGTGCCAAGGGCCGCGGTTACTACTAAGCTCAACTTTCACTACCATCGCTTCCGTATTTTGAATCTTTCTCTTGCCACCGCTTTTGCCGACGACTCCCATGGCACAGCAAAGACAGAGAGGTTCTGCAAACCGAATGGATATGGAAAGGAAGCAATTTTGTCCGAGTTATCTGGCGTTGACGGTCCCTTAAGATACCCCATGGGAAAGAATTTGGAATGCTTTTTTTTCGGAAAGGAAAGAATACTTCTACCTAATTTGGTGGTTTGACGGTTCCACCCGTACGTCATAGGGTAAGAAGTACGATTCATATCGCAAGGCTTGTATAAGCAGATAGGAATTGAAAAGCAAGTTTGCAAAAGGTTCTGCTATTGGCTTCGTATTTGATTGCTCAGTGACAGCACAGCGTCGAGCAGATGTGCCTGGTACTCAACGGTTCGAACGAGTACGAGGACGGGCTTGCAGGGTCATTGGCTTGATTGGGCAAGAGAGCCTGGCTGTCTCTGGTTGAGGCTCCGGACCAGAATCAAGATGAAGAGGCGACGGAGATCAAGCAGGCTGCCTTGGCAATTTGGATCACAACACACCGAACAAACCGAAGTAGCAGGACCGAACCAGCGAGTTATGAGAGTGCTCCTGTTGAAGGCCGGGGGTCTCCTTGCCTGTATTTCAAAGCCGCCCTGGGTAGGTGGCTTGCTGAGTTGGACGTGCATGCTGTATGTAGGCCACTGCCAATGTTGGGTGGCCTCCCATGTGCAGGTTTTCGATTCATGAGCTGGCAGACCGGGCGTTTTCCACCCATCATCAGGCAGACTGATTGGAACTTCCGAGGTCATCAGCGAGCCAGACTGTCCGGAAATAACTCACACGTAGGCAGTATTAACACCTCATCACGCCGGATGCTTTTGTGCTGTGCATGTTCGGTGTGGCCTCAAAAACCAGTCGAAGATATTGTGAAAATTTGGTCGTCACTGGAGGCCACACTGCATGAGAACAAGCGCTCCTTTGCCATTTGGGTTTTAGTCGGACCTCGCACCGTCATAGAAATGTTTCTCTCACGCAGACAAAATTCAAGCAGACCTACATGTGGCATTGATCCCGCCCCGGATACAATTCTCATCGTCTGCTAACAGTCTTGACAATTCACGACTAAATAATACAGTTTGGTATAAAAACTCTCCCCGACGCAGGTTGAACCCTTGGTCCTGTAGGTTTCCGCTTTCTGCAATTTAGGAAACAAGAAGACAGAGTTTTTTACATTGTCAACATGTTTCAAGATCTGACCTACTTTGATCACAGTCTGGGACCCGGAGATGAGGAACGTCTATGCCAACCAGCCGCTTCCTGGTCGCAGAATCTGTAGGTATCCTGCCTTCAAGGCTTACTGCATTATTATCAGACATGACTGCTGACCTTAGAGTCCTTACCATAGCCCCCTACGCTCAGCCTCGGTCCAGTCATCAAGTGACAAAGGGTGTCTGCTTTGGGACGATATAAACTACAACAGCGCCATGTTCAGCTCACTTCACGCCTCATACCAGCATAGCGATGTTTCTAGCAGGTCCTTTGATAACGGAGACACGTGGGCGATTGCTGGCCCGTTGTATCATCACAGCGTCGACAATTTAAATGGAAATCCTAAGATATTTGGCTTAAACAGCTCCCTATGTTCCTTCGACAGCTTGAAAGTGGCTGTTAGCCACCCTGAATTTCGGGATTCTGGCGGTGTGGGAGGGAACAATCTCCAAAGTCCTCAAGAGATCTTTTCCAGTTTGCCCATCATCGGCAATGCTACATTGCCAAGTCAGCGGCCAAATGTGATGCTTCCGGACACGTATGACAAGCCCAGCTTCCATGGCATAAACTTGCCAGAGCTCCAGCCCTTTCAGTATGCCCAAGCTGCCCCAGCTCCCGGATTCGGTAACCCCACGGTAGTGAACACCCCAGACGTTCCTACCCACGAACAAAATGACGGAGAAAGAACTCATCTTCATGCCTCTGTCTGGGCTTCTCCGATCCCATCTCCCCTGGTTGCTAGAAGCGAGAGGCGTGAGGGTAACCCCGATTCGGATAGGTCGTCGACACCAGGTGCATGCCCGTTCTGTAAAAGATTCCGTGGAGACGCGAAACGAATCAGGTTCGTGTGGTTGTAGCGCCTTACATCTTCACATGCCAACTGATCTGGTACAGGGAGCATCTGCGATGCCACATCCGGGAGCATGTCTGTGAGGTTGTCGAGTGCTCTCGGCAGTTCAGCACTGCCAGAGACCTTCAGAGGCACGATAAGGCTGCTCACCGGAAGGAATCGCTTACTTGCTACTTTTGTGCAGCCAGCATTCGAGGCGGCCGCATGGACAACTTGCAAAGACACATTAGACAGAGACATGCATCGGAAGCCATGAATGGGCTGACTTGATTCAGCTCTTCCAGATCGACCAGCAGCACAGCTAGCGGTTCTCGAGGTTCTTCGGAGTTCTGCTTTTCATGGCGCAGCACTCAGTACTATATCCAAGTTTGACGGTATGAGCACACAAAGTACACCAACCCACCATGCCACCTCTCAGTCCTCCATACAGAGGATCCACGTTTCGCTTTGAAAGCCTATAGATTCTTACATATTCGTGAAGAACAACTCAATTTTTAATTGCATTACTTCCCCGCGATCCCGTTCTGATCTGAGAATGGAGCTAGAGCATGTTTTAATCTCAAGGGAAACTGACAGAAAAAGGTCCCATGGCTTTTCTAAGATGAAGGCTTTCTGGGCGATGTTACCAATCACCAATAAACAAGCGACTTCCCGCACCAATATCATCGAGGAATCAATTTTCAGCCGATGATATCTGACGAAATCTGCCTCCTCTTAGGGCTGACTGTTCTTATCTGGTATGTACATTATGGCCCCGAATGATTCCGGTTCCTAGAGGAAGCCGGCAGAGAAGAGAATTACGCAAATCTGTGCATGGATACAGAGTAGCCATACAAAGTATGTTCAAAGAACCTTACAGACAAGCCCTAATGAGATGAGGATACTACAGCCGTCTCAGTAAAGGCTGCGCAGGTTGGATAGCCCAGCAGTCTCAAGGTTTTCCTGGATCGTTCCATTCAACTGAACATTGAAGGGGCCTAGCTCCAATGGGCAGTAGTGTTCTTTGCCACACATAGTATCCTGGAAGTAAGACCGAATGGCACCAAAACCACACCTGTTGTTTGTGGCAGTAGTGGTGTGCTGCAGTCAGGTCAGTATAGTGCAACAGCGCAAGAGACATTGGGATCAAACTTACACCCATGCCGTCGATAGTGACTCTCCTAGCATTCACGTACTTGGGCGCATTCAAGATGGCGCTGACAGCTCTCATTAGTAAGTTTCAAACACACAGAGAAAGATCAACTTACTTCTCAATAGGCGTCGTGGGATCAAATGTGTTGCTTACGAACAGCATCGGGTAGGAGGTGTTGCCTCCATACGGGCCTCTGAAGACGTCGTTAGATCTAATGGGCCATTCGAGACATCCGAGCATGGCCCTGGACCAGACTTCTCCCACGATACTATTGTCCTTAAGCCCGTCCAAGAGAGGCTGGATATCCTCAAGTGACTTCCCATACCAGACGTTGCTCTGATCAGAACACAGAACTCCAAGGGTTTGTTCGGGGTTCACGTATCCTCCCACGTTGGGGTCGCCGTAGATTGCGTTCGTCTGCTCTGTCCAAGCAGCAATAGCGCTGGACGAGATAGCCTTCTCCAAGGCAACGAAGACGTCCGAGATTCTTCTGAACTCAGCCAGTGGTTGTACCACCGCACTGAGGATGCTGACTTTCAGTGTCACAAGTGCCAAACCAATGTCAGTAGCGTTCGCCCATCCCTTTGCCTCGGCCCTTTGGGGATCTAGCTGTACGAATGAAGCATTCCATCGACTAAAAATGTCCTTTGGGGTGTTTCCTGAGTAGAAAGAGCAGACATCTGGACCTGCGGCGTGGCAGTACACGAAAAACGCCCCTAAAACGCCGTCGAGGTGGTAGATAGAACCCGAAGTAAAGTTGGCCTGGTAGTTGGCTGGATCGACCACTCCGTCGATGGCTACATGGCCGACTCTACCGGGGAACATTGACGCAAACGTCTGACCGAGCATGGTGCCGTAGCTGACGCCGTAGTAGTTGAGCTTACTAGAGTCCAGCACCGTACGGTTGCCATCAGGAGAAGCAGAAAAGGCTTCGACAATGCTGAGCATATCGCGCGCGGTGACCGCGGTCGTCATGTGAGGGCCAGCTTCAGTGTCGGCGCCAGTCTGAGCCTGACACTTCTTGCCGAGCTCCTTGCCAAAGTCGATGAATTGCTGGTAGTAAGCATCCACGACCCGCGGGGCATCTCGTCCAGATAGGGCACCGCTCTGGTGTTTCGGGATGCCTGCCGAGCAGTTGGGCCGCGGCTCGCTGAGCCCGACGCCGCGGGGATCAAAGCCGATAATGTCAAAGTTGGAACCGGCTGCGACTTGGACCGTGGTACCATTGTTCCGCGCCAACTCAACGCCCGATGCGCCCGGTCCTCCTGGGTTGATGAGAATGGCACCTCGATAAGGGCCATCTGGAGATCCAGCGGTGGCGGCAATCTTGATCAAGGGAACAGAAGCTCTACCAAGACTCGGGTTCTGATAGTCGAGAGGCACCTGGGAGATTGAGTTAGTGATTAAGGGGGGGATCCCGTGCGACAGATAACTCACATCGAGCTTGGCACAGAAGAAGTGGCCCTCGCAAGAGCACCAAACGAGGTCCCGCGAGGGCGTTATCGAATCGAATGTACAGTTTTGAGCTCCAACGGCTCGAAGACCGACAAGGGCAAACGCCGCCGCCAGTTTCCAAGACGACATTGCGACTGAAGGAGGACAAAGACTGTGTAGAAGTAATAACGAATGGCGATTTTCAGAGGTGAAGTCTTCAGAGAAGTCAAGTTGCTTCACAAATAGCCTGGCAACTGATTTCACACCTGATGTAGGATGGGAGTTTGTTTGCTACTTATATATTCTCATTTCAGTTGAGTAATCGCCGACCAATGTCTGGCAGGGTTGTGAACGTGTCACCAGTGAACTGATAATCATCCCTTCCGAGACAATCCCTGGTTCTGCATCCTTCGCCTCCGCTCACACCATCGCATCTCGGTCACAGCCAAGTCCGAGTTCGGGTTAATCACCGCTATCACAAACAAAATTCAGAGAGTGAGTGGTTTCCGAGGAACATACGAGGCTGCAGAGAAGAGGAGATTGGAAGGAGGCTGTGCTAGACCTGCCGGCCACTCAACGGGATCCAATAATAACCTCCAGCTGGGCCAACCAAGAATTTGATGATTCAAGCAAGCCCAATTGAGAATAAGCATGTACGGATGTCTCCTGCCGTGTAGCCTCCATGTAGTCAATTTTGAACTAGGCAACAGCCATTCCTCCCCCGGACTCCCACCGGGAGAGCTACCCGGGGTATTTCAATCCAATCGAAGACCATGTTGGTTTGCAGAGGGGTTTCTACACCGTAGCCATGCTTTGTCTCAATGATCTCGGATACGAGTCGTCTGAGTGTATTTCATTTCGTCTCGGGACGTTGTGAAGCCCGTTGTTGACCAGTATGACGGCTTCATATGTTTAGAGAACCCTTGCTAACGCCCTGTAATTGGTGGTAGGCAAGCAACGCATCCTTGCGCTTGGTCTCGGTACGTTCCCTGACATCGAAATTGGTGAAGTTGTACGGAGTAGTCGAGACTAGGCGATGCGAGGGGACGTTGCCAGCATCGGAAGCTATTCCGCTTCGGGTTAGAGCTATACGAGCCAGACTTTGCGGGGTTAAGTAAGCACGGTAAGGTAGGGGTTGGCTACGAGCGAGTGGCTCCGAGTTACCCAAGGCAGTATCACATCTGACTACCATATATGTCTAGTATATAACAAGATCCCGCGGCCTTCCGCAAGATATCCCATGAATAACCTCTCAGACTTACTCACATGTTTTACTCAAGGGCTAGGTTGCTTCTTGCTACCCAACCGTCAATTCTTCTAAGCAAACCAAGTACTTGAAAGTCAAACAGGGGCTGGCCACTTTCTAGATAGACAGCGCCGGAGGAGGTCAGAGAGGAGCTTATGCATGGATGGTCAGTGTGACAATTTGATCTATGGCTCTCATAAGATAGCACGAAAACTCACGGGACTCGCCCTGTTTCTTGCGGAAACTTGCATGGCGCGCGTGGCTATTAGCGACATCGATGGTCTCCGCTAACAATCAACATCAAACTCAATAAGACAAGTAGTCCTCAAGTTGAAGCTACCTTTCATTCCAGCTCATGGCCTAAAATAGTGGAGGTATCAATGCTGTATCATCAAGGTACTCAGGTATTTTTCGGGCCACTTACTGGAACTGCATCTCATGCTTTCTTCCACTCACGGAAGGTGCATTCCAAGCCACCTTCCTCAGGCAGCCACCTTCCATCTCAGCATCCACGGTTCGATACTACATAGTCGACACAAACACCCTTTTTGTCACCAAGGCCCATGGCGTAGCGGGGAAGGTCGGCGCTCAGCCGGATTGCCCCGGTCCCATGGGCCGCGAGTTCGAGTCTCGTGAAAAATCCCTGCATCGTTACACCTGAGGCTGGTAAGAGTCTCCTGGGATTTTCGTAGGCTCCCCCGATCTAGGTCGGGGGGGCTGAGCTTTTTGAAATTTCTTTGATTTAATTGTATTAAGAAAAAGGAGGGTCTTGTAATTTTCCGCGAGGATCACGATAGATGGATGGACAGGCTGACAGACCGTGTTGTGGTTTGAAAACAAAAGCTTGGGTGAGTGAGCGTGTAAGTGGGAGGTGACCTATTTTGTAGGTGGTGAGCTCGGTGAAGGTGGGGCAAACAACGTCACCGAGGTGCCGTGTAAGGTAACAAGGACCCACGGCTCTTTACTATACCGAAAGACCCAGTTTATTTTTTATCGCCAGCAGAGACCCCACTAAAATTTTCTTATCGGGTCCCCCCAACTCTCGATTTCTTTTGCGCTCGAATCTGATCCAAGCAAGGCCTGTTGTTTGTTTTCATTGTAATCGCTCCTCGAGAACTTTTTCACACAGCTCGAACAGAATTCAATCAATCATATACTCGTGTGAGAAAGGCGGTCGCAATATCCACTTCACCAGCCAACATCATGTCCGGCTTCCAAATCCCCGGCCTGGGGTTTGCGAAACCTAATGAGACCCTGCCGCCGGTGCCCGCCGATGTTCTCGCTGCTGCGGCCAGCTTCGAGGGCGTCGACACCACCAACACCACTACCAACAGCGCTCCGGAGCAGAAGCAAGACCATAATGAGGATGTCAATATGGGAGAGAACACGACCGAATCGCAGGCAACCCCCGCGCCCGCCACCGCGCAACCCGTCGCTGCACTAGAGGAGGCCAAGTCTACCGAACCCGAGCCCATGAATGTCGACGACGACGCCGAGCCCCCTTCCCTGACAGACGCCCTCGAGGCCATGATCAGCGGTCTCGACCACACTCCTCCAGTCCAACCAGCCGAAGTCTCTCAGGAGACGGCCCCCGCAGCCCACGAAGCGCCTGCGTCTGGGCCTGTGTCAGCGCCTGAGATGCTTGACGTTTCCCAGATGCTTGACGCCCCTGCCTCTACCACAGAACAACCCGCCGCCGAAGGCGAACACCCAGAGTGGGAAGTCGACTCCTCACCCTACGAGTCCTCCTCAGAGTCAAGCAGTGACGACTCCTCGTCCGACGAGGAATCCGAGGCCGGCGGCTACCAGCTCCTCGGCGTGGAGGAGACGGCGCGCATGCTGATGGAGATGGAGGGCGGCTCGGACGACGAGGGCGACGGCAAGGGCGGTGCCGGTGGCGCCGCCTCGGGGCACCTCCGGACCAAGAACGAGGTGGCCGTCGAGACGATCCCCAAGCCCGACGTCACGCTCACCGCGGACGACAAGATTGAGGAGCTCGGCCTCGTGGAGCAGATTGTCGAGAATATCATGGTGGTGAGGGCCTTTACGCCGGGCGAGTACCAGGTCCTCGACACGGGCTCGGTGCTCTGCACAGAGGATAAAAAGGTGTTTGGCGTCGTGTGGGAGACGATTGGAAAGGTGCTGCAGCCCATGTACACCGTCATGCTGTCCACGGCCGAGGAGATCAAGGAGGCCGGGTTGGCTGTGGGAACAAAAGTGTACTACCCGCCCGCGCATGCGAAATTCGTCTTTACGCAGCCGCTGAAGAACCTCAAGGGCTCGGACGCGAGTAACATCCACGACGAGGAGATTGCCGAGGACGAGATGGAGTTCTCGGACGACGAGAAGGAGGCGGAGCACAAGAGGCAAATCAAGCAGAAGAAGAAGGAGGCGAGGTTCGGCAAGGATGGCGGCGGCGGCGGCGGCGGTCCCAGCGAGAAGAGGAGTAGAGGCAATCGCGAGCCGCATCCGCTGCGGAACGAGGTCAGCGCTGCGCCTTCCACGGACGGCGGACTCAACTACGATGATGAAGACGATGGTCCCTACAAGCCCCTTGCGCGGCCGCCTGGGTTCGGCCAGGTCCCGCCGGCGCAGCAGAACTTTACCACGGAGCCCGAGCCCGGTCGATTCGGCGGGCGTAGAGGAGGGCGCGGTGACTTTAGGGGACGCGGTGACAGAGGTAGGGGAGGTCGTGGTCGCGGACGCGGAGGGTACGGAAACCGTGGGGATCACAGGGAGGGATACTCGGCGCCTCAGAGACATCACTCGGGCGCGCAGCAAGAGGGCGGCGGTGGTGGCCAGCAACACCAACAGCAGCAGCAACAACCTCAGGGTGGACAATGGGGCACCGCGAATGGATACCAGGCGCCTCACCAGAACTACAACCCGCAGCAGCAGCAGCAGCAGCAGCAGCAGCAGCAGCAGCAGGGTGCGCCTGCGCCGACATTCAACTTCCCGTTCCCCGGGATGCCTATGCCGCAGCCGGGACAGCAGGGCTTCTCTGCCGTTCCGCCGCCGCCGCCTGGTTGGCCGGCGCAGGGTGGTCAGCCGGGGCAAGCTGGACAGAATGCGCAGGGTGCTTATATCAACCCGGCCTTCTTCGCCGCGTTGCTTGGTCAGATGCAGCAGAATCAAGGCCAGCAGCAGGGACAGCAGCCGCCTCAACCACCGCATCAATGGGGTGGTGCTCAGCCGCCTCCTCGGTAAACCAAGTTTCACAATGTTTGGAAGCAAGAAGCGACGTGATCGCGGTGGCGAAGATGAAGATGAAGGGCTCGACCGACGCGCTGATTTGAGCTTTGCAGACTACACGAGGCCGATGAACAGCGTGGGGGTGGGTGGATTAGGATCTGTGGCTTTGCACCTAGACGGACAAAGCCAAATCGAACACAAGCCAACGACGAACGCGGACGTCTGCGTGAACGAGGAGGCCTCGAAGCCAGGTGCGTGCAAAGGCATCGATCGGATGGCTTGCCTCAGCTGCCAAACTCGCCACAATGGCCTGAGAAGCTACCAACTAGAGTCCAAGACGCAATCTGAGAGAGAGAGAGAGAGAGAAATGTTGAAGCAGGGAAACTCTCTAAAAAAAAAAAAAAAAAAGAGCATTAGCGGCCGCCCTTTGTATTGACTGCATTGTAACGATTAGACCTGCGGGATTTCGCGACGCGACTATACGCGAAGAGGGAACACGGATAGACAAAAGTGAAAACATTCTGTTCTAACGTTAGACTGTGTGTACTGTCCTTGGACTAACGGAAGAGGCTGCCTCTGAGGCGTCCGCTTGAATATTCCGAAATGAATGTGTGAGATCTATAAATTCTTCTAGGCTCTCTCCAATGGGTGACTTCGCAATTAGCGGACTCCAATGGTCAACGACACTCGACGCCAGATTGAGCTGGCGCAGTGAATATAAATGAGAGACAGGTCTGTCGCAGAGCTGCATAGGGCCGATGTACGGATCGCCGAGTCGGTCCTGTCTCTCTCTGTTTTCTCCCTTTCCAAATAACCGGATGTGCAGCAGGAGATCTCCCTCAGATCAAGACAAGGAAGAAGAGAGGGCCTGTGATAAATTGGAAAATTCCATAACAAACCTCTCGGGTCATCCGGCTGGTTCCGGGAGCATGCTGTACGTAGGTAGAAAAATGAAGCTGTGCAGATTCACGATGCCGAAGCCAGGTTTTCTCGCGGTTGTTGCATAATAATTGTACCTGGAGTGCTGACTCTGCCTGTAGGCTGTTGTGTAAGGGTCGGAATACTACCTACGTGCGCCGTGTCCCATATCCGGGAATGAGGATTGTGCGGTTTCCTGCCCCCAAATTCTTTCTGACGGGGACGACCTCATTCGCACTGCTGATGCTGCTGCAGTGTTGGTTGCCTGCGAACGCCTTCGGTAATTGGAACCCCGGTACAGTCGCATCCGGGTCTTTTCGTTACATTGCCCGCTCACTAGCCATCATGTTTCCGCGTGTTCACGCATGGATGTCATGGATGTCATGGATATCATGGGTGTAGATGGGTAAGGCTGGTGGGCGGAGGTCATCTGCAGTGTGGAGAGATGGCCCACATTGCGAGAAGAAAATTGCTAGGTAGCCAGGTACGGACATCGAGAGGCACTTGGCAGTGGCACGCTGTGGAGGCGAGCAGATCATGGGGGAGGGGGCCAAACTTACGACTCTCGAGTACGAAAGGTACGAAATGGGCAAGCCAAACCTAATGGCACGAGCGGACGAACCGGCTTGTTTCAAAAAGTCTATCCAATCTCGGTGCGTTGGTCGAACCCTCGAGGGGGGCGGCGCTCTGGGGCTTTAGCCTTTTGGTGGCTTGACGGCGCCGTTCGTTCGATGCATGTCTTGAAATTAGGCTCTTGGTCATGATTTGTTGTTTATTTGCTTGTTTCCCTCTGAAACACCCATGAGATCTTGTTTGAATTTTCTTCCGGCACGGCGGAAAGTCTAAGTGCAGAAAAAAAAAGATGAAAAAAAGCAACGACATCGAACGGTGTGCTCCTTGGGGTCTCGACCACTTGTCGGAGTCGAACACACCGACTTCTGTCAGCTGTGAATGCCAGGACCTCGCGGCAACGTGGCCTGACGTATTTCGTATTCGAGGCAGATGGACGGATGCAGAGCATTGACTGCCCCCTGAAGCTTGAGAGATGGGTCGTCGGTTCAAAGAATCAGCTGAATGAGCCTTGGGAGAGAAGAGCACAGAACATGTCATGTCATTGCTTCTTTAGTGGCCTTTGGGAGAGGCAGTGCTCTGTATCTGTATTCGTAGGTGATTTGGCGACAGTGCCAGTGATGCCCATGACATTTTCTCTAATCAGGTCAGCGGAGAGCTGCGGTGCCCATATCAAACCTTACGAGTCTCCGGGCCGAGTGGCGAGATGAAGATTTGCGGGTTAGCCTCGCCATCACAAACGCCAGGCTCCAGCCAGTCTTTCCATTTAGGGCGACTATCTACTGTAGCTTGTAGGCGATGGTGGCTGCTTGCCAGCTCTAAATAGAACGATTGCTATTTCGGTGCACTCTTGCCTGTTCCCTTGTATTGTTAGGCGGCCATCGTGTGTGCAGGCTGAATGGAGCCGCCTTCCCGCGCTTCTCGAAGGAGGGAATGGTATGCTGTTTGCACGGGAAAGAAATGTGACCAGACTGAAAGAGAACAAAGTCGCGCGCCGTGGCAAGGGAAAGCAGAAGACGGCGCGTATCACAGTATAGATAGCTGTGGTGTGTGGTGTTTGTGTGACTGGCGTTGAATGTCGCTCACTCTCTTGGTCCCCTGTTGGCGATGACGAGGGGCCACTGATTGTGGTTAGAAGTTGGAAACTTGGAGCTCGGGCCGGACAAACGCCTTCTTTTTCCGTCCCATGTGGGAAGCTGTGATTGGATGACCACCACAGGAACCCCGAGCAAGCAATTTCGTTTATTGTGTGGGTGGGCAGTGGAGACAGACGTGCGAGCCAATCAGACGGGATCGGTACCTGACAGGATGGCGTTGGGAGGCCCCTGCCTTAGCGCGGCCCGTGCATGGCGCTGATGAAGATGGGCGCCGGTGTGGATGGGAAATGCGAGCGACGGTTCGGGGGGTCGGGACCCGTGGGATGAGTGCGGGATTTGTTGAATCCGACGACTTTGGCTGCAACATGTAGAGAGTGAGATTCTGCGGTGGTTTACAGTCGGTTGTTCCGCTTGAAAATGGATTACAGCGTGTCAATGCAATGTCGTAACAAGCCTGCGACTCTGCATAGGACAGCCTGGACAAGTGTGCAACTATTCCGAAGTGTTTTTGTTTGTTTCCTCCCTCACTGTGAACATTTGCGTCGCAGCATCGCCCGCCACCATTGCCGCAGGGAGAGTGCCAGAGACAGGGCGGATGGTGAAACGCTGACTCGGTGTTATGGCCGTGGATCAGATGCATCGTCGAATGACCGTTGGAGCCGCGATTGCATTCTCGTGCGCGTTTGTCCCAATCCGTCTAATTCGTCCCATTGTTGGACTTGTGCAAAATGTGATCCGAGCCCCGTCCATCACCCAAGGGACACTGAGGGGGATCACCCCAGACGGCACTAATAGTCTAACATGGCAAAGACTGCAAGCCATGACCGTACCGCACGGCCGTCTTTTCCATGGCATTGCCGCACGCCACACGGCACACGCGCCTTTCCCTTTTCATGTTGATATCCCACGGTCCTCGTGCTGTTGCTCCCTATCTATCTTCGTGCCTGTACGGAATACGGAGCATCTCTTGTCGAAGGCTGCACTGCAGCAAGTGAATCCGTCCTGAACCGAGACTGGGAGTATTCCTCCACGGTGCCTTAGTGTCAAGACTGCAGGTCCGTCAACTGGACGGTACCTGACGGCGCGCAGGGGTCTACTTCCCATCCACACCCCCGTCGCACAACCCTTGTCATCCGTCCAACGTTGCTTGGGGCCCCTCCCAATCGCGGCTTGCAGCTTGCAGTAGCATCCTGGACTGCGCGCAACCTCAATGTCCCTGTTTCCCTTCTTCTCACTGTCCCTTCCCACTTTCGTCCTTTTTCTTCCATCCCATCCCGTCCGAACTGCACTCACTTGCTGAGCCCGACTGCTTCCTGCCGTCGCTGCACTTCCAGACACGGAGAGACCTGTCGTCGTCGACCCTCTTTCTCTTGCAGCTTCCCAAGGCCACGGTGTGCAGCTTCATCCGTTCTTTCCTCACACAAACAATCATCGACGTCGCTGTCGTCTACATGACAATCTCCTGAGACGGTTTGTGACTGTCCAATGACTGTGAGCTGGTAGTGACATCTCGCAAAACGACCTCACACCTCACCCACCTTCTCACTTTACTCTCTTTCCCCGGCCCAGCGCCGCTTTACATTCGTTCAATCGCGCACACACTCACACAACAACACTCGATTCTCACCCAACACCAAGACAGTATTTCTCAATAAGGTTGTCCTCGACCAACGCGACGCCCTGGCCGGAACTTTTTACTGCCTCTTCATTCTTTTGACGACCACCTCACGAACATAACAACCTTCCTTCCCTTCTGGAGCCGGATCCCTTGAGCATTCCCATCACCAGTCTCTCTCGTGCACGCCAGAGATCCTTCTTCCAATTTTCAGATACCCCGCCTCGACCCACGAAATTCACGATACGAATCATCACACGCCTCGTTTTATCTTAACAAATCACGACGACTGCTGGCTGGACTCGTTGGATTTAACCCATTTCCATTAACCAACGCCTACAGCTGCAGAAATGGCTCACCACCACCACGCTCACAGGCATCTCGCGCCTCGCAACCCCGGTTTCTGGGACAATGTTGGCGATAAATTCGAGGAACTGAATCCCTTCGCCTCCAATGATGAGGGCACGGGAAGCAATGGAGGTAATCTCAAAATCAGACAGGACGACGACGATGATGATGCCACGCCCACACAGCGCGCTAATACGAAGCAAGGCGGCTCGACTGTTATCAAAACAATCTACCAGACTGTTACCGGTGACGACGCTGTCGCCGCCCCTACGAGCACCACCTCTAGGAAGCTGATTGTCGCCCAATCACCTATCCCCGAGAGGCCGAAATCGACGACAGCTGACTCCGCTGGGACTACTATTGCCCGGGCCGGTGCGCCGATCATGGTGACGGCCGCCAGTTCATCGCCCATCGCCAATGCTGCGTCGAATTCGCCACTTCCCTCGGTCATCGAGGACTCCTTGACCGAGAGCATCCAAACCACGCTCGCCATCGCGACGGACGCGCCCACTTTTGCAAAGTCCGCCCAGGCCACCGCCACTGCAGATAATGCCAGCACCATCTCCAGCGCTTCTCCTAGCGCAACGTCAACCACTGATGAGTCGACCAGCAACGAGACCAGCGGTGCCGCAAAGGCTGGCATTGCCATTGGTGTACTGGCCGGTGTCCTGGTGGTCTTTTTGCTCGTCTTCTTCCTCTTCAACCGTCGCAAGAAGCAGATGGAGCAGCATCGCCTGGCCGACGAGGATGAGAAGAGCCATGGGTTCGGAGCCGTCGACGCCGCCGTCAGTAGCCAGAACCCCCGCGCTCCCCGCATCAGTCTCCGCCCCGTCACCCAGTTCCTTCCCAACTTGAACCTCGACAAGCGCGCCAGCAGGGGGCCTGCCATTAATATGAATGCCAATCTGGCTCCCGCTGCCGCTGCTCTGGGTCTTCGTAACCCTGGCCAATCCGCTTGGGACAGACCGGCAACGAACCAGAGCTCGAACCCCGCGAATCCCTTCGGTTCTCAGGCCGAGAGAATCAATGGCCCCATTGCCGAGGAGTCTGTCAGCCCCGTAAGCCTCAACGAGAAGCCCCTTCCCAGTGTCGTCGAACCTGCTCCGGGCACTGCCATGAGTGAGCCCCCTGCCCACACCGGTGCCAACGGTGCCGCTATTGCTGCAGGCGCCGCGACAGTTGGTGCCGGAGCTGTCGCTGCTGGAGGTCTGGCTCGTAAGGCGTCGACCCGCAAGGATGGTCCCAAGGCACTCGATCTGACGCTGCCTGCGCCTCCTGCCCCCTTGTCTACTATCCCTGCTTCGCCCTCCGGAACCACGTTCAGCGCTGACTCTGCCGGCCCTGGTCACCAATCCAATGCATCCACTGGTTCTGCTGCCATTGCCGCCGCTGGAGGTCCCGCCAATACCACCGTTCATCGGGTGCAACTCGACTTCAAGCCTACTCTTGAGGATGAGATGGAGCTGAGAGCCGGTCAGCTTGTGCGCCTTCTCCACGAGTACGATGATGGATGGGTAAGTTTTGATGTCCGTAGTTATGAAATGTATGCTAATGTCCCACTAGGCGCTCTGCATTCGCTTGGATAGATCCCAGCAGGGTGTTGTACCGCGCACCTGTCTCTCCACTCGTCCGGTCAAGCCCAGACCTCCTCAAGCCCAGGGACCTAACCAAGGACCTCCTCGTGGTCCTCACATGGGCCCTGGTGCTCCCCGCGGTCCCGGCCCCAACTTCCCTCCTGGTCAGCGCCCCATGAACTCCCAAGGCGGTCCACCTTATCCTCGACCCGAGTCACCCGCAGACCGTCCGATGAACGCCGGTGGCCGACCTCAATCCCCCGGTCCTCGCTACCAGGGTTCTCCGGCACAGCGGCCGCAGAGCCCCAGCGGAATGGGAGGTCACAAGCCGAGTCCTCCAGGACCGAGCAGAATCCCTCAGCCCAGTCGAATGAACCCCAACGGTCCTCCTAGTGGACCCATGAACGGGCCCCCGGCTCAGGGCCGCCCAGGCCCACCGATGGGACCCGTCGGCCGCAAGCCCGTCCCTGGACAGGCTGTGTAACTGACTACCAAGACAGCGTTCATATGCACCGATTCCCTGCGTATATAACGTCTTTTGGCACAAAGACTGGGAATTCACCTTTCGTTTGGCGATAGACTAGGGTCTGCTTTGCATTCTGGACAGCACGGGCACGGCGTTTCTGCGAACTACCAAAAGAAGAGCTTGGGGGAGTTTTTCCCCTTCACTGGACTCTTACGATGAATCCGACCAAGGGGCGAAACCCCAACGACGCGTTTTATACCTTTCAAGTCACTCCTTCATGACACCGCTTTTGATACACCCTTCTTGCAGCCTCGTTTCAATCGTGGCTTGCAAATTTCTTTTCTTTTACGCTTCTTTTCGCGCGCTCGAACAGCCCCGTTTCGCGATTCCGATTCACCTACCTTGGCCCTTCTCTTGCCACGCGACTGCAGCGGCGGCGATTGGACATGGGGCAAGGATACGCCTAGTGCTTAATGTATATTGCTCACTTTTGTTGTTTGTTTGTTTTGACACATGTCGCTTCTTGCAGCTCTGGTGGCTGTGTTTGGTCGCTCAGCAAACACGCCGGGCGACCTATTTGGCAGGATGCAACGATGCTGTTTTGTCGTTGGTCCCTTTTGAGATGCCTTGAAGTGGTATGATTTGGGACAGCATGATGGAGAGATGGAAAACTTGGAGGCGGACTTGACGGATGGAGAGAGGATCTAGTTCCTCCCGAGAGGGACGAGAACTAGAGACGCTTCTTTGTGTCGAGCAAGCTAGCTAGACAATGAGATGCCTATACCTGAATGTTTCCATCATGATGCGTGTGTAATCCTGTTGGGGATGTTCAGGGCCTTGCCCCCTGCACGCCATTTATTTTTCTCCTGTGTGATTTCCTCATGAGTGTCGTATCGATGGCTGACAGTGTCTTTGTTCTAGTCTCCGGTTTTCCATCGCCCGTCTCGCCAATAGTACCAACTCAACGGAAGCCGGATACGTAAGTTGATCTGATATCCAGGCTTTGATGCGGGAAACAGTCCGTATCTAGTCGACAGTTTGCAGAGCTTTTGCAAAATGCAATGCCAGCTTTCGAGCCGACGTTTGTGTCATCCCCAGGCTCATCGTCTTTGCGATAGTCAGACAGGAGGAGGAGATGGCGGCAGCGACTAACCACGCGGCATTGCCTCGCCCAACCTCGTTGAGTGGATCCTGATGTTTGATGGCATAGGTGAGGTTTGAGAGACATGAGGAGTAGAGCTAGAGCGAGACGTTGAGATGTGGTTATGGCGACGTACAAGCTGGAAGTACAGTTGTGTTTACGAATACCCTGTGTTTACGGATACCCTGGAGGGAAAGTGTCTCGGGGATCTCTAGGGATTTTCATCTACATTGCCGAGGTATGTCAGAGAATGTTGCCATTTTCCATCAGGATGTTGTCATTCTCAACGTGAGTATCGTGTCCTATGCGGCTTGTACGGGAACGAGCCCAGTTCTTCCCCAGCGAGTGTTGAGGCTCGCTGCAGGTCATCATCTTGAGAAAAAAAATATAATCTCCAAGACCAATGGAGCGGAATGATGAAATCGCTTACGCCTCTGCTTGCTGCACTATGTCAAGTTACAGCAACGCGTTACGAGGGCCTTGAGATGCGGCAGCGTATGTCATGATGGGCGAGGTTTGCCCGATTCCCAACTCTAGACGCGCCAGCCTTTCTCTGTCACGATTCTCGACATTGACACCGACTCCTTTTTTGAACGTATAACAAGGTAGCTCAACTCTGGACACTACATGCCGCACGTGAAGGGTGTGGAAGCTTCTGCCCGTAATGCTACCACTCCAATGCTTGAATGAGCTCAAGGGTGGAACTGGACAAGTACGTTTGATACATACGCGATGAAAACAACCTCGAAATCAAGACGACTGGTAGTCAAGGACTGAGAACCGAGGCAAGCTGCCCACCCTAGGCTGTGATTCGAGACCAGATTTAAGTCATCACCACTCTCCTTGGGAGTATCCCGCGCATTCCATCTCGTCGACTTTGCTGACCGCACAAATCCTTTTCATCGGGTTCATAACGTGGTCACTTATATTTCATCTCTCTTCCAACAACATGAAGTTTTCAATCTTTACCTTAACAGTCATGGGACCTGGAATCACCCCGCTCTTCGTGCCCAACAAGCTCATACAAGCATTCCTCAAACAAGCCGACGTTGTCTGCTGCGGCGTGGATCCCTGCTTCATCGGGTGTTTAGCAAAGGATGTATATCACACATAAGGTCCCTACTCTCCTTGGCAGGAGGAGCGTTTGCACATGCTGGCATCTCACTCGTCGAAAGACCTGCTGTCGACAAGACCTTGGAGATGAATTCCATGCCAAGGCACGGGGTTTCCGTTTAAGGGGTTCGGATTTGGAAGCAGTTGCCTGGGGTTCTTCGGTGACATTCAAGCTTGGCCGGCTACGATTTTTTGGGGGCGGGAGGGTTCAAGAAGTGCCAATACCTTTCATTACGGTACCGTTCTTCGGGAACGAAGCTGCTGCCAGATTCAATGTAGCCCCCGGCACCCTATGAGTGATACGAACATTCCTTGACACCGGGTGATCTGCGTCATTCCGTCTGGTTGAATTTCTTCCCCGTGTCTTGAGGTTCAGATTTTTGGCATCAAAGTCACTAAGTTCCCGTATCAGAACTCTGAGGTGAGATTAAGAAGAGATGATGTGCTGTGAGGACGCTAGTCGTCGTTTGGAGGATAGAGCCTGTCAAGCGCCACCTCTGTGATGTACTGGCGTAACCTCCTCTCGCGCTGGCAAGCTATAGACCACCATTAGGACCCAATAGACCGCGACTGAGGTCTTGGTGAACTTCCATTCGACGCAAAGTAGGCACTCTCCCGTCTTTACTCCCCTGAAGGGTGGAGCGAGTTCTCAGTAACGAGCAGCTCGTGTCGTGCGTCCGTGGGCAGGAACTAATGCTTTGCAGGCAGAGCTGTAACTTTCCGACGTGTCCGCATGAAGGTATTGTACCATTCAGCATGGAACTCTCATTGCGGTCTACGATAAGATTCGTAAAATTTTTCCTCTATATAGCGGCGAGGGTGACCTCTCCTGGATTCCAGAGACGATAGAATCGATGTAGGGGTAACCGGGTGACTTACACGGCCAGAGAAAGTCATGGCCGTGGGCAAAAGGGACTGTTCAAACAGTCTGCCTTAAAGCTCCGAATGCATAGTGTACCCATATTCTCCAAGAGGTTTCACGGAACAGAGTTGCTCACCTCTTGATATTCAAGCATAGTCGTGATCCGACGTAAGACCCACTCTTGAATTACCTTTACGACGATCGTGATTGGCTAAAGGCTCACCTATGCTGTCACTCTCGGTGGTTTGGCGCGTTGACACATACTCGCGTATCAGGTTCAAGATCTTAGTATTGGCCGTCAGCAAAGTAGAGTGAGCACATGTGCCTCATCCCTCACACTTTCTAGTCCTCAAAAACTCGGTCGTCGTTTCCTGGCTTGGCAACACCAATGATGAAGGTTCAAGTCCAGAGCTGAAGCCCGTGCCAATTGAGCTGGTTGCTTCGCCGCCATTCGCAAACTGTCGTACCACTCAGAATCGCGAGGATCGCTAGCGCACACAATAAAGCGATACTTTCAAGCGCGACGAGCAACATATCGCGGGGCCGTCCACTGTTCGCAACTGCCGCTACCGCGCGGCGCTCAATTCCTGGGGTACCATATTTACATTGTACAAGTTTCCGACCGTTCGAGTTGTTTATGAGTTCTGAATCGCCTCCGCCTGCGTTGTATCCTTGGCCTTCCTTGCGGCCTGTTCTCTGTCGTACTCGATCAATTGCTTCGACCAGCTGTGTTCCTCCAGTGTCAGCCAAGACTCTCTTTCGTGCGTAGTACCCAGATTGCACGGGGAAAGGGGAACGAACTATCTGCTGGGGAAGAACCGGCCCTCCTGAGGCATCACGTAGCGCACCTCCTTCTCGGCGCTGATCTTCCAGATGACGGCAACGACGCCGGCCATGACGGCGCCAATGACGGCGGTGTTGCGCTTCCAGTTCGCGGGCTGGGCGTACCAACCACCGGCCGGCGACCAGACGTGCTTGGGGTAGCTTTCGTGTGGGTTAGAGGAGCTATTCTCGAAGGATCGGGGAGGTTTGCGTCGAAGAGGAGATATCGCTGGGCTAGAACTCACGGAACCTTAGGACCGCCTCCCTGTTTGTGAGTTAGCTATTGGCCCGGCATCCCCAATTGAGCAGCGACGTACCATTTTGACTGTATTCTCAATGTGAGGGACTGGATAGTGTGGTGATGGCAATCGCTGTCCCGCCTCAATTCGATATTGGAGCTTTTGCCCTTGGACGTCGTGAATGCGAAGTGCACCATTCCTCCCAAAAAGTGGAGCCCGAACCATCCGGAGCCACGGAGGAGCGGATGTTCCGCCCTATTCTCGGTGGATCGTGCACGGGTCCTCCCCCCTAGCATGCTGGAGCTCACACGACTTCGAATCGGTCGGCTCCAGAAACTTTTTCGTGACGGGAGACCGGCGCCTGCGAGAGAAACGGGACGTGGAACTTTTTCCCCTTTGCGATCGACCCCCAGCGAACAATAACCTGCCAATCGCCTCGGCCGCCACCGCCTTGTACAACACCCATAGACTCTTTCTTTCCTTCGTCCGTTTTTTAGTCGCTTGTTACTGGGCTCCTCGCAGCTCAGCAACCAAACCTTTTCCCCCGAATGGCATCCCAGATGAAGAGGTTAAGGATATCAAGATGCACTGGGCAATTGCTCAACACCCAGGCCAGGACACACGCCTCGCCGTGCCTGACGCCCATCTCCTTTAGAACACAGCAGCACCCCTTCGCCCGTCACAGCAGCAACCCAGTGCGGACACTATCGACCTCGTCCCCGTCCTCGGCCGCAGCAGCAGCAGCAGCAGAAGCACCCGACGCCTCGCTCGACGCCGCCACGCCCGCCCCGAAGAAGCTCTCGAAAGAGTTCCCGTCACCTCTCCCCGAAAAGGCCCTCCAGTCAGCCAAGCTGGCCGCCCTCCACGCCCGCCTCTCCCTCCCCGAGAAGCTGCCCCTCCAGACCCTCGCGCGCACCCTCGTCGACCCCTCCGCCGACCCGAGCCCCAACTTCAACAACGCCAACCTCGCCGTCGTCGGCGGCTCCCTCATCAGCTACCACGTCTCCGAATGGCTCATCGCCCACTACCCGCGCCTGCCCATGGCCATCCTCTACGAGGCCATGCGCGCCTACGCAGGTTCCGACTCGCTGTACCGCGTAGCGAGCCAGTGGGGCGTCGAGAGCGCCGCCGCCCCGGGTGGAGAGGTTGACCCGGGCCTGCTGCAGTGGTCCCAGGACCCGGAGGCCGGCATCGTCCACGGCCGCTGGGGTTACGTCCGCAAGGAGCACCGTCACCTCGACAAGTTCAAGTGGCGCCGCTCCGTGTCCTCCAGAGTCGTTCTCGACGACGAGTTCGGCGACGTCCTGCACACCCCCAAGCAGAACCCGCTCGAGCCCGTCCCCGACCAGCAGGACCCGGCCGTCGTCAGGGAGCAGTACAAGAAGCTCCGCAACAATGCGCACGCCGCCCACGTCCGCGCCGTCACGGGCGCCCTCTACGCCCACGCCGGTCGCGACGCTGTGCGCTCCTTCATCGACGCCCACATCCTCAGCCGCCGCGTCGAGCTCGAGAAGCTCTTTAGCTTCAAGCTGCCCACCCGTGAGCTCGCCATGCTCTGCGCCCGCGAGGGCTTCGAGGCCCCCGTCGCGCGGCTGGAGAGCGAGACGGGCCGCCTCAGCAGGACGCCCGTATACGTCGTCGGCATCTACAGCGGACGCGACAAGCTCGGCGAGGGCACGGGGGCCAGCCTCGACTTTGCGCGCCTGCAGGCTTCCATGAACGCTCTCAAGGCGTGGTACCTCTACAGCCCCGGTGCCAAGGTGCGGGTGCCGAGTGATATGCTCGTTGAGGGCGCGAAGCCGTGGCAGCCTGTGCACATTGACATGGGAGAGATTATTTAAGAAAAGACATTGGGGAAGAAGGAGGGAAAAAAAAAAAGGAGAAAATGAAAAGCAAAACGCATCGACTGTAATTCATCCATCAGAGAAGGAGGAAAGGGGCGACAAGATAGGAGGAGAGAGAGGCGGAGGGACGTTGTTGACGGGCCGGGGGACAGGTGATCCCGGATAACCAAGATGCCTTTTTCTGGGCAGTGTACATTTTGAAGCAAGGGCATGTAGAAGGTCAAGCATGTCTCTGTAAGATGAATAGATTTGTAAAAACAATGACACACTCCTCGAAATGGGGCCATTTACTGAACTAGCCTGTGCCTCAATCATACTCATCTATCTTCTATCGGCTGCACGATGCTCTCAGCGTGGCAACTATTGCTCATAAAAATGTTCCAGTTCCACAGAATTACATTCGCCATCTTTCCAAGAGTCATCCATCTCTTCGGGTATCTTCATTCTACCAACTCCATGACTCGACTCTTCAACTGAACTGGTCACCCTCGCCCAACTTGTGCGCCATTCCCCGCCTCACCAAGCACCGATATCGATCCTTCTTTATCCCCGCCTCCCTCTCCAGTCTGAGCTTCTTCTTGCGCTCGTAGACGGCCCGCACCGTCCCGCGAATCTGCTCCCGTCCCTCGGCGTAGTTGGCCCTCGCCAGCGCGGCCACCTTTTCAATCTGTTCGGGCGTGTAGACAAAGTTCCAGGTGCTCAGGTAGTCCGTCGTGCCGGGGTTGATGCCGGGGGCCTTGGGGTTGGCGAGGTAGGGCAGGTAGATGATGGCGATTCCTGCGTCGGGCTCCGTGAGCTGCCACGAGGTGGACGCCGTGATAGCCTTGGAGGGCGGGGGGGTCTCGGACGAGGAGCGCTCTTGCGTGGTGCCGACCCAGACGGTGCAGTAGCCCAGCTCGCCCGACTCCTCGTCGCCGGGCATAAACTTGGCCGCTTGCCCGCTCTTGGTATTCTCGTCCGGCTTGCGGTTGGCTCCCTCGGCCTGGTGTTCGCGCTGGTACTCCTTGGCTTTACGGAGCTTCTGGTCCGCTTCCTTTGCAGACGCGGCCTGGGCTTCTACGAGCTCGTCGCGCACTTCCTTGGGGGATTCACTGGCTTTGGGCCAGCCGACGCCGACGGGCCAGCCCTTGATGCCGCGTTGGCGGGCGTAGCCGTCGGCAACGGCAAGCCAGTTGTCGGTCTTGATGTCTGCGGAGGCGTCGAAGGCGACGACAACGTCGACGTCGCGGCCAGGGCGGAGAAGCGGGTAGATGGGGAGGTTGTTGGACATGCCGGCGTCCATGAGCTGCAGGTACTGGTTCGTATAGGTGCTTTTTGGGGCTGTTTCTGGGAGCTTATTCTCCATGCCGTAGGCGAAATTCGCGACAGTGCCGGGGTCGATGGGGTGGACCTTGCTGAGGTCCTCATTGTAACCGGAGATCATGCCGTCTAGAGCGCCAAAGCCAGCAAGGCTCTGCACGAGAGGCCGTATCTCGTTATAATAGTGGCTCAGGGTTGCGCAGAAAGCGCTGCCAAAGACGCCGAGGAGAAAGGGCATGCGAGTCTCCGGGAGATGGAAGCCTTCCTCTGGAGGCACGTCGACGCCGTTCTTGAACCGCCGGCCCATGGCCCAGGTCGGGATCCCGGCGGAAAACTCCTCGCAGAAGAACTCGTACGGCGTGATTTCGAACCACTGGAACCAAGCTTCCTTTTTGGCAACCTCTTTCGCTGCGTCAGAGGTAGACGGCACTTTTCCGCTTCCGTCAAGATTGACATCGGGGATCTCGTGGCGGACGGCCGTGTAAATGGGTAGCGGGTTCTGGCCGTATTTGATGTACTCCCGCTGGTTGGAGAGCTTGAAATCCCGATCGCTCACTTCGAGCTCGCCCTTGGGGACCAATAATCTCGCCGCCAACAGGAGGCCGTAGACGTCGACCAGTCCAAAGTCCGCGCCGGGGTCACCCTTGAGCTTCTCGACAAGGCCGCTGAGCAGGTACTTGCTCGTGGGCGCAGAAAGCAGGGTCTGGAACGCCACGGGAGGATAGGCGATGTGGATGCCAGCGCGGGCCTTGAGATGTTGCAGGACCCGGGGGAGACTGCCCTCGGATATGGACGAGTGGTAGAGGGCCTGTAGCCAACACGAGCCGCTCACACCAGAGGTATATGTGACACAGTCGAACAGGCCATCTTCGTCAGCAGCGAGCATGGAGCCGGTGCCGGCAACCAGGGCCCTTAGACCACCTCCGGAACCGCACATTGCGATTGTCGGGACGTCGTCCGGGTGGACATCCCTCTCGTCGATGTCGAGGTACTTTGCTAACGCCATGGTGGTGACTCGTTTCCGCCTTGCCAAGAACTCTTTTTCCTCATCACATAGGTCGTTGGAGACCCTGACCTTGGCGGCATATTGCACCTCGGGGTTGATGAAGGGGTCATGGGCTTCTCGCCAAATCTCATCAGCTAGAGATCCGGGTGCCATGGATAGCTGCTGGTGTTAGCCAATGGTAACAATTGGTGATGTTTGGGAAATCTCACTTCTCTCTGGAGCTTTCGGATGTATCCGGGGACCAACCTGGACCATTCTGGTAGGATGAAGCCAACAATCTTGTCTGCAGTCCATTCGACGTCGGCAGAGTCGGACAAAGTCTCAAACTTGAGGGCAAAGTTGTACCATGCAGTCTCGTCAGACTTGGTGCTTCCCGGATTGCTGCGAACTCCCTTCCTTCTGTCGTCCTCGGCCAGGGAGAGCCGCTCAAACTCATCGGACGGATAGAGCGCCCAGATGACCAGACCGCCGGTCAGGATTGCGACCGGGATCGACGTCTTCTTGGGCGGGACCTTCTCCCTTGCCGTGAAGAAGCTGTGCTTTGACTGGCGGGACAGCGTAGGCCTTCGGTGGACCAGGAGGCCGTGAGTCCTGATGCGACCGACGGTCACGCTGTAGTGGAAAGTTCTCGCAGCCCGGCGCAGCGCGTCGCGGGAATACGGCGCGAACAATCTCATCTGGGCGATACTGGGAAGCTTGAGTTGTGTGACATGACTGGCTGGACGAGCCAGAATGAATGGTGGTGTTGGCTGCGTTGTGATCAGTTGTGAGTGGTGTGGCGTGGCGCAGGGCGGGATGTTGGCGGCGGTGATTACTATCGTCCTAGCTGATCAGGAATCTTTTTGACTGTTACGGTTCTGGCAAATTTGTTGTCTTCATCTTAGATCAGTCACCAAACCTGGCCAGTGCTATGGATGAGAAAAGATTGCAGACCAAGATGGCCGCGGCTGCTCCGGGAGAAAGCACCGGAGCTGAATTAAGCGCAAAGCGCGAGGCAGTGACAGTGAGGTTAGCTCAACAACTTTCTCTGCCGACCCTGGTCTGCTCCTGACATCATTGAGGCACGATAGGGATTGGTGGAGCCAAAGCAAGGAAGAGCAAGGGGGCAAAGGGCGGACTCTCCATCGGATGGATTAGAGAGGTACTTCACGTTTGCACCAGAATCTCGGTTTATATGAAGTGACTTCCTATGTGGCAGGAGCTCCACCATCCGTTGAGAAAGCTCCGGGCGGGTTCATTCGCCAATTGAACTGGTGGACCCGGAGGCCGCTCTGGCCACTCTGTGGCGCCAGTTTCTCCCTTAGCCCCCGGCCTCTGCCGCATCCCATGTGACGATGACATTTCTATCCGTACAATGTCACAGCTCATCGTTCAGGTGAGTCTAGAACCTCAAAGTTTCTTCAGACGACCCCATCACACAATCAATGACAGGATCCGGTGTATTTTCTCCTCACAGCTTGGTTAGTCTCTGAGGGTCACGGGCCAACGACCAAGCTTGTTGCCAGCCAAAAGAGACAGTCCTCTCAGTCCGAAGCCTCAACTGGACTAATGCGGTATCCGCCCCCAGTCTGGTAGGCTCACAACTTTGCTGCAGTTCGTCCATGCTTGATGTCAAGATGAATCTTCCGATTAAATAACTTCAACCCTTACCCTTGAGGTCATTTGGCTGTCCAGGGGCGGGCCTTCGATTGACATACCTATTTAACAGTGATCCTAATAGATACCCTCGAGTCTGCTGGGGAACGGGCCAACCCTCAAGAGGTTTGGAGTCTGCATTGCGACTTGTCCCTCTTTTTGCATTTGGTTTTTGATATTGTTATCCACCCTCCAAGGAGAAGATGCTTTTCAGCTGTGACGAGGGACCACCTGCAAGAATATGCAAGACAATTTCCGCCTAGGTGTGCAATTGTTACCAAGAGGGTTAATGGTTAGTCAAGCCTTTTCATGTTAGAATCCAAGCGGCGTAATAACGCCCAAAACCCGCGACAAGAGCCACACGGCAATAAAAGCTTCCTTTCAGCATTTTGACATTTTTGATCGATGCTAGGTAGACAACTCCATGCTGAAAGAGTACGCTCCCGCCAGCCTCCTCAGCCATGAGTTGTCCTCGACTCCTCATCTCGTCCTTCTTGCTTACTCGGCTTGGTATTGTCTGGAGGATCAACAACCTTCCGGACCTTCCTTGCCTTTATCTAGACACCAGACTTATCCATAAATTCGGGTTTCAATCAAGCCAAGACTGTTGTATGTCATCATGGTCGTATCCTCAGTGGCTATGCCTACCGTTGACGCTGCTGAGCTAGACTTCCAGCCGGGGGGTTCATTCCGTGTCTAAGCCAAGATCTCAACTGTTACAGGCATATGATTTAAACCTGCATGCTAAAGCTCGTCTTATGCGAGGAGACAGCTAGCGAGATAAATTTCAGAACGTTGTTTGAGGGGACAACGGCGATAAGTACCGCAACAAGATACGCCTGTTGTGCTGTCATCTCACTGTAAGCTCTACAGCAGGCAAAAATGAGATCAGAAAGACTTTTAGGAGTCCGAGTTTGCGTCGCAAATACGTTGAAGATCTTTTTACCTATGCAGAACTGGTGACCAAGGATGAACCTTCCTCGTTCAGGTGGTAGAGCTGTGGACACCTATGCTTACCGGATGAATGCGTCAATGTCCAGCAACGATAAGGAAACATTGTGAGGCACCAACTACGATTTATTCAGTTTTATGTCTCCAGTATCGCTGTGTTGGGCAATCTCTCAGCCCTGTGCTCACCGGCCAGAGCTGGTCGTGGGTATCTTGACAGACAAAGTATCCAGCTTGTATTCTACACATCGAGGAGGTAGCGAGACAATTAGGGTGTTCACCTGAGACGGATGATTCGACCTGCTCTCGAAGTGGATTGTTCCAGCATTGGAACCTGACCAACACCTGTCTCAAACCCATGCCAATGGAGTTACACATCTTGCGGCGGTTGAGGACTTGTCCCCGACAAAAGCAAAAGCATGCTAAGACAAGTTGTTTCGTTAGGAATCCGCAGGCGATTGCTACGTTTTAACCGATAACAATTTCTTCCATTCGGGAGGGCATAATCAAGCCGAGGTGACGGGTGTACCGATTCGTGGCCCAGCCGGAGCACATCAAAGGCACCGGGGTAAAGGCCCCACAATTGCGGCGATTGAGAACCGGCCACATCACTTCAGGACCGGAGCTTCTCATGCCGGGAAGAACCAGAAGGATCCATCTCCACCTCTCCTTTGAGCCTCTATCAGCTATATACTACTCGTATCGCTCGTATTCGCTGCTTTGTGAGTGACAATATAATACCAGAGGAAACCTATGGTCAAACCCCACTATGTTGGTCTAGACTGGGAAGACATCGCTGCTCTCCGAGTCTGGGATGCGGCAACTCACTGGTGAGGGCCGAGTTGGTGCTGTGGACAACCCAGCCACAGCATTCCTGAGAATCATGTTGAGCTCAAGATTGCGCACCCAATGTGTCCACAAATCTGTGGTTACTGGCGCCCAGAGGTTTGGTGGCTCGATGAGGAGTGGTAGAGGTTGCCAGCGCACGGCCGAGCTGCCCTCGGGTGACAGAGAAGGCACCGTTCAAGCGCTGCCGAATTTAGAGCGGCAAGGTAACGCACTACCTGCAGCGAGGGATGCGATTATCACGTTCGACAATGAGGGGCGCGATGGGCTTCTTGTCGACAAACACAGACCAGGAAAAATTGAGGAGTGGCTTGCCTCGGCAGATTACAGTGGCGGGCATCAATGGTATTTGCGGGCGGTTCTGTCCTGTTCATTTTTCTGTCTCGTTTGCCTTAGGCCGTCTTTTTGCTGCAGGATCTGTCGCCTGCGCGAAGCCGAACAGCAATTTGTCCGACGCAGGGAGTTTGGGCAAGACAGTAAGACCCGAGACACGGCAAGGCTGGCTGCCAAGCTTGCATCCCGTGCCTTATCTTGGCTGGCTGGCAAAACTCAACATGCCGCAAAGTCGTCACTTCACTGCTCGAGCAGGCCTTCAACGTGACGGACGGTGGCTGAACAGGTGGTAGTGACACAGCCCAGGCGGTCTCTTGGGTAGGCAGTCCGCTTCTTTTTCGGCACGCCACAGGCAGGATTGGTCGTCGACAGCCTGGGCCGAGAGGCATTCTTGAGCTCAGCTCGACCTCGTACCTGCAAGTGTGGACATATGGCCCTCCGAAGTGGCTGAAGAGACGCAGCTAATGGGTAGCGACCGGGGCACCTATCGGCAGACGACGGGTTTTGTGGCTCTAGGTTTCTTCGGGGCAAGTGACTGGCAAGTCCCGAGGTGGAAACGAGCGAGAGGGCCATCAGGTGTGGCCCGGATCCAGGGACTACTCCTGCAGGTCCACGGGGTCTCGCTGCAGGTAAGAGTGGCCAAGAGGACGAAGGGGTGGTGAAGCCTGCAGCAACAGCAGGGCATAGCAGAGGCGAGCCAGGCGAGCAAGAAGCTGGGGTGAGCCTGTGAAGTCAGTGCCAGAAAACGGCTCGTGTGTCGGAATGTCTTTTTTCCCGTTCCTCATAGGCCCCGCCCTGTGGTCCATTTGTGGGTGGGTGTCCGTACGGATGTCGTCCCCCCAAATTTGGATTGCACCGTGTGCGTGCCTGAGGCGTCAGTTATTCACCCCAGGTATGAGTGTGACCAGGATGCCACAGAATGGCTTCGTTCCATTTCCCATTTGGCCCCATTCCATCTCAGTCCACACTCGCACGGCGGGATCCACGATCGCCCATGCCTTTGTCAGGCCTGCTGGTTCCTGGTGGCTCCCGTACTGACTGATACTGGCTCTGGCGCTGGCTCCGGGCACAGGCGCTTTTGGAGCGAGCTATGCGGTCCTTTCTTCATCCCATGGATCATGGATGAGACGTGGAAATTGGAGGTTGGATTCCTGCCTTCCCGGCCCTCAATGCAACCAGACTCCAGAGTGGTCACGAACACCTAATCAGAGCTTGAGGAGGCCGCTATTACCGCACACCGATATCGATCTGCAGGCGGTAGCACACCCACGACCGCCGCGTAGGGAAACGTGGTTAAGCAATACCTGCCAGTCTCATCTTCGTCCCAAACTTTGACTTTTGGGAGAGAGAAGCCGAGTACGTAGCTCTGCAGCTTGCGTGCATTGTTGACAGTACCTTATCGCACAGCACACGGGAATCCAGGGAAGACAACAGTCCGGGAGAAAAACTCAGCTTGTTTCATTCTTCGGGACACCTGTCAATGTCGTAATGCATTAATCTCAGGTGCGCTTTCCTGGCCTTTGAACACGAAGAAGTGTTCCCCCTCGAGTATCTGGTGCCTCCATTGGCAGACAAGAGTTCAAACGCCCCCAGGTTGTTTCTACTCCCGTCCTGTCCCCGTGGCCGGCAAACAGTTGGCACTCTACTTTGTTTCTGGGTGGAGCAGATGCGTGTTGGAAAATCATCGTAAATTGCCCAAGCGTCGGGCACGAATAAGGGGTCCTCTCTGTGTCGTGGGCTCGTGGCCCTTGAAATGGGCAGGTACGGACAGTCTATCCGTAGACTAAAAACACATTGCCGAGCAACTCGAGGCCTCTATGGATAAAGTTAAAGAATCAGATGAATAGAGACACTGACAGCCTGGCTCAACACAAGTTGCAGATCTTACCCAGTCGTTGAAATACAATGTTTGTCGTTCCTTTCCCCAATCTCCAGATGCTCCTTTTGGCGGTTTTTTTTTCTGATGCTTCATTACGGCCACGGCCCTACGGCCAATCATATCGCTCCGTTACGGCGAGCCCCAGTCTCTAATTCTCCTGCTCCATCCACAGCCCCTGCTTAGGACCCATACAAATCAATCTAGCCAGACCGGGATTAGTTAACCCCCTTTTGCTTGGAGAGGAAGGGGACAGCAACGTGCTTCTCCCCCGTCGGTCATGCACCAGCATCCAGTAGCAGAACCGCACCGGCCAGCCAGGCCCAACACCATCTCCCCATCAGGCATGCCGGTCCCCTGTATCTGCACCTTGTACAGAGGTACGTAGCGACGGGCAAGCACCACCCTCAGTTCCAGGCTCCGTCCCTTCCCAGTGGCCGCCCTCTGTAGTGAGCGTAGGGAGGCAGAGCAAGCAGAACGCGGTGCTTGCAAGGTGACCTGAGGTGAAGGGAGCACAGTCGGTAGGAAACGGGGTCACACAGCCAAATCTTTCTTGTCCCCGTTGCACCCTAAATTTCCCCTTCCCACCCCCAAAACGTACGTTCATCGACAACCTACCTACCTCACCCTACCTACACCTTTCCTTCTCTACTTCGCAACCACCACACCTTCTCTCCCTTGAGGTTGTGATTCTTCTCTTCGGCCCAATCATCAACTTTGACCTCGAGCATTTCACCATCACCTCTTTCGGCACCGAGAGGTCCAATTATCTGTCGCCAAACTCCCTTGACCGGCTTTCTCCTTTTCTATCGTTCGTTACCCATCTGCGACGCTCCTTGACACGCGACTGCTCTGTAGACGTCCAGGTATGTGAATCCTCCTCGTCGTCTCTCTTCCTGCGCACTTCTCCTATCGTCGACGACCCGTTCGAGGAAAGAAACCAGCCAAACAAATACGCCCTTCGCCACTTCACTTGGCCAGCTGGCTTGATCTTGCTGTTGCGTAACACTAGAAATCCATGACCACTTTCATTGCACCATCTCCTGGATTAACCTGCCTGCTACGTAACATCTTTTTGCGTTACATCACGGCCAAGCTAACACACTTTCTTCATCCTTCAGATCCAGATATCTTTTTTGAGACAAACTTCTCCAAGTCATCTCCGATTTCCGAAATGGGTAAGCAACTCACGATGTCATGATCCCAGAGCAAGGCACGGCAAGGCAAATTGAGAATCATACTGTCAACTGCAATGACCATCCGGGACTTCGTATACGATCAACCTCGAAGAAAGCCCAATTCCCTCCCGGCCGACGTGTTAGTTCTCGTTAATCGGTTGCTTTCCTCGGATCCGAACACTCGGTAGCCTCACCCGGCGATGTGACGGTGGAGGACGTCAGTCAGGGGACATACCACATACCGAACACCCTCGCAATTCGACACAGGACCGTTTAGACAGCCCTGGTCTCTCGCCAGTGCCTTGCCGCCCTGCCAAATTTTTGTTCTTGTGAAAGAAGAATATTGCTGACGTGAACGCAGCTGACGAAGGTTCTCCTGCTACCTCCCCGCCGCCCTCGGCGCCCACTTCGCTCCCCGTCGAAGAGCCCGTATCTGACTCCTACCAAGCTGGTGGTGCCCCTTCGGCTCCCTCCAGTGATCTTAGGAACATTGTCCGTCGCAAGCTGACTGGCTATGTCGGCTTTGCCAACCTGCCTAACCAATGGCACCGCAAGAGTGTCCGCAAGGGCTTCAACTTCAATGTGATGGTTGTTGGTATGTGTTTTTACCGATTCTTTTGATTCCTTGGAATGCCTGCTGACAGACTTGATCCTAGGTGAATCTGGACTCGGAAAGTCAACCCTGGTCAACACTCTCTTCAACACCTCTCTTTACCCTCCCAAGGAGCGCAAGGGCCCTAGCTTGGACATCATCCCGAAGACGGTTACCATTCAGTCCATCAGCGCCGATATTGAGGAGGCTGGCGTCCGCCTTCGTTTGACCGTCGTCGACACCCCTGGGTTCGGCGATTTCGTCAACAACGATGAGTCCTGGCGCCCCATTGTCGACAACATTGAGCAGCGTTACGACGCCTACCTCGACGCGGAGAACAAGGTCAACCGAATGAACATTGTGGACAACCGTATTCATGCCTGCGTGTTCTTTATCCAGCCCACTGGTCACTCCCTCAAACCCCTCGACATTGAGGTCATGCGCCGCCTTCATACCAAGGTCAACTTGATTCCCGTCATTGCCAAGGCCGACACCCTCACCGACGAGGAGATTGCCAATTTCAAGTCCAGAGTATGTGAACTTTAGTATGACTTCGATGGCAGCTGCTAAGTTTTCGTAGATTCTTTCCGATATCAAGCACCACGGTATCCAGATTTTCGAGGGCCCGCGCTACGAGCTCGACGATGAGGAGACCATTGCCGAGAACAACGAGATCATGTCCAAGGTTCCGTTTGCTGTCGTTGGTGCCACTAACGAAATCACCAACGCGGACGGTCGCAAGGTCCGTGGACGTAGCTACCCTTGGGGTGTCATCGAGGTCGACAACGAGGAGCACTGTGACTTTGTCAAGCTCCGCCAGATGCTCATTAGGACGCACATGGAGGAGCTCAAGGAGCACACCAATAACAGCCTGTACGAAAACTATCGTACCGACAAGCTCATTGGTATGGGCGTGTCGCAAGACCCCAGCGTTTTTAAGGAGGTCAACCCCGCTGTCAAGCAGGAGGAGGAGCGCGCCCTGCACGAACAGAAACTCGCCAAGATGGAGGCGGAGATGAAGATGGTCTTCCAGCAGAAGGTCGCCGAGAAGGAGAGCAAGCTGAAGCAGAGCGAAGAGGAGCTCTATTCCCGCCATAGAGAGATGAAGGAGCAGTTGGAGCGCCAACGCATGGAGCTCGAGGAGAAGAAGCAACGAGTCGAGAGCGGCCGGCCCATCGAAAAGGAAGGCAAGCGGAAGGGCTTCTCACTCCGTTGAAATGCCTTCTTTGGTCTATTGACGCCACACGTTGCTCGCATTCTTCTTTCCACGACCCATGTCTAAGTACCAATGATGCCCATACAATACCAGCACACCGCGCCTCTTTGTCGATTCTCTTCATGTCCTTTCTTATCACCCCCTTTTTCTGGACCTCTTTTAATCACACATCCTCATCTAATCACTTAACGGAATCCCAGCATCATCAAAAGTCTTTACGAAGCAGTCACGCGGGGGGCCTGATGCAGATTAAGGAGGGAAAGACGCGAAAGGAATGAGGAGTCATTGCTTCTCTTTGTCAGCTTAGTTACAGTTCTTCGAAATGATGATTCCCTAGACCTCGTCCACTAGCGCTTCAATTGTGATGCAATCGAATGAAAGGTGGGGATTGTTTGAGCATTGTGGAAGTCGTCCCCGTGGCCGTAAAATGGCACGGGGTGGCATTGTAATTCTCTACTCAAGGTTGTCATGAAACAGTGTTTTTGACTTCTCTGCTATTGATGATGTACACAGACGACTACATCCACGCCTTTTTACATGCAGTCCTATAAGTTTTGGGAATCTATGTCCTGTTGTACACTGCCGTCTGACCCTTCCGGCGGCAATTTCCTCTTCTGCACCACCACTACCACCAACACATGCAACGCCCATATCTTTACACACGCTCAGCTCCGTCTCAGGTACCAGTTGAAGGCCAACTGGTTGGTCTCGTAGTTGAAGGGAGTGGGCACCTCGGCGATACCACGTCTGGCGACCGGGTGGCGAAGGTAAACAGCGGCGCAAATGTTCTGATTCACCTCGAGGTAGCGCGGGATGAAGGCAAAGGGTCCCATGTACCGACGCGGCTGCCAGGGCGTCCAGTAGGGCTTGGACTCGTCGATGGGGTTCTCGGCATTTTTGCGGAGGAGCTGGGCAAAAACATCTTGTTCGGCCTTGCTCAGGCCGCTGAGCGCCTGGCGGACGTCCTTTGAGGAGATGAGCTCCGTGACGGCCTCGGTCTGAGCCTTTTCCTTGGCGCTCGTCGGCTTGGTGTGGTCGGACTGCTGCTTCTCCTCCGCCTGGGGGGAGGCGACGGCCTCGACCTGGTTGCCCTCGAGCTTGAAGTCTTTGAGTAGGGCGGAGAGGTTGTCCATGACGCCGACGTGGTCGAGCGAGGAGGCGGCGTCGCTGGAAACGCGGCCCGAGGAGGAGAGGGCGCGCTTGGCTTCGGACATGAAGGTACGGAGCTGGCGCTTCTTGCGGGGGTTGAGGGCCTTGTCTCCGTCGTGGATGATGTTTTTGACGGAGCGGACGAGCGACTTGAGCTGCTTGTGGAGCTGGGCGGACTTCTCTGCCTCGGAGAGCTGGCTCTCGCCCTCTCCCGCCGCCGCTGCTTCCCCTGCTTCGGTTGTCTCGGCGTCTTCGACGGCGGCTTCGACTTCGGCGGTCTCGACGGCTGCGTCATCCGAGTCTAGTTCCGAGGCGGTCTTTTCTGCCGCAGCATCGTCCCCGGTGTCGGACTTGCCCTCCTTGGAGGATTTGACGGAGTTTAGGGATGTCCAGTCCTTGCCGGCGACGAAGTCTGCGTGTTTGGGAGTTTTGGCGCGGCCGGTGGCGAAGAGGACAGAGTCGACGTCGACCTGGAACATGTCGCCGGGGTTGAGCTTGTAGGCACCGTAGCGCATCTAAAAACACATGGTTAGATGCCTGATGTTTAGAGGTAGAGGCAGGTTTTGTGTGCTTGGCTAGGATCGTCGAAACTCACAATCTTGCCGTTGACCTTGACGGCGCCGTGTGTGCAGAACTGTTTCGCTTGGAGCGTGCTACTAGCGAACATGGCGCGGAAGACGGCGACGTCTAGCCTCCTCTCGAGGGGCGCAAAGGCCATCTGCATGTACGGAGTCATGCGGTGAATGGGGCGGGCGAGCATCTGCGTCTTTTCATCCCTCATGAAGGAAACTTGCGCCGGGTGAGACGTCGTCGAGTGAGTAACTACTACCAACTTGGATTTTTCACGTTTTTGCCTGGCTCGTTCGAGCTTGGAGAATTGGTATGCGGTGGGCGTATTGTCCTCGGATCCTGGCTCGGCGTGTAGACCGGAACCGCGACCGGCCGAGTGCTCTGAGCCGTCGTGCTCGGCAAGGTACTCGGGCGGCATGTCGACAGCGGAGAAGAGGCGGCGGGAGAAGTTGCGCGACCAGTCCGCCTCCTTGATGTGGGCGCCGTGGTAGCCACGGGTCATTGACTTGGCGGTCCATTTCTGCTGGAAGTAGGTTCTCGAAGAACGGGTCCTATTCAGGGTTGCTCTGGCAATGTTGAAGAGGTTGTATTTATTCCATGATTGGCGGAGTTTCTGCTCGAGGAGAAAAGGCGATGATTAGCATCGGTGTCATGCGATGAAAGTTGCATAGGGCGACTCAGGGGGGAAGAGTTGCAATTGACATTGGGGCTAGATGGGAAAGAATTGGAGAGAGCTTACGGGCTTCTGCAAGCTGTACCACCTTGGCTTTCTACCTCTCATCTTGGGCTGATTGGGGCTGACTGGTTGCGAACTTTGAGCTGGAGGGATGGCGACAGCTTCAGGAGCACGAGACGCAGAGACGGAAATTTTGGTGATGGAACGGCATGTCCCGGTAGCAGGTACGTACCTCTGCTGGTCTACCGCAACAGCTGTCACGTCGTCACGTGCGGAGAAAGATGATCCGACCAGAAAGCAAACGAGGAAAAGAAATAAGGACAAAATACAAGGCTTACCTAAGATCACTTTCAGAGCTGGAGTTGGGTGGGTTAATGGCAGTACGTACCCAGCTACCAGCAACGTTCGCGGCCACCCGTGTGGTCGATTTTTTCATTCTCCCCACCTCGATAAGTGGGGTCCAGCTGCGGGCGGTGAGGCTCAAATGTGCGCAAGCCGCCGCGGCAGAAACTGGAGCTCTTGCTTGTGCATGCGAATTCTTGTCGCAAAATCCTCGCTGCTGAGGAAACGGGGGTCCTTTTTTTTTTTCTGCCACTTCCGCTCGACCAAGAGATATCATCTTCTTTTGTTCATTGTATAAACTCTGAACGACAAAACACACCACACGAAGAACGCTCTGTTTATACCACGGTCTCGGAACTGCATTGACCATTTTCTACACTGTAAGCTTTCTCCGGATTACTCACTTTCCCCCTCTGACTCTTCGCGGTTGCCTACCCCGCCACACAATAAGTACTACCTACTTCACTTTACCCTGAGAGACTGTCGCCGTGTTACTTACCTTTGATACGCTACAATCTGCGCCCTCTTGCGACTTGGCAAGAATTTTTCACTGATCATCTCCTTGTTTTATAGACTATTCACAACCTACAATTCATACTCCGACTCGCCATACGATGAGCGCCGCCGAGGAGACCAAGCCTATCGAGGCTGTTGCCGTCGAGGCGCCCGCCCAGGTCGAGGAGCCTGCAAAGATCGAGGAGACTGCTAAGGAAGAGACCGAGGCCGAGGCCAAGCCTGTCGAGTCTCAGAAGAAGGAAGCCGAAATCATCAAGACGACCGCCCAAATTGATCAGAAGACGTACGCAAACAATGTCAAGTTTGACGCTTCTCTCCTCAAGGAGACAGACGACCCTGTCGAGATTCGCAAGCAGGTAACGCACTCCCACTTGAGGCATCCCAAGTGACTTTTTACTAACACGAGTGACTGCAGGTTGAGTTCTACCTGTCGGACAGCAACCTTCCCCACGATAAGTTCCTGTGGGAGCTTGTTGGAGGATTCGATAACAAGCCCATCCCCCTCAAGACTATCACCAACTTCAAGCGCATGCGTCGCTTCCAGCCCTACTCATCTGTCGTCGCTGCGTTGAAGGAGAGCAAGCAGGTCGATATCGCCGGCGAGGAGGGCGACGAGACTATTCAGCGCAAGCAGGCGTACACTTCTGGTAACGACAAGTTCAACGCCCGCTGCGTCTATGTCAAGGGATTCGGAGACGAGGAGCCCTCCACCCAATTCGACCTCGAGGCCTTCTTCAACCAGTATGGAACCATCAACTCCGTCCGTCTCCGTCGCACCAACGAGAAGCTCTTCAAGGGCTCCGTCTTTGTCGAGTTCCCCAACGAGGAGGCGGCCCAGAAGTTCCTCGCCCTCGACCCCAAGCCCAAGTGGAAGGATCACGACCTTAAGATGATGCCCAAGATCGACTACGTTAAGGAGAAGTCTGCTCTGATCCACGCTGGCAAGCTCGAGCCCAACTCTTCCCGCAGATTCTTTGAGGGCAAGGAGGGCGAAGGCCGTGGTGGCCGCGGTGGTGGTCGCGGCAGAGGCGGCCGTGGTGGCAACTTTGGAAAGGACGACTGGAAGCAGCGCCGTGATCACGACCAGAAGAACGGCTTCAGGGGTGGCCGCGGCGGACGCGGCGGACGCGGCCGTGGCCGTGGTGGTGACCGCCGGGGTGGACGCGATAACCGCGACAACCGCGAGAACCGCAGGGACCCGAACGAGGTCACCAACGACCGCAACGCGTACGTATCGCCGTATCTGCCTAGCACGCGCGACAATACTAACCCAAGTCATAGTGCCAAGCCTACCATCCAGGCTACGAACGGCAACGGTGAGGCCGTCGCGGAAGACAAGAACAGCAATGGCAAGCGCGGACGCGAGGAGGACGGTGCCGCTCAGCCTGAGGCGAAGAAGGTCGACACCAAGGCCGACGTCGCCGCATAGGGTAGTGAGGTGGACAAACACCCATTATGCCTCGGATTCCTCTGAAACAAGATACCACTTACAAAAGCAACTTTTATCGGACTCGAATTTTTGGCTCTTCTGCCTGTTGATCAACGAGGCACACGGTCTATGGCGTTCATGGGACTTGGCTTAGGTGAAGCTGGTTTAGAGGTCTGATTGTTACGAATAGCATGAGCATGTGACCTTACACGGTAGTGCCTCTGTCTGCAACATCGCAACTGCGAAAATGATCTACTCACAAGCGGATGTGCGGCTTTCTATTGGAACACCAGCTAGTCAATCGAAATATTTCTGACCATTTTGAACAAGCATTGCCTTTTCCGGACTCATCGAGTAGGTGAGCCCGGTTTTAGGACTACCAGTGGAAGAACTTGTCGACATTAGCTACTGCAGTGCCAGCAATGCACCTTCACCGCGTTCAATATCGGCCGGAAGGTCATTGGTTTTTGACAAAAAAAATAAAACATTGGCCAGCTCCCTGTCCAGTTATGAAGTTTCTCGTATCTGTGCATTGGCACAGGTACGGACAATGGCCGAGATCGCAGAATCTGACGCGCCCAAGGATCTTCGCCGTCACAGTCCTGACGCCGAAAAGGTTGCACGCTGTGACAGCCGAGCCGACAAGTAGACGTTGTGGAGGTGGTTAGCTCCACAGAGATCCAGACCAACCAACAAGAGCGGCCATCCGAACGTGAGCGACCCTGGAGCGCTGCCGATTCGGCACCGTGTGCCGGGCTGGGGCCGTCCGAACCACCAAGCAGACAAACGAATTCCGGACGCGGAGGCAAAATCCGGACTCAGATCTTGTCAGGATTCAACTCTAGTCAGTTTCCCTTCTGCTGCGCCCACTAAAACCACGGCGTTTGTGGTTCTCTATGTCCGCTTTGAGTCTTCATGACTAAGAGAAGCACCCAGTTTAACTGGGTTCAATGCCAAAAATTTCTACGGCTCCAGTGGCACGGCACACGACCCCCGGAAGCAAGAGATCTGGGTCCAGGTACCCGAAGAAAAAAAGAGTATGGAAGCGGCTGAGTCCATACAAGTCTCGGGGATATCAGTGCCTAGCGCCGCCTCAGACGGGGTCATGGGCCCAAGGAGTAACCCTCCCCCCAACGCATCTATCGGTCGTTGAGCTGCCTGTGGACTTTACTTGCCGGTAGTCACACATATCTACGCTTACTGCCGGCAGACGTCATTGGGCATTCAAGCTAAGATCATGTTCGGCAGAACAACCCCCCTCCCGAAGCCGCAAGTGCGGATGCGCCGATGGAGAAGCGATGTGAGGCGGGCCGCCTTCTGGGGAACGTTGGGGCACCCGGTGTTAAGAGATTTCAATTGGAATGATTCATTCCTTTGCCCCCCTTCCTGATGCTGCTCTACCTATTATTTAATTCGGGCGTGTTCCCGGCTGTCTGAAGTAGAGCTGCTTCGAGTTGAGCCTCCTCGTTACTTACTCCTACACTACTAATAGCCACTACTACTGTTCACTTACAAACGTCATTGAATCATTCTCACCCAATACCTTCCAACCCACGCTAAGGTGACTGACTACCTTAGCCTGGCATGTTGAAAGTAGTGAGCGTCACTGAAGAACACACATAACTTGACAAGGAGATGGCGGATACAAGTAATTCGCCACACACAGCTCAACGAGATTCTCACGATGAGGATCGATCGACGAATCCCCAGCGTACGACGTTGAGACAGCAGGTCGAGAGGCATATCACTGCCGCGTCAGAAAAACAAGTCGAAGAAGAGAAGACAGGCTCCTCGCGGCAATCATCCTCATCAGACGACAGCGATAGCAATTCAGACCACAGCGCAAGCGTCCTCCATGGCGTAAGGAGCTCAAGGTCGAGATCCTTATCGAGGACGGTATCCGAAGTCAGAGATGGTATCGAGAACAGAAGAGACCTGGAACGCGGTGAAGAGTTGGATCTTGAGAAGACTCAGACGACGAGGACTGCAAGAGACCCAAACCTGGTGACATGGGATGGCCCGAACGATCCTGGAAATCCAAAGCAATGGTCCATGAAGAGGAAATGGGCGGCAGTCTTCTGCAGTACGTCAAACACCACGTCGTGATCCCGACAACTACTAACAACTGTACAGTATCATGTTTCACCCTGCTCTCGCCGGTCTCCTCGTCCATGGTCGCGCCCGCTCTGGAGGCTATCGGGACCGACCTCAACATCACAAGCTCCTTCGAGAAGGCCCTGGCCCTCTCCATCTTCGTTCTCGCCTACGCCGTAGGACCCCTGGCCTGGGGCCCTCTGTCGGAGCTCTACGGCCGAGTCATCGTCCTCCAGCTCACGAATATCTTTTACATGTTCTTCAACCTCGGGTGTGGTCTCGCTCGCACAAAGAGCCAGATGATTGCCTTCCGCTTCCTTGCAGGCCTCGGCGGCTCGGCGCCCTTGGCCATCGGTGGCGGCGTCCTTGGTGACTTGTTCGAGGCTGAGCAGCGCGGCAAGGCGATCAGTATCTACTCCCTCATGCCCCTGCTGGGTCCGGCAATCGGCCCCATCGCCGGCGGCTTCATCACCCAGAACACGACATGGCGCTGGATCTTTTACAGCACCACCATCCTGACGGCCGTCATCCAGTCCATCGGTTTCTTCGTCCTGCAAGAGACGTTTGCGCCAGTGCTCCTCACGCGGAGGAAGAAGCGCCTCATCAAGGAGACGGGCAACACCGCGCTGCACACCGCCTTCGACCACCCGGACCGTACGATCGCGCGCACCCTCAGCATCGCCTTCACACGCCCCTTCCGCCTTCTTGGCACGCAACCCCTGGTCCAGTGCCTCGCCCTCTACATGATGTACCTCTACGGGCTGATGTACCTGGTGCTCTCGACCTTCCCGGCCCTCTGGACGGGAGAGTACGGCGAATCCGTCGGCATCAGCGGCCTGAACTACATCTCCCTCGGTCTCGGCTTCTTCATCGGAGCACAGGCGTGCGCCCCGCTGCAGGATCGCATCTACGCCGCCCTCAAGCGCCGCTACGTCCCCGACGGAGGGCCGGGACGCCCCGAGTTCCGCGTACCGATGATGGTCCCCGGCGCAATCCTCGTGCCGATGGGCCTCGTGATTTACGGCTGGACGTCGCAGTACCACACGCACTGGATTTGGCCCAACATTGGCGCGGTACTGTTCAGTGCCGGAGTGATTATCGGGTTCCAGTGTATCCAGGGATTCCTGGTTGACACGTACACGCGGTATGCCGCCAGCGCTGTCGCGGCGGCGACGGTGCTGAGAAGTTTGGCTGGGTTCGGGTTCCCGTTGTTCGCGCCGAGTTTGTATCAGAAGTTGGAGTATGGCTGGGGCAATACGTTGCTTGCTCTGTTGGGTGTCGCGATTGGATGGCCTGGACCTTTGTTGCTTTGGAAGTTTGGGCCGAGGTTGAGGAAGAAGAGTCAGTATGCTGCTGGCTGAGGTATACCCAACAAAGTTGATTTTTCATTTTGTCAAAAATTATTCACGTCAATGATATAGATTGAGACTTTTAGCCTTTGATATCCTAGCTTATTCAATCATCTTATCCTACTTTGGATCCAATCCTGTGACACGACTGAACAGAATGCCTACAAAATTTTAATCCCTGAAGCCTTCATCATTTCTGCGTATTGTAGAGTCAGCAAGCAAGAAATTACGAGGAGTGCAAGCGATGAGCTCGGCTTGTACTGGACCGCGGCTACGGCTTGTTTACGGCAGCCCATTGCCTTGCATCCGTTGTCTGACCTGGCACAAAGACTCAGTGTCGCGAGTAGATGGCCGACTTTAACAACGGGTCTCCGGGTCGCCAAGTTATCGCGGCCCGGTTTATCTACGTGTGTAGTCTCTTACACGATAATCGGGAAAAGTTGTTGTCTTGATTCTCTGGAAATTGTAAAAATTACGACGGCAAGGGAGCTTATGAGGCGACACCAAGCTTCATAAGCTAAAAGGCGACCAGGCCCCCTTAGACAATGATGACATAAGAGTGACCTGATTTATTGTACGACTAGTGGATTCAATCAAGATCCCACTCTTTGCAAAGAAAGATTATGCTTCTCGATTTTGAGTCCATGAAGTTCAAATATCTGAGGATCAAGACAGTGCTACCCAGAAGCCATCCGTCTTAGCCGGAAGCATTCGCGGAATGTGGGCAGTGCAGTTGGAAGTCACCTTCCAAAAAGAAAACAGCACAGCCATACCATCGTAAGACTGACTCGTAAATGCCCCTTTCCCGCCCCCTTCCATGTCCCTCGAGTGCTTTCACGCCTAACAGATTGAGACGTTATCGGGATGTGGGAGGCATTCCGCGCTGGATTAGGAAAACTTCGTACAGTTATTCCAGCAAATGCTTCACCTACACGATGAGGCTCAGGTCCGACCCAGTAAACAAGCATCTAGGCCCGCCTAGCAAGCTGTTTCATTGACATTCTCTTCCGCGCGGTTGCCAAGAAAGGCTTAGCTAATGGATTTGACGAACGATCCTCCCAGGTCAATGCCTGTAAAGCCTCCCTGGAGTTTATTATGCGGCCTTCCTGGTCCATCCATCACGTAGTGGACTGGATAATTCAACGGCTATGATTGAGTATTTGGCGGGCAATGTGAGGTGACCATCAAGAACGAAAAGGAGAATGATAAAAAAAGACGAGTAGACCCTTGGTTTGGAAAGTCATTTTCTCAACAATTTCTTCAATCAGACTTTGCATGTAGTAAGGACATCGAGCTCATACATTCGTGCATCAAGATTCATTACATCTTTCACGATGCACTCCATTCTTTCATCGGGCTTGACGGGCCTTGCCGTCTTGGCATTTGTTGCCTCCGCATTTCCTTTCCAGTTATCAGAAACGGAGAACTGTGGAGCTGTAAGTGGCACATTCGAAATCGAGAACTACAAGCTCTATCCAGAAAATCTTGATTGGGACCCTATTCACTGCAAGCTCTATATAAGGTATGGCTGTACTGTAGCCCTCCTATATCAAGTATCGTTACATCCCAGATCCTGACCTGTCCCCCAAATTTAGCGCCAACTTCAACTCTACAGTCCTTGTCTACGATCCTTACAAGGCAACCTACGACATCCTGACTTTCGACGGTATCACTGGCGTAGACCCCTACCACGTATCCGGCATTGACTATGACGCGACAACCGAATCCATCCTCTTCTCTGCCAACAGCGGAGAACCTTTTGCGACTTCTGACCGGAATATGACTGGCGGCAACAAGGTCATCCGCTGGGATACCAACACCAACTCGGCCGCGTACACGGCAGACTTGGCAGATTTCACGTCCAAGCTGGCCATCGGCAACATGACCGGCGGAGGATACCAAGACTTTGCAGAGGACAAGAACGGCAATGCCTACGTTCCCTCTTCGTTCCATATCCCTGCCATCGCCAAGATTACCAAGGCCGGCGAAGTGTCGAGCTGGTACATTGGCGAGCCGAGCTCGTCTAGCAAGTACATGTACCTCGGCATCATATTCAACGAGGCCTCCAACAAGCTCATCATCACCGCACCCTACCTCGGCACATTCCTCTCTTTTGACGTCGGTTCGTCCAGCCCGGCACCCACCAACATCAGCATGGCCTGGCCTGCGGACGGATCCTATACCGCCAGCGATCTTGGTTGCGATGGCCTGCTGAACCCCGCCCGCTACAACCGCAGTATCTTGTTGTGCTCTGAGGATGCGCTGCAAGCCATCACTCTCTGGGCCACCAAAGATGGATTCGAGTCGGTTCAATACATTGGCAAGGTTGCGGACAACTCGACTGTTGACATTGCGACGTGGGCGTCGCCGACTGCTACTGTGCAGCTTGGAAACAACATTTACATCTCGCACGAGTACTTCCACGATCTGAACGAGTTTGACGTCGCCGGCGACCGTTCTACCTTCCCGTTCGTGGATGCCACTGCTGACTTTGACAAGTTGGTTTTGGCTGCTGGCTACGACGTCACGGACTCCTGAGGAACGATGGAATACGATTAGTCATTGCAATTCGGGTTGAGCCTATGTTTCCGCTGAGGGAATTTGAAGTTATGTACCTGAATCAGAGACACTTTCAGGAAGTCACGAGTCTGGTAGAATGTAGTAGTCTCAAAGTTTCTACCGTCAACTTCTGGGGATTTGCGGAAGCGTCCGCCAGGGTCATAATATTAGGCTTAGACTCCCCCCCCCCCAGGCCTAAGCAGGGGTCGTTCAGCACACCTGATTTGTGAGATGCAAGCGTGCCTAATAACAACCCAGCCTATTCATATTATCAGCCACGTTTTATGGTGCATGCCGCCACACTCTAGGCTAGTTCATCCCTGTCTCTCACCCGACATGTTTGCGAGTAATACTTGACACCATCGCTCAGCTTCCTCTCCTCGGCCAGTCTGACGACAGATATCGATGAGGTTTCGGATGGCTCTCAGCAATTGGTGCTTGTTTGGCTGGAAATGCTCTGCTGCATGCCAGTATGCTTTGCACCCATATGCAAGAGCCTCATCAGTCGAACCAGTCTGATAGGATAGACGACCCATTATTTCATAGTATGAGAGCTCCAGCCGAAGCCATGACCTTTCTGGACTTTCTTTACTGTCGTTGTTGTCTTGAATCAGAAAGTGAGCACGAGCCAGAGACTGCTTGGTCAGCTCATACTCCTGCCCCCATGAGTAGATTCCGGCTACGACCAAGTGACATTCGCAGGAGCTCTGATAGTTTCCCTCTGCGAAGTATGATTCACTGGCCGAAGCGTACTTCAAGAGGAGCTCGCTGAAATGGGTTCCATCAGTCTGACCCGGATTGTCGAGAACATTCGATGTTGACCCAAGAGCCAATGCCACCACTCTGTTCAGGATTCCCAGTTGGCCTCGCAGTAGCTGAACGCTACTGCCGGCCATCAAAGTGAGAGCCCTCGCACGAAGTTCCAGTGAAAGGCACCTGAACTTGCTCCAAACAAGAGCAAGGGGGTGTCGGTGACCCAACATTGCTACATGCATTTCATAGATGAAATCGACCACAGTATCAGCTATCCTAGGTCCAAGCTGCAGGGTGCGGTAGGCTAAGATATAAAAGAGGAGCGGGTCTTGCTCTTTGATCGAATGTCCCAGCGAGTCGAGGCTGTTATTTAAGGCGAGGAACGCAGCCTCCAGTTTGTTTGTCCACAACAAAGTTATTGCATTGTCCAGACCGGTGCGCATCTCAACGACCCGCAGCTGACCGAATTCTTCATCAAACCCATGTATTTTGTCTTCCTCTATTGCCCACCCGCTTTCCAGCCCCCCCTCAAAATACCCTTGGAAGATTCGTAACATTTCTTCCGGAAGCCGGACTTCAGGGGGTCCGCCTAGGAAAGCGGGCAGATCAAGAGATGGAGAGGGCGTTCGGCAGATGATGTCAAGGTCCGCGTTGATTGGCGTCTGGGTGGAGGTCCCAAGCTTGCGGCGCAAGTCTGGGCGTCTGACAAGATAGCGCACAAGTCGTTCCCAACGAACTCGCTGATTTCGAATATAGAACTCTGACTTCTTTCCCCTTGCTTCGCGCTCCCGATTGAGTTGGACTATATGCCAGACCTCGGTTTCCTTGAGCTTTTTCTCAAGCCCCCAGCTCCGCAGCCGCGTCTTGAACATTCTCTCACTTCGGCTATTGTTAGCTACTAACTGGGTACGTATGCAGTGCTGTCAGGCGAAGCTTACGTGGCATAGAAGCTGTGATCACGTTCCATGATTTGTTTAACTTGCTTCAAAGTCCTCTTGTCATCTTGATAGAGTTTGGTAATGATAGATCGATGGCAGTCCCAAACTTCATCAGTGGCGTAAGGCTTCCTGGTCACCAGGGGTGTCTCAACGACATCGATCTCGCGTGTGACATCCATGGCTTGGGAACCAGTCCAGTGACGGTGCTATGACTCGCCCTTACCTGGGGTTTAATCGTTGTAGCTTTCTTGGCATGAGCCTTCGTTCTGGGCCCGGGAAGAATATGGCAAAGTACCAGTACGTAGTAGACTTGGTTCAAGGTGAAGCTGTCTTGGCGTTGCGGCACCTACTAAAAATTACTTATGCGCCTCTTGGGTAGCCAAGCACAAAAAGACTTCGCAGACCTGACATAAAGGGGCGGTGGAAATCGCATGGTTATCAATCATTAATGGCGAGTCACCGTTGTCCTTGTATCGGCCCGTGACTGGCGCATTCCTGTGTTGTGGGCCTTCATCCTGGTCCTTTTGAAGGTCTCTCGCTACATCTCGGAGGGGACCTGGTCCGGCCTCCACCCGGCGCTCTTCCGCAACTTGGAAAAGCTCAGTCTCCAAATTAATGCTCTACCTTACTCAGACATAGACCTTGCCGCATAACTAAAGAGCGTTGACTAAGTTGTTTGCAGAAAACTTCACGTCAGTAAAATTCTATGGCTTTGTCACTTTTTCCAACCCGATGGTGTTCTTTTGATCCGTCATCTTATTTTCCAAGCAGATTTCGAAGTTGCGTCAACATCCCTGCAACTACCATCCCGCCCCCAAGTAAATGTTCCTTCGTTCGCACTTCCTTCCAACTGTAAATACATTTTTATTGGTCCAGAGCAAAAAGACTTCGCATAAATAAATGGGACTCCGATGTAAACCCCCTCCCCTAGACTGCACAATGAGGTAGTGGGTACTTGCTCATCTGAATAGGTAGTGTTCGGGATGTTTATTTGCCAGCCTGATTGTATTACTTACAAGAAAGATCTCGGACTGTAGCCTGCTTTCATCCGAGCTGCAGGCTCTTTTATTGCCAGACAAGACCTTTTTCCGGAATTCATTCATGCCCCTACCCATGCTGACGTGAGAAATAATATCTGCCTTGCCGTGTGCATAATGCCCCCGTCTCCTGACGGCCAAGTATCATAGCCTTGTTCTGTATTACGGTGTACCGCTCCGTAACTCATAAATATCCCAGCCTGCTGATAAGCTTCAGCCGCTTGATACGTTACTATTGCAGGGAGGATGAAATGATAGAGGCAATGGGGGCGCAATCATTCAGCTGTGTCGATCTTGACTCCTAGCAAGACCAACTCCAATGCAGAAAGTCCGAAACTGGGGAGCCTGATTGTAACGGCAGTAATATTGCGGAGTATCTTCCTGACCACTAGCGTTTCATTTGCTTCAATCCAGGCGTAAATAGCATTTAGAAGTTGATGGGCGGTTCCCATGATGGTGGATAACCTCATGTAGGCAAAAGGCACAGATACTACCAGAACCAGGGTGTTTTCCTGTACAGTGGAAGCTGTGAATCCCATTTGGGCCGAGCCTTGCAACCCAGATACAGGATTTGAAATCAGCAGAATGGGCCTTGGCACCGGGCAATACAGGATAGACTTTCACATAATCCTGAGGTAAGACCGTGCCTCATCTTTTCAGAATTCACCCTTCGTCTCTCCACTTGTTATTTTATCACCGTGCTCTCACAACAATAGTACAGAATCTGTCACGCCGCCGTGGTAATGGCTGGCGCGCAGGCTTACAGCACACTTGAGGTAGACCCTCGTCGACCGGAGGCAGGCCTTGAGGTACACCATGGCCATCGAACGAGCGCGTGGAATACTGAGAGCCAATATCTTCAGCGGACATCCGATTTACACCAGAAGCTGGACGAACACAGCTATGACCAACATTATCCCCGGCAACGTGACGATCATGAGTCAACAGCCAAAAATGGGCGAAAAGATACCATCTGTGGCCTTTCGAGGCGGGTGTTCATTATAGTACTTGTCGTCAGCCTACTGATACTCATCGGCGCCATCGCTGGTGGTGTTGCCGGAGGCGTGCTTAGCCGTCGGAATACCACCGGAAATTCTTCACGCTGCATCCTCGACACGTCAAGACTTGCAGCAGCGAACCGAACAAGCGGTGGATTAGAGCAGAGAACTGTCTTCTTCCAAGATGGTTCCGGCGCGCTGATGGCGCGGAGCCTACGGGCACCTTCAGCGGAGTGGGCGACCACCAACCTCACGCTCAAGTTTCAATCAACGACCGAGGCAATCAGCATTCCACGCGGCGCTCCAATGGCAGCATTAGCCTGTGCGGACTATGGTTGTGGGGAGACTAGGCTGTTCTATATTGGGACCGATGATTTTATACACGATGTCAAGGAAGGCGAGATTGCTCAATGGAATTCCGGCGGTCAAGTGGTTGCTGCCCGACTGAGCCCTTTGCCCGGCTCACAAATTGCGGTAACATTTACCAGACGGCTACCAAACGAAGAGGAGCGGAAGGAGAGTGACGCGGAACGACTCAATCGGCTCATCGCTTACCAAGGGCTGAATGGGAAAGTTTACGTCGCGAACGATACTGACAGATACGTCAACCCACAAGAGCTAGGCAGCATGCCGAACTGGACCAAAAACACCAGCTTGGCCATGATTACACAGTTTGGTGGCGTGGTGCTTGATGAAGTTAGTTTAGTAGCGAAGGGTACAGGGGCTGCAGATTCAGAGGTTAGCATGATAGAAGCGAGATATGATATACAGAACAAGATTTGGGTGCAAGGTAAGCTACACCCCCTCAACCTCCCATTTAACTGCTCAACAAGAGGGAGGAAATGTCTAATATGTTCATCTACACCTACAGAGCCTGCTGTTGTGGACAACATTCCCCAATCTCAAGATTCATCATCCACGGCCACGCCGCAATTCGCCGCCACGATGCGGAACAACTGGTTGGACAGCATCTACTTGGCCCTCAACCCCGACGGAACAATGACTGTTCGCATAATAGGCCAGCGTAATGAGACAATGGACCAGATCACACTTGAAAAGTCTGGAGGGGAGCTGGCAAGGTTTTCGGCCATTGCAACCACGATGGACGGACATCTCTACGGTATCGTCGACGATAGCATACGGGAGTACTCTTTTGATACGTCTGATGCGTCTATTCTACATCTTGATGGAACTGTCTATGATTGTTCGGGAGACAGATCTACCTAGTCATCTACGAGCAGGCTTTCTCATTTATCAGCTACGGGTTGGAGGCCAGTTTGATTAGAAGTGAGCAGTGATATTCAAGCAAAACCACCGAGATAAAATGTCGGTAGCTTGCAGACACAAGAAGACTTCTGTGAGGGTTGAAAACTGGTTCCTGGAGTTATATATTCACTTGTTCAATGAAGCAGGGCGCTAGGCAAGGGATAAAATGCATGCGTTTCCTTCTTCTTTACCGAGAGGACTTTGTCAGGAGACTTGTGGGTACTAAAGGCCGCAAACCGCTGCGTTTCAACTCGTTTGTCTAATGCGATTCTTTTCTTGCACCCCAAATCAAGCCGCAAACACCGACTTCATCCGCCTCCAACACTCGCTCTTCACAGCCGTATGCTCATCCGTCGTCCTCAACACCGCATCGCGGTTCTCTACAGCCCTGCGAAGCAAATACGCCAAGCACTCGCTCATCGTGCCCCAAGTGGAGCACTTGAACACGTTCGGGCTCTCCATGCCCTCGCTCTTCGTCTGCAGCAAGGAGAAGCTGACCTGGTCTGACATGCCGTGGAGCTGACCAAAGGATATAGGGACGGTCGGCAGGCCGTTCTTGATACGGCCTTGGTGCAGCTTTAACGCGGCAAAGAGGCTCTCCTTGTTGTGGCTTGCCAGGAACAGATCTACCGAGGGGAACGGTTTGGATGTAGTTCCTTCGCCGCCAAACTCGCCAATGTTGCGTTTCACAGCTCCCTGGGAAATATAGTTGTACGCGTCATCGGTGTCCTTTTTTGTGTCGTGAATCATGGACCTGTTGTCAGAAAGGATATAGGCTCCCCTGACCAGCTTGAGTCCGAGAGTGAACCCGTCCTTGGCAGCCTCGGCAAGGTGGTTCGTGATATTATCGGGCGTATGTTTGAGGTAGGCCTGATAGGTGTTATAAATAGAAGCAACACCGTCAGTGTTGAAGCGACGCATCAGCTCGAGCGTCATTTGGTCAATGGTCTTTTGGAAATGCGTTGACTCGGCGTCGACGATGATTTTGATGCCCCGCTGCTTGCATATCATCGCAATCTCATCCAAGGCGTCTTGCATCTGTTGTGGCGGTAACTCGTTGTTTGCGAATGAGGTGGTCACGGCACGGCCGGCACCGGTCAGCCTAGGATTCTTGTTAACATATTTACGACGAGATTGCATGAGAGTCGGGCGTCTTGCTTAATGGCGAGGTAGTCACCCTCCTCAATCTGCGCAGCAGTCTCGAGGGTGCCCTTCTTCCACGACTCAATGTCTGCATCAAACCCGTCCGCCGACGCGCCAACAAGCTTCCCATGCTCAATAGAGGACTGCGTCAAGTGGTCAAAGACAGTCTCTTTGGCGTACGTGAGAATCACACCCCTGAAGCCCAAATCCTTGAGACTCTGGACGCACGCCTTGGTCTCCTGCGGCGTCTCGCCGGTGCAAAACTGGTCGTAAAACGTCGTTCGTAGAATCTTGTGCAAGATGGGGTTGCGGCCGACGTCAAAGAGTATCGTCCGGCCTGGCTTGGCGAGGAAGGATAAGGTTTTGAGTGCGGGGATGAGGAGGAGGCGGTTGGAGGAGATTGTGGTGACGAGGAGAGATCGGAGCAGCGTGCCTGTCGGCATGCCGGACAATGGGAATCCCTCGACGGGCTTCCGTTTTGTCGTTGGAATCGGCTTCGGATTCAAAGGAGCGGTATCGTTTATCGCGGCGTGTGGTGAGTTAGCGGCCCCGAGTGCCTGTCTTGGCTTGGTAGGCTTCCCGTAGGCGCGCTTCTCCAATCTGACGGCTACCGTAGTACCCCACGGCCGCCTAGCGGCGCAGAGTCCTACAAGGGACTTCATTTTTTCGCAGGGGCTCTGTTGTGTCTCTGATTGTGGGATGATGAAAGACTTGATGGTTGTAGGGCTACGAAGGGAGTACTTTGAATTGTGAAGAGATATGCTCGTTGAGTTGGTAGCTATAGTAAGGAGGGACGGCCAAAGGTTGCTCTAAATGCCCAACCTCTATCGTAACAGATCGTGCCGTTTCGGAGCTATGCCCATCCCAACACCACCGCAAATAGACTAGCATACGTCCGATCCACGGAACCAGATGCATGGTGATCCTAGTGTACAACCTAAGTGACCGCACTTTAGTCTTGGAATTCCATGGCGAAGAGAATGATTCGCGGATGCGTCGAGGAACTCTATGTCGGTCTGTATGCTCGGGTGTTCTGCCTTTTGACGGCATCAATGCCAACTGGCTGTCGGATACAATGTGTCGTCGTTACGTGGGCCCGCAAAGCGAGTGCAGATAAGCTACGGCTCGTCCGTGAGGGGAAGTGCACGTGGCATAGGATGCTATTACCCCATCCGGGAATTACTCAGTTGCAGGGACCGGAGACGACTCCGTATCGGACCCACTTACCGGGCACCCCTCCGATACGACCCCACCATCAATCAACATCACGAGATTTCTTATCAGGAGCTGCCTTCTCCTTTTATCGTCTTCGGGGAATCATACGTCATCTGCCGGGAGGGTGTCTTATCTTCATTCCGGACTGAAGCCGGACCGAAGTACTTACAGCCTGAACATCTTTCGACGAGAACGCAACTCACCCTCTGGTAGCACGTGCCGGCACAGCATACTTACCTTACTTATATTGGTGTTATAGTATTTACCTTTCCAAACACTTTGTGTTTGAAAGACTCTTTCGTGCAGAGGTCTGAGAGATGAGAATCACTGCTTTGGATGATGTAGTGATTTCAAGCTCAAGGCTCACATTGATAGAGACCCAACACCCGGCGTAAACCCGCGCCCCCAGCGACGTCGATCCTAATTCGGCGTCCGTAATTCAGCTACTGCGCAGCAACGCTCTGATACCAACATCCATATTTCCCAGGATTCTGATAAGGATGGGCTTTCTGGTGCATCATTCGAGAATGGGGGTTGATGCAGTTCAGGGGCGTAGAAAGCGCGGTAGATGATAAAGTCCAATATATTTGGGCGAATTGTAGACTACCTACCTTTCTTTAAGAAGACCAAAGCTGTGCAAACTTTTTTGTCTCAAGATTTGCAGATCAATTGACGTGAAATCCTCTTTGCCATTTTTCAGAATGACGGTAGAAGACAAGAAGCTCGACGTCGCCAGCGAAGCGGCCGTTCAACCTACGACCAGCAATGGCGAGGGAGAGGTGCGCCAACACGGGCAGCTGGCGCGGGCTCTCAAGGGTCGACACATGCAAATGATTGCAATCGGTACGTCACCCGCCATGAAATTCATCCAGAGTCTAAATCAGTTCTCCTCCTAGGAGGTTCCATCGGTGCAGGTCTCTTCGTCGGAACAGGAGGAGCATTGAGGACAGGAGGTCCGGCCGCTTTGGTGAGTATCTCGACATGAGCATCGCCAAGTCAACTCGGACGGAACTGAACATACTGCAGCTCATAGGTTTCATCATCATCGGCTGCATGATGATGTGTACCGTTCAAGCTCTGGGAGAACTAGCGATTATCTATCCCGTCAACGGAGCTTTCTACGAGTACGCTGTTCGCTTCATTGATCCAGCGTGGTAAGTTCCTTTTCCACTCGATCGATGTACACGAAGATATCGCAGCTCATGTCTCATACCTTCTCTAGGGGCTTTGCGATGGGGTGGGAGTACTCCATCGGGTGGATGCTCACCCTCCCTTTCGAGATCACAGCCGCCGGCATTACCATCGAATTCTGGAAGAGCAGAGAGGAAGTCAACCCCGGCGTGTGGTGCGCCGTCTTCATGTCACTCCTGATAATTATACAAGTCTTTGGGGTCCGAGGCTACGGCGAAGGCAAGTTCACATAATTATTCAACCAAGCTATCATGCTTTCGCCCTACTCTCGCCGCTCCCCTTGAATGGGACCCTGAATTCCCTCGCTAACTCTTGCCAAAGTTGAGTTCATCCTCGCCATAGTAAAGATCATAGCATGCATCGGCTTCATCATCCTCGGAATAATCATCAACACAGGAGGCGTGCCCACAGATCCGAGAGGCTACATTGGCGCACAGTACTGGCACGACCCAGGTGCATTCCGGAACGGATTTCAGGGGTTCTGCTCCGTCTTCGTCACCGCCGGTGAGTGCCCCTCCTCTACATTCCATTCTATTCATCGATTTGGAGCAAACAAAGAATCGAGACGTATGTGAGACTAACACGATTCTAGCCTTCTCCTTTGGCGGCACCGAAATGGTAGGCCTCGCAGCCGCCGAGACCGCGAACCCCCGCAAGACCCTCCCCAAGGCTACCCGTCAGGTCTTTTGGCGGATCACCCTCTTCTACATTCTCAACATCTTTATCCTTGGCCTCATCGTCCCCTCCGACAGTGACGTTCTCCTCGGAGCCAGCGGCGCAAATACAAAGGCCTCGCCCTTTGTCCTGGCCGTCCAGCTCGCCGGGATCCAGATCCTCCCTCACATCATCAACGGCGGTACGTCTGGCACCCGAGCCTTCCCCCCCTCTCCAAAATACCCAAGTCGTACCGCCAAGTCATTTCTAACACTGCGGGACAGTAATAACCTGCGCCGTCATCTCCGTAGCAAACAGCTGCACCTACGGCTCAACCCGCGTCCTCCAAGCCCTCGCCCAATCCGGCCGCGCTCCCGCCATCTTTGCCAAGATTGACAAAAGCGGCAGGCCCATCTACTGCGTGGCCCTGCAGGTCGCCTTCGGCTTCATCTCCTTCATCACCGTCGCCGCCGACAGCAGCCTCGTCTTCAACTGGCTGCTCGCCATCACGGGCCTGTCGGGCCAGTTCGCGTACGCGACCATCATGATTGCGCACATTCGCTTCCGCAAGGCATGGAGGGTGCAAGGCCGGAGCGCCGAGGATATCCCATGGCGCTCGGCGTTGGGTGTCGCTGGTAGCTATCTCGGCGTGTTTCTCGTTTGCTGTTCGCTGGCTGCGACATTTTACTCCTCTCTCTTCGTAAGTCGTTCGCTCTCTCACTCTTCCCCCTTCTCTTTCTCCATATTCCCATATTGTAGACGGTATGTTCTTTTACTGATTCTTAACAGCCTGTTGGAGGAAAGCCGAACGCAGAGTCGTTCTTCCAGGGATACTTGGCAGCTCCCATCACTATTTCCCTCTTCTTGTTCTGGAAAGTTTATACCAAGGACTGGGGATTCGGCGTCGACTTGCACAGGGTTGATCTCGACTTGGGAAGGCGGCCTGAGGAGGAGCTTGACGACATCTACGAAGGAAACGAGGAAAAGACTAGCATGTGGAGGCGGGGTTTGTCGGTCATCTTCTAGGTTCAGTAAACTGAGGGACCTTCCTGTGACATGGCCTAGTAGCATGATTGAAACAAACACCAACACCCGGATTTCCAAATGATAGCATAGAGAAAAATTCGAGTTCTTTATTCGTGCTCACAAACCTTGGCTTTTGTTCTGCGCAGCTGTCCACACAAACGCACGAGATTCCCTTGAAGCAACGCGAGCGGTCTCTTCGACAGACGGCTCTGGAGAAGATTTCACTTTGCTTCTCCAAGTCTTCATATTCACAGTATTGTCGGCTCCAAAACCCTGGAAGTGCTAGTGGTGCGCGGACTGTTGCTTCGCCGAACAACTGCTATCATCGAGGCTAGGATCCTTCTGAATCACCGTTCTACCTGGTAAGCCTTGACCCCTCCTTCAGAACCTAGAGTAGTCCTCAAATGTGACCGTATCTCCGTCGATATGATCCATCACTGGGGTACGTCGATCATATGCCAACCTCCCCAGTTCAATCGCAAAGGAAGCTTCGCTTAAGCATCTCGAACTTCCACATGGGCTGGCTCGAGAGGCAGGTCGCTATCAATGGGATAACCATGCGAGAGCAACGTCTCATTTTTTGTGCTTGAGCAGACAGTGGCGACCCCATTTTCGCTTGAACTGCTCGGGGACAAACGGCAGGTCGGGCACGTAGAGCGCTCTGGCCAGAATGTGTGTTTTCTCTGCATCCAAGAACGGAATACAGTTGACAACCTCCCAGTTCTCTTCGTCAGCGATGTAGTCGGGCTCGTTTGGAGGCAGGGAAGCGGTTCGTTCGGGGTATTGTGTGTCAACCATGAAACCGCAAAATCGTTGATCAACATACTTGCCCATGTCCTCTTCATTCCGGTCGTTCATACCGTTCGTGGGCATCCATGTACCGCTCCAGAACCCAAATCCAGTGCGAGCCTCAGAGAATTCACCTGGGAGCAAACCCCTGAATTCTGAGCGAACAAACTTTGCGTGCATATCGCGAGGCAGGAAGTAGGATGACGGGAAGCGATACCATTCCTTGCCGAAGCAGACATTGTCGCCATGTACACCAAGGCCCTGTTGTCCACTGACACCAGCTCCGAGAGGCTTGTAAAGCCTCAATGGGGCAGAGTAGGCAGACCAAATGCCGTACACCCGAGACAGACTGATATCAAAGGATAGAAGCAGCACAATTGTGACCAAGGACAGCTTGAGCTTGGCGGGGATCTTGCCGACGAGTGTCTTAGGATCGGAATTGCCGAGCGCTGTGAGAACAATGTGCAAAGACATGGCTGCATTCAGGGCGAGGAAGGGGTACGCAGGGTACATAAAACGCTCTTCTTTGTGAGGCTGGAGAGTGAAAATGCCGAGCCACAGGTAGAAGGGCGAGATAAAAACCAGTGCACGGAGACCAGTCTGAAAACCCTGGCCGGAAGGGGAGATGATCTTTTGCAGCAAGAACAGGGGCAGGCAGACGAGTGCAAGCACGAACCAAACGTTAAAGTTCAGGGCCAGGTTGCGGAAGTAGAAGGTCCAAGGTTCTGTACCGTATAGCTCGGGACCGCCGCTCTCCGAAAAGATGTTGTACTTGACGATATTCCATGCCGCGACCTCGATTTTCTTGTAGAAGAAGGTGTTGATAAAGCCATCGAAGAACTAGCTGGCATTAGACAACGACTATCCCCGAAGAAGTGTGTAGAAGAACTTACCAGGACGATGAGGCCCGCAACGACACCTCTTGTCACACGCATGATGGCTTCGATTAGGCGGTCCTTATCACTCAATGCAGCGAAGAGAGCCTCCTCGACGAGGAATGGCGCGCAGAGCGCCGCAGCGAAAGGCCATCCCACCACAGCGCCGACAGCAAACCAAAAAATGCCCTGCGCTGTCTTGAGACCACCCCTCCAGTTCATGAAGGACGAAGCGCCCAGCATGGCCATGTACATGGCAAAGCTGGAGGGCAGGTAGGCGGTGCTTGCGTGGAAGTTTCCAGGACTGAAGACGGTTGCCATGATGAAGAACAGACCGATGCGCGCATTGAGAGTGAGGCTGATGACACGGAAGAGAAGGGTCTGGCACAAGGCGCAGCCAAAAGCAAGCACATAGCGGATGAAATAGAACTCTCCGACCTGGTCATGGTCAGCAATTAGTCGCTTGTGGTATTCTGTGGTGTTACGGTGTACTTGCCTTGGTGGACTGGGGCATCAGGCGGCGGACATTCCCAACAATGGCATGCAGAGCAACGTACAGCCAGCTACGGATGGCATAGGTGGGGGAGTACTCCCACGTCTGCAGCCCATAGCCATGGGACAGGTAATGCGTCGGTTCGTAGTAGTTGAATGTTTCATCGCAGTCTTGAATCGGGGCGAAGAGGGCAGAGATGATGTTGGCGATCAGGAAGCAGTAGAATGCCGTGATGGGCTCGATGGGGAAAGCGCTTGGGGGCCTATTGGGGTTTGCTGTTAGTGGAGGGGTCTATGGGAGATGAAGGGGAGGAGCAGAAAGTGCGATAGCTCACTTCTTTCGAGCATGCCCAGCTTCGGGATGAACAAACTCCCTTGGTCGAGGGGCTGCTTTGGGAGGCATCGTGGCTGATTGTGGTGTTTGGCAGTGTGCGAGTCCACACGGGCCGTCTGGACGAAGGACTGTGGTGAAGCCACGAAGCTGCAGTCCTCAACATTTCGAAAAGCTCGGGAGCTTGTGACGCCACAGCTTCCCATCCCCAATTGAGCAGGGATTCTGAGGACAGTTGGCGTAAGATGGAAACACTGTGTATTCATCGGTAACGAGGGTGTGGCTTTACAGTGTGGCTGAAAGCCCTGAGAGCGGAGAATTGTCATTGGTCAAAGCTTTGTGGATTCGACGAAGCTAGCGCCTGCAGCTGCCGCACAGACCAGGCGTGATGATGACGAAAAGAAACAAGCCGAAGATTGTGGCTTGACACCAGGCCAGGAAAGTCCGGAGCTAGCGCCAGTGGTGATGAAAGAGTCTCGATGTTGTTGCACCCCCGTCCAAGGCACAGCTGCTTCTAACACGGACACGTATCTAGGGGAATTCCTATTCCCTGCCAGATTTGCCGGTATGACCTAATTCTCTTGCCTTCTACGTTGACCTGAGGGAGCACTGGAAGCTCTGGCCAAACCAATCCACTTATTGTTATCGAGTGGACATTGCGCGCAGAGACATGCTCATGACACCAAGACGGCTCTCCCTCCCGCATTGCATGCACATGCTTCTTAGTGGCCTGGTGTGTGCTGATTCTTCCTGCTTAATTCCTGCTTGGGCACGGATTTTTTCCCGTCGTCTCATCTTCACACTGACCTGACGGTCGGGTTCTCGCGGTCAGATCCTAAATCCTGTGCCGCCGTTGAAGACGCGAAGTTCCAAAACACTCGAGAGTAAAGAAGTATTGAGCCTCTTTGCAGGTGAGTGGTAGCGTTGATTCGCCGTATTCTGTGCGACGTTGGGATGAGACGGAAACAAAAGCCAGAGAGCCCTGTCTTTGCCTGTCCGTCATTTAAAATCTGGAGCAAATCCCACTCCCTCGCCCATGGTTGAGTGCAGATCTGCCGCTTCTCTGCCCGGGACCCTAGACTGGAATTTGGGCATGGCCATCAGGAATATCCGTAGCCACACGGAAAATAAGAATAAAAAAAATAAAAAAAAGAGGGACCGGCGAAGGAAAAAGGGAACCGACCAAAGGGAAGCACGAAGAAGGAAGCAGTGACGCACTGACGCACCGACCACCGCTTGCCTGCTTGCCTCCAGCTGAGCTGGTCCAGGCTCCATCTTCCCTCCACCCCCTCCGTCTCTGGACCAGCCACTCCAGTCTCCGCCGCATCACTTCAACTTCTTGCGCATTCTGGCCAGCTTTACCCAAACTCAACCCAGCATCAGCATCTCCACGATAGTCCTCACACGACACAAAACCTCAGCTCACTGTCGCAGTTTTCTCTTCCCTACGCCATCTCTCAGAATACCGGACTCGACTGCTGCATCGAATATTCCACATACATCTACCCCACCTTTGAGAGCCTCCGCACTCTGAATACATCACGATGGCTCCCCCTCCGCCCGCCAATGTCCCCTTGACCCAGAGGCTTTTGCTCCTGGCCCAGACCCTGCAATGTATGTTGCTTTCCTGTCTCCCGCCTACATGTCTCTCAAGACGCAAACAGTCGCTAACCCGTTCATCAACAGTCGCTTGGTTCGCCGGGTATGTGCAGACTATCCTCCTCGCTTGATGCCTTGCTCCCTCCCTGCAACCCGACCACCCGAAATGCGTTGGTGGTGAAGCCTGATGGGTTTACCATTAACGAAATCTATCTCTTTTCTACCAGACGTCGACTAATACAGCGTGCTGCAGACATTTGTCCTTGATCTTCGCCGTTATTCGTTATGGCTTCTCCTACATTTCCTTCAACTACTACAGCCGGGTCGCCCGCTTCAGCTACAGACTCACCTTCCTGTCTGCTGCCCTGACCTACGGCATCGTCGTCTACAAGACTCTCCGCGCACGCAGCAAGGCCGGAGCTAAGGCTCCTCAGAGCCCTCTGGCCCTGATTGCCGACGAGAACGTTCAGTACCTTGGTGAGTTGCGTCCTTACCCCTTCATTGCGCGGGACTCGCCTCTAACCCTATGGCCCCAGTCATGTCCCTGGTGTGGCTTCTATCCCCCCAGTACCCCCTGGCCATGCTCCCTTACGCCATCTACTCGATCTTCCACGTCGCAACTTACACGCGCGCCAATGTGATCCCCACCATCACTCCTCCCAAGCCCATCACGCCTGCCGCTGGTGCTTCCCCCAGCGCCAAGCCCCAGTATGCGCACAACCCGATCGCCGACAAGATTGGCGCTTTCGTCAAGGAGTACTACGATGCCTCCATGTCTGTGGTGTCCTCCCTCGAGATCCTTCTTTGGGTTCGCCTCCTGCTCTCCGCCATTACCTTCCAGCGCCGCTCCTGGATCTTGATTGCCATCTACACCGCGTTCCTCCGTGCTCGCTTCACCCAGAGCACCCACGTGCAGAACTCGCTCGCTCTTCTCGAGTCCCGTGTCGACTCCGCTGTCGGTAACCAGGGCACTCCCCCTGCCGCCCGCCAGGCTTGGGAGACTGTCAAGGGAGGCACGCGCCAGTTCTACGCCTACACTGACCCGAACCGGTACCTCAGCGGCACTGCCGTCCCCAAGAAGACTTCGTAAACAATAGTACAGAAAAGCGAAGCGATCCAGAGTCACTGTTACCTCCAAGGGTGCGATGGCAAAGCCTTAATCGAGACGAGGCTGTTTGTCTAGAGGCTCTGCCGTTGCGACGAGCCAGGTTGCAAGCCTGCCACGATAAGAATGTTTCTCAGCGGGGGATGATCACGAGAAGAGGTTTATGACGAGAGTATACGGTCGTAAAGGAAAAGAAATGAGTCGAAGGGCTCATGGCCGGCCAAGGTTCACATGGTGGTTCGCCGGTTGTTCAGGTTATTGTATTGTAGGCGAGTTTGGGACCCGGTCGTTACTGGGTTGCTCTCTGCATTGCACGATGATTTCAGGTTTTCCGTTTGCTCATTGGCTTCGGCCTCTGTTTATTTGTCTTTGTTTGAGCAGTAAATCCAAATTCGCATGACTACATATTTATCCTCATTTGACAAATTTGCCGTTGATGCCGCCAGTGATGCCGCCAGTGACGCCGCCAGCGCAAGGGCTAAGCACATGCTGCCAAAGCAGCCGGCCCAGCGACGGCACTAGCCACAACCGAAGTGGCGTTGCTCGGCAGCTCTTCCCCGGTCCACCCCAGTACGAATGACGTCGCCCTCCCTGTTCGGAGGCCGACGTCAAGGCTCACACCCGCACGCGACCAAGGCGCAGCTACGACACCATAGTCTGTCATGAGGGAGGACGCCTTGGTTAGGCTTTCCTGATCACCCATTCATACTAAACACACTGCAAAGGTCTCCTCTTTCCTGGCGCCCGTTCGTCCCAAATCTTGCTCCGCTTTCCTGGTGCTTCATACGATTCGTCTCCATCATGGCCTCTTTACTGCGACAGATCGTTGCGGGACCTCGAGCACGGCACGCCGAGTCGGACCTGGACCTCTGCTATGTTACCAACAACATCATTGCAACGTCTGTAGTACTCAGACTTCAGACATCATGATTACCAAAAGCTAACTTTTTACATAGCTCTGGTCCATCTGGCACATATCCTCAGAGAGCCTACCGAAACCCGCTCGACCGGCTAGTCACCTTCCTCGACTCGAAGCACAAGGGCAACTGGGCGATATGGGAGTTCCGCGCAGAGGGTACAGGGTACCCGGACGAGGAGGTCTACGGTCGTGTGCGGCATTACCCGTGGCCTGATCACCACCCGCCCCCGTTCCGCCTGATTCCCATGATCATGGCGAGCATGCGGAACTGGCTTCAAGGAGGCGATCTAGAACCAGGCAATGTTGCCGTCGGCGCTGCAGACAAGGATGCCGCGGGCAACGACAAGAGAGTTGTCGTCGTTCACTGCAAGGCGGGCAAGGGTAGAAGTGGAACAGTCTCTTGCAGCTACCTCATCTCCGAGTGCGGATGGAAGCCGGAAGAAGCACTCACGAGGTTCACGGAGAGGAGAATGCGCCCCAAGTTTGGAGCGGGTATCTCGATTCCTAGCCAGCTTCGGACGATTACGTACGTCGACAGGTGGACTAGAGGTGGGAAGAAGTACATTGACCGGGCTATCGAGATCATGGAGATTCATGTCTGGGGTCTGCGCAGTGGTGTAAAGTTTGATGTTGAAGGTTTCGCCGAAGAGGGGAAGAAGATCAAGGTCTTTCACACATTCAAGAAGAGTGAGAGGATCGTCGTCCAAGGCGATACACCCAGCGGAGGAGGAGTAGGGTCTATGGTATCCGATCTCGCCAGCGTTAGTGTCAAACCTACAGAGAAGGCGCCCGCCGCGGCACCTCTGTCGCAATCTACCAACACGAACAATGCACACAGGAGCAGCTCAGACAAGGAGGCCTCTGGAGCTGAGATAGATGATGCCACGCCTTCGCGGAGCGAGTCAAAGAAGTTGCGCAATGCAAAGACGACGTCCTTGATCCGGACGCCTGAGCCCAGCGTGGCTCAGAAGAGAAGCGATACAGGTTCTCCGTTCGCAGGGCAGTCAACCACACAGTCCCAAGGGAAGTCAAACGATGGCGAAGACGGCGAGCCGGGCGGCATGGCCGTCATCCTCAAACCAAAGGAGGCCATCCACATCCCCAACAGCGACGTCAACATCTCCGTGGAGCGCCGCAACCGTACCTCGTCCTCCATGGGTCTCACGATGGTGACCGCGGTCGCCCACGTCTGGTTCAACGTTTTCTTCGAGGGCAATGGCCCGGAGCAAGACGGCAAGGCTGATGCCAGCGGCGTTTTTGAGATTATCTGGGACGCCATGGACGGTATCAAGGGCTCCAGCCGCAAGGGCTCCAGGGCCTTTGATAAGATCGCCGTTGTCTGGCGTGTGGCGGATTCTCAGCGGGCAGAGGACGGCGGGGACGAGGTTGTTGCGCCGACGGACGGGGAAATCATCAAGGAGCCGTCTTCTGGTTCGCCCGTGCCGCAGATGAAGCCTGCCGACTGGAAGGGTGATAACAAGGAGGATCCCGTCGCAGAGAAGCACCTGGGGTTGAGGAATGAGAGCCCCGAGAGCGCGGACGTGAGCCGGGCGAGCAGCGTCAAGGACGCGGATGTGTTGAACAACAATGGCAAGGATGGTAATGATACGGATTCGATGGAGGGTGTCAAAACGAGCGGGCCGTCGGGGGAGGAGCAGCTCGATGCTGAGGATATTGATGTGAAGAAGGTTGAGAAGAAGGTTGAGAAGGAGGTTGGACGAGGGAGTTTGAACAGACAGGCGGAGTCTGGGCCCGAGTTGTTGGATGCTCCTGACACGGCGAGCGGGACGACGGCGCTTGGGAGCACGGAGGTGAAGAATTGAGTGTTGGTTCTGTCGCTGGTGTGGAGCGTTGTTGTTTCATGTACACATATTTGAGACTTTTGATACCATGATGGGGGAAAAGATGGCTATAGACGATTAATTCCATCCCCAACTCTTTTGGATGCCTGACTGCGTGCGTATTCACATGCCACCTCAAGAACAGGTGTATCCTAAGCATGCCACTGGATTTGGTGCTACCGCCATCTATTTCTTATCGACCTGATAGTGTAGAAGAACAGTTTTGCCGTCTTTCTGTGTGTCATTCTCGTTGACCCATTCCCCTTGGTTCAGGATCATTTTCAATCTGATCCGATCTACGCCGAAAGCCCTCCCTCTACCTCAGCGTACCTCGATAGCTGCAACAAATCTCACGGCCAATAACCAAGAGCTCGTTACTCCACAATTTCAGGTTCGATTACTCTCTGGCTCAATCCTCTGAAATAATATTGAGAACGCCAGAGAAATTCTATGATGCCCGTGAGGCAGACTGGAGGCATGCCACGTTAGAAGTCCAAGCAGGCTGTGGCAGGCTGTGTCACCCCAGAGTTGCATGCCACATATGCGAGTTTGTCCAATGATTCTGCGAGGCGGACCATCCTTGACCGCAGTTGCACCCTCAATTTTCCTGAGCGACTGCGCCCCTGAGCTACTCGCTTCCCCTCCTTTTATCCACGATAGAGCCTGGCTTCTGCCAAAGTCTCCCTCTTCACCTTGTCAACATACCACCGCTTTTTGGTGCTTCGCGATTGTACGAAATCCTGAAGCGTCCAGTGATTCACCATGGCCGAGGGTCTCGCAGTCCTCGGCGGCCTCGCCGCATCGATGCAGCTGGCCGAGACTGCTGCCAAAGGTCTCCTTGGCGCCGTCAAACTCGTCAAGCAACTCAAAGAGATACCAAAGAAAACTGCAATACAGCTTGAGGATGTCGAGAGGTCTACGGAAAGAATTCTTCACATTTGCGCCAACCTGCCAGCAGGTCTCTCTGCCTTCCCGAGCCAGAGTACGAGCCCAGTCTGTCCCGTTCTGCAGAGAGACTTGTCGACGCTTTGAACGAGACCGATGGCGTCCTTCGACCGCTCATGCGAGACTACATCAAGGCGGGAGGCAATCGCGTCAAAACTCTATGGCGCGAAGTCGTCATGTTTATCCGAGAAGCCGATGTCGCAGAGAAATTGGATCGAGTGAGGTTTGTGAATGACGAGTTCCTCCGTGAGCTCCACATCCTAGACATGCACATGGGAGTAGACACCATGTTGGTCACCCTTTCTATATGACGAATAGTCAAAATCATGATGCTCACAAGAAACAGGACCAAATTGATAGAGACGTCAGCAGTGGTTGAGACACACTGTGGCGAATCTCTCCGCCAGTACGACTCACTTCATACATCAACTCAAAGCCTCCACTCGAACTTAGCGCGCGGATTTCAGAGAGTAGAAAAGGGCCAACACGACATTGCGATTCAGGGTGATAGGATGTCTGCAATGGTTGATCACAACCTGTCAAATCTTAGAGACGACATTCGCATTAGCCACGGCACACTGCAAGACATGATCCGCCAACAAGACCAGCGTATGACCGAGGAACGAAGAATCTTCCGCAACGAGCTGCTAGATATCTTGAAAAGCCCTGAACCCTTCGACCAGTGTTCCTCGGTACTTCAGCAGGGTATTACGGCGAAAGAGCGAGAAGAACTCGAGTTTGACACACGAGTCGCTCTGCTTCGAAACCCCAACGACTTGCAGGATGCTTTTGGTAATTCAAAACGCGGCTTAAGAGAGCTCCAGCTCCATCATTGTCGGTGCCGAACAAGGACGGCTAGCAAAGACGTGGGACTGGGATTTCTGAGGTTCGAGTTGATGCAAATGTCTGATCACACTTCGACGTGTCAGTACCGTCACTCTGGATTCGTAAGCTGGTCCTACTCTGTTTGCGCCAGCTTATATCCTTTCCTGCGCAAAACAATGGCCTTGGCCATTGGTGCAACGACAGGGCCAGGTGGCTGGTATTTGGCGCCGTCGCTGAGGTTCCGGAATACTGTTCGGCGGTCGGAGTCCGAAATATTTCGAGCGTTTGATCTTTTGCCGACTCTTTGCGCCAAAAAGCTACCGTCAGGTGCTTCTCTCTTTGACCATTCTACAATATCTTGGACCTCGAATGACAGTGATCATCCTTACTCTCTGCTGCTTAAACTCTTCGTTTGGGACTGGTCTCCTTTCACAGCTCACCACATTACTGAAGTCACCCGGTTGATTCAAGAAACCGTAAGTTTGGGCAACTTCCACGGTCTAGATACTGATGAGAACGGATGGACGTTATTATTCGTAAGTACAGAATTCCCTTAAGTCCAGTCGCATCACTGGGTATACAACGACCTAAAGTCTGTCAGGAATTCAATTATCTGCTGTTAATGCTGGGAAAATCATGGAAAGAATTCCAAAATCAACTGAAAACAATGTTGGAAGTGATAATGAGTGTGGGCGTCGACGCCCAAGCATTAGCCAACAACACTGAAGGGCCTCGAAAGTATCGCCCTAAGTCAGTGGTCTTGTTGTAAGTCGTGTCGACCTCGTTGTTGATTTTCACTGATTTATGTAGTACTGACAACATTACACAACCTCCTCTGGAATCGACCACTGAACGTTGTACGGCAACCGAATACTTGTGGAAACGAGGTTTTAGAGAAAAAATCTGCTTTGGGATAGAATTCCCTCTGTACGAAACTCTGGTTGCAAAAGACATCATTCAACACATTGCGTCAAGTAATAGCGTACAAGCCGTGTATTTTGGGCAGTACGATCGATATTCTGCACTGCAAATTTTAGTACGCCAGCCCACGCTTGCTGAAGGTTCGTGAGACTGAAGCCTTTCTCATGGCATGCCAACTAACACCGACTTCTACAGCGTTAGATTATGATGACCTGGCCATGGCCATCATACGCCGATCGTATGAAGACGTCGTACGCCTATCTAAAGCGGCTTCTAGCTCCAGCGTAGTATCAACAAAGACTGAGGGGGATCCTATTCAATTCAGTCCTTTGGAGCTGGCTATAGGATGGCCGAAAGGTCTTCAGTATCTTGTACGCCATGGCTCCCGAGCTGCACTTGCTATCAAATTAGCCGTAGAAGCGACAGATGTTGAGTCATTCCGGCACCTTCTTGAAACCGAAGAGGCTGTATTTGCCCAATCAACCAGGCCTTATGCATGTGTCGATAATGGAAACTGGATCTTTCAGTTGATCATCGAAATGAATTATGGTACAATAATCGACCTCTTGAAGATCGCAGCCTCGTCATTGCGATATCGACGTCAAAGGCTTTTACAACTTGCTTCTACAGTGCTCATTGGAGATGATCCTGAGTTCACCAGACTTAAGCAGCAGAGTCATGTTGATCACGATGCGTATCGAATTTATACTGAGCTGGAGAAGAGAACAGCTGTTCCGCCCGCCCTAGACTGTTGTCAAGTATCACCCTATCATTGTGACTTATCAACACTCTTACTATTTCCTGCAGAGATGAGTCTCAAGATTCTCAACCTTTTCTATGATGCTGGGTTTGTTGCCGTTGATGAAGCAGATAGATCAGGCAGCATACCCCTTTTCCGGCATCTCAGTTACAAAAGGTTGTTGATAGAAAGATCGGGGTCTGAGCTTAGGGACATTTGCGAGTGGTTCATCATCCGCGGGGCTAATATCATCAACAAAGAACCCAGAGGATGGCCTAATATAATGTACTACTTGGCCTACGGGTTTTCCCAAAGACCGGTCAATGAAGTTGAATACTCCAAGGTCTTCAAGGAAGTTTCGTTGGCTAGGAACCTCCATACAGCTACCGATTACTGCGACTGCTTTTGTTCGAAAGATGGTTGTCTCCCAAGTCACTTACTCTGGGGGATATATACAGCAATCAGATCCGACGTTTACAAAGAAGCCCCCCGAAATCAAGCTGTTCATCTTAATGCCTGGATCCGCGTTTGGGAAATGGATCCGAGCTGCCAAGAGACACTCTACAGAGAGGGCTGCAGAAGAGAGCTATTTGATCGCCTCGGAATGGCCCACACTTGCTGCAGCAACTTCACATTCGCCAGGAAATATTCCCATGTGCCAAGCCTCCTAGATCACGATCGCAGGGGTCAAACCAAATCAGATTATGAGGCCGAAATATCACAAATGCAAGACGAGGATGCCAGATTGGCCAGCCAGCTCCACAATCTGATGTCCAAGTACGACTCTGCAAGAGAACAAGTGTTGGGGCCCGTCATGGCATTTCAGGCCATATGGTGGAGGGCCGTGGATCAACTTCTACCGCCTCCGAGGCACCGAATTACCTGTTACGAGGAGGATTCTTGGAATTTCGTCATGTATTTGCAATGTACGGAAACTTGCAGGAATGAGAGGGCTCAGCGAGAAGATGAAGCCCTGCGTGTCCTTGGTTATGAGGATTTCGAGGACTTTATGGATGTCATTGATGATTTTTTCGCAAAGCAGGCTTGGGGCGTTGGGGAGTCTGAAGATCGCAGTATGTAGTGTTATTGCAAACAGCCTACAGGAACTGTTTCTTTCAATAAGCTGTGCAAAAGCACTATGCTACGTTACATTGGTAAGGGGCCTCAAATTGATCTAATATTGGTAGGTAGCAATACAGATCCCATCAGGATCCCGATCCATGTCTCGACTTGATCGTGGTTGTCGACGTTTGGCATCAGATTTGCGGCGTGGGCATTCGATTTACTAACTCGTTATCAACAAAGAAAGAGATATAAAAGGATTTAACCCCCATGCTCAAGGTCTCCTGATTGCCTTTACACATCAGACACGCCCAAGGAACCCGTGAATGATGTGGCGGTGGCTCGGCAAAATCAACTTGCTGTCAGTTGACTGGCACGGACCCTGTCGGTTGCCTCTCCAGTCTCTATGACACCATCTCATTTGCAAACACCAAGTCTGTTCCATGGCTATGGATATGGACCTCATTGGTGTTGCTCATCTTCATCATCAGACAGTTCATGGCATCTACAGAACCGACAAGGAACCCTGTCAGCTTGTTGCCATCTGCGAAATCAAAAGGTGTACGGCAGAGCAAGCAATCTTTCGTCTGCCATACTTTCTTCAGCAAACCGTTTTTCATCTTCTCGATGCTCTTGTTGGAAACAACTGCATTCAGTCTATGCCTTGGACTTCAATATCTTTTGATTAAGGTTAAGGCACTTCTGGTTGTCGTAGATCGGAAAGGCTGGTCTTTCGGACAAGTTGTGGTTTTGTTGTTCTGGGTGCCCCATTGTTTGATATTCTCCGGTCAATTGATGAGAGGGAGAGGTACGAAAAGGTCGAGAATGCGCAGGAAAGTCAAGACTAGAGGAAACATTCCAAGCCGAAAAATATTATCTCCAAAGCGCTACTTTTGGTATTGTGTAACATTTGAATTTAATCGTACGTTCAATGGCATGGCGAAGGGTCAAGTGGTACTTTGTGTATGAATTCTGCATGGAGGTGGAAGTGGATAGTTGGGGTCGCAGGCCAGATCTCAACCACCAGCAACCCATCAGCCGGATAGACGTTGGCTATCTATGTTTGCTGTGGATAGAAATAAAAGTTTGACCCATATTCTGCTTTTAAGTGGAGACTCATGTTGCTTAACGGTTTCGCGCGCGGTTTCATTGTTATAATCTCCCATCAATGCTGTTTGCTGCAAATCGCAATATGACAGGATAAACCGGAGGCTCATGGCTCATATCCGACTCAAGTACGCTTAAATTCACAGCAGAAAATCTTGTACTCTCTCCTATCCACAAGCCCCGCATGCTTCGATAAATTCATCAGAAGCCTAATCCAACTCCTTACCAATCTTGTCAAACTCGCGGCGCCACTCAGCCACCTTCTCGACCTTCTTGAACGGATCAAGGTTTATGGCTTCGCTGTCGACGTACACGCTCTCCCCGAGTGTAAGCTCGCCTCGACCAACGAGCTCGCCCAGCTCAAAGCTTGCATAATTGGAGCTGGCGTTTGAACGGTCACCGTCTTCCCAGACTCCAACTTTGAAAGTTGCACCTGGCCGGAAGAAAAAGCTTGACCCTCTTGAGGAGCTACTTCTTGTCCCGCTGTTGACGACCGTTGCAGATGTGTGAGGTTTGTGAGACTCATCCTCTTCGTGAATCCGGAAACCACCGTTCCCGTTGCCGCAATCGTGGCAGTCGACATCTTTCGTGGAACCGTGACCTTGAGAACTGTAGCCTTGGAAACCGTAGCTTCGGGAATCGTACCCTTTGGGACGGAACCCGTTGTCCTTGGTTGACACCGAGAACGACATGCCGGGGACATCAATCTTGAAACCATCTTTCAAAGACGTGCTCTTGTTATTTTGAGGCTCAGCACTCTTCCAACTCTCTCTGGCGCCATCCTCACGACAGAAGTCTTCGTGGGGCACGATGGCCGCATTCTTGCTGCCGATCTCATTGTTTGACGGGAATGGCTGCATGGGCGCCTCGCGGACGTCCTCAATAAGTAGAACCAAGGGTTTCTTCCAGATTGAATCGTCCACCTTCTTATAGAACTTGAGCTTACAGCGGCCCGCGGAAAGCTGCGTATTCGGCGCGCGGGTAATGACGTGGTCAATGTTGGCTTCGTTTGCTGTTCATCTGGTAAGCCGACTGTAAGGATAACGAGCGAAATCAGCAGTATGATTACACTTACGAGTCCCATAGAGGTAGAATGGCATGAAGGTATCCGGATATTTGTCGAGACGATACTTGGAGTTCAAAGGGCGGCTAACGACAGTCTTACCCAATTGAACACAGACGTCTTGGAGGATAATGCCGCTATAACTGTCAGTAGAGTTCATTTCTGGCCCGTAATGTCTTGAGAATTCTCATGTTGAACTTACGACTCCTTCGTCATGATCTGACCATCGAAATGCCCCTTCTGCTCGATGACATCTTTGGCCATGACCTTGCGCTGAGTTACAAGCAGCATCGGCTCCGACGGGTTCGATCTCTTTAGGGCAATGTACTTGGCCTTCGACTTCTCGTCAAAGCTCGCCTTGACAATTAGCTGCTGTCGGTGGTTCGCCACATGGAACATGGGCAGATGGATGAGGTAAATCTCCTCCGTCCCTTGAATGAGGAAGCTGTGAAAATCCGGCGCCGGCGTGTTGCGCTTGCGGACGGTCTGTAAAAGAGTGAGTAAATAAGATAGTAGGTGGTTAGTGGCCAGAAAGAGCAAACCTCAGTTTCTTTCGCAACGGCATCATAGAAAATGTCGGCGAGCTGATTCGTGAAGTTGCCGTCAGTGGGGAATGGAGACATAACGACGTTTCGCAGCACCATCAAGTCTTGTGAACTCTGCTCCAGACCGAGTCGCTTGACGAAGTTTGCCTTACATTCTCCGTACAACTCATCAGAAAATTCGGTGGAGGTGAGGAAGAGGGGAATCTTGGTAGGATCGTCGTCTGGGCTGTCTACAGAAAGAGCCTCAATGACTCTCTGCATAAGGTAGTTGGCCTCTTCTATGTCATCATTCAAACGCCCATCCTCGTAGCGGAAGTTCAACGCGAAAGCGTTGATGTTCAGGTCTGAACCCAAACTCCTGAGGAGCTTCATGACCTTCTCGTCATCTGGTCTCTCTTCATCTTCGGCAATGATGGAGGCGTTCGTCTTCTTGACAATTTCGCATCGAATGCGTGCCTTTTCGGCCTCGATCTTCTCCTCAGTCGGATTTGGCTCGAGTTCAGATGGAAGCATGTTAAATGGCACGCAGACGAAAGGACTGGTGGAATCTGTCAAAGCTGCCCATTCTGCGGAGAGCTTCATCAAGTTTGTCAGCATAAGGTACCGAAATACGGCGCGGCAAAATTCAAAAATGAGTGAGATCAATGAGCCAGACTTACCCTGCTGCAAGTCCAAGTGACCTCTCCAAGCAAGGCACCATAGCCCTTTGAGTCGAGACCAATTGTCCTGTTGGACAACCACGTAGAGACTGCTGAGGCGCCGGGCTTACTAAAATAGGGATACGTAATTAGCTTTGATTTGAATACCGACGGATCTAATTGAAAAAAAACAAACCTTCCTTCGACACCGTAGATGCCGATGCTAGTGACTGAGCCTCGCGACAGATAAGGGCTTGTCCAGGTGACCAAGAATCGCATACGGCCATCACGGTAACAAAGACCGCCAGCTGGGTAGGGGATGTATCCTGCTTTGTGGGGATCAACAGTAATGGAGTCGGCGAACCGCATGGCAAATAGATCCTCCTGAGTCTTGGCGCGAAGTGTCGCATCAGGCACGAACCCATCAGCCGCACCCATGTCAGTGGGAAGATTCATGACATCTCCAGGGCGATAGTCCTTTGGCAGCATGGAGCAAAAATACCCACCTGGATATGAAGTTAGCGCGTATACGTTCTCTAATGTCACCTTTGGGAAAGCTCAGTATACCCACCCCAGGCCGCATCGGCGTGAACCACGAAAGACAAGCCTTTGGCTTGGAACTGTTTGCGCAGGGCGAGAACGCCACTCAGAGAGTCCACGGCGCCCTCTTGAGGGATCAAGTCAGCGTTTTGTCAACTAAATCTATTCTTTGGACCCAGACGTACCTTCAGTGGAACCCACGATAGCAACGACCCCATAAACGGGTTGCTTGTTGTCAAGACTCTGTTGCAATGCTTTCTCCAACGCACCCAAATCTAGACGCGCTGCCGCATCCACTGGAATGCCAACAACATTATCAGAGCCCAAGCCACTGATCGCTAAAGATTTCAAAAATTGTTAATATCTATCCAGAAGTAACTGCAGGGGAAGGCACGTGTATTTACCAGCACCCTTTGGCCAAGAGTAATGCCTGGTGTTTGACAGCATGTACTGGCCTGGCAGTTCCAGCCCGAATACTCTCTCAAGTTCATCCTTGCCAGTGGATTGAATGGTGAACTTTTTCATGACGTCGGAAAGAAACGCGTTTGAGATTCCATGCTCCTGATACAGTCGATCAGGGAGGTCAAGAATATCAGATGGCTTCAAGTTCAGTAGATCCCAAGTCGATAAATCAGTGAAAAGCTTGATTTCACCCATGCAAGTCTCGACTTTGAATGCTTCCGACAAGAAATTGAGCGCCTCACCACTCCCGAAAGCCTTACGAAGCGAGAGGGGATAAAACTTCAGGTTACGTGCTGGGAATTTATGAGTACTCGACACGACAAGGCGAAAGTTAATACATACCGACCCTGGATATGACTTGTCAGTGTACGACTAGCTTCAAGGAACTCGTGGATCCTACCACATGGATTCCAGATTGGCAACGGTGCCGTCACAAGTCACGTGGCCCCAAGACGTAGGAGCTCCAGTTTTGTCCTCGTCTATGTTATAGCCAAAGAGATCGCACAGCTGCTCTCCCACTTCAATCTCTGCCAGTGTTGATAGCGGACTGGCCTCAAACGCGACATTGTTTGGATTGTAAAGCATCGTCATGAAGTACCCCAGCATGGAAGGCATGCTCAAATCAGTGCACCTATGTTGGTCAGCTCAAGGTTAGGATGTCGGTGTCAGCGAGGTACTGACATGTGAGCTTCATAACGGGGGGACCAGAACGGTATGCTTGACTTGCCCAAGAGGTTGGAAGCCTTCCGAACCGCATTCTGGAGCTTTTCCATGGAAGAAAGGAAGGCAGGTGTCTGCTGTGTCTTTTCATCGATAAAATTCTGCTTTGTATGAGCAGAGTTACCACATTGCAATGCGTCTAAATTTCTCTTGGGGACGTACGCCATCTTCAGGATAGTAACTCTTTCGCGCGCCCTCAAGCTCTTCCAAGATGATGCTGATGTTTTCCTTGAAGTACGAAAGGTTCTCAGCTTGGGGGCCTATGAAGTATGACGAGATGATCTGATGAGACTCATCTTCGTGGGTAGCCTTGGTGTTGTACGCCGTGTTCTTGGACGCCATGATGAATGAAAAGTAAAGGGGAGGTTGATACTTTCCAGCAGTGAGCTGCGTGTGAACATCGTTACATCACGGCGAGAGAAATAGCCCTATAAATACTCTGAACCAGGCTCTTTCCACTGACTAGTCTATGAACTTTATCGACATTTCTCTGGAGTGTTCCACATTTAGACCTTAAGCCAATAGGTAGATAGTACCACATTCCGCTATTAGGCGGTGACGGAACGACGGGATGCATGCTGTCGATCAACGTACATGTTCGCCTTCTGCCACCTTTGTGCAGTCAATCACAATCATGCAAAACTCGTATTGGATTTCTTGGCCGGTCAGGTTTGGCATTTGATATGATGCCGGTTCCAATATTCCCCTCACGAGAATGCTCTCCAAGTACTCACCGGTATTATGCACCATCTTAGGGAGGTCGAGACTGACTTTCTGTGCACATCGATATGCACTTCTGACGATACTAAACACCAAAAGTTGGCTGCGACCACACTGGAGCACCATTGAAATTCATGCACACCATACTCCCGTAAAAGGCTAGCTCCGGGCAGGTTCGTTCGAGCTTGCAGCGGGATCATGCGTGTCTCACGTAGCCACCGCCTATCATCAAAGAGGCAAGCAAAGGCTGCAACACGTCGTATGAGTGAATTATTACGCGACAGAAAGCCACAACATTCCTGCCGTACGTCTATCAATGGGGTGAATAGGAAAATCTTGCCAGTTTGCCTCTTTAGTCTGGAAACAGTTGACCGAAAGCCAATGTCGAGCAGTGTAAAGCACTCCTTTAAGAGTGAAGCAGGCCGACAATCATGCTGACTCTACTGAGAAGCTCGCGGATTTTCTAAGACGTCGCACATCCAATGCGACCCCACGGCGATCCGGAACTGTCACTCTCGGCCCGGGTAGATCGCTCCCATCAGATCGCAGAACGCACACAGTCTGTTCGGCTACACCCGCGTACGTTAGACTAAATCGAGTGATCTGCAGGAGAGGAGGGGGTCGGGTCTTGGCAGTCCACTCGTTATCTGGCACCAAGGTTGAGCCTCTGAAATCCAGTCGTACTATATTGAGACAGTGTGACAGACCTACGTAGTGTTCCCGCGGAAACCGACTGAGCTGCGTAAGTGAGGGGTTTGTGATCCAACAGGGCCACGACTAGTCACGCATGTTGTTGTACAAGCCATGACGTGGATCTTGCTCATCTTGCGGGGCTAAGTCCTCTAGAAATCTCAGGCAAGAGATTAGGGCTTTCAATATATGCCTGTTCACAAGGTCTGATAGAAGTAAGAACGCAGAGAAACCGAGTTCAGAACGCTTCCAGGTTTGAAACCTGTGCTATATTTTGAGCTCAAGCTCTAGAGAAGAGTCGGGAAGTCATACGAACTATACTACTATTGACAGGGTCTTTACATGTATCCACTGGTCTGACAGTTAAACAGGCTCTCCGGGTAAATATAATCTAGAAATTGGCAAGGCCTTATTGCAGAAAGCTCAAATCATGTCGAAAATACTTCAGACATAGGTGCATGCAGTGAGGGAAAGGAGGGGCGGGTGGGGTGCCCGATTTTGGACTTGGACGGTCTACTTTTCTTCGGCGGTCGTTCTCATGAATGGATTGGCTGATATTTCATTCTGATTCAAGACTCGGATGTATCAAACCCTCCGCTTCTTCACACACACAGAAGGAATGTAGTGGGGCGTCTATTAGAGTGGCAAATATAGACCATGTAAGGCTCATAGTTGTGCCGACCCCGACCAGCGCTTCAGTTCAGCTCAACATTGAAGTCAGCGTCAAAATTACCGAGGTAGAAGACATTTTTCACTGTCTGGGATGGCATCACCAACAGCGCTCAGCATGTTGGCGCAAAATTCATAACATCTCTCCAAGGTGATATTCCATAGATTCAAATAAGTCTTCGGCATCGGAATTCTTCCCAGTCCTTCCAGTCCTTCCAGTCCATTCGGTGATTTTCATCGGAGCAAGATATTAAAATAAATAAAACTGTGTTATAGGTAATAGTTTAGATAAAAGAAGGGCACATGGCTCCAAGGTAAGCCGTACACTACTTTACTTGTCTTATCGACTGATACAAGAACTGCAATATGAGACTGCAGCGATTCACAGGGCGCAAACCATGCCTCCCTAGCCTACACCGAAGATAAAAGAGCCTTCCACCAGTCAGCAGCCGAACGGCTTGGAGCGGCTATCTCAAGAACTTCTTTGCTTGTCGTCGATGTCGTACACTTGCCCTCCCACAAACTAACCGGAGCAGCCTTCAACGATAGGATGACATTCTTCGACTCTTTGCTTGCCGAGACCTTGGCGTCCACAAGAGACACATCCCTGAATACAACGTCCTTTACAGGCTCGCCGATGGCCTCCTCCACCCACTTGACGATCTGCCGCCCAGTTATATCTGTGGGACCGTTTAAGATGTACTTTGCGCCGTTGTGCCTGGAAGGATCCTGCTCCCACAACAGATGCGCAGCAAAGGTACCAACGTCGTCACCATGTATGGCGCCCACTGGTGCGTCCGCATCGGGTATGAGTTTGAGGATTCCCTGCGTTTTCGTTCGGCGGTAGTCTTTGACAAAGTCAACCGCACCATGCAGATGAAGCGAGAAAAAAATATTTGGTTGCAGGGATGTCCACTGAAGTCCTTTGAATTCAGGCGAACCCAGCATAGTCTCGATGGCCCAATGGGAGCGCGGATAGAAGGCATCCGAGTCCGGACGGACGTTGGCAGCCGTCGTGGAGATGCGAACGACGTACTTCACGCCAGCCTTGAGCGCCGCCTGGTGAAAGGTCGACTCCTCGGCAAATTGGTTCGTATTGGCGTGTGATGCAATGAAAGCCTTGACAACGTTCTGTTCGCGTAGCCACGCGGCGTTGACCTCGACCCAATTCTTCTCGATTACTGTAATGCCGGGGAGACTCCCGAGGTGCTGGGCGGCTGATGAGCCGGCGGAGCGCGTAAGGGCAACGACACGGAAGCCAGCAGAAGTATCCCTTTTGCCCAGGAAACTGGAAAGGGTCTCGACGACACTTCGACCAGTGTTGCCCGTTGCGCCGGCAATGAGAATCGTAGGAGTCATGATGAATTCCCGTTATTTGGAGCTGATACTTCAAGTTGATTGTTGGAATGAAATCCGATAGCAAACTGTTCTACTTCACCACTCAAGACAATATTTGCGATCTTCAAGGTCACTCATTCTTCAATCCACAAGACTTTATAAGGTCCGCACTCCGAAGGATTCTCGCGGAGATCTGCGGATTTTGCGGACATTCGCGCCATGTACAACTTGCACCGCTGTAAGAAAGACGTGGTAGTCCGCAATCAATTGGTAAGCAATCAGATCTCCGCCAGCAGTAGTTTGGCATCCCACATTGCGGCCCCCTTTCTATATTTCGCCCCTCGATCTGACATTATTATGCTAATGCTATACTCCATTGGGCCCCTGGTTCAAGAGCTAGTTATTCATAAATTTGTAGGCTCCCTGTCCCTTTGCCTAAGTAGGCACAACAAGATGTAGTCACCAGTCATATTACCACAGCACCAACAATGACAATAGCTTTCCCCAAATCCTCGTGCGCATACATCATGATAATTGAGACTTCGATTTTGTGTTCTTGGGCTTGATGATCTAGAAGAGGAGCCCTCTCGCACTTGCCAAGAAGACTATCGGATGCTAACCCAATGCAATGGACTCATTGCTGGGGAGTTGTTTACGCAACCCGTCACGCCAGTCCTCGACCATCGACACCTTTCAGAAATTGACCAAAATTTGCAAAAAGTAGAAAACTATTGATGATAAAGTGGAGCTTTTACACAAGGCACAGGAGGTATGATCTTTCTCGTTCTTGGGTACTTCGTCATCTTAAATCTACGATGTTGATTGTAGGTGGCGATTGATGCTATATTAATGACCCGGGACTTGATGTCGTAATATTTGACTTCAATTGTCGCAAAAACGGCGCCATTGATTGCGTGCAGCAATTGACGCTATATAAATCATTGAGACATCAATTTATTGAGAAATCAGTGACAAAATTTATCTGGATAGCCATGTCAAGAGGAGAATGGTCGTGGAACGCATTCTCTACAGAAAATGGTTCATCACGGCCACAGCGGAAGCTTAGATGCGTTATTTTATAATCAAGAGGTAGTGACTGACGTAGTCGTGGTTTGACAACGCAATGCATCGTTTTCACCCTCCTTAGAACATGGGCAACCCTAAGCGGGCCAACAATCAGCACGCTCTTGCCATCCGTTCAAACTTAACAGTGTTAAGTCGCGCCTATGGTTTTCCACTACAATGTTCGTAAATCTTGAGATGCCGTGGCTGTGTAGGTTTATGCTTCGGGCGGTTGTCTGATGATTATGCATTGCCGAATTCGACCGCTGGGTCTGGCAAACACCAATGTCAAAGATTGGCAGAACCACGAATCTCGCTTGCGTCGGGTACTTTCATGTTTCCAGGAAACAGGAGTAAAAGCCGATGTATAAGTTTCCATACCAGTGAAAAGCACTGGTCTACAATCAACCGACTGGAGCAAACATTAGAGAAAGCGATGCAAACGAACGCATGTGCATAGTGCACTACCATTGGAGCCACGCAGACCCGAAGCTCGACTTTCGTGAAAGTTAGGTGCGCTGAATCAATCATGCGCGCACGCTTACGCGCTTACGCGGACCATGTGGATTACAGTATTTGGCTCCGGCCACCGATCTACCGGGTAACTTTATTCTGAGGGGTTCGCGGATAACCGCTATGGTAGACGTCGCCAGATTGGCCGACACGATTACAGTTCCTGACGCCGCTGCTAGCGTCTTCCGATTTCCATAGAGCCGGCGGGATAATTGGCCGTTGAAGAGCTTTGGGGAGTCTTAAATAAACTCTAACCAGCCCCAATTCCTTGCAGTTTCAACCCACTTGCCAAAATTGTCTAAGGGGCAGTAGGTAGGGAGGAGAGATGACACACGCGCGAGACACTACGACCCCAGTGACAAAAAGCGAAAACTTGGTGTTATCGCAAGGCGGGCTTCTTGATTCAAAGATGCCTGCCAGGGGCACATGGAAAATATGTTTTCTGACGAACCCAAACTGATTCGTGAAGTGAACTCAAGCCTTGAAAATGTCTCGTCCGTTCCCCTCTTCGTCTTGATCATCACTATCACATCGACATCTGAAGACGCGGCGACTTGTCCAGGCACCTCTGATATTATCAATCATCCTTGATCAGCTGATCATGAAGGAATTACAACTTCGCCGCCTGCTCCGGGCCTTCGTGATATTCGTCATCGCTGTGGCGGCCGTGAAGATTCCCCAACCTATCGGACCAGCTCATAGAGAAATCCAGGGACCGATAGTTTGGGCAGCTTGTCCTGGAAATATTCGGCCGTTTAAGGGCAACAACACCTCAAAAGCTCTTCAGTGTACGAATTTCTCGGTTCCCTTGAACTACGATGATCTTGGGGGCCCTCAAGTTCAGCTGGGCATCGTCAAGCTTCCCGCACAAGGTCAGCGCATTGGCAACCTCTTTGTGAACCCGGGCGGGCCAGGAGGAGCAGCTTCAAGCATGGTGGTTAGCATGGCTTCGAAAAGGATTTACATCAGCGACGCGGTGCGCCGGTCATTCGACATCATTGGGATGGATCCCAGGGGCGTTGGCCTGAGTACACCGCAGAAGTGCGACACAATTTTGGCCAACCAGCCCAGCGAATTTGACGCAACGACGCCGGAGGGATTTCAGAAGCTTTTCAACTACAATAAAGCTGTAGGAGAGTCTTGTCGAGCAATGACTGGGCCAGTATTTGACAATATGGACACAAAGTCTGTCGCCAAGGACATGGAGGCGGTCCGCGTGGGTAAGCATGTTCGTCAAAGAACCCTTCATCACGGCTACAGAGGAACTAACATTAGACAGCCATTGGGAGAGAGCCCATGAGCTATTTTGGACTATCATACGGGACCCAACTGGGGGCTCAATATGCTGCACTGTTCCCGAACGCAATTCGTGCCATGGCACTTGATGGGATATTGCAACACACTGGATCTTCCGCATCCAATATCATGACACAGGCCACGTCCTTGGACGCCACCATTCAAGCATTCTTCCGGTTCTGCGAAGCCAACGCCACGAATTGTGGAGATGGAGGACAGGACATCAGGCAGACGTGGAACAAGATCCTCGAAGTCGCCGGCACGGGTAACCTCAAGGCCGCGGAGTGTGACGGGACGGTCAAGACCGGCTGCCTGACTACTGCTACACCTAACAACGTAATCGGCGCGGCACGATCGACGCTGGAGTTCCCCCAAGACAGTAAAACGTTTGCCGAGATGGTCAAACTCGGGGCCGCTGGGAATGGCTCCTTCTTTACCCCCGGTCTTCTGTCTGGCGACATTTTCACTGATTCTCAATCTCTGTCCATTAAGACCGTGCAGTGCCAGGACGGGCATTTCTTCGCTGCCAAAGACCACATCGAGGTGCAGCGCGTGGCCGATATGACCCGAACCCTCACGGTGACTCCAGGCATGGAGCAATTTTGGCATAGAGTCATCGACTGTACCGGGTACCCCGCGAAGATCACGAATCCCCGGACGGCCTTGGATATCAAGGGTACCCCGCCTATCTTGCTCGTACATTCCAGATTTGATCCCGCAACGAGTTTGGTGTATGCGGCCGGAATGATGGAGGAGTTCCAGAACGCGACTTTGCTTCTTAGAGAAGGGTCTGGCCATACAAGTTATTTGCTGAAAGGTGACGCCTCACGCATTGTAGATGACTATTTGATCAATTTGAAGATGCCGCCAGCGGGTACAGTGGTCCAGAGTTAGCTGGGCCAAGAAGAAGTTTAACAAACAATCAAAAGCTGTTTTGCCGCATTGGCAGTTATCACATTGCGTCTTCACATTTGCGTAGTAGTTGCTCCGTTGGCAGGCCTCGCCTTCGGCTCTGAAGCAGAAACCCAGGGATACAGGTTTGATGCCCGTGGCCCGGAGCGGCCACCTATGAGATATTTGATTTGCTAGTCTCAGAACCTCGATGTTCTCTAATGCGCTGAAAATCCCCACAGACACTGGAGAGAGACGGTATCGCGCGGTATTGCGTATTGTCCGTAGCGTTGGGAGTTGATTGGTTAGCAGCACTGAGGAACAGTGCAGCAGAAGCGGGCCATGTACGCCGGAATGAATGCAAGGAGCCATGATTTTGAGACCTACTTAGTTTCCATAGTACAAAGGAGACTTGGCTCTCCCTTTCCGACAGCCAAGGTTGGCGTCATGGTACGCTTAATTTGGGTATAAATGGCGTTAATCAAACAAACAGATGCACAAATAAGACATTTGGTTTGCCTCATCGATTTAAGCAGAAAGATCCACATGTTCGATGATAGGTACGTTATGCCCTCGATCTGCCCTTTTCAGTCCCTTTGACTTCAATCTTCCCTCCAACCTAATACAAACTAGTCACAAAGGTCGATGGCCAACACTTGACGAGACTAGGTCCAAGAATTCTCTCATAAGACGTGGCTAGTGCACGCTCAAGACCCTCCTCTGCATGGCATCATTACGACTTCAATTCGTTCTTACTTATAGCCACCACATCGTCAAAGGACTTTGGTCAAGGTTAAAACTATTACATGTAGGCCTGTGGCAGAATAATGTCAAGAACGGATAATTTGGAGGACTACAGCCTCCGACCTCTCACTCCAGGGGCTACACATTTCCAAATCCCTCCACTAATAGCGGCGATGAAGAACTTCAAGGGAATTTCATGATTGCAAAGCTCAAGGATGAGAAAGGAAAAATCTGATTCAGGCACACCGGGATAGAGTCTCGTTTTCGAAGCTGCATCAGCCTTCAGGATGGTCTGGAGGTTACTTCAAAGTCGAGGGTAATCAAATCCATCTTGAGGGGTTTCCTATTGACAAGATTCGAGTTGTTGGCGAGGCAGTCGAAGATCTTCAGGACCCTGCCTCTTTGAAGAAAGCTCTCTCTCAGTGGAAGTGCATGCTTAGAGAGAGCGGCTCTGCCGATATAGCCACAAACAGGGTGGTCAGTGAAAGATTGGTTGCATTGTTATGTGCTGACATTTGCGCAGAAAAAATTCCAGATGATCAGTTTGCAGCTTGGAGGCGCAAGTTTGTTGTCCAACAATTACATAAAGGTAACATCTTTGCGATGTTCTTCGAATATGCTTTCAATGTCGTAGCAAGGTCTGAACATTGGCGGCGGTTTTGAGCGGAAGAGTCCCCAGAGGAGGATGAGTTAGACGCATTCTTCAACAGCGGCGATCTGAAATGCTTCAGAGACGCGCGTTATCGTTCCACCGTGATCTCTTCCTGGTCCCATCGAGCACTTTACCTAACAGAATGTGGACGGATCGGTCTGTGTCTGCCTCACACAACTTCCCGGGACGAAATTTGGGGTGTGTACGGGTCCCAAGTTCCTTTAGCTTTCCGCGCGTTATATAGTGAGGAAGAATTCAAGAAGTACAACATGATTGGAGACTGCTATCTGCAAGGTGCCATAGACGGTGAGCTTTGGCCTCTCGAGGACGAGACTGTCGTCAAGCTGGTTTGAAAATCACCAGTGCATCGATAGGAGATTGATGACTGGAGAAAGGACGCACGACCTGGGTTTGAACCAGGGACCTAGGGATTAAGCACCCATCGCTCTTGTCCGCTGAGCTATCGTGCTTGATATTTATGTTGGAATATAACCAGAAGTTAGGAATTACGTCCCTTCGACTTGGGACGAGAGGCCGTTGTGAGTCATTCCGGGGGCGTAATATGGTTGTGAAGGACCTTGGGTGGATGATGGCGTCAAGCGTGGCTACACAGGTGACATAATGGACAGCAAATGAGCTCTATATCTTGTGGCTAGTAGTTAGCGCAAGGTTTGTGGATTCTCAAGCCCGACACTAAGTCTTTGTCTTACATGTCTCAAATATATACCGTGGCCGCTCTTGTATGGTTTTTATTGCTAGACTTCCTGTCCTAGAAGACGGGGCCAGGATATCATCAATGTTCAGTTCAGATCTGTTCAGCATCATTCGCAATCAAAGCTCAAAATCGGAAGATGTGGCGAGTAAATACGTTGAGATGTTCATATAAACATGGTAGCATGTCCAAAACACAGCATAGTCTGGATCAAACAGGAAGCAGAACTTCGGAAGGAAAATGGGATAAACCTCGCAGATATCCTCCCACGTTCATATCAACGACGACCATTTAAGGCTAGAACTGCCAAATAAACGAATCTTCAACATGCCTTGTTTAGAACACTGATCAAGCTTCGCCAACGGGAGGAGCTTGAAGAATCCATTCTCCGATAATCTTCATGGTCTTTTGCGTCTTGATCTTCGCGTCTTCCAGCAAAACCGGGTCGCGAACAACACCGTCAAGATGCTGGTCGAAACCGTGAACCGTATCAGGAACCAGAAGCCACCGGTAACGGCTCCCGTCAGCGCCAGACACTTCGAAGTGAAATCTCTCGTCGTCGAGCACGAGCTCGCCGTCGCCAACAACTTCAGGTTTTCCGACCCTTGCTGGTGGTGGTGGGCGGCCGGCAAGCCTGTGGATGAGCCTCTGGCCTTCGTGAGCGAGCATGTCAAGCTCGCAGCCGATGATGAAGACTTGCTTAGGCAGAGCCTCCTTGGGTGCGAAGCAGGGGCTTAGGAGAGGGTCGCGACTGTCTTCGCCCGGGATCTGGTAGGCCCAGTCAAAGACTGGTGCAATCCCTTGCAGGAAGTCTTTCTCCTTTGCACGGAAGCCTCCCAGTTCGGGCTTGTACTGCCGCGTCTGGACCTTCTTATCTCCTGACGTGGAGAGGTCAACCGCCGGGTACAATGGGATGACGCAAGTGAGATGCTTCCTGACGGTCTCCAATTGCGCAGCCGCTAGAGCCAGGTTTCCGCCCGCAGACCAGCCGGCCAAGGATACTCTGGTGCGATCCAAGGGAAGCGAGTCGTCATTAAGCGCAGCGAGGAAGAGCTCCTCACAGTCATGAACAGGCTTGGGGAATGGATTGCCTGGGGCTTTGGCGTAGTTGAGACCAATGACGATCGAGTGGTGCAGCGAAGCATACGCCTGATTCCAGTCGTCATTGTCATTTGGTGTGCCAAGCACGAATCCACCACCGTGGATTGTGAAGAGAACCGGCAGCTTGTCTTTGGACGTTTTGTCAAAGCATTTCGGGAAGAAGACTCTGTGACATGTCAATCTCTGCGCCAGGGCGAGGGTATTACTTGGGCGCAAACGCACCTGACGGGTAAATACGGCCTACACTCGTACGTCTTCACGATCTCTGGACGATTCTCAGGCGGGATGACATGTGCTTTGACATCGCGAACGAACAGCGCGGGCTTCACCAAGAAATTTTGAATCGCAAAGGCCGTAGCGCCGTACCTGACCTTTGACAGCAGCGGCAGCTCTGGGACGCGATGTGAGTCGTCCGTGGCGTTCTGATCTTCGGCCATCGTTGAGCCAGGCGCGACGGATGAGCTGAGTTGCGTGGAGGTGTTTGAGTGTCGCAGCGGATGTTGCGTTGGAAGAAACGGGCGGGGTTGGGATGAGAAGGTCGTTCGTTGGTGGGAACGGCTCGGTAGTTGTAGTTGCATGCACCCTGGTTTCGCATCCAGAGGGCCATAGCGAGGGTCAAGCCGAGTACGAAACAAGTACGAAACCTTGTACCTGAGAAAACATGATCAAAAGACAGGTGTTGGAAGACGTCATGTCTTGAGTTGTCGATGGTACATAAAAGGAAGCCTTGCCCTCAAATTGCAAATGTGGTGTAAGTCGCAGTAGAGTTTTTGCTACGACTGTAGCTGCTGACGGCATCACAGTTCTCTGGGACTTGTCAGCAAGTGCCGGCCTCAGCAGCCGAACCCGCGCCCCCGGCGGAAGTCTCCACTTTACGCCGGTGAATCGGGCAACTTCACTAGACCGACGACTGCCCACACAGTCCTCGACTCCTCATGCACTGCCACAACGCACGAACCGGCCAGCGTCCATTGACGACCTAGTGACGCCTCGAATTTCAGCAGCGATTTTGACCCCTGGAGATTGCAGGGCTCAGCGCCACGGAACAAAACAACGAAAAAGAAAAGGTGAAATAAAGCGAAAAGGAAGCTGAGGGGGCACTGCCGATGTGAAGCTAGAGAGGTATTAGAAACCAGCATCGCACATGATCGAGCAGCGGGAATCAGTCCACGGTGGTTGATTGAGATACACGCGTCGGTCCTTCTCAAGTGAGAGTGGGTTTAGCAAATGACAACGTCCGTCGAATCATACTTGGGTAACAACTCAACGGAGGCACAATACCAAAATGTCCAATCATGGAGACGATACTCTCTGGCTAGTTTCTACACAGAACCCCGAACTTGAAACAGCTTAAATTTAAGAAACAACCAGGAAGATAAATTAGCGAAATGAGTTGAGCATTGAGTTCCACATGTTCACACCAAGCACTTGAAAGGCTGTCTGTGAGCCCCACCTTGACTTTCTGGATCTCAGATAGATATCTGCCCACTCGGTGTGCAGATCACATCGCCCCATTTAGATTTCCGCTGCAAGAGTTATCAAGTATCATAAGTAACCGCCAGCGATTTTAATCATCAAGAACTCCCAGTATATCAGTCCAGACTTATAGAGCACATACTCATCTTCTTTTTAGAGGATAAGGAGTTATTTAGGTATTATACTTTGAGAGTCACGGACAGTACGCGATTTTCCAAGGAGCGCTGTAATCTTCACACCACATGCTACCTAGCCGCCCTGTGTATCTGAGTTGATGAACGAAGTTTAAAATTCACACTGCATCAATGGAACATGCCGATGCCTTCCCATTGTATAGAACGCCAAATTGTTCTCAGTAAACAGAGCTGCTATTGCTTTCCTCTCCCCAAAGCTTGTACACCTACCAGCTTCCAAACGGATCTAAACCAAGCCTGCCTCGATCGCCCTCAGCGACATAGACGAAGCCACTTTCACTCGACTAGTGGGGTATGCATACAGCCACTACTTTACCGTGACAAGTTTCCAAGCCACCTATTTCTATTCCTTACGAACCAATGACCCTCGCCTTTTAATGAACTCTAGCAGAGAGATCAGTTACCAGGAACCGAACCCTTCATCTACGAAGCTGGCATGAACTTCCAAGCAGAGGCGATAAAGCCGCGCGCCGAGCTCAACAGCGCAGTCTCCGATGATCTTGTCGAGGAAATAAAATTCTCTGGTCGCCGCGGTCACTTCGAAGTCTTCGACGCCCGCATGGCCCTTTTTGATGCGGCGCGTAGATACGATATTCGTACGCTATTCGTTATGGAGTTTCTGCGAAAAATGCTTTGCCGGTTGAGGCTTTACGCTTCATTCCTCTCGGCGAGGGCAACATGTTCGATATATTCGATGTTTAATATTTTCATTCAATACGTCGCTCGCCGTGCTGTCTGTAACGAGCTTTGGGACCTCATCCTGGATTATTTGTTGCCACTTTTCACACTGCGAGGCTGTGTCTGAGGTTTACGATCACCCTTCTACGGGACAATACCTTTTACTGGCAATTGCTCAACAAGTTGCCAGCCGACGGAATCTATATTGAAAACCAAGGGTCTAATATGCTGAAGTCTGGGCTGGGCAAGAGTTGGGATGCCGGAATAATTCTATACTCATTTGGAAGACCTTTGTCAGGTGCCTGGCCTGACTAAGCGGCCTATTAGGGCCCCTGCTGGTATAGAAGGGAAAAAGGGCAACAGACTTCAGGCTAGAGAAGTCAGATTCGATCGTTCGTCATAATACACACCTACGTTGGGCTGGTCTTCTATACGTCTCTCACTTCTCGCCGCGCACCTGACAGCCTTCTCGCTTCAATACAGCATGGGCCTCATGTTTTGAGTGGCGAATGACATTGGGTAAAATATGCTGAAGACAATAAGCTCTTATCTACACCTAGAACCGTAATGATAATACGTTGATGTGTTCTTCAAGAATTAGTCATCCTAATTTGTACTTCTAAAATTTGTTTTACATGCCGTAAGGGATTGCGTATGATCCCCCTTGTTACATCTTGTCCATCCGACCCTTGAGAATTAATATATTGACTTGCTTGGTCCGTGATATTACTAGATTCCCCAAGTGTCTGTTGCCTTTGCTAAAATACCGGGGGAAGCATGTGAGCGGGCATCTACCTCGCAAAGTTTTTCTCTGGCGCAACACAGCCGTCACCGGCATGTCTGGCAGATAGCTTCGCCAGTAAACTTCCAATCTCCAAACAAAGCGACGCCAAGGATATCACCACAAGACTTTTATAATAAGAAGCCGCACTAGTACAAATTCATATTAGCAGGGGTTGGGTTCACTGCGGGGTTGCGCATGGCGATAGTTTCAATACCCGGCGCGATGTAACCTATGGTTCCGGAATGTCGGGATGAACACCTTGTGGCTCTCCAATTTTCCCCGGACACCCTTATCTCTCAAGGCATTTCCAAGACAGTGACCCGTGCAACATGCCTATCAACAGTCGATATCAAGAGAGATGGACTGCCTAAGAATCACCGACATCCGTTGGACTTTCCGATACCCTCGTCCATGAGTGACTTCACTATCTTTGGTATTCAAGATGCTCTTTTCCCGAGTTCTGTTGACGTTTGGTGCTGAAGGCTTTGGCTCGGCGCATTTTGTAATTCCAAATGATGACCAGGACATGATTGGTCTGGCAGTGAACTCGATACCCGCAGCGAGGCGAGTTGAGTGCGTGCAGAAGGTTAGAGCCGGAGTTTGTTCGATGTCATCGCCTTATTTCAGACGTGATACAGACAAACGTGGCACTTTTCCAGCAAAGCGGACCGTACATGTGGCGCCAAGCATGATTCCACTTCGAGTCATGGGTGTGGCTAAGATACTTGCCCCTTTGCCGCGTTTGGCACCATCATCGTAAACCACACCAGCGATGAGGTTGTTTGTGAGGGAGCAAACTTCGGAAATGGTGACCCTACAAGTAAGTTTGAGGACAGTGATTTTGCTAAACAGGGCATGGCACCTACGTAGGTCCTGCAAGTCGCCAAAGGGCCGACATCATCGATAACAAACAATTTCCAGTGCGCGAGTGCAATTCGCTAGGCGGGTGTCAAAGGCAAATTGACCCCTACTCGCTGGTGCCTCTGTTGACAACTGATATGAGCTCGCCAGAATACGTCTCCTGGACCCCTATACAACACAATTACAACGTCGGCTAGGGCGTGATGACTAAGCAGTGTAACAGTACCTAATTCAAGCACCTTTGGGAAGAACCTACATAGTATTACCGTCCAGTACAGCGTTTTCCGGGAATCTCGACAGCTCTCTAGCTATCAAACTGTTATGATCGGGAAAATCTTGACCAACGAGACGGATCATCTCTTTTAGTAGCAGTACAATACAAATGCGCCCTGCCCCAACAAGTGTTTCCGGGTCCCAGGCAGGACCCGAGGTGGAACGACTTGTTCCAATGTCATCGTCTCTCGTAGGGACTTTGACACGCTATAATTAGAGAGTCAATAGACTGGATGGGAAAATGAAAGAAACCTGGACGATCAACAAGGTTGAGATCTAAGCCCGACGAGTAGTTAGCTGTCACGATATTCTTCACAATGTCTACTTGGAAATACTGTAATGATTTTTCACAAAAAGATTCTAGCGATCAATTGATCGAACTCCAATGGTCGACTGGTTTGACAAGACCGACAATGCACCAATCATTGAACAAAAGTCATTAAGAACTCCCTTATAAAGAGTGCTTCGAAGAGGGACTGCGAAATTGTTCCTCAAGATAAGGGAACGAAGACATGGGTACTTTACTCATGTGGAGGTTTGTGAGTGTTCTCGCAGAATTTCATGGATATAGCACATGCCTTATCAAGTTCAATGCCGTGGTGAGAAGACAGCTCATCTTCACTCAGAGCCAAAGATCTATTTAGTACCGAATCCTGCTCTATCAAATTAACACCGCCTGTTGTTTTCCTGCGCTTCTGAAAATGCAATTGTGCGAGAACACCTCTCCTTCTCCAATGCAGTCAACATCCCAAAAGCAAAATCCCTTGTCACGCTCTTCACTCGACCTTGCTAGCGCGCCTTTTGTCAATTTCTATCCCTCTGTCCCTAGCCAATTGAGTTATTCTCTTGATGTCGGATGCTTGTCGCTAGCTCCTCAAAAGCTTTCTCCTCGTAGTGATAGCTCCGGTTTGCAATTCACACTGGTGGAAACTTTGAGTCGACATCCCAAATAGCCTTGTGTTTCTCCTCCGAATATCTCGGAAGCTCTGTCATGATCTCGAATCCCAGCTCAGGCACGCGTTGCAATAGATCGCTGAAGCAGGGCATGGCACGAACCATGCTGAAGTCGGCGACGCATGTCTGAACAAGCAGCTTTCGAATCTTGTCTCCCGGTATCGTATTGGCGAATGCAAACTCAATGACACCGAATAGTAGCTGGTATCCAGGGTTACCAAGCCTTGCACGCGTCAAAGAGCTGTGCAGTCGATGTAAGCAAACCTCTCTCAGCTGAGCTATATCGTACTTGTCGGCAAATATGTAGAGTTTGACGTGATGCGTGCAAATCTCTCCAAATAAGCGGTTGGCGACCAGGAGATCGAAGTTTGCTTCCAGATCATCTTCTTGGTTCCACGGTACTCCCGATGGCATGCAGTACAGCTTTCCAGGGACTCCTTGGTCGGTGAAGTGCATCAGATATCTCAGATATGGTTGATTGCGGCATAGTACAGCGTCCTGCTTGGTGAGATGGTCCAGTAAGGAGTCATACGACTCCCCTTGAATCAATTGAGCATCATCAGATTCTGTCTCCCCATTCTTCGCGGTCTCTTGAAACTTGGAGACTGTTGGCACGTCGTAATTTCCATAGAAAGCAAACTTTATAAAACTTGTAAACACCTCTGGCTCAACGTCGTCAATTCCGACAACACCCTCAACTGACTCTCGCCAGCCCTTAGTTAACATTCTGTCGAAGATTGCTGAGCGAGAAGCTACGAGCTTCTCATATATCTTGAAGAGCTTTCTGTCTTGGCCGATGACAAAGGTGATCACTCGTGAGGTAAGCACGCTGCAGAGGACAGTCAGTCTGATTTGAAGCACGACCTTGGCTTGAAATAATGGAAAGCTGCGTACCCTTCAAGATCAGGTATGCCTCTGGTGGAAGAAGCCATTGTCAATTGACCGCTATGATATCGGGTCGGACGATGTCTTGCAACCAAAGACCGCCAAAACCGGACGTTGATTGCCTCTGGTTAATTCGTGACTCACGGGGGTGGGATGGGGGAGGTGTTAAGTTGAATTCCAGTGGAATATGGGGCCTTTTTCATTGAAGACTTCTTGGACCTGAGAATTGGTGTAAGGAGGGAAGGTGCCCGTTCTTGCTCGGCAAAGAGTCGAGAGTTTCAGTCCCTCCCGTCACGTGACCGCGACGAATTATCACCTCTCTTTTTCTCTGAAGTACACTTGACAGGAAGTGTTCGCAATTCTGATTTTATTGTGATGCATAGATTAGTAGAAATGACTCAATTTGTGATCGGGAGTACCACCTCAAAAATAGAAAATGCCAGTGTGCAGCCTCTCTCCCATGAGCAAATTGACGCCCTATCCTTGCAAGCCACCTCACCAACGCCACGCTCTCCTTCCCCAGTCAGCATCAGTTCCCTACTAAGTTCGCTGCGTCAATTCAGTATTCCCCGGCTTTTCCTTACTTTCCCTCCCGGTGACCTTCCTTGAATGGTGTCTTCGGCCCCCAATAGGATTTCAAGCGCCTGGTGCCTATGGTCCCTAGACAAGTTCCTCCCAGTAAGTATCGGGTATTTTGAAAAGCAGCTCCACGGCAAAGTCCGGGAATTCGCTGAGCAATTCTCGAACGTCTTCGTTTTTCATTTTCCAACCCAATACCCCGATGAAGTAACGTAGTAGCAGCTTACGAAGCTTGTCTCGAGGTAATGTGTGCGGATGTAAGAAACGAAGGACAGAGCACACATGAGTCAGTAAATCATCTTCCACAACTCCATTGTACAACTTTTGGCGAATATCATCGACGCATAAGCTCTTGAGGTCATCGATGAGATACTTGTCGGCGAGAATATAAAGTTTCGCAGGTTCCATTAGGTGATCCAATGCGAGAAGTATTTGCGAATGGGTGCCGTCACTGCCCTCTTCTGAGTCCTCTTGCAGAGGCGGAAGATCCTTGCCAGCTAGAGTCACTGCACTGTTACCGTTCTTGCTGAAGTGCTGTTTGCAAAAATCTGACACTGCATGTCGTTTGTTGCTCTTGCGGGATGACAAGGTCTTGATCCACGTTCGAAGTGACTCAGATGAGTCATATTCTTCCTCAGAGTCTTCTTCATTCATGTCTTCCTTGGCGTTCTCTTTGATTTCGAGAAGTTGAATGGGGTAGGAGCCGGTGTACGCATAGTCCAGAAGGTGGAGGAATGTGGCTGGTTCGACGTCGTCCAAAATGACCTTGCCCTCGAGGGATTCCTGCATTTCCCCCGTAAGCAAGGCTCGAAGAGGCTCTGAGAGGCAGGTCAAAGCTCCTTCGTGTACACGGAACTCGCGAGCCGAGTCGTCCTTGCCAATGACGAAAGTGACGATCCGGGAATCGATTATCCTGTGGTTTTTCATTTAGCATTTAATTAATTGATTGATTGCTCTGATGATTGGAAACTCACTGCTCCATTCCTCTCTTCCGCTTGAGAGACATCGTGGAGGATTGTGAAGGTGCGTGTAGATGTATTGGTGAGAGTTGGGCTGGTAAAAAAAAAAAAAGACTTGAGTATGTCGGAGTACGGAGTAGAGAGACCGGATACCAAAAGTTCCGCTTTGGATGGAAGGAGCTATGGGTACCTCAGCCGTTCTTCCTAAAAGCACAGTCAGTATTGGCTTTTGTTCCAAATCTTCTATCGATTTCTACGTTCCCTTTTGATTCTAAACTGCCTCCCCGGTTCTCTCTCTTGCTCCTTTTCACACCTTAATGAGTCGCGTCTTTTCAAGTGAGAAATATGAGAGTACATCTCCCATCAAGTATCACGCAGGATTGATGCCAAAGTAGGCACAGAGCGACTGCTGTTAACTTTCAGGCACCATAGCATCATAAGAGGGAGACTCGGAGCGCCTTCTTGAAGAGTTTTAAACACCTTTTGGCTCACTACTAATTCCATCAGTCAGAGAATCTTGAAAATAAAAAGTCGCAGGGTATCATCTCCCAATTTCAAGGGCCAAATGAAGCGAAGCACACAAGCCGATATCTAAGGACACCGACACTGCTAGTATGACGAGAAAAGGCACATTGTGGCGTGGCATTGCAAGTATCACTTACACCATCAACGCCAGGAAAAATAGTATTGCATATTGAGCTCGTTATACATGCTTCTCTGGATTCTTTGATGCGAGGATATAAAGCTTACCCCATGATAGTCCAACCAATATACTCTTGTGCTGTCCGAGATGTCACCAGATCATTTCCTTAGCTCAGGATACCTCCTCCAGATTCTTGCATCCAATCTTTCCCACATGTTATTTAAAGCAGCCCCTCTAGTTCTTATTGAGTTTCACGAGACTTGGTCGTTTTCCTTCTCATGCCATTTCTTCGGGGCTAGTAGCGACAGAAAGAAAAACGGTATTGCTGCAATAGGCGTCTCGGAGGAAAATTACAAATTTAGCTGAATCCAAGTCATTTGATCTAAAGTCACATTTCGGATTTTCGAATATGTCCTCAATGTTGCAAAAGAGAGACAAGAAGGGGCATCAAAAATGCCTTGTGGGCTAGCGATGTATCTGAGACGGCCTTGGCTGACGAGAAACATGACTGATTCAGACTGTGCGCGAATCATTCGGTCGTTGTTCTAGGCTGGCTTTGCAGTTTAGGTTTTTCTCAATAGCCCATATTCGCTTTCAAGACTCGTGGCCGTAATGAGCTGGCGGCTCTTTGTCATTGGCAGAGGTTGTTGTCTGAAAGAGGTCAAGATTGTCGCAACGACAGCTGAGACGAGACGGTTTTGGGCATGGTAAGAGATGAAAATTGATGAACCCTCTGATGAAGAGAAAGAAGATGGTGTTCTTCAGACAATGAATTGTTCTTGTGAGGGAAAGGACTCCGGCCGTAGAACAGGAACGCGCGTTTGGACGTTCTTGGTGTTTCGAGATGGGGGCCATCTTCGCCGAGAACGAGGTCTTTCTGTTGAAGCTCTGCCTTCAACAGCCAGTCAACTCAGATGGGATAGCTATAACTGTTTTATTGTCTACATTCATGATGATAACTTTCTGGCCATTGTAATTAGGGCAATGAGATTTTACATTCTTTGAAGTTTAGAATAGGCCCTACTGTCAAACACAATCAAAATTGTATCAAAATGGACAGTCGACCATTGCTTTTGATTGATTTTTTTCTTTTCTTACTAGAAAACAGCTGGGCCTTGCAGTTAACAACTTGTAACCATGATCAATGTCACGCTTTTCGTAATATAGAAAGTCAGGGTATCTCTTGGTAACAGTTGGGTAAAAACCCAAGAACTCTTTCTGAAAATTTGCATGGTGGTGCTATGATGTCTAAGGTACCCAGGCAAAAGATAAACAAGTTTTGCCGCACAGGAGTCGTAGTCCTGACCAGTTTTCTTTGGGAACACACTCTGCCATCTTTCCAGGCTCACAAGGTCATGTGTCCAATCCTCTCATTCCCTTTCCCGTTGGCATCTCTTCTCTTCGCTCCCCTTGTTGGCTGAGCATACACGGGGTATCCACGCGGTGAGCCTGATTGCAGAGACAATACCTTGAAGAATTGGGGGCCATGATGTCTCAATGGGAGACTTCAACTTTGTCTCAGAGTGCCAGCCAGTAGTCATCCGGCGCGCGACGAAGAAGGGCAGTAGAGATCTCGGGAATCTCGTCCAAGACATCAGTAACACAGGAAAACCCAAGAGCTTTGTATAGGTCTGTGATGATGTAGTCGATAAGCAGTGCTCGAAGTGTATCATTGGGTATGGTCCTCGGCCAAGCAAAGACCAAGAGTTTGCAGATGCTGAGTGCGAGTTCATCGGTGTATGGGTGGTGCAGAGGGATCTGTCGCAGTTTGTCGACGCATAGGTCCTTCAACTCATAAATGGCGTACTGATCGGCCAAGACGTAGAGTCGCGCGCACGATATGAAACACTGTTGTGAGTGACTGCGAACCAGATGCGGATCACCTTCGACATCAGTCATGAAGTCACCAAAGCAATCCAGAGCGAAATCAATTCCCTTTGATCGACTCTTTCTCGGGAGCCGGTAGCCTTTGACGCGCTGATTGAGTGACTCCGTGGTTTCGGATGCGTAGGTTGTCTTTGCGTCATGGTCAACAAAGGTGAAGTCGTGACGGTAGGCGTACTCCATCAAGTGAGTAAAAGTCTCATCCTCGACACTGGTCCAGACAACCAAGCCCTCCACAGACTCCTTCATGCCGTTGTTCACGAGTGCTCGGAGGGGTTCGGAAAGGCCACTGATGACTGCCTCGTGGACATTGTGTTCGACCTTGTCCTTGCCGACGATGAACTTAATGATTCGAGACTTGGTAATTCTGTATCTTGTTAGCGATGCGTACACTCCTCACTTAAATGGCAAGAAGAAGCGGTAAAATCTTGCGCATACCCATCCATGTCTCTCTTCGTGGCCTTTGTAAGGTACTTTGCGATGATGACAGTCTTGCTCAGGTGATAGAAACCTCAAAGTGAGAGCAAAGTGAGAGGGCAATGGAGAGTGAGTTGGAACAAATCGATGGGAGTGAGGTGCGTTGGAGGAAGGTGTGAGATGGTAGATGAAGTCGAAAGGTCTGGAGTGGGAAGGACGGACACGAGTCGAGTCTCCTCCCCTCCTTCTTTCTGTGCCTGATAACTTTTTGCAGTGCGAAGGAACACCCTGAGGTGACTTCAATGTGTTTCTTTGTTGGAAGGATCACCTTCCTTACCTTTAATGTGACCTTTCTGAATACCGGTGAGTGAGTATTCACCCAAGACATGAATACACCAAGCTTTTGAGAACCATCCCCTAACCCTCAAACGAAAATAAGTCAAAAATCTCACCAAATCTCCTCTGGATTATGAGGCAACTGATCCGTCACAGCCTTCAGAACCAGGCTTCACAAGATATTTCCAAGATCATCGTGAAGCAAAAAGCCATTACAGACACGATCTAAAAAGTCTACAAGCTTTTTGCTCCACTACGGCTTCTTCTGCTTGTGCCGGAAATCATGGTCTACGCCGATAAAATGAGTATCTCGAACACTCAACACAGGCATCTTACGAACTTGCTGAATTTCCAGAAATGATCTCATCAGTGAAAGCAAATCTCCATGTCTGGCTTGGAGAGGGTCGGGAGCGACACGACTCTTCGTAGCGTCGTGGTCATTGTCCTGAGAAAGTCTCGCGGTCAGGAAGGGGTCGTCTGCAGCATATGTAGGCGAAATCCTTCAACTCAAAATGGGGGGACTGGGCGGGAGACTGGGTATCCCTTTAAACAATCATTTCGAGGCAGATTCGGTTCACATGAAGCAGTTAGGTTTGACTTTATACCTTCAGTCGTACCACATAGCTAAGCAATAGTCACCATACAGAATTGGATGTCACCTGTCTTTGGTAGTTATTCTTTTTTGATTCTAGGAGGCGAGACTCCTCAATTCCATCACAGCCGCGATCTGGTACTATTAGATACAATTCTGGCGTCGTCTCGCTTTCGTGACGTTACGATTAGGGCCCTTACTGAGGGATGCCCAACTCCTTGTAGAAGGCTTCGGTGCTGGGCTTGCGTCCAAGAAACTGCTCCAGCGTCAACATCTCCTCTTGGCTGCCACCCTTCTCCAAAACGGTGTGTCTGTAGCGGCGGCCCTCCTTGCCGTTCATGGGGTCGGCCTTGAAGACGGAGTAGAACATGTCGGTCGAGTAGACCTCGGATGAGAGGTAGCCGTAGTAGCCGGCATCGTAGCCCCCAATCAGATGGCCGAAGCAGGCTTGTCCGTTGCCCCAGGTGCTATAACTGTTAGTATTGAGTATTTTCAAAGTGCTGGTAATCTCTTACCTCTTCTCGCCCTGAGCTTCGGGTCCCTTGATACCGGCAATCTGGCCACGGAGCTCGTTGTAGGTCGCTGACAAGTCCAGGTTCTTAATCGCCTCGTGGCTCTCGGGGGTGTGGACCGTCATATCGAAAGTACCGAAGTGGAGCTGGCGCAGGTTGAACAGTGCAGCGTTGACGTGCTTGGTGGAGATCTGCTTCTCGATGAGGTCGTCGGGAATCTTCTCGCCAGTCTCGTAGTGCTGGGACAGCGCCTTGATAACACTAGGGGTCCAACACCAGTTCTCCAGCATCTGCGATGGCGCCTCCACAAAGTCTCTAACGGTGCTGGTGCCGTGGAAACGACTGTATGTGCAGCGGCCGGCAAGGTCATGAATACCGTGACCAAGCTCGTGGAAGAGGGTGACGACCTCGTCATGCTTGAGAAGCGAGGGCTTCTTGGGAGTGGGCTTGCTGAAGTTGCAGACCAGAGCGGTGGCAGGGTATCTGCGCGAGCCGTTGGCTTGCAAGTAACCGGGCTGCAAGTTGAAATTGGCGGCGTGGCCGTACTTGCCCTGACGAGGGTGGAGGTCAAGGTAGAGGTAGCCGACGAATCCTTCTCCCTCTGAAGCATCATCCCAGACACTGAAAATGATGACATCCTCGTGCCATGCGATATCCTCACCCTTGCCTGTGGGGCTGAGGTTCTTGCGGTCCTCGGGCTTCAGCTCAACAAAGACGAAACCCAGGAGCTCTTCGAAAATCTTCAGCATGCCAGCAATCGTCGAAGTAATTGGGAAGTACTCGGCGATCTTGTTCTCGTCAATGCTGTATTCCTTCTCAATCATCAACCGGTCGTAGAACTTGTGGTCCCACAGGTAGTAGTTGCCGTCATTCTCAACCCCGCGGGCGTCGGTGTCGGCCTTCTTGAGCTCCAGAAGGTGCTCGACCTCTTTAGCGCCACCAGCGGTCAACCGAGAGCGAAGATCACCCAAGAAATCGTTCACGGTCTTGGTGGTCTTGGCCATCTTATCCTCGATACGCAGGGCAGCGTGGTTAGGATAGCCGAGCATGCGGGCAGCCTCATCACGCAGAATGATAGCCTCCCGGAAAAGGGGAACGTTCTGGTTGCACTTGTTCTCGTTCTGAATAAATACCTTTCGTCTCGTCTCGGAATTCGTGGCGAACTTGAGAGTTGGGAAGAGATCGGGATACTTGAAGGACAGCTTGAGCTTGCCCTCGTTCTCGCCGGTACCCTTCTCCAAACCATCAATGACGTCGTCGGAAACGCCATCAAGCTCTTCCTTCGCAAACCAAATGCCGCCATTCTCCTCGTTCAGATTCTTTGTGAACTCGATCTGGATCTGACTGAGACGCTTCTTGATCTCCTTGAAGCGGTCGCGCTGAGGCCCTGCAGGCAGACCCAGACCCATTTTGATATAGTTCTTGTAATCCTTCTCGAGCAACCTCAAACTCTCGGGGTCCAAGCCCTCGGAGTCTTTGCGTTGGTGGAGAGCCTCAATGAGCTTGTAGACATCCTCCCTCATGTTCACCTCGATCGAGAACTCGTCCAAGATGGTATCGGCCTGGGTCGAAGCCTCGCGCAGGGCGGCGTCGCTCGAGACATACTGGTAGAAGCCGAGGATGCGGGTCGACAATCCGCTCTCGTTCTCGTCTTTGGCAATGGGCTTCATGACATTTTCAAAGGTGGCCTTGTCGGCGGGGTAATCAGCGACGAGCTTGTCGAGGAGGGCGCGGGTCTGGTCGCAGATCTTCTTGGAGTCGCCGACGATGGACTCCTTGGTGCCGGTGAAGATGGGTGGCGCTTGGGGCGGCGACTTGTACTTGTCGGGGACAGTCATGGCGCTGGTTACCAAGGGTCGGTATGTCGATAAAGATGGGGTGGCGACGAGGGGTAGCTGGACTGGTTTGAAGCGCAGCTGTGCAAAGAGAGAAGTGATTCTCGGGACTGCTCTTGGGGCCGCCAGGATGAGAGCTGTGACGAGGAATATGAGGAAGAAGGTGAGGGAGAGGAGGGGACGCTTGGAGGATGCGGTCGACGCCACGGCGACTGGACGAAACACGGTTCGATCAGTCGGTGAGTTGGGTGCGTCGGGGCGGGGGCGGGGGAGGAGGAGCTGCTGCAGGACCGAGACGTGGACACGGGGCAGACGCGGATGGATGCAGGTGGAGGAGTCGACGCCGTGAGAGGTGACAGGTAAGGTTAAGCGCGAAGGTACATGTAGCTGTGCAAACAGTGGACTAAGGCGGGGAATCGCAATGTCAGGTTGGCAGGCGGTGGAATTGGCGGAACGGTTTGTGTGTGTAAGTGGATGGAGGTTTACATTGATCCTGACGAGTACGGAATGCGACGGAGTCCCCTTCTCTCACTCACCTTCCAGATGGAGGCTCCTTGGCGGGCAGTCGCGGCCTGCCAGGGGAGATCAGCTCAAGCTCCCGGCGCTACGACGTCCCGGGCTGCGACGCCCCACATTGAAGCAGGCGGGGTCGGTCCATGATGTACCAATGTAGGTACCTAGAGGCAACTGCATGCTGTTCTACTGCTACTGCACCTTTTCTTGCATTCTTTTCTAGATGCATTTGGAAGAGATATATCCAGACTCAGGGACTCCTCTCCAAGTCTAACGTCATGTGCCAGAGGATTTCGATGAGTGTTGAAACGGTTGTGTTGAAGCACGTGGTTCCACCGGAATATTTCGGTACCTCAAGCCTGCAGGTCCAGACGCAGGCCACATTCATTGCCTGACTGAAGCGAGCTTACATAAGACGACTGCACCCGCCATTGTGTGCGGGGTCCTTTGTTGCTGGGCAAACGAGCCAAGGCCTGGTGCGACATCGTGGCTGATGAATCAACATGGCCGGATCGCGGAGGCCGCGTAGGATGGCTGAAGAGTCGCGAGGATATGTGCACGGTTTTCAGTCGTTTCGCTCCCGGGTACATGACAGTGCATGTCGATGCCCCGGTGAGCTGCATTCTCGTCCCAAGATGCACGTCCAAGCAGGCACAACCCCGGGCCCCCTCAGGAACATCCATCTTCCGGTGAGATCGTTCGCGTGATGAAGTTGGTGTCATGGTATTTATTTCTTTTGGTATCGGTTCCATTCATTCCCGTACATGTGTCGTGTAGTCCAGAGCAACGTCTCTGAGGAGGAGGGCTTGAACTCCAGAATACCCAAATTCCCTACAATAGCGAACAACGCAATCGCAACGCAAAAGCAAACGCCATTTCCCATCGTGCCAGCCATGCATTTGTCTCTGCTTCTCTTTTCGTAAAACTGCCTCCGTCTCGTTCCTCTGATATGGTCGTACAACGCTCGCTCGCTAGGAGGATCTAGTTGGCGAGGATGGTCCGGACAAGCTCTGGTGCGCGGATGTATGTCAGTAAACACCGTCTTTATCGCATGATGTGTCTCCTGGTGATGTAGGCTGATGGCTTACCGGTGTAGTTGACCTGGCCAGAGCTGGTGTCCACAGCCTTGAGCAGCTCGTCGACCTCTTCGTCTGACATCTTCTCGCCGAGGTTGGTCAGAATGTACTTGAGCTGGCCGACGCCAATGAAGCCCGTCATGTCCTTGTCAAAGACCTGGAAACCGCGGCAGTACTCCTCGGGTTCTCCGGGGTCGCGGAAGCCGCCGGGGCGGTTGAGGATGCGCTGGAAGGTCTCAAAATCGACTGCGCGCGCACATATATCGCTGATTAGCAATTGTTTCTACTCTTCGAAAATGACAAACATCCGTCTATCGGGTCTCGGTGGGCGATGGACGTCAAGAGAAAGACTCACAGTCGCTTCCGACGTTCTTCTCGAGGTCGCGGATCTCGGTGAGGGTTGGGTTCTGACCGCAGGCGCGGAGGAGGTCGCCCAAGCTGTCGATGACGACGCGGCCGTTGCCGCGCTTGTCGAACAGGGAGAAGGCCTCCTTGTAGTTGGTCGAAGCCTGAGCGTCGTACTGGTTAGAAGACATTGTGATCTGTTTGTGTGGTATGTTTTGCGCAAAAGAGGTTCGCAATGTGTGGTAAAGCGCAGGTGACGTCTCGCGGGGTGTTTGTGGAATTATCAAGATGGGATGTAATGTGGGAAAAATGGGGGACGAAAGTGGGTGTTGGATGAGGAATGTCGTGATGCAGCCGCAAGTTGAATGGTTCGCGCGGGAAAAAAGAGTGAGCCTTGCCGGGGATGCAATGGGCGCTGATCTTCTTTCCTTGGCTGGGCTTTGCTGGGCTTTGCTGGGCTGCCAGTTGGTTGGTGTCCGGTCCGTTGTTTGGGTTGCTCCTGTTGGCTGGTGGATGGCGGTATTGCTGGCGCCGGGTGCTGGTGGTACTGCTGCTGTTGTGTTCGCCCTTTGCTGCAAGGTTCGTCGCTGAACTAAGCCGGCGCTAAGGCTGTTTTTCGTCGGCCATCAAAGGGGAGGAAAGGGGTCGATAGGGGAAGGGGAGCCGCTGAATGGCTGGGTCGGTTTCCTTTGTTTACATTCCGGCCGATGGTGGGAGGGGTGCCGCCGTCCGCGGGGGAAACACAGCAAAAAAAAGCAACGGAAAGGAGGGGGGCGGATTTGGAGGGATAGGAACTCACCATTTTTTTTGGTCTGTGTGACGAGGTATGTACGTGGGGAGAAGGTAAACAACAGGTGAAAAGATTTGTCTCGGGATATCAAAAACGAAAAAAAAAGCAGAGGAATCGTGAGGATGTTTCTTGGAGGTTGCTGTCTGCCGGTCGAAACACTTTATGCTTGCACTTGCCCATCTCTCTCCCCAGTCCGTCCCGTCACCACCTTCCGCTATCTGTCATGTACCCTCAGGCTCAGTATTATTTTTATCCAATGTGTCGAGTGCACCCGGTGGACTTTTGTTCAAGGCCATAGGCCATGGGCATTCCCAGTCTCCGTTATTCATGCGTTTTAGGTGGCAGCGGTGTGCACATGAACTCAAACTACTAACCTATCGAGGGCCCCTGAAGGCGGTCTGACTTTACAACCCCGGGGGGACTTGGTGCCTTCTCTCACACAAACACAGTGCATCTCTGCAACACATGGTCAAAACTCCTGAAACCTGACGGGGCAACCACCGCCGGGCTCCTCTTTCCCAATCTTTCCGGGTTGCTGCAGCCAATCACGGCTCTCGGATGAGTTGCTCCCCCCATGACTTTTGGCCCAGTCCAAATGTCCACCTCTGCCCAATGGTTCATGACTCCACGTTCAATATTCTGTCATGGCTGGAGACTTGCACAACGTTATCGACAACTTTCATTGCGGTGAGAAAACACTATCTACCTACAGAGGATCCTTATGCGCCAAATTCGAATTGTGCCGACATACCCAGGCCGTCTAAACTTTGTCAATCACCGCAAACTTGCATATTCATAGGGTTCGTCCCGAATTTTTAACTGCCATATCGGGCTCGACCTGCGAGTCAATCCGCTTCGCCTTCGGCACCAATGGCTACCTCCCAAAGCTTCCATATCAAACCCATATTGATCCCGTCACATCTTCTCTATGAATAAGTCACAGATTCGTCACTTCCTCTTGGCCAGGATAAGACTCGTCCCCCACACGGCCTCAACCTCGATATCCCGCCACTTGTCGCCCGCGGCCTTCCACTCCGGTACCGCTTCAAGCAACCTATCAAACAACAGGTCCGCAATGTCCCCCTCCGCCCCGCCCTCCGCCCGGCTCTTCACCTCCGGGTGCGCGTCTCTCCACCCGCGATACGCGCTGAAAGTATGCACGTAACCCTCAAAGTCGCCCAGCTTCATCGTCTTGCGCAGCTGCCATGCCGCCCTCGGGTCCTCCGGGTTACTCTCCACATCGACCTGCGCCTCCGCCCGCGACGTCTTCCTGTCCGGGTCATACACGATGCGCCTCACCCGCTCCCACTCCAACGCCGGCGGCACCACCGCCGCCAGGTTATCCTGCAGGATCTGCCGCCCGGGCTTCTCCCAGTACGGCCCCATCGTCTCCACCCCGCTGCCGGGCGACGACTCCCCCTCCCCGTAGCAAAAGTGCATATAAATGTCATTGACCGCCGGGAACCCCACGAGGATGTTGTCCTTGTACCCCCAGAACGCCAGCGTCCCGCCGCTCTTGACTACCCGCGCCAGCTCCGGCCACACTTTGTCGTAATTGAACCAGTGCGCCGCCTGGCCCGCGACCACGAGATCTATGGAGGCGTCGGCCACAAACGACAGATTCTCGGAGCTGGCCTGGCGAAACGTGATTTTCGGGTCCGAGGTCAAGTCGGCTGCCTGCTTCACCATGCCCGCGCTGGGGTCGATGGCGATGACGCGACCAAAGCGCGGGCTGAGCTCCCGCGAGATAAGGCCGTGGCCGCAGCCCAGGTCCAACGCCGTGCCGCTGGGCGACGGGGTGTTGTGGTACGCCAGTACCGTTCTGAAAAGCGATGCAGGATAGGACGGCCGGAAGGCCGCATAGCCCGCGGCCGAAAAGGTTGAGCGTCTGTGATGCACGTGTCAGCTTGACGACACGATAACGTTTACAGCTCGGCTTGAAGGGTAAGTCAACGTACGCAAACGTAGCCATTGCCTGCCGTGTAAATAGGGTAGGTTATTGCTAGTGTAAAGCTGCAATGTTGGAGTTGCCGGCTCTGTTGCGATTGGCAGGCTGGTTGATGGTCCAATGATGACTCAACGATGTGTAATGTGTCTCGTCGCATCCGTCTCTTTGACTGGAAAGACAGCGGCCGTCCTCCAATTTATTCCCACACGGCTTTCGGACGGGATCCTCCCGACAGTCCCTGGATCACGGCCATACGGAACCAGACCGTCTCATAAAACCTTAGGCAGGTGGTAGCCGCGGCTCCGTGGCATGCATTGCAGACTTGCAGTGGTAGGTCGCGTCATCGGCCTCGGCCGCCCCCCCGCTGACGTGCTCGGGAGTCGTCGAAACTCCATTTGAAGCTCCGAGTCGCCCCCTTCCATCTCCGTCCCCCTCGCTCTTCATTCCTTTCTGTATCCGCGCCTCGAACACACTTTCTAAGCCTTGTCCCGTCCCGAAACTAGTGCCCGACATGTCGACCGAAGCCACGGCCCGTGTTTTCTTCTCGCAAAAGTTCATTGCTGTGGTGGGCGCCAGTTCGAATCCTGCCAAGTTTGGCAACAAGAGTGCGTCTTTGCCCCTGGTTATTCCCGCTCAATTATCTCTCTCCTTCTAAGCTCTCAGAGTTATCACTCACTCACTCACTCACGATGTTCGCTCATCTCACTTGAACCATCTCACCTCAATCTTACTTACCATATCTCCCTCCCGAGTCTCCAAACTTCATCACCAATCGGTCTTCCCACTAACAACCCAACCCCCGCAGTCTTCGCCTGGTACCTCGCCCACTCCATCCCCGCAACCCCCATCAACCCGACCGCCAGCACTGTCAACGCCCTCGGCAAAGACTACCCGGCCCTGCCCAATCTCACGGCCCTGCCCAACCCAAAAGAAACCGCCGTCTCCATAATCACCCCGCCCCCGGCGACGCTCAAGATTCTGCGCGAGGCGAAAGAGCTGGGCGTGCCCGCCGTCTGGCTGCAGCCGGGCACCTTTGACGACGCCGTGCTCGAGTACGCCCGCGGCGAGGGCGGCTTCGAGGCCGTCGTCGCCGGGTTCGGAGGTGGAACCCGCGGCGGAGAGGGGTGGTGCGTGCTTGTTGATGGGGAGAGGGCGCTCAAAGCTGCGGGGAAGCTTTGATGGCATGGGCCTTACCTCATCGTCCGTCAACTCGTGACACGAGTCGTAGACCGCTGCAGAGAGTAAACGTGAGGGCATCCTAAACGAGGGGGTTTGCTTAGCTGATATGCTATTACGTGATGAATGACTACTAGTTCCCTCCATCAAGGGTCAGCAGTGAGCCCATCGCGAGACTATCCAAGAATCTACCCTAGGTCCTGCTTCACAGACTCAAGTTGAATCTTTTCGTATTGCCCCCATGGGTTCCCCATCCTGAGAGAGGTCGCGTTGGCGATCCCGTGTCGAGATAGCTCCGTCCTTGCCTGTCTCTAAAGTTGTGACGCGCGCTTCTCTCCATCGTTCTGGCCCGGCATTCATACCAGGTCACACCACCCCTCCCCCTCCCCGTCTCCAACCAATCAAATACAACTCTCGTATTCTCCCCCAGGCAAGTTCTGATGCATCGACAGGACGATCGCTTTTGGGATCTTGGGTCGCTTCATCTTCGTGATCGAGTCAAGAGCTGCCAAGTCTGGGGTAAAGGTAGTCCATGGTAGTGTCTAATGCTGGGCCGCATCTGCCGCTTTTCCCCCTCTTCTCCTCCCGACGGCTCCTCCAATTGAGCCTCAAATGACTCCGTCATGACCGGCCCAGTCTCAATCCCAGGCCTCCACACCAAGTCCAATTTCTTCAGTTTGCATTGGACGCCAGGTCCAACAGTCAAATATTGAAGTGCTGGACAGTATTCTCAAACCAAGTCAACTCATCTTTCGGGTAACATCTCATCCCTCCCCAGGCCCAACTGAACTCGTCCCCTGTTCATCCTCACTGCCTTTTCCGCCATACCGGTACTGGACATGGAACGATGGAACACACACGCCTCATCCGCTACCCCGACGCTTCCCATCCCCTTGACCCGTCCCACGCCCGCTACTACCTATTGTAGAGCTTTCCCCGCATTACCTCCAGCCCGCCCGGGGCAGTCCCAAGCGTGCCTGCCCCACACGAGCTGAAGTTTCCCCCGCCCTCGCCCAAAACTCAAACCAACCAACCAGCTTCCCCTTTTCGGACACTTCACGACTTACACTCTCTCTTGACGTGGGGGAACGGGGAAGGGAACGACGGATGTACTGGATGGCGCTACTGCAAGACCGGTCAAAAAATTGTTGTTCGCTCCCGTCAAACTCCCCGAAGCCTCCTCTTAATTGTTCTTACTCCCAGACTGCATCCACGTGCCGCTCAATGCCGGGGAGCCCGTCCTGTCCACCCTTTCTCCATGCCAGAGTCAGTAAACTTACGTTCCTCCATGTCGTTCGTTCGTACGTTCGTGCGTTCTCCGTTCGTTCGTTTGTTCTCTTCGTCCGCCTCCTCCCCTCTCTTCCTCTCACTTTTCATTTCCCCCAAGAAGCGCCGCTCTTCCTCCCTTGCTTCCACGCGAGATTGTCGAGTAAGTCTCAACTGGGGGAAAGCAAACCCGTGCTATTGACTCGCCCAGAGGAGGCGCCCCAGATGCATAATTCTACATCCGCGCGAACCCTTGACGACTCACCAGTGTGATTTGAAACTGACAGGTCTTTTGTTTTCCTCTCGTCCCAGAGCCCCAATCTGTTCAACTGAGACATTGACGGGTGACTTTCCCAGACCGCGTCCTTCACACCCTCAGCTACAGAGACTACGGTCCAAGACAAGACGGCAACGCTCCAAGGTAAAGCAAGAAGGGAAGCAAGCACCCTTCTTCCACGACTAGTGCCTTTCCCCCCAGCTTCTACCAAACCATATCCAAAACTCCAAATATGCTGCGCCCTCCACCCGATGATCTCCCCTCCCTACTACTCGTTCGGCCCATGCTTTTGCAGCACGTTTCAACGAATCATCCTCGTAGACTCTGCATCATGCCACCTTCATATTGCAGCACCATCCCTTGTCCCGAATCCTGGAGTTTCTGTCTGCCGGTCGTCCTAGCCCCAAAGCGGGTTCGTTGGAGGAGGAGCCTCTTCCCACTTCTCCTCACGGACGTGTTTGTGTCGTCGACGACTCGTCGGTCGTTCCAAATATCTACCACCCATGTAACCCAGTTGTGGTCCTCGCAAGACCCCGGTATCCCGTTTGACATACAGGGGCCACCGGCGGGCGGGGAAGGAGTGTGTGCGAGAGTGGTGGTGATGGGAAAAGACTATCCGAGTCAACCGTCCTGCCAGCAGGGCCCATTTGCCAAGAGGGCCCCGGTCATGTTAAACCCCATTCTTTCCTTTTTTACGTCTTGGAAACGCTCTTTCGGGTGCGTGTGAGAGAGAAAACGCCGAACAAAAGAGAGACGTGTGGAGGCCTAGACCCTTTACGGCCGGCCTGGACCTTTATATATCTAACAGCCAGTCTGCCCTCAAAGCATGCGGTGTTCATCTTTGGTTGCCATTCCTGTCATCTCTTATTCCTCGTTCATCCAAAGACGTGCTGTACTATTTGTATCATTATCCGTCTCTCAAATCGTCTGTCAGTTCCCATCGATACTCACCTAATCGCTTGTCACACACACCAGACACCACCACCGCAATGGATAACAAGGAAGACGTCCACGAGGAACGCTCCCACTCCCACCACGACGAACACCGCCGTCCCTCGGACCCTCAGGAACGCGTAAACAACTACCATCAACGCGTGCGCAATGGTAGCTACGGGCACCCAGAGGACGAGTTTATAGGGCCCCAGATGAGCCGCGACGACGCCCTCAGGAAGATGAAGACGGCCGGTTCAATTGCCATGTCGCCCGAGCTGTTCGAGAAGCTCTATCTGTCCCCACAGAATAATGTGAAAGGGGACCTGCGCAAGACCTTTGGCAACCCGACTCCAATGTGAGAATCTTTAAACTTGATGAACCCTCATGGATGAAGTGGCAATAACTTACCCTTACGCAGCGCCATTGTCGGATTCCTCATCTCACTGACGCCTCTCGCATGTGACTTGATGGGATGGAGGGGAGCAGCCCGCACTGGTGCGGCGGGCATGTAAGTTTACTACATCTTCTCTCACCCACAAATATCTCAAAAACTCACACATGCTTTACTCCACAGCGGAGCATACTACTTCTTTGGCGGTCTCCTCATGTTCGTCGGCGGCCTCCTCGAATGGGTCCTCGGCAACACCTTCCCCTCCGTCGTCTTCTTCACCTTTTCCGCCTTCTGGTTCACCTTTGGCGCGACCCTCACCCCCTCCTTCGCCTCCTTTTCGTCGTATGCCCCCACGAACGCGACGTCTGGGGCCGAGGGATTGAAGACGCGGGGGTTCAATGCCAGTTTCGGTAAGTCACAACAAACCCATCACCGTTCTCTGAGAGACCACTAGGGACCGTGACTGACACGGCTTGGTCGATTAGGCTTCATCACACTTGCCATGGCCTTGATCTGCCTCGTCTTCCTCGTCTGTTCCCTCCGCACAAACATTGTCTTTTTCGTCATCTTCCTGACGCTCGTCGTCACTTTCTCTTTAATCACGGCCGCGTACTGGTGGCTCGCCAAGGATTACACTGGGAATGCTGCCTACGCCGCGAGATTACTCGAGGTAGGTCTTTTGGACGTGAAATTTGTTACAGAGTCGAATGGTACTGATACCTCCTTCTTAGGGCGCTGGCGCTTGTGCATTCGTGACATGTGCTGCTGGCTGGTGGCTCATCCTTGCCATCCTCTTAGCTTCGCTAGACTTTCCCTTGGAGCTTCCCGTTGGAGACCTTAGCAGAGTAATTCGGGGAAAGAGTGAAAAGAGCAAGGTTTGAAGACTCTAATGCAAGAACGGAGGAAATCTGCCTTGGGAGACATAGGTCTTGGCGCAGGGGGGCTTTCTTAGTTTGTTGATGACCTTGTGTCATTGTAATACCTGAGCACGCAGGACGGTCAAAGTCATAGTCTCATTGTCAGTTGCATCTATAAAATTATCACACATGTGACAAGTGTCCAAATATTGTGTTGTGAAATTTGATCCCCGCGATAGCGAAAGATTATTCCAATGATGTACTCTCACACCCCACAACTGTGAATTTGAAATGGAGGATATTCCATCTCTTCGCATTTTTACTTCAATCGGACTAACTCTGAGTGCTCAATGTTGGTGGTCGGACAGAATCCGGGGAAATTCATCGGTAAATTCCTAACCGGTGCTATCTTGTGGATTGGCTGTCAACCCAGCCAACGTAGTTGGAACAGATTCAACATTCAAACTCCCCTTTCCTCGACTCCCGCCAGTGGGACCTAGGAATTTCGCAGAATAGATCGACTCCAAACTCCGGTGTGCATCTGACCAAGTCCTTGAATTTACTGGTATCGAACCAGGCCATATCGGAGAGGCAGTGTCGTACAAGCAGGCTCCGTAGACCATCTCCAGGAACCGTCTCCGCATAAGCGAGCTTTACCAAGGCCATGACAGCATTCCTCAAGTTCGGAGTTCTGCGGCAATGTAGCAGGAAGTGACGAATTTTATCCAAGAAGAGATGCTTGAGATCTTCAATGATGTATTTGTCAGCGAGGAAGTACAGCGCGGCGTGCTTTTGGCATATTGAGCGCAGGTGTCGGAAACTCCAGTAAGTCGTTTCAAATTCCCCAACCCTGGCACGTTTCGGGTGGTTAGGCTCGGCAAACCAAGTCTCAATGTCGATACTCTCAGCCTTGTGGCTGGGAGGGAAAAGAGGCTTGCCGTAGGCGAGAAGATGCTGCGAGCCTCTGTGTTGTCGGGTAGGGGTTTGATTGTCCATGCCCATTGATGTAGGAAACAAGGCTTCGAGTCTGCTTGATCCACCAGGAGTCTTCTTTTTGGTCATCTCTTCGGCTTTCCCATCAGTTTTCTCATCGATCGCTACTTTTTCGACCGCGGCTGGGGGTTCCGGCAGTGAATAATCACCACCGTAGGCGTATTGAACCAGTAGGACGAAAGTAACGGGGTCTGTGTCGTCCCAGATGACCTTGCCCTCATTGGACTCTTGGAAGCCTCCCGTCAGAAGGGCGCGCAGGGGAGGTGATAAGGCGCTGAAGCTGGATTCGTAGACGGTGTATTCCTTCTTCTCCGGACCAACAATGAACTTGATGCTCCTAGACTGGAGAATGCTTCACCATGTGTCAGCCAAATTGGAACAAACCGGAAGGTGGTGGGGTTGTACGTACACATCCATGTCCTCGAATCGCTTCCGTTTGCCAAGCATCTCTGGCGTCTGGGGTGTGCCTCGCAATCTTTTTCAATGTTGAAAGAAGATTCCTGACGAAAATTGACGAGGAGAAGGTGGAATCGAGGATACTTCCTCCTTGCCTGGAGAGCCGTTTGTTGCGTAGACAAGACTGACCTAGAACTTGATGAACGTGAGTTTGAAGGAGGAGCGTGGGGTGTGCTTAAACGATCACAAATCCTGCTGTTCAGGTTCAGTTTCTTCCCTTATAAAGCTGCAAGGACAGATTCGGCAAGTGCAACCCAGATGGCATTTCTCTGTCGCTCCTTCCCCGATGGCTCTCATATGCAACGACCGCTTACCAGGCAGGTACGATACCTCAGCTCGACCCACCGCCGTGGACGACACTGGTAAGATAACATTGTAGTTCAATGTTTGTTTGAGAATGTAAGACAGTCAAACTTTTATTGCGTTGTCTTGCTTCTTACTTTTACCTTTAGCAACCAGAAATAAAGACACCTGCGATTGGCTGGTATTCTACCACGAGATTTCAGATTAAAGGCTTCGATTGATGAGTGTATTCTCTTTCTCAGCGGTAGTATTCTGAGAGGGAAAGGAGCTGAGGTGAAATGATGGGCAATCATATCAAGTTCAACCCTACGTTGAGGGATCGATCGGATTTGCGAGATTTATGGTGAAAATTCCCCCTAGGCATTTATTGTAAAACTTTGAGGGCTCTTGAACACGGTTTGAGTTCCTGATACCTGGCTTGGTGAGTTACATGCTACGTACCATGTTTTTTCTTTCTTGAATGAAGTTTCTTATTCCTTGAGTCAATCGATATATCCTCCGCAATTCCCAACATAAAGTCTTTTTTAGTGCGATATGTTTTTCAATTCTTTGATACCATGTTTCATGTACAAAATGCTTGATCAGAGGCTCGAAGGCGTCACAAGCCCGTTTCCAAGGTACATCATATAATCTGATCTTTTTGAGCGGTCGGCATCCTCAAGTAAATTCTATCTGGAAAGGAAAGCAGACCCGAGACTGGTTCACTCTCCATTCGCGTCCGCGTCCCTTCCCTACCAAATGCATTTTCGCCACGACTGGCACCTTCTTTGGAATACCGCATTCACTCTCTTGCTTTTCTTTTTTTCAAGCTCTGAAATCAGCCCTTCACAACAACACCAATGTGGGCCACTCGCGAGCTTTCTACGAATCTTTCTTTATTCCACACCTTCCTTCCTACTCTCTGATCCACGGTTCTTCGGCGGATTCGCACCGGAAGTTTGATTCTGCATCAACATCGACCATAGTTATTCCTTTGCACGAACAGTATTCGCTTGGATCCAGTTGGTCGAAATGTCTCTGAAGCGCAAGCGAGACATGAGCACGTGAGCCTTCCTTCATTGACACCCATCTCAGCCGAACATAGGCTAATGGGAGACTGCAGGCTTTTTCAGTCCAGGAATATAAGGTTTCTGGTTGGCTTTGGCCCAAGCAAGATCGAATACAATGGCCACGAGTCTGTCTTCCTTGCTTTGTCCCCATCTTTCGCGGCGTTTCTCGGACGGTCTAGCTACAATCAAGGACGTGGCTTGGAATGCGTATGGCCTGTCGAACCGGCTACTTTTGTCAACTTGATGGAGTACGCTTACTCCCGCGAATACACGGTCCCTGCGCTGTCCAAGTACAAGCAGAGCAGCACCTCCCACGTCTTCAAGGAAGAGAACGGGGATGATGTTACACCTGGCTCTGAGAGCGGTGGTGTTGCCGTCAACGTACCCACAAAGTCGAGAGTCTCGATCGCGAAGAGCAGCACCCGACTGGAAAATCAGCACCGCAAACCGAGTCCTGAGCAAAACGCCCAACAGCCCGAAATATCGTCCTTGTCCATGTGGATTAGAAGTGTTTCGCAAGACTCGCAATCCCAACAGCACGCAAGCGCTCAATACAAATTCTGCGAGGAGCATTTCCCCATTCACTCTGGAATCTCTGAAGTACCATCCGAAGACTGGCTTGAGGACGTCAAGCAGCAACATCGGACAGGCTACAAGGAAGTCTTTCTCGCGCATGCCAAGCTATATCTCGTTGCAAACAAGTACGAGATTATCGAACTCAAGGACCTCTGCTTGCGCAAATTTCGTCAAAGCCTGCTGCATGCACCCGGTACGGATGAGATGCTGCGGGCCACAGCTGATACCATTCGGCACGTTTACTCAAACACTACATCGCGAGATGATGGTCTCCGAAAACTACTCCTGCGTTTCTGTCTCACTGATATGGAGTGGATGATGAGGGATAAGGATCTGGAGCCCGTGCTCGAGAGTGTCCCCGGCTTCGCCATTGATCTGTTTCGCGAGATTCCTCATGACTACTGGAGAGAAATCAGAGATGGAGGATCTACCTGAGAGGTGGGAAACAAATGTATCGAAAGAGGGCAGAAATGCTGCGTTGGCTCATTGACGAGACAGATATTGTCGAGGGTCTTATGCCGCTTTGAAAGCTTGGTTTTGATCGTTGTTACAATTTGGCGAGGCGGAAATCATTCAGCCTCGAGTTAAGGGTTTTTTGTCAGACTATCTTGGAGGGAGATAAACGATTGCAGATCCTTGCACAGGACTTGCAGATCAAAACAGAAAATTCAATAGAAGAGAAACGTACCCAAGACCTCAATTACCTACATATATGCTCCACCAATGGCACGATACCAAAGTGGGCAACATGACACTCGAAGTCTGCGCGTAACACGCAGATGACTAAGGCAACGTGGCTGATGAGCATGGCCGGTCCAAGCCACACCCCGCCGGACCCACCAGCTAGCAACGGAAACAGAGGTTGAATGTAAACAAACGCGATCGGGATGGCCAATAATTACGGTTCGGGTTCTGCCGCACCACACTTCAATCTTCGCTTTTCCCGACTCTGATTCTGTTGCTACACTCACGCATTCGACGATCGAAAAACATCGCTTCCCTCGATATCTCCTTTCGACCATTCCTACTCCTCCAAGACCCGACGCGACCAAAGCTCAACTTCTTGTGACCCGATGCATCCAAGCCGCGACTAATATTTCCTCCCTGCGATCGACGCGTTCGTCCTGTGCATCTCTCCTGCGCAACCGGTTCGCGCTTCGGATCGCGACCAGGTTCACTTTACACCATTTCCGAGCTTCATAGCTATTGCAACGCCCAGAGATAGCCCGGCATGACCGAGAATCTGGCCTTCGAAGGCTTGGTCCCCAACGAATACTTCACTCACGATGGCCGCCTGGGCTCTTTCCATCAGGTTTATCCTGCACCGAAGCGCCGCCAATCAGGCGCGACGAAGGGCGGCAAAAACCTCACATGGCCGCACATGAAGTATCTCTTACCAGAAGATGTACGTCCGCAGCAGGAAGAGCTGGGTGGAAGACGATGCGTATGCTAACCTTTGCCGTAGCTCGCGAAAGCAGGTTTTGTCTGGCGCCCGTTCCCTGACAACCCCGACAACGTTGCATGCTTCTTGTGCAACAAATCTCTCGACGGCTGGGAAGAGGGTGATAGGCCTCTCGAGGAGCACTTGAAGCACTCCCCTGACTGCGGGTGGGCAATTGTCGCTGGCATCGAAGCCAACCTGAACGGTCTGTCTTCTGAAGACCCTGCCAGCGCTAGAATGATTGCGGCCAGGAAGGCGACCTTCGATGGACGCTGGCCACATGAGGGAAAGAGGGGCTGGAAGAACAAGATCAAGCAGGTAAGTGGCGTCCATTCGACGAGACCTTCCTCTACTGACCAGTTTCTAGCTCGCCGAAGCAGGATGGAAGTACACGCCTTCCCTTGAATACAACGATATGGCGACCTGCACCTACTGCGAGCTTGCTTTGGACGGTTGGGAGCAAAACGACAAGCCAATGTACGTGGCCTGAATCCCGCGTTTGCAAACTTCATCTGACTCCATTACAGGGACGAACACTTCAACCGATCCCCCGAGTGCCCGTATTTCTCACTGGTAAATCAGTACGCCTCCACGAGGAAGACAAAGAGCAAGGCAGCCCGCGGCTCAAAGACCACATCAAGACTATCCGTACAATCAGTTGCAACATCGGTCTCCGACATCACATCGATAACAGACGTTCCTGCAGAGTTCGACGACAGCATCTTGACAACGAATTCCACAATGGGCGGCAAGAAAGGCTCTCGTGTCAAAAAGACCACAACCGCAAAGGGCAGGAAGACGAAGGCAAAGAAAGACGAGCCTGTTGAGGTCGTCGAGGATGAAGCCATGCCGGAAGAGGAAATTGCACCACCGCCGCCGAAGCCTACCCGAGGGCGCAAACGGGCGAGCGACGACGTGGACGATTCCGCACTCACCATCTCTGAAGCACCTGCACCCAAGAAGCGTGCGGGCCGCGGCCGTCCCAAGGTTGCGGCTGACAGCTCGACTATTGAACAGTCACAACAAGACATCAGCATTGCCGATGCGCCACCGCCAGCAAAGGCACCGAAAGGCCGCAAGACTGCACGCGCGTCTGGGACCAAGGGATCACGGAAGGCCTCAGGGACGTCACAGAGGTCAAACGCCTCAACGGCATCTTTGCGGACTGCGCCCGGCGCTTTCCCCGAGGATGACGAGGATGAGATTACCCGGCAGCTTGAGGCTGACCTTGAGCGTCCGTTGACTGACGACGAGGACATTATTCAAGATTCCGATTCGGAACGAAAGAAAGCCCCTGCGCCCAAGGCGAAGTCGAAGAAGAGCCGGGCACAGAAGGATTCTGCCGCTAGCCCTGAGCCGTCAGACAATCATGAGATGTTCGACGCGGAACCATACATAGCAGACAAAAATGATGTAAACGACGAGCTCAAGCAACTGGAGGCTGAGATGACAATTGATGAGCCTGAGGTGCTAGAAGTTCCCAAGAAGGGGCGCAAGGCTACAGCCCCCCGCAAGGTGTCTAAGCAGACCAAGACTCAGAAGGCCAAGGCCGTAAAGGTTGCCCCCGAAGAGGACGAGCCCGCAGTTCCAGCAGAGCCCAGCCGTCCTGAGGAGCCTGCCGAAGTTGAAGAGGACGAGATTAGCACTGCGACGGTGATCACGACGAAGCCTGCTCGCACAAGCACTGATCGAAAACGCGGGCGCCCTTCCAAGGCATCATTGGCGTCGCGCGTATCCATGGAAGCCGTCAACAAGGTCGAAGAAGTGGACCCTATCGAGCTGGAGGCTGGAGCGGCCGCTGAGGTTGAGTCAGAGCTTGAAGCCCAGGCTGAGCCTGAAGCTGAGGTCGAGACCGAAGCAGAAGACGTGTCTGCACGTCAGTCTTTTGCTTCGGCACGGCAAACGCCCGCACCTGCGGAGCCCCAAGACGAGCAAGAAGATGAACTCGAGGAGCTGGAGGAGCCAGAGGAAGAGCTTCCCGATGAGCTTGCAGACGAGCTGAAAGAGGAAGAAGAGCCAGAGGAGCAAGCAGACGAGCATCAGCCTGAGCCAGAGTCCGAGGCACCTGAGCCCACACCAAGGAGCGCCATGAGAACGAGCTCTCCGCCACCACTATCATCACCTGTTCTTACCTCATCGGCCCGCCGCAGTGTGCAACACCAATCAGGGACCCCACGTATCTCCCCTGCCCAATCGGCTCGCCAGGCAGCTGTTTCGCCGTCGCCATCTCCTCAGTCCTCAGATGCAGAGAACCAGCCTCCCTCTTCAAGACCTTCTACAACTCAGAAGCGGGTGACACATGCGCCTATTTCTTCAACCCCAGCAAGGCCAAGTTCACCGTCTAAGCGAAAGGCTTTGGCAAGTCTCCAAAGCACCACGCCCTGGAACCCCGTTGACATCGACCTCATCTTCGGATCCCCCGAGAAGTCAGACAAGAGGAACCCGGTCGACAGGCTGCTTCACAAAGGCACTGAGCTAACCAGCCCTGAAAAGCGCATGACGGTCGAAGAATGGATTCACCACAACGCCAACCAGGCTGAGTCGAAGCTGCGACAAGAGTGCGAGGCCATGGTCAGCAAGTTTGAGAGCGAGGGCAGCAAGGCGATGAACGTTTTGGAGGGGTTGATTGTAGATTGAGTGTTTGTATAGCGTAGTGTCGTTGAGACCGCCCTTCAAAGGTTAATGATTGGATTATGATCATGATACAACAACAGACAACTAGTGTACGCGCTTATCGACAGGCTCAATTAGCCATTGATAATTGTTTTGGTGCAAAGCAGCAAGGTTGAATAACGACACTTTCAACCGACTCGGGGATAGAGTAGGGCTAGCGAATTGTTCTCGAGCATTTACACACAAAAGGAGAACGGAAAGGGGAGCGCATTCTGACAGGCAATTGTCTTTCTTATTATTAATTTTAAATTTTGAGGATGTTTGATCTAATCTATGTTCATTAAGAAATCCGCCCTTCCCAGAATATTTCTTCATTCGTCTAATTCATGAGCTCAGTGGCATCGTTCTGGGATGATAGTGTTTCGTTACTTGCTCACTGCACCCACCATTTCTTCACTTTGTTTTGGTCTGGGCCTTTGATATACCTTCAAGTCTTTCCTGTGAAGAGCACGAGTTAGGTGCAGTGCTGAACACCGTCGGCATGGGTGTGGCACTCCTGGGGAGCACTGGAGGTCGCAGCGGCCGTGGTGGCAGCGGCACCGGCGGCGGCGGTAGTCGTTGGGGCGGGCTCGTCCTCGGGCTGCTCCTTGAGCTCGCCGGGGCATCCCACGCCGGGGGCGGCAATGTCGTAAGCCCAGACGTCAATGGCAAAGTACTGCAGGGCGTCGCTATCGACGACGGAGTAGGTGGCGTTGTTCTTGGCGAGCTCGAGGGCCTCGGCGTAGTCCTCTGCGTAGTGCTCTACGGCGCCCTCAGAGATGAGGGGCACGTGGAAGACGCGGTGGAGGAGATCGGTGGCCCAGAAGGTGTTGAGCTTGGAGTTTGCAATGGTGTAGCCCAGGCCGCAGACGGAGGCGAGCGGGCGGCGGATCTCAAAGGAGAGGGGACAGATGACGGTCTCCTGGGAGGCGTTTGCGCCACGCCAGTGGCCTGCCCAGCCGGACTGGGTAGCGCAGTTGCGGTCCGGGTCGTCGCAGCGGAAGGTCATGCCCGTCTTGTCGGCGTTGACGACGCGGTCGTACCAGCCTACGGGCGTCGCGGTGGACGAGTTGCCAAAGTACTTGCGGACGTGCTCTGAGCTGTTGCCGAAGCGGAGGATGTGGTCGCGGGCGTGGGCGGCGAGCTGCTGGGTCTCTGCGAGGCCGACCTCGAGCTGGGCGCGGAGTGTCGAGTTGCAGGATTGGTGGATGGGGAAGGACTTTTGGCAGCCGGCGGACCAGTCGTAGGGGGCTGAGGGATTCGGGGAGGAGGCCGGTGCCGCGGGGACGGAGACCGTCTCGGAGGTGGCCTGGCGGCGGGCGAGGGGGGTTGCATCCGTCAGGCCGGAAAGCAGCAGGGCTGCGGTGGCGAGGCTGTACATCATCTTGACTGGAAAAGTTTTGGAGTTCTTGGATGAAGCTTTGGTGTGATGCTTGGACGATTCAAGGTCTTGTCAAATGTGAGCTTGAGCTTGGATTTGGAGCTTAGGAGACAGCGTGGAACTTGGAGCTTGATATTGGTGAAAGCGAGGCATATAATGGTCTTTTATAGCTGCGAGGTGCCATGGGAATGAAATTTCAATTCACGGTCCTGCCTCCTCGGATGCCCAATGGGGACTTGAGAGGCTCTTCGAGATGTAGAGCCAAGACTTACCAGCCATACACTATACTTGGGTGGGCAGGTTTGTTTCTCGTCATGTCCACAGCTAGGCAAATCCTTCCATCCTTGTCAGGCCGTAGATATGTTGGGAATATTCCATCTCGTCCTGCCGCACTACTCCTCTGGATTCTGCTTCTGTCACCAGCCATCTTCGCCGCTTGTCCCAGTCTGATATCCATCCATCCATCCGAGGTCCCCTCTCTTCGTATGCTCGTCAGCAAACGTCTTTGATGGGAAAAAAAGTTCCAATATTGGGCCAGTGGAGTCTGCGTCATCGGTCACAATTGCCTTCTTAGAACACTCTGGGCCATGCGTGAGGTCTTAGTTGGGTGACGCCAAGGCGCGGGCAGCGCTATGCCAAGCTCACGATCAACTTGATGTTGTTGGTGGTCGATTGGGGCAATTGATCAGGTAGCGAATAGTGACGCTCGGCCGCAGAGAGCCGACTCCACGGCCAAGAAGTGCTAAGTTTTGTTGGCTCTGGAATCCGGCGACGTTGGAGGGTTTTTACCGCTGGAGGCTGAGTCGCCCGGTGGCCATCCAGGTCCTCGGCTCCCCCCGCTCAACTCGGAGGACATCAAGGTGTCGTGACCGGGGTCCCGGCGCGGTCCCGCCTTTTGTTTTTGTTTTGCTCCCGTGCACCCGGAAGGAAAAAAAAGAAGGCAATTTTACTCTGCCCACCGGGTGCCGCCTCGCCCCAGGTGTTTGCCCGTGGGTCATACGACAACCTGACAACGCGCATCCCCTGTGGAACTGGGAGTACCGTGCGTATAGTACGTGCACTTTTAGGTGTTGATATGTTTTTCGCCTAATTAAAGTGAACAGATAAGGTAGGTAAGAATTATAATATTGAATAGATTTATAGGGTCGTGACAGACCCACTATCGCTTAAGCTTAGCACGTACTATATCGTGCACGGTAACCCCAGGTCAACAGGGGATGCGCATGGCATGGCCAGTTGGTGAGTATATTCATGAAATTCTCTGGGCAGAGTACGCGACGATTTTGTACATTGCTTGGCACGCCGCCGGGTTAGCTTTGACCGACAGCTTTGCCATATTCGCTTTGCTTCCTCGAGCAATCAGTTGAGGCTTGTCTGCTTACAAGATCCTGGTTTGAGAAAGAGACCGACAGATCCTGTAGCCACTCCCTTCGCGAGCATTTCTGTGATGGCGAGGGGCATACTTACGAGGCCTGCCTTGGTGATGGCCGGAGGCAAAGCCCTTGCTCACTGCTATTGCGGCGGCACCACTCGCGCGACTAGCCTCTTGACCAGACGCACGGAAGCGCTTGTACTCCTTCCAAGAGTCGATCAATGTGCCACCAAGAGCAATGGTGAAGTCGGTGACGCTGCTGAGAAAAGAAAATGCACTACCAATGATAGGATCCGATCGATCCACATCAGCGTCGTATTCCCTCATTCGCAAGGACTCCAGGTCGGCGATCTTGATCTTCTTTGAATCGATCAGAGACGAGGCTACTTTCTTCGAAAGTCTGATCTGCTGGATGTCTATTCCAGAGTGTTTGTCGAACAACCAGGCTGCACGCTGACCAGAAATCAGATTGCAGCTGATGTTGTCAGCCAGGATATTACGATGAAATGACTCCGTGGCGGTATCGACGCCCCGATCCTGCCGCATGGCGCTTGCCACTGCTTTCACCGTATGGTTTTGCTCCATGTGAGAAACAGAACTGAATGGCTTCGACAAGATTCTTTGTATGAAGCTCCTTCTGAGGAATGGGCAAGGGACCGGCACCCGACTTTGCATATACTCGACCGCAAAATGACTGGTCGTAATAGAATGGAACGATGATGGTCGGTCTCGCGTTGATGAGTCCACCAGCCGTGGTTCCAGCTCCTCCATGATGAATCACGGCCGACACTCATTTGAACGACCATTCTTGTGAGCAATCCTCCAGATAGAATACGTTGTCCGTGTTTGTTTTTCCCTCGCCGAGCTTGCTTCATCCTCAAAAGATGACGACGCGGATGCCGCAGATACCGGCGGCTTCGGGACTAACACTTGTCAAGCGTCCCGAATCATCAACAACAATAATGCCAAATCAGACGTACAGTGGAGGTAGACAGACTGAAGGAAAGGCGTCCAAGTCGGCAGGTAGGTTGTAAGCCGCTTCGTAAGGGATGAAGAAGCCACAGGCGCCAGTATCTTAACCCCAATCGGCAGATTTGGGCACCACCGCCGGTAACTAACAATAGGTGTATGTGAAAAATTGAAGAGAGTTGTGACGCCAGGTCCCAGGCCGGCTGGAATTAGTACAAGCTAGAGATCCTTCCTCCGCCAGCTGTTGATAGCATCACCCAGGCCCTGTCAGGCCATCAATTCAACTAAGCCATACGACAGCCAATTGTTGACCTGCGGCTCCAAGTCCTTGCTACGTTGATTGTTCGCTAGCTGGTGAGGGAACGATGGTTTCGGCTGCGAACGGTCGGCTGCTCAAGGCATCGGGATCGATGTGGGAACGCCAACATCCGTGGAGCATTTCGCGTATCATTCGGCGTTTCTTTCCTACGTCGCCTTTTTTCGTCAGTGACTCCATGGAAGAAATCAAGCCAGGATTCCGACCTATAGGCTTGGCTTCTGTTAGTGGGATGCGTGACGGGTCGGCCACGTGGTTCAAGGCGTACCGACATGAGATGTGCGGGATTCATACCGATGGGGGAAGAACTCCAAGCCAGAGTTGGTCATGGATTTGGCAAAGGTGTCGTGAATCGCTAGGTGAACCCGATGGCCATAAGGGGCTGTGCCTAGTGAGATGAAGGGTCAAACATCGCCTGATCGCACATATATCAGCAGGCAACATTCACCGTATTTGCTGCACGCTGTTTGGTCGTTAGGAAATTACCACGACTGCCCATACCCTGTATTAGCATATGCAGGGACGGGACGGCCTTGAGCTTGGCGTTCGGCAATGTAACATCTCGACTCCAGGGAAAGTTTGAAGCCGCTTCGACAGCGCCCTCGGAGTCTGCATTTGGAAGTTATTATCAACACGGCCGTCAGGTATTCGAAATTAGTCCCGGGTACGGGGTACGGAAGATGCAGGAAAACTTGTTATTCTGACACTGCATTGCAGCCTCACTAGACAAGAGCGGACCGGTGGAATGCAGCTCGTAAGAAGGAGGGACGTTGCAGAGGGAGTCGGCGTGCTCCGGTTCGGCAATTGTCAAGCTTCTCCTCGAGTGCTATAACAGGCAATACCTTCCGTACTTGGCAAGGTGGCGGTCGCAGTGATCTGTCAATCAAGGTTTGCGTAAGCGGCGCTGAAGTAAAGTTTTCTCGACATGGTCGGTACGCCTTGCTCAGATTCGGGGGATAATTGTGAATTGTCTGATGAATTTGAAACTGGAATGAGGAATCATACTTCGTATCTACATCGGGTCCCCCACTTGAGTGACAGCCACAACCTGCCTTAACCTGGAGTGATATGACAACCTGACAATGCGCATCCCCCACCTGGGAGTAATACTGTGCGCGTTAATGGCACGTGCATTTGTCAGATGTCAATCGGGTCTCTAGCCTAATTAGGGTTAGTGGGTAGGATGGGTTAGGGTGTGAGGTATGGTACGGGTTAAGATTGGTTACAATGAGAGTTTTGGAGTAGAGTAATACATTGTAAATAACCTCTACTATAGTGTCCGTACTAACATCTGAGAAATGCGCATACCGGCGTGCACGGTACTCGAGGGTGAGCAAGGGGTATCGTATTGTCAGTTGGTGGGTGTGTAGACAGACTCCTTAACCTGGGAGCTGGCTCGTGCAGCTGGTGTCTCATGGATGATGGCGATCATTGGTCGTGGATACGAGATCTGCATCAAGGAGTATGCTTCATCAATTCTTTTCTTTTCCTCCTTTTGGGGAGGCAATGTGCAATGTAGAGACCCTCACAGACAGTACACATTCGTATCGTTATCAAATTACGTACGGTGTCCGTAAGGTACTGCCGGCATGGCCTTGATAGCATAGCCGCCGGTAACTAACATAACACCAGACGTTGAAGGTTCAGCGGACCAGAACTCTAGAGTGGAGAATGAGCCGCCAAAATTAACAAACACCCCACACGTTGTGGCACCTGCGGGGCCGCGTCCCCCGGCCAGTGGCTTCCCTGGTAAATAAAGCCCGATACTCCGACTTCTCCGCCGGCAGGACAGTTACTGGGAACACCACACTTTCTCTGAATAAGCAACGGCAACCTGAACATGTCTCATGCATCGCCATCAAACCCGACCGCCATCCTGTGGGACTGGGATCAAACAGATCTCGCAGACGTCGTCAACGAAATGCGGCGACTGTTGAGCAGCCCAACGCAACTTACCGCCATCAGACATTTCAGGCTGCGCGGTGTGAGAGCAGCGCAGGATCTCCACGCTTCTTTGCTGGCAGAGAATCTCACCACGAGCGAGAAGGCCGCCATTAAGTCATGGATCCGTCAATCCAACTTGCCATCCGAAAGGTCCGCACCAATCTTGCAAGAACCCGAGGTGTCGCTTGCACACGCCACCGCCATTCTGTTATCAAGGCTCTCGGGCCTCAGAAGTCTCGAGCTGCAGACCTTTGACCGAGATGACGACGACGAGTGGACCCAGTCTCGCCCACCTGGTGATCCCTTGCTGTCACTTTTAAGCCAATTGCTTATATCAAGCAGTGGCAGCGGCTCTTCTTTCAACGGCATTGAATCAATCAAGGTTCTAGTTCCGACGACCCCAGCCGAGGACTCCGGAAGTGAATTAGACTACTACGTCTATGCAGAAAATGTTGCCCCGTTTTTTTACCTCCCGCAAATCCGAAGTCTGGAGCTTCATCGAGTGGAAGACGGAGGCAAACTCATCGACTGGCCAGCTTCTCGTCCGAGCCCAACAGCCACGACACTGGAGGAGCTTGTCCTGAGCAAATGTCAGTTCTCCGAGAAAAGCTTCGACCAACTGCTGCGAGCGTCCCCGAATCTCAAAACTCTCCGTTGCGAATTCGTCATTGATGCTGAGTACGCAACGGCATGGCTCGATCTGAGCCTGTTGAGAGATTCGCTCAGCACGCTGAAAGCCTCCCTCGAGGAGCTCTCCTTTGTGCTGACGCTGTGGACATCCACAGCCATTGATTGCGGCGAGCTTGGGCCCTGGGGGATTCGCGGTTCGTTCGGATCACTCAAGGACTTGTCACGACTTACCCGTCTTTCCATCTCACTGCCGGTCCTCCTGGGCTGGAAAACAGAGGGCTCGTCGAAGCTCGAGGATGTCCTTCCCGATGGCCTCCAGGCATTGACCATCACCAACGAAATGTTTTTTTGGTGGCACTACCGGTGGGACGACCTTGATTGGGAAGACGACGACCCTGTCGTTCCCATGTGGGCATCGCTCGAGACAAAGATTACTGAGTACCTAAAGAGTCGGCCTCAGCACTTGAAGGAATTGAGGTTGGAGATTTCAACGGTGGGCGAGGAGGAGAGGGCTGAGTCGTTGAAGGCGAGATTGGTCGCTAGCGGAGGAGATGCTGGAGTAGAGGTCACGGTAGTATTGAAGCCATGAACAAGGGAGAGATTTTGAAGCCAGGCACTGTTGGAATGTGTGAAGTAACGAGTCTCCTAGGCTCAGTAGATCTGCGTTTCTTTCCGGCACCCTCCCCCTCCTCTCCTCAGCTGGACTTGGCCACCAGAACAATGCTAGGTTCGGCATAGGTCACTGAGAGCTTCATGAAATGGCACAGGGTCTTGAACTGATGAAAGATTCCCAACTAAAACCCAAGTGATTGTACTAGACTAACTAAACTAGAAGAAACATCCAAGTCTGCAGTCCATACTCTAGTTCTGTCCGCTTCAATAACTGACACAGTGACACTACTCCTCAACCCAATGTGATAGCTTTAGCACGGACATCCCTTGCCGCTGCCACCGCAAGCGTTGCAATTGGAGTGGTGCTGGAAGCTACAAACAAAAAAACCGATACTTGAGGCTCCTCCTATGCAGTTGAGGCAATTGAGCGTAGCTAGCTGGCAATCTACTACGACGCCGGGGATCTTGTCGGGCATCCCCTGCTCGGTCGGGACGGGGGCCGCACAACCGGCAGCCTCCGGGACGCCTAAATCCTTTTTCCCGATAGCCGCGGCGTTGTCCTCGGCCAGACGCCACATGAGGAGGTTGGCTATGACGGCGTGACCGCCGGGACGCGGGTGAAACACCCTCTTGATCTCGTCCCCGATGAAGTCGGAGACTTGGAGGCCGCTGCGGCCCCGGAATCTCGGGTCTGCGGCGGTGTTGTCGGAGGTGGAGACCACCAGGCTCGAGTTCCGTTTACGCGCTTCCCCAATTTGATCGGCAATATACTGCTCGATCGTCGGCGACGTGGCGGCGGCGGCGCCCGCACGGACTTCCAGGACTGGTGTCCTTGTGTTGGCATCGGCGGCTTGCCTGCGCGGGAATGATCTCCACATTTGCCCGGTACGCTTGGAGAGTAGAGACAAGAGGCCCAGCTTGCTGCTGCGCATCTCCACGGAGGGAACCTCGGCCTCGTCAATGGTGGGGGTAGCGCGAGGGATCACCTGTTCGTTGTCGAAAGAAGCGACCTCGGGCTCGGCTTCACGTCTCGCGAGAGTGGTACCGTCGTTCTTGGTCGACCACTCAAAGAACAGGAGACCATCGCGGTTTCCGTCGGGCTCCACGGTGGCACCCTCGCAGAAGCGGCCCTGGAGCACCGTGAAGTACTGGTCGTAGTCGACGAATTCGAATGAGGGACCGGCTCTTTGGACGGCGGCCGCTATGGCGCTGTTGACCGCCCTGGTGAGCTCGTTCATCAGACTCCTGCGCTCAGTGGTGAGCCTCTGCTTGTTGGCGCTGTTGAACCAGAACGACCAGCTCACACTGTCGCAGGCGGTCGTGGTGTTGTCAAAAAAGGTTGCGTAGCCCGTGACGTAGATTTTGCGGCCCGTGTTGATCTTGCCCTTGAGGCCGGCGTACAGCTTGTCCAGGTTCCCCGGCAGGGTACCCCGGATGAGGTTGAGGGTGGCCTGCATCTCGTCGGCGCAGTTGGCAAAGGGGTTCCACTGGAAGACGCAGGCGTTGAGGATACTGGTCAGGCCGACATCGTTGCCGCCGGCGCTGACGGTGATGATGTCGTAGCCGGTGCCCATGGCGGGGACCTGATCGGCGAGAATCTCGGGTCCGGTGGCGCCGGAGCAGGCGAGGAACTCAAATTTTGCGGTCTCAGGCATGAGCTCGTGGGACTGCATGTAAGCCGGGTACGACTGGTCGTAACGAGCACAGTTGCTTGAGGTGTTGGCGTACGGCGAGCCGGAGCCAATGCCAGCGGAGCTATAGGAGACACTCCTGTCAGAATGATGAGATGTTATGATATTGGGTAGAACTCACTAAGAGTCGCCAATGGCCGCCCACTTCTTCACCCACGAAAGGTCATAAGGGTCTCCGGGAGAAGCAATAGCACTATCCCAGCCTTGGTCGCAATAGCATGCTCCGCTATGAGACAGGTCGGTCAGCATCAACAACATCTCCATCATGTCACAGACTATAACTTACGCTGCACCACACCATGCCTTTCCACGGTTTGTGCCACATTTTGTAAGACAAGGCGAGTTCTGGGGACAGCTGGAAACGCATGTGTCTTGAACAAGCCCACTAGGAGCATGTTGTTAGTGGGATAAAGTCTTTTGGAACACGGGTTACCTACGCCGTGCTATCCTGGAACTTGAGGCAACGGTGAGGAGCGCTGATATCAGCAGGACAACCCTTGAAGGCGTCCGGGCCGCACTGGTCGATGGCTCCGAGGAGCTCCGCGGCCACGGGTACGGTCGTGGACTGAGAAAGTGCGAGCCCGGCAAAGAAACCGAGACTCAAAGTGTGAGCCTTCATATTTGGTTTAAAAAGAAAAAAGAAAGAAGAAAGAGTGACTAGAAGAGCAGAAGGGCTGGAAATGTTGGCACGGAATGAATGGAATGGTGTGCTGGAACCTCAAGAAATAACCGCCAAAGACACGGCGGTGGCTACGTGACTATAACCGGTGTTGCAGCATGAGCCACTGACAACTTATATCCACCCAAGTGGACTGACTGCCTTATCAGGTGTCATGATGAATCTGGCACGTCTCAATCTTCAGTCCCTTAATTAACTCTTAGTGTCCTGCAGTGGCAGTGCCAAGAGTACGTACAGTGTAGACTCAAAGATATGAGTCCACCCATATTTCCGTAACCTCCCGCATTTTCACCACTTCGCTTCTGCCGGCCATAGAAATCCTCAGTTTTTACTTTATATAACGAGATTTTATACCTAAAGACGTCTCAGGTTTCTTGCAAATTTCGAATAGTTAAAAGTAAAATAGATATGGGAGGGAAGATGTGTTGGGATGCTAATTTGGGTGGGCTGTGTTCAGATATGTGAGTCCCCACTGTACCGGTGTTCGGGCTGAAGACCGGGTAAATGAGATGATGTGTCTGGTGACTACATCCGGAGTACGGATATGAAGCGAGGCAGACCCGGTCTGGCGGTCGCTATTTCTACAAACTTTGCTGTCCGAAACATCGGAGTCTGTCCGACAACGGGGACGCTAAGACGGAGCCTATCACAACATGAGACGACCCTCAGCCCCAGAAGCCGCGGCTACCGATGAACCAAGTTGCCGACCATAGAGCCGGTGAATACGGTTATGTGTGTCCATAATGAACTATGCCGTTCTCTTTAATCGAGCTGCCCACACGTGGACTCCCTGCCTCAACCATGCCTACAACCGCTGCGGGCGCCGTCTCCAATAAGCCTTACACCTCCTTTGGGGTTTCCTACGTTAGCGCAATACCTACCAGCAGACTTTACCAAAATCAGTAGCAGCCCTGCAAGGTCACGATGCTTACACTTATAAATGGAAAAACAAAGTAAAATAAGGACCGGCACCTTCTTATATTTTATGATTACATCAGAAGTTCATATAATTATTATAAAACTAGCCGGAAAGTAGTGGAATATATGTGAATAAGAGGTTCGGTTTTGGTAAAAAATATCGGCTTTCAGATCTGGAAGTATTGCGTCTAAATTGGCCATAGAAATTGGTTAAAAAAAACAGAATTGGTACTTGTAGTGGAACCTTCCTGTCAATTCACTGAGCTAACGTATGGAACCCGGATGGAGGTATACGCGGTGCTCAACTCTATCTCCCTGGACGTCCTACATCGGGCCCACCGGGCCCCTCGGGCAAGTATGTCCACTCCGAGTGCTTACTCGTGGAGCTAATATTGGTAGGAGATTTGACCTTGACCTTTCATCAAACTCAGGCGAACTAAATGGGTCTATACAACTCTTGCTGGGATATCAAGAATACTGATAGATTACTGCGAAGAGATGGTTTAGTTCACAAGTCAGGAATAGAAACCCGATATGCCTTATTCTGCATGATTGACAAATGACTTAACTATGTCAAGAGTCACCCTTCGCCTTCTTGAACCCCGGACGTGCCTTGCACTTCTTGTAATTTTATAGCCATCGTCGTATCATACAGTCACTCTCTCTTCCCATTCCGCGGTCTCGCGTCCACTCTTTTTTTATTCGGCTCTCGGCCCTTACTCTCTTTTTCCGGTCTATCACTAGGAGCACTGGTCCAAGTTTTGAGACAGTCTCGAAGTTTTAGTTCACAATGTGGTTCAATGTCGGCAGCAGCTGGGAAACCAGTCTTTCGACCCTCTTTCTTCTCTTCACCCTCGTCCTCAACGTCGCTGCTCAGACGCTGGGAGTCACCCTCGACAAGTCCGCACGCGATGACGCTGAGAGATTCGTCTACTCCGCCAAGCTCACGTTTGAGGAAGACACGGGAACGCTATTCAACGGTGTCCAGCTCTATGCGCTCGCCCGCCTGGCTTTCGACCAAATGGCGGCCCAGTTCAATGCGGACGGGCTTCGCGTGCACACTCAACCCGTCATGATGGCCGCCATGGCCCTCGGCAAAAACGTCTACATCTCTTCCAACATCAAAGGTGGGCCTTTCTTGTACACGTACGCGGACGCGCGTCTCAAGCCGCAGGTTCTCATCGCACTGGAGCGGTGCCAGACCAGCTTGCAGGATGTTGCGACTGAGGGGACCACTGTTGGTCCCCAGCACCGCACCAAGGCCAGCTGTGCAGAAATCGCTGCCCTCCACCAGGTACGTTCCATCATCTGGAATATCTCACTCTCACGGAGTGATCTGTACTCACCCTCTCTAGTACTACTTGGATGACGCCGTGGATGAGGCTGCGCGCGTCAATCCTCCCCCCACGCGCGTTGTTGCCTTCGGCAGGGGCGGTGGGACTGGCCCGTTGGGACGTGAGTATACTTCCTTGGTAGAACGATTGAGAGTAAATCCCGGGTTGCTAACCTTTCTTTGCTCGCAGCCCAGAATCCGTGCGGTGGTGGCGGTGTGGTGGTCGACGGCGCCATGACCTGGGGATGTAAGCAGTTCATGGCCGATGAGAAAATTACTGTGCCGCCCAAACCGAATAAGAAGGTCGTCCTGGACCTGCCCAACCCTTTCCCCAAGTTCACCACAACGCAAATCAGTATCATGTGCCCCGGGCATAAGAAGACTACTCCTTGATAGCCATACGACATAGTCACCGGGCGGGAAGGGGGAGTTTACTATGGGTAGAGGCTTTTGAACTTGCTCAAGCACCTTCAATAACCTAAGCATTGATTGGAAGTTATGGAAATGCTAGGAAAATGAAGTTCCAGACGAGACATGATGCACATTTTTCGTTATCTCCAATGGCGTTACGGCGAAAGTACGGCTTCGATAGCAATAGAGCAATGACCAGAAACTATATTCCGATGTCTCTCCGTAATCTCTTATTTCGTTTTTGACTCTCTCAGCATGCCAGATGCTCTCTTGCGGTGGGCCTTGACAGCAGTGTTGACCTCCCGAGGTTGGTCGGGTAGCAAGACGAGCCTGTTCCCGTCTTCGAGGGGCTCGGCGAGAAACTTATCAAGGCGTTGTCCTTGAAGTCCGGAGGCTTCACTATTCTGTGTGTTTTGGGGACGATGAGAGACTGTTTTCACCGTCGCGGAGCTTGCACTGTAAATCAGCCAGTCAGTAAAGAGAATTTGTCCGTAGTAAAAACTTTGGACAGACATGTTGATATGGTGAAAGAATAGCCGTACTATGAAGCAACCATCTTCGAGGAGATAGCCCGTGGTAGATGGTTTTGCTGATGGTGATCAAAATGATATTAGAATCACCGTGGCTGCAATAAAGATGGAACCTGTTGTTGAATTCTCAATGGCATATCAAAGCAGGAGAAGGTACGAGAGCAACAAAACAACAAGATCTTTTTGTATTTTCCAGTAACCGTTCCGTGGCTGGATCAAGCCTCAATGTCTAAATAATTATGCCCCTTTTCTTGTCTTTTGTATCAAGCTTCAGTTGGTATTTCAACGTCGCCACGTTCTGTTGCTTTGCCCCACATTCGACCCACGTTCCAATACCGCCCTCATGCCCCTCCAAGGTAGACTACTGCGGGCGCTACAACGACGAGGAGCGCGGGGTTGTTTTTTTTGTTACGATACGCCTTGCGAGATTCGCACCGGTGTTTTTTTCTCTGGGTGATCGCTCAATGATTCATACCGGTAGATCTTGTCGTTGGATTAGGGTTGATAGACATACGCCCGCAAACACCCTGGTCGCATACCGTGCACGTACTCAATCAGGACCGTGGCGCACCTTGCCTATATCCAAGAGAACTCCAATGACAAGGAAATTACCATGAGCTTGGGCTTTTCGATTGACAGTGAGATGGGAGAATCATGAGAGAGAAGACTGCTTCACCTATAGTGACCAACGTGCCTCTCAAATGTTAAGTTGCCAAGAATACGAGTTGTGTAACAAAGTTATAGAACCTAAGCAATATACTAGAAGGGTTTCCTCGGAAGGAATTGGAGAAGAACCGTTACGATGTTTAGAAAATGGAAAAAAAGACTTGTTTAGTCAACCCAACCCTGCCACGAAGAATATAAAACTTTACCAACGAGTGTCGAATGGTCGTGCATACGCATGAGCCTCACTGAAGTTTTGAGAAAAGTCTCATATTGTTGCAGACACTTGGTCCAAAGCCAAGTGACAGTAGCAATTCGAACCACAAGAGCAAGCGAGCTGGGCAGTTACCAGACTTGTCGTCTTGAAGAAATTCAAACTGCACGGAAAGCTTCCAGCAACAACACTCCTTGTTCTAGAGACCGCCGTAGCCTCGACTTACAGGGGGGTTTAGCAACCAGTATGCGCCTGGCGTGGCCGTATCGCAGTATGTCAAAGCCTAGCCCTAGAGAAGAGCCTCGGTCTCGGCTGCACTCGGGCGAAGCAACGCGTGTTTGCAGCACCTTGACGGACAATCGGATTCAGAGGGAAACGATAACTCGTGGCATCCATTTACTGGCCGAATTTGCGGATGCACAGTAATCGGCAAGGTGTACTCCTCCGTCCAAGCCAGCCGTTTGGCGTTCTGATGCCGTCGGTGAACCTCGCGGGTAAAGTATCTGTGGCGATTTGCAGCAAACCCTGTGGAGAAGAGACAAAAATTGGTTGATGAAGGGGATTGGTGACGAGGAAGCGATGATTGCGCTTCTATGAGTATGCTATCGTTTGCCTCATCGGTCGGATTCGAGGCAACCAAGTCTGAAGAAAGAAGTTCTTGATGCCTGGCGAGTACGCCTTGGCTTTCGGGGAAGGCTGGACTTTTTGCTGACGTGTGACCATCCGTATCCAGGCAGGCTTTCGAGAATGTCAGTGTGACATGTCTGGTGCGCCTGCATATGCACCTTTGACTTGAGCTTCTGAACAAGGCGTAATGTCAGCAGCGGGGTTGGGCGGACATGAAGTTGGGCATCGAAGTCGGTGTGGCGCGATGACGGTGATGATCCCTGAAGTGCCTATTGGACGGCGAGTCAGCCCCAGTTTGTTTGTTCGAATCGGGGACAGGTAAGTAAAGCTATGAAGAGTTTTGGGTGGTTGATGGTGTAGGTGCTTCTCCGAGGCTTCTGCGTGTGATCAAATCCTCGAAGCTGGATTGACGTGAGAGATTACAGAAGGGTCGATAAGCAGTGTATCAAAGCGAGTCTGAACTTTTGCATGTGAGTGTGTCGATATCAGAGTTGTGGACTGTAGAATGATTTTGGGAGATAAGAGGGTGCTTCACATCAACGATTATGAACACGCCGGGATTTGCTTGGTGTAATCTGGTCGAAAGGGACGTGTTATACAACAACCTTTGAGGAAGAAAACGAAGTGGGAAAAGGATAAGTGAATAGAGATGCTATGTATGATCTCAGAGAGCGATGAGCTAGTAAATATTGGAAGAAGCTCAGCTTGGTTGAGCATGCCCAGCTTTAATAACAATTCTCAGTCAATCCGGCACTTTTGATTGGCGAAACCATACATGCGCTCTGAATAAGATATCCAATGACAAGATCTTGCTTCACCGAAAACCGCATGTGCCTCCGAGACTAACGTGAATGTGAGGCGGCCGCTGCGTGCCTCATTTGCCTATTCGGCAGAGCCAACTACTTTGAGCCGGTGGATCTACAGCTGCTAGGCGCGTTAGGCACTCTCAATGAAGACGTGGTTCGAGTTCATCCGCATTGAGCTATTCCAGTCTTCTCAACTACCTTACCTACAACATCGGGTCAAAAGTCTGGCCACACTATTAAGACCACCTTGCCAGAATCCAAAATCCTGAGAATACCAGTCTTTAGTCAAATAAATAAATGATACATTGGGAATTAAAAAATCAGGGTTTTAATTTGAAGCCTTAAAAGTTTAAGATAATTTCATTGATATGATATCTTATCAAAAGATGGGATTAACAGGGCGCAAAGCTTATCAGTGTAGCTAAATTCTTGACCCGGTATTTGACCTGACGTATAATTGCTTTACATAGCCAGATCGCAGGTCTTCGCTTCACTTCAGAGCCAAAAAATACACTTGAAGAGTGGGCTAAACAATTTGAGCAAAGCAACAGGAACATTCATTCAATTCGATGCAACACCTCGTGATTCGATGAGCGAGAAGCCCCCATTCATCAACCATTCTTTCGTCCAGGAACGTCACTAACAAAGGTTCCCTGCCCCGTCTTATTCGCCTTCATCTCCAGCCTCGTCTGAAGCCTCCGCGCAGCCTTCTCCGCCTTATCCAACTGCTTCTGCCTTGTCAGCAATACGCTCCGCTGCTCCGCCGACGGCAGATGCGCAAGGGCAGCACGGTCGTTGACACTCAGGCGCGCAACCTGCGTCTCAAAGACGACATTGCGCTTCTCGGCGCGCGTCAATGCCTGCGTGTCGAATTTCTTGCCGGGGCCAGACGGTGCCGTGAGTTGGAAGCTCGCTTCCGACTCGTTGATGCCGGGGCCTTCGGGGCCTTGGCGTAGAAGGAGGTTGTCCGAACCGGCAGCACGGTCGTTTTTGGCGCTATTCTTGGTCGAACGTGGTCTCGGCGCCGCCGCCGGGGCGGAGCGATGAGAGAGCTGTTTGCCAGAGGGTAGGCGGATCGAGCCGCCTTCCTCCAGGGCATCGGCAATGGCCTTTTTCGTCCCGCCGTCCTCTGCTGCATTCTCTCCGTCGTCTGAAGAGTGCTCGTAAAAGTCCCTAAACTCTGAATCTTCTGCCGTGACATCAAAGCGGCAGTGGCCTTTTCCTAGCATATGCTGCTGAACGGCAGCGGCCGATCTTCGTTGGGTGCCGCACTGCAGACACTCGCGGTATCCGAAGACGACGAGGTGGAGGTACTTGACGAGGGCCTCGACATCGACGACGAGCTTGTCCTTGTCGGGGATGAACATGCCGTGCGTTTTGTGCATGTGGACGACATTGTCGTCGAGCGAGTCCGAAGTGGTGTTACAGAACAAGCATTCTTCCGGCACAAAGTCGTCATTGTCTTCATCCTCCTCGGTATCACTTTGGTCGGCGTCGGAAGCTGAAGAAGACGAAGCGTCGGACTCCGCTATGGGCCCACCATCGGCCGGAGCGGCGGCGTGCTGCTCCGCGCTGAGGGGCTCGAGATCGGCCATGCGCCTTTTGAGGTTGGTTACATGCCATTGGCTTTTCGAATGGGCGCGGCGGGTGTCGGGGTTGTCAAAGTGGACGGCGCAGGTGCCGCACGAGGTTGATGAGAGCTTGAAATGGGAGGCGTTTGACTGCTGCATAGTTGTGGTTGTGTTGCTGGTGGTTGCGGTCGTGGTGGTGCCGAGCATGAGATATAAGGCGGTGGAGGGTGGTGGGCAGAGAATATGTGCCCGTCGAGGGAACCGGGATTGTTTGCTTAGACTGATGAGACGATGAACGCTTGCTCTTTGCTTATCGTGGACGGAAATGCTATTGTTTTATAAGACAACTCACCACTTGAACAAACATTGAATTCTCAGGAAAAGTAAGACACCATGAAATATAAAGTCAAGCCGATCGTGGCAACAGCCGAGACTTCTCAATCCACAGCAAAATCTCGTACACAATTGGCGAATCAGCAATGTGCCACCAAAACAAAGCCAAATCAACGCCCACCCTATCTCATCAATCAGCCGATGCCTTGCACTGCAGCCGCGACAAATCCTTGAGTCAAATTGTGGGGCCTATTAGCTAGCAGCCCCCCAGCGACAGGATCGAAACGATTCTACACTGAATGGAGGATTCGCAGCCTGAGTATTTTCGCAAGATTTACAGGCGTTTTATCGGGGACCAGGCGGCGTGACTCCCTCAACGCTGCAGAGGGAAAGCGATTGGAGGAAGGGCGAGGAGGGTGAGTCACATCCCGGGGCCAAGACCTTCCTAATTGGGACGCTGTGTCGTTGGCAATTGAATGAGCCATCATGAATCGACTCCACACCGGTCCGAGTTACAGGGGGTCATTTGCCGTCGTCGCGCCGAAGTGACGCGCCGAAGCGGCCGCGCCGAACTCAATTCTGGACTTGACTATCGGCCAGGGACCGCAACTTGTTGGGTGAAATGAGAACAAAACAGGTGCTTTGCAACATCATTCAAGAGCTCGGTTCTCAATGGGAATGCCTGGGCACAACGACAATGATTTTCGGTATTTGAGTGATCCATATTCATACTCCTCACGCTGTTGAAATCGCTCAGAGGTCGTCGGCAATTTTTTTTTTTTTTAAAATCCCCTTTATAAGGCTTGATATCTCTGACACCCGACTTGACCACAAAGAACTATGGGAAAGCCTCGTCTCAAACGATGAACCACCACTACTGGAGCGTCAGCGATACCGGCAATATGGGTGAGTTGCTCGGCTCCGTGGAACTAGCGAGGAGGCTAGTTAGTATACCTTTGTCAGGAACGACACATGTCGATTCAGGTCGTAAATGGGAAGCGAGTAACAGGACTTGAGTACGTGGATTTGTTTCATAAGTTGGTATCGAATCACTTTTCAGCCGTAGCTGTCTAACCCCCTCGCGCCATTTGCACGGAGAAATCGTCAAATGATTTCTTTCTCTACCCCTCTCTAGCAACACATGATATGAATTGAACCCGCCGTGGGCCTCATTATCACGGCCCAAAATGCCCAACCCCCGCAACTCCTACCAATATCATCGCCGTTTCTCTAGTAGCTGCGGCCGAACATGACCCACTTCTGGGCCTTGGCCTCGCACTCGGGGTTCAGGCACTTGGTCTCGCCGGCGACGAGGCCCTCGGGCTGCTCAAAGGGAATGCAGAGGGACTTCATGCCCATGCTGGGCTGCTTCTTACCCTCAGGGAGGCTCGCGTTCTCGGGAGGCTCGCTGGTGGTGAGCTCCTTGATGCGGTCTTCGCACTTCATGCCCAGGCAGAAGGGGATAAGGACAACGTTCTTGGCGTCGAGGGCGGGGATGACCTTGTCCCACTCGGTCAGGACGAGACGGTGCTCGCGGAAAGACTTCTCGGCCTTGCTGTACATGTCGGACTGGATGGTCTCGAGAAGCTCGGGGATCTTGGTGGAGAGCTCGGCCAGGGGAACGGAGCTCTTCTCGCCCGTGTCACGGCGGGCAGTGGCGACGACCTCCTTGGCGGCGTCCTTGGGACCGAACTCGAGTCTCAGGGGAACACCACGGAGCTCCCACTCGTTGAACTTCCAGGCGGGCGTGTAGCCGTCTCTCAGGTCGGACTCGGCACGGACACCGGCCTTTCGCAGCTCGTTGCGGAGGTCGTCGACCTTATCCTCCAAGTTCTTTCTGTCCTCGGGGCTGGTCTTGGCAGTGATACCGACGGCGATGAGGACAACCTGGACCTTGGCGATACGAGGGGGGAGGACAAGACCCTTATCGTCACCGTGGATCATGACCATGACACCGATGACACGGGTAGAGAGACCCCAGGAGTTCTGCCAGACGTGAATCTTCTCGCCCTTCTTGTCGGGGTTCTCCACTGTGATGTCGAACATCTTGGAGAAGTTCTGACCCAGGCAGTGGGAGGTGGCACCCTGGATACCACGGCCGTTGGAGGGAATGTAGCCCTCGACGGTGGTGGTGTAGTAACCACCAGCGAACTTCTCGTTCTCGGTCTTGGTGCCGCGAACGACGGGGACGGCGAGCAGCTGTTCGTAGACACCGGCGTAGAGCTCGAGAATCTCAAGAACCTCCTTGCCGGCCAGCTCCTCGGTCAGATGAGCGGTGTGGCCCTCTTGCCACAAAAATTCTCTTGTGCGGAGGAAGGGGGTTGTCTGCTTGGCCTCCCAACGGACGACGGAGTTCCACTGGTTCAGGCGGAAGGGGAGATCGCGATGGCTGCGAATCCACTTGGAGTAGTAAGGGTACATGACGGCCTCGGAGGTGGGACGAACCGCGACGGGAACCTCGAGGTCCTTGTCACCGCTTTTGACGGTATATCAGCAGGGGCTCGGCGCATTTATCAAGGGAGAGGTGACTTACGCCTTGGTGACCCAGGCCAATTCAGGGGCGAAACCCTCGACGTGATCCTTCTCCTTCTCGAGCGACTTGGAGGAAAGGAACATGGGGAAGCTGGTCTCGTCGACACCCATAGCCTCGATTCTCTCAGAGAACCACTTGCGAATAACGGTCCAGATGTACATGGAAGCGGGGCGCAAGATGAAGAAGCCGGAAATCTCATTGTAATATTCGACCATCTCGGCCTTGAGAACGATCTCCTGGTACCAGGCAGAGAAGTCCTCATGCTTCTTGACGGTGATTCCCGTGATGTCTGCCGTCTTCTTGCCGCCGACAACGGGGAGGGCAGCTTGCTTGGCAGCCTTTGCAGCCTTTTCGGCGGCCATCTTTGCCTGCTTCTCGGCCTTCTTCAAGGCGCTCTTGGACTGCTCAACGGGGGCGGGAGCGTCGGCCATCTTTGCGGGATTCACTGCAGATCGCAGGTTCGTCTCGTGGATTCGTGGGGGGTCTTGTCTTATGGAATTGGCGACGCGGTGACCAGATCGGCCTGAGTCACTGGAGATTTTGGGCAGAGAAGGCGGTGCGATGCAACGGAAAAACTGCCCCGCACTAAAAGTGAGTCGTGTGTCGAGCTGTTGGGTGGGAGGCAGTGAGGGGTCCATTGGGCTCCAGCCACAGGGTCGGAGGGTGGCCCGGGCGTTTAATCAAATATGGGGCGTCCCGGCCGCCTATCTCAGACAAAGCCAAACTGGATGTCACTGGGAGGCTTTGCATGATGGCTGAGAACGATGATCATTGGGACCAAAAGAGAAGAGTGAAATCGAGAAAGTTGTCATAATTCATACAATCGTATCACTGAGTGCTTCCGAGTCGGTCAGTTTGAAAAAGATTGAAAAAAAAAAGGTCTAGAGTTCGGCTTGGGTAGGTACCTTTACCTACCTAGGTGGATCAAGGCCCAACCCGCAAAGTCGCCGATAAGATAACAATAGAACTCACCAGCCACATCCCCGGTTCCTGGAACAACCCCGGCTCCGATAAAAAAGTTGCGTCGAGGGGACAAGGCAGGCACAGCACAGAAGCTTCTATTGCTGTCCAGGCACACACCGACGAAGCTCCCCAAACCACCCCCATCCACCACCACATATCCCGCCATTCAACCACAACCGCTGGCAGTGAGGCGCAAAAATGGCTTCCATGTTCGAGCAGTCAGGGAGCGGCACGCTTTTCCTCGGCGGCCAGAAGATTTCGGGCGCCGACATTAGAGACCAGAACGGTATGTCAACTCCTCCCACCTTCAAATCGCAACGAAGCTTCATCTTGCTGACAAACCTGCAGTCCTCGCGACTCAAGCTATCGCAAATGTCGTCAAGAGCTCTTTCGGTCCCAGTGGTCTCGACAAGATGATGGTGGACGATATTGGTGTATGTTAGGTGGCCCCCTCCCCCCCTGGACCCCGCTTACCCCTGGCGCAGGATGTCACAGTCACGAACGACGGCGCTACTATTCTGAGTTTGTTGGACGTCGAGCACCCGGCGGGCAAGATCTTGGTCGACCTGGCACAACAACAAGACAAGGAGGTCGGCGATGGCACAACCTCCGTCGTCCTCATCGCGGCCGAGTTGTTGCGCAGAGGAAACGAGCTCATGAAGAATCGCATACACCCCACTACCATCATCACCGGTTACCGACTTGCCCTTCGCGAGGCCGTAAAGTACATGAACGAGAACATCAGCATCAAGGTTGAGAACCTCGGACGCGAATCCCTCGTCAACATTGGCAAGACGTCCATGTCTAGCAAGATTATTGGAGCCGACTCTGACTTCTTCGCCAACATGGTGGTGGATGCCATGCTGGCCGTCAAGTCGACAAACGGCCGCAACGAGACAAAATACCCCGTCAAGGCCGTCAACATTCTCAAGGCACACGGCAAGGGCTCCTTGGAGTCTCAGCTGATCAAGGGCTACGCTCTCAACTGCACAGTCGCTTCGCAGGCCATGCCGACGAGAATACAAGATGCCAAGATTGCGGTGTTGGATATGAATTTGCAAAAGGAGCGCATGAAGTTGGGTGTCCAGATCACGGTGGACGATCCTCAGCAATTGGAGCAGATCCGCCAGAGAGAGTCGGGCATGATCCTGGAGAGGGTAGAGATGATCCTCAAGGCGGGTGCCAACGTCATCCTTACCACCAAGGGTATTGATGACATGGTTCTCAAGACGTTCGTCGAGAAGGGCGCCATGGGTGTGCGCAGATGCAAGAAGGAGGACCTCCGCAGAATCGCCAAGGCGACGGGCGCTACTCTACTCAGCACACTGTCGGACCTCAACGGTGACGAGAAGTTTGACCCCTCATACCTCGGACATGCCGAGGAGGTTGTCCAGGAGCGCATTTCCGATGACGAGTGCATCCTCGTCAAGGGCACCAAGAGCCACTCCTCAGCATCCATCATCCTCCGTGGACCCAACGACTTCACTCTGGACGAGATGGAACGGTCCATTCACGACTCCCTCAACGCCGTCAAGAGAACGCTCGAGAGCGGCAGCATCGTCCCCGGTGGTGGCTCCGTCGAGACGGCCCTGCACATTTACCTCGAGGAGTTTGCCGGCACCGTCGGCTCCCGCGAGCAGCTAGCCATTGGCGAATTCGCGCAGTCGCTGCTCGTCATTCCCAAGACGCTGGCCGTCAACGCCGCCAAGGACGCATCAGAGCTGGTCGCCCAGCTGCGTTCCCGGCACGCGCTGTCGCAGCGCATCCAGGAGGGCGAAGCCAACGAGGACGAGAAGACGGTCGCACGCAAGAAGGCCTACAAGAACTACGGCCTCGACCTGGTGCGCGGCAAGGTGATTGACGAGATCAAGGCCGGTGTCCTGGAGCCCACCATCAGCAAGATCAGGCAGCTGAAGAGTGCTGTGGAGGCCTGCATCAGCATCATGCGCATCGATACCCTGATCAAGCTGGACCCCGAGCAGCAGGCGGAGGATGACGGACACGGTCACTGAAGACATTGGTTTGTGGGAAATGAAAAACAAAAATGGGCCAATTGCGGGAGTGTTCAAGGTTAGACGGTTCGTAGATCACTTTGCTAATGATACCTCGTCATGTCGGCCTGGATGTCCAGACCTGTGACGTTCTTGAAGTCCCTGTTGAATTGAGGTGCCGAAACCACAGATGCTCGTGTGAGCGTACTAATCCTATGCAAAATGGGTGACGGACCAGTTGGTCAGCACCAGCCAAACTTCTCATTGAGCACCCACTCAACCTCTCCCTGGCCATACCACATGAGGCTGGCAATGCTATCATTCTCCCTCTCCACAAACTCGTGCGGAATACCCGCCTTCTCAATAAGGCCCCTTATCCTGGGCTCAGGATTCCACATCTCGACGTTATTCACCTTCCACTCGGCCGCCTGCGCCCTCACCAACCTAAGCAGCGCCTCGATAGCCTCCTGAACATACTCGTCGCCGCTCGTCTCGTCCTCGATGGCCAGCCGCAGGATGTGCATCGTGTTCCCCTCGGGCTTCTTCAGCCCGCCGTAGTACCCCCTCGTCCACACAGCCCACACCCTCGACCCGTGCTCGCCCACCACGCCGCCCCGCACCGTCGGCGTCTCGCCAAAAATGTGCTTGGTCATGTAGTCCTCGCGCATGAGGTGCCAGAGCATGGCGTCGAGGTCCGGGATTAGCGAGACCCGCGTCTTGTTGCTTTTCTTGGCCAGGTTTGCGCGGATGAGGCGCTCGTCGACGGCGCAGAGCTCCGCTAGCTCGTGGTAACCCAGCGGCGCGGCCTCGCGCGGCGATGACGATTCTCCTCCCTCGGGCACTCCTGCCGCTGCTGCCTGCGGCGGAAACTCGAGGTGGGTGCTCTCGTAGGGATTCCAGCCGTGCTTTGCGTAAAACTTTTTGCCGATATCCGAGTACAGCACGGAGCACGCGACCTCGCCGTCCCGAATATCCCCCCACGTCTCCCCGCGCTTCATCTCGGCGCCCTGCCACCGCGCCAGCTGCGGGCCGACCATGTTCATCATGATGGAAGCGTACCCGTTCCCGCGGTGCGCCGGGTCGGTGAAGACGGAGCCGACGGCGTGGGTGATGGCGTCGACGACGGTGCCGTCGGGTTTTGCGACGAGGACGTTTTTGCGGATGCTCTCGCAGGACGAGAGGATGGGGCGGGCGTCGGGCGGGCAGGTCGGGTCGGTGAGGATCCACTGGGTGATACCGCCGTTGCGGGAGACGGGGACGGTGGTCATGTAGGCCTCGCGGCGAATGTACTCGTCCAGCTCGAGGGCGGCGCCCCAGTTTGCGTAGGTTGAGGTGTAGGTCTTTATGCGCTCGGCCGGGGTGGGCTGGGTGAGGACGAGGTCTGTTTCGTGCGTTGAGCCCATGATGTCTTTTTTTTTTTTTTTTCCTACCCTTGGATTCTTTGGGGGGGCGACTTTTGGTGTAGATTCGTGTAAATGGTTCTTTGGTCTCCTTGTCTACGGTGTCAAGGTAGGTCCCAGGTTGGCGAGCCAAGCTTTCGGTCGGGCGGGTAGGTATTATGGTGGGTGGTGTCTTGTTTGTTTCTGGTCAATCACGTCACACCACACATGAACAAACATGAGAGAGACAAAGTTAGGGTAAGGTAGGTAGTAGTCAGAGAAGAGAGAGTTCAATTGGGAAGTAGAAGTAGACGAGGGAAAAAGGTTCAGCTTCCAGAAGCTGTGGATGGTAAGGGGGCCGGGAAAGGCAAAAAGGACAAAGCGCCGTCTTCTTATCAATTTCGTGTTCCAGACGGCTTCAGTGGTTTGTAGACTGGCGCGGGTGTTGCGTAGAGCGTGCCCCACCTCACCCAAAGACGATGGAAGCGTTGGCGGGGAAGACCCAGTCAAACCCCAGGTATTCCGGGATCACAGCGCCTTGTTCGAAAGCCACGAGATACGGGAGGGGGGCGTGAGGAAAGCGGGCTGGGCTGGCTACCTTAGTGTGGTTGACTCGATGTAGGTCGATCGATACACACGCGATACACACGAAGAAAGGGAAAAAGGGAAAAAAGCACAAAAGCCCCCTCCTCCTCCTTCCCCTCCGTCTCACACCAGGCACAGGAGACCAAGCGGTCAGCAGGTCCACAAGCGAAGCGGCGCATCGTGGACGGAAAAAGCCAAAGCCGGACTCCCTCGTCTTACATCACGGGGTAGAGTCTTAGCGGGTGAATAGGTAGTGAAGGTGATACAGTGATGAAAACTACGGACGAAGAAAGGTCGAAGCTCGGGGAGCTGTGCCTTGGGAATCTGGGACATTATTTTCTTTTAGGTAATTGTTTGGCCTTAATTTGGTTTCCGCCTGGGCCGGGCAGCGCGCAACCGGCAGGTCTGGCCGGCGGGGAAGAGATCACGGAGGCCGGTGGAAGCCGATGCTAGGCGGGGCCGGAATTGCGCCGGTTGGACGCGGCCGTGACGCCCGCTACCTACGTGCTTGCTACTCGACGTGGAAGATACGGCTAACGTTGTGACCGGTCCGAGACGAGGGATTCTCTTGTCTCTGGGGAGTCGGCTGACTTGGCCGATGTTCTGACAGATGGTTGTGTGGTCTGTGTCATGGTGGGAAACCTTGAGGGGTGTATGTGTGTGTGTGTGTGTGTGAGGTGTGTGGTATGTGGTGTTGGTTGCAGTGTTCATGCGCCACCAATGAGTGTCCGTCCAGAAGAATTCCCTTTTCTCTTTTTGGGCCACGTTGTAACCTGATTTGTGCTTCTTTCCATCTCTTGCAGATAGGTAGCGGGTGGTGCCCTTTTTTGAAAGAGCTCTCCTGCTGTATCATACTCCTCTTACAATTTCCCATCTCGCAATAACCACATGAATCAGCATCGGCTTCCCATCGTGGACATCCTTATCTTTAGGACATCGTCTTATCTCTCCAATATAGCCTCTTAATTTACCATGTATGCACAATAGTTCCCTCACGGGCCCTCGCCATCAAAAGTCAACCAAACAAAGTCACCCCTCCACCTTCCGTTCCCGTCGCCCCCCTGCTCCGCAACAACCTCACCACCTCGTCGTGCCCCCTTGCAGCAGCGCACTGCAACGCAGTCTGCGCCCTTCCGCCCCTGTCCCACCCAGCCCCCGCCTCGATCTCGGCCCCGGCGCCCAACAGCGCCTCAACCACCCGCACGTGGCCCCCCTCAGCAGCAGCGTGCAGCGCCCCGCCGCCCTTGAACCTGCTCCCTGCGGCGTTGACATCCGCGCCCTTGGCCCCCCGCGCGCTCGCAGCCCCCTCTTCCACCCCGGCAGACCCCGCCGTAAGGAGCAGCTCGACAAGCCCCGCATGCCCGCCGTAGCTCGCCGCCTGCAGCGCCGTGAACCCTCGATACCGACACGCCGGCGCGTCCACCTCTGCTCCCCGCTGAATCAGCATCCGCGCTATCGCGATGAATCCGCCCTCGCACGCCGCCTGCAGCGCCGTCCGCCCGGCCGTTGACGCCGGCGGGGCATTCACCTCCGCCCCGCGCTCCAGCAGCAGCGCCACGACGTCGTCCTGTCCTTTGGCACACGCGCTCTGCAGCGCCGTCGCACCAAAGTACCGCGCGGCAGGCGCGTTGACGTCGGCCCCGTGGTCCAGCAGCGTCCTGACGAGAGCCAAGTCCGGCTTCCCTGCCGCGATCTGCAGTGCGTTCTTGGCGCCGTTATTGCCCGGGCGGTCGTTGACTTGGGCGCCCGCCGATAGTAGTGCCGATACCACGTCGCCGTGGGATGCCTCGCACGCGGCCTGGAGAGCCGTGCGGCCGTAGTAGCCCCTCGGCGGGGCGTTGACGTCCTCTCCTCCTGAGGCGACGGCGGCGCGCACGGCGGGGAGGTCGCCTGCGCGGGAGGCCCGTTGGAGGGCGGTCCAGCAGTCGTCTTCGTCTTGGGAGTCGCTGTCGGCGGTGTCTTCCTCTGTGAGATTCTGCATATTTGTCGCTGATTTTCCATCCAGGTAGGTTGGCTCTCTCGGAAAAGTTGATGACACTGTGAAAAGGTGAAAAAGAAGCAAGAAGAGTGAGATTCGAATGCGAGGGGATTCCTACGCTTACCCTTCTTCCCCTGGCCAAGGGTGACGGAAATGCGGCTCGGGCACAATCGCGCCCTCCTGCTCGTCTTTTCGAGTGACGACAACAGCAACGATACAAACATCACTGAATCAACAGGAATCGACCAAAATACGAACTTGCAAATATCAATTACGGTTCACGTAGAAAAAAAGCACCATGAATTTGACTAACTAGTCATCCGTCTCGGCCTTCTTCTTGCTCTCGCTCTTCTTCTCCGGCTCGCCCTTTTTCGGCTCATTCTTCGACCCCGCCTCGTTCTCGTAGCCACCGCCTTGCTTCTCGTATTCCTTTGCCAGTTTCGCTCCCTTACATTCAATCAGCTGTTCACTCGGGATATTTCGAAACTCGAAACCGATGACAACTAGGCTTTCTCTTTCTATGAAGCAAAGCCAAGAGACTTTTTTTAAAAAAGAAAAAAGAAGAAGAAGGAGAAGGGGGTTTCTGTACCTTCCATGCGGCCCACTGTCCCTCTCCTCCGCCCGACTTGTTAGGCTCTTGCTTGATTTCTAGAGGTAAACGTGAGTCACTATCAGCCCGACTCATATTCAGCGCCCTCATGTCCTCGTACCTTCCTTGATTTCTTCCCTCAGCTCGGGATCGGTGGGCTTGCCCTTGGACGAAGGCATCTTGAATGATGAATATGAGAGACACTTTCGAGTTGGGTAGATGTTTGACCGATTATCACGTGAAAAAAAAGAGGAGATCTCAAGTGCTGGGAATTGCATTTGCGAATTAACGCCTGAGTATTGCAATCTTTAATATGTAGAGAGATCCCAGAACGTTTTCGCAAGTCTGCAAAATGGGGATGAGGTAGATGATGCTGCGAACGATCATCGATGACGCCTACAACGTCAGCCACCCGCCTTCTCGTTCGTGCCCCGTTGGCGGATCGGAGGACCCACAAACACCCATCCCTCCGCCCCGTGCCGTCCCGCTCGTTGCGCAAGGGTTTCCGGGCTGTTGCCACCAGGCCGAAGCCATCAAGGTATCACTAATGAGATGTCATTACAAAAGGTAAAGTGCCATACCACCTCACATGCTGATATGATTGCCCTTTTTCTCCCAGTTCGCACCTTAAGGTCTATGTGCAGCATCATGCCCATTCGCATTCATGCCACGCCATTTTTCCCCATCCGATTCCCCTTCATAACTTCATGAAGCCCACCGTGAGCAGCCACGTTAAGCTCTATCGACAACAGTCCAGGTGGTCTCAATGAATAGAAACAGGCTCAAACTCCTCAACCCCCTCAACAGCCTCCCCGTCCATGATCCCGTGGACATACGCAGCACCCACAATCCTCCTCAACCCCTCCCTATCCTTGCTCTTCCTCAGCACAAACGGCGCATTGCACCCCTTCATCACCCAAATCTCGTCGCCCGCCTCGGAACCCTCCGGCACCATCGCCACGTACCGCCCTGCCTTGGCCAGCACCAAATCCAGCGCCGCGCGCAGGGGGAAAACGCGGTTAATGAGAACCTGCGCCGCCGCCTCGAGCGCCTCGTTCGCCTCTTGCGCGCTACACCCAGACATCATAATCTCCCGTCTCAAATTATCCCGCTCCGGTCGCGCGGCGTCGAGGTTGTCCTCCTCGACGGCCGTGCAGAAGCGGTATGCCAGCTTCAGCGTCGTAGCCGGGATCTCGTCTCCTTCGTTGTCGCCCTCGGTGCGGAAAAAGGTGAGCGCCCGCAGGATCGCCTCGATGCCGGTCTCGCCCGTCGGGTACGTCGATTCCGCGAAGCCGGGCATGTTGGCCAGGAGCTGCGAGAGCGTCACCATGTCCCGCTTCACCCACAGGGACGGGTGATCGGCGTGTAAGTGCGCCGCGCGCGGGACCCCGCTCATGTGCTCAATGGTATCGACCTTGACGCCCTTGAGCAGGAGCTCGTCGTCCTTGGCGCTCGGGTCGAACCCAAAGTCAAAGTCCGTCTCGCCCGCGGCCTCGGACTCGGCGGCGTCGGCCACCGTCATACGCCGCCAGGGTCGGCGGAAGTCGGGCAGCCAGGAGGGAAAGTCTGCCGTGCCGCTGCCGTTGCCGTTGTGCTTCTCCGCGATGCCGACGTGGTCGAGGAGTTCCTCGCTAAAGGGCTCGTGGAGGAGGGTGCGGCCGAAGCGGAGGGCCGTCTGCTCAAAGGTGGCCGAGTAGTCTGGGCGGAACTCTTCCCTGTCGCCGTCGAGCGCCAGACCGAGGAGCGCAAAGTAGAGGTCGCGCGGGTCCGTGGCGTCGACTTCGCGGAAGGACATGAGGAGATTGAGCAGGTCCGTCGAGCGCTTCTCTCCGCCGTCTTCCTCGTCTTTCGATTCCCATTCGCCTTCGTCTCCATCTTCAGCGTCAGCTTCCTCTTCGTGGCCGTGGCTGTGGCTGTGATCGTGGTCGTGGTCGTGGTCGTCATCATGACCTCCGTGGCCTCCACAGCATCCACCTCCGTGCTCATGTCCGTCACCATCCCCATGCTCGTGTGACCTCGTGTTGCCTCTCATGGCGCCAAGCTGGTAAAACCGAAGCCTCTGCGCCATATTGGCCATCAAGTCAGCCGCGCTCTCAATCTCTTCGCCCTTGGCATCGACCAGAGGCCAGGGAGGATTCTCAGGCTCCTCGAGCGCAATCGTCCCCGGCCAAAGCTGTGACCAGTTGACCGTCCTGTCCCCGCAGATCATCATGACATCCCGCGCCAGAATAAATTCCTGCACAATCCAGACCCTGCGGAACCACGAGCGATTCCAGAATCGAGACACGTTCAACCACTTTTGATCACCCACAGGCGGCAGCTCCGCCTCAGCACCCGTCGGCGCATCAGGGATCGGCGCGCCGAGAAGGTCCTCCGCAAACGCGCGCGCGCCCGCGTTAATGGGGTCCGGGATATTGACGCGCCAGTACCGCTCAATCAACTCCATCGCCTCACCGCTGCCGTCGGCCTCCTCGCCCAGGTACGCGAGAACCCGGCGCGAGCTCAGATAGATGTCGTGCATGAGCATAATCTGCGCCTCCTTCTCCTTCCCGTCGGCCTGGTTTATGCACAGCGCATCGGCCCAGATAAGACGCGGGCGGTCCTCGAGGCGAACACGCTTGAGGCAGAGATAGAGGCTTTCCGTGATGGGGATGCGGGCGCCCGTGGACGGCGAGGTGATGTGGTGGGGTTTCTCATCGGAGCCCCAGACGTACGAGATGGCCTCGTACGAGTCGGCGGACTCGGGGAGCTCGTGCTCGTGTTTGCTTGCCTCGTCGACGTAGGTGTCGATGGGGCGCACCACGAGGTCGCCCTGGAGGGCGTCGTCGAAGCGGCCCGGTGCGAGGGAGAGGATTCGGAAATCCCGCTCGCCGAGGGTGGTGTACTTATACTCGGCCATGATTGAATAGAGAGCTCGATGTCTCGTGGGACACTCTCTCGTTCAAAATTTGGTGAGTTTCAGTACTTTTTACTGCAAAATGAGATTTCGCGGATGAGTGACGAGTAAGGGAAAAAAAAATTCATAGTTTGGTGCTGTTTTGGGGATTGTGGAGTGAGATTGGAGCTGAGATCCAGGAAAACGCCCGCATGAAAATGTCCACACTTGAGAGATTGGATTTTCATTGGCAGCACCCGCTAACCCAGGAACCATTAACCTGGAATGAATTCTTTCCATTTGACATCGTTTCTCTGCACTGGTCTGAGAACAGGTTGGATTCCCTAGTAATGTTCCGCCTGTCTAGAATTCGCTGCAATTCAAACATTGTAATAGAGAACTTCAGAAGTCGAAAATCATATCCATAATTTATCTTCTAGGAGTATTTTCAATAGACCATGTCAAGAATTCAAGGACCAAGTAAACCCACTCATCATCATTCATCTCATGTTTAAGACCCCGGCGATGTCGTCCCAACCTTCATATCATTCTCATCATCTCCCGGCTTGCTCAACATAAATACGTCATACCTCTCACAAAGCAAAACAGTCATCAAACCCATAATCCCAAATCACAGACCCAAGGCCGAGTTAAACGCATCCGCAGCAGCCTGCCCCTCCAGACCCTTTGAGTCCGCCTCGCCCTGCTGACAAGCCGCGACAGCAGCCTCGCCAGCCCGACACCGACTCTCAAGCTGGCCACAGATAAACCCGCTAATGACGCCAATATTCAATGCAGAGCCGTGCTCAAAGTCGCCCGCGGGCGCAAACGAAGCCTCTTTCCGCCCGTCGAGACCAGCAGCGAACTGAATACTCGGATCCTGACACTTTCCAAAATCAAACGCCTGCCGGCCCTTCAGCAGCTGCTTCGTCGCGATCCGCATCCGCCGCGCGCCCCGCGCGTTGAGGCCCGAGGCCCGGCGGAGTTTTGTGAGGGACGCGGCGGCGAGGCAGTCGTCTTCCTGCGCGTCGCAGTCTGCGACGGAAATATCCTCGGACCCAGAGTTCGCGGCGTCCGCGCAGGCGTTGTGCTGGACCGCGCAGGAGCGCTGGAGGGCGGCGCCGGCGTTGAGAAAGGTTGCGCCATTGACGGAGAACGGCTTGTCGGCGGCGGGGTCCGAGGTCACGGGCGGGGCGGGGCCGCCGAGGTCGCCGGTAAAGGTCTGGACGTCCGTGGTTCCCGTGGCGGCGTCGGCGGTGCCGTTGTTGTTGGCGTTGTTGGACTGACGACGGACCTTCTCGGAGGAGTCGGCGCTGGCGCTGGCACCTCCGTTGCGGCGCTGTGGCGGGATAGCCTGGCTCAGGAGGCTTCTGCTACGCAACCGGATTGCCGCACCGGTAGAGTTGGCCGCGGCTGCCGTGTCATTTCCGGCAGCACCTCCAGACGCAGCGGCATCAATCTCTTCTGGGGTAGCATCCTTGATGAGAAGGTTCTGGCTAAAGATGCAACCCTCTGCATCGTTGGCATCGTCGCAGGTGTTGCCGGCTCCGGTGTTATCGTTGACCTGTCTCCTCGTTAGTCTCTTCATCCCATGGACCTTTTTCCGAGGGGGAGGGGGAGGTTAGAGACTTACATTGCCAGGTTTAAAAGTGCCCGAATCAAGCGCAAGCTGCGGATCAGCCCCAATAGCAGAAAGCTGCTTCGCCAACTCGAGCGTAATAGCCTTATTCCCCTCCGCCGCGCCCTCCGAAGCCGGGTCCTGATGCTGGCTCAGCGCCGCAATCTCCGGGTTCGCAGCCGTCTCGTCGCACAACACGCTCTTGAGCCCCACGGACCCCGTGTTGCGCTCGACGGCGCGGAAGACGAGCGCGCTCGCCATGCCGTCGACGTCACCCGCGGCCTTGGCCGTGGAAAAGGCCGAGTCGGCCGTCGTCTGGTGCAGGCAGTCGAGGTTGGTCACGTCGCCCGCGCCCGCGGCGGCCGCCGCGTTGCCGAGGAGGCCAAAGACTGCGTCTTGGATGTTGTTGGGGTTGTCCTGCTTCAGGAGGGCGTTGACGGCGCGGAGGTACTTTTCGTGCGAGTGTTCTTGGGGGACCTCTGCGGCTGTTAGGGCGATGAGGGCCGCGAGGGCGGTTGATGCTTCGAATCTCATCTTGGGGAGCTTTTATCGAAACACTGTGGTTCGTTTTGAAGATTGTTAAGAGCGTAAGTATACAGCCAAGAAAGCAAAATGTCCAAAAAGAAGGGCCGGCCCAAGAGAAGTGGTTTAAAGGACAAGAGCCTAAGAAAGGAAAGAATCGAAGATGGTAGTAAAGATGGCAATAACACAGAAAAGTTTCCAGAACTGAAAGAAAGAAAGAGTAACGGAGGTGGCTTGAAAGATGAGGGACAAAGTCCTTCTCCTACCGTTCGGCAAATCAAGTAGACGCTGACTTATATACCGCATGACTCCGGCAGGCCCATCATCTACACCGGAGAGGGGGGAGAGGGGGGGACAAGTCTCAGAGGCCACCGATAAATCTCTTGGGTTCGTCTCATGACCGGACGTTGAAAAGCCCCCCTGAGCAGCTCGCTTGGGAAGGTCAACCCGTCGATCAACGGGATGTTGGCACCTTAGACGCTGCCGGTCTCAATGATGCGTCTTGCTTGGCAGACCAACAGAGCCCAGAACGGAGTCACTGGGTGGAGTATGAACGGTCGGCTGGACTGGTCTCCGATACGGTGACCACAGTAGACAGGGGAAAGAAGGCCTGGCGACGTGTGCGAGCCAAGTGTTCATCCGTTCCGGAGAGACGAGACGGGCGGCTCAAGGACAGTCAATGGAGGAGCAAGCATAGACTGCATGGCTGTTTCGGGAGCTTGGCCCGGTTAGAATTGACGGCTTGTCAAAGAAGTATGTCAGGGAAGCAGAGATAGGAATAATCGGAGCCCAACTCTCTGAGACGGACTTGGTGGAGACAAAACTCAGTTAGCAATAGTGACTGATAATGATCTCCAGATTCCTCGCGAATCATTGGCGCTGAGGCATGTCGGCCGCTGTGAAAGAAACTTTCCCTTCTGCCGAATCTGTGTAATCAGAAGCATCACTCGATAGGTTTCGGTCCCGCTCTTCCAAGCTGCCCTCAGCCGGCGGCATCTCCAATATCAAACTCAAAAGGAGCCTCATCGCCAGATCGTCGTCCCAGAGATGGTCCCAGCTCCCTTTCCTACTCCCCCAAAACCTCCCCTGTCCTTGGCGGGAGAGGTTGAAGTTGAGCGGAGTTTGAAGACCGCGCAAATCAGACGGCACCCGTCGCGGACCAGCGTCTCATCTACTCTCCGAGCCGTCTCGCTGCGCGGACCCTATTGGCTCGCCACGTTTCCGTTTGGACGGGTGGAGTTGGTATTGCAGGGGTACCTTGAGCCCCGGTCAACTTCTCTCCAGAGCTCAACCTCTCGTTAGCTTGTCATTATCTCTTCCGAGTTGGACTTTGCAACGTCAAGAACTATCAGCAACCTGCCATCCCATGTTTTGTACGAGTATAAAAAGCGCCCAAATCTATATCAACAGTGTCGCTATAGACAATGCAGCAGTGCCGGATGCTCTGTGTGCTTTATGCCTGGAAAAGTGACACCTCATCAACCCGGCAGGATACGTCGATCCGTTATGCCATCCTCTCTCTCCAGAGTTCATTTGTGCCAACCCTCGAGACCGAGAGCAACTCCAACGTCTTTTGAAATCGAATTTGAAGCGTGTACCTGGTCCATCAATGTTTGCTTTCGGGTAGTATGCCATGTCGAACGCCCCGTCAGCATCCCATCCCGTCTACTCTCACCAGCTAGCCTCAATACAAGAAGACCCTCTTTATCATCATGCCTCGCTCGCCCGTTCCTGCAACGCATACACCTCCTCCAAACATCTCGTTCACTCTCCCTGCCCATCGCCCCACACCAAGAGGTCGCCTGTCACCCGATCCCTGGACGGTTGAACCACACCTTGGGCCAGCGTGATCTCCAGCGTTGATGGTCTCACCGCACAGAGACTGTTGTCCCACCCTCAACTGACGTCAAGGCAGTGCACACCATGTGCCTACCCCTAAGCATATACTGCTATCATCTGCTGGAAAGGTGTGTGTGCAGTCATCGACGCGGGAATCGGTGCACCACTCGACGGATTCTCGATGTCGATACCCAGCACCGAGCTGTTGCCGGGAAGTTCGTTCCGGACCAACGCTGGGCCGTCACACAAGGGGGGAGAGTCTGATCAACCCCCCGTCACACTTGTCCCGGACCGTAAAACCTCCAAACTCCCATGAAAACAAGGCTCGAGCCCGGTTCTTCACGTCCGCGCTTGTACCCACTTCATATTGCCTCTGGAATTCTTCCAGTATCGGGTTGGCCGGTTCGGTTCGAGCTTCGTGATCCGCCTGATGCCGTTCTCGCAGGTAATCTGTTCCCAGACCGGTGTTCCTTTGGGCTCCTACTATGTTATTAGTTACCCGCAGCACCTACGTCACATTTACCTGGCCACGGCTGATTGTTGTGAAGTGCGAGGCTGCTTGTTCCTGGACGCTCATTGACTTTTGTACATTTGGCATTATTGCCCTAGGGACACGTCTAAGAAAAAAGAAAATGACCTCTCTCTCTCTCTTTGGAACCCAAACCAGCACCAGCGCGTCTCCGATGCAAAAAATCTAGTAGTTTGTTGTTGCCATCATCGCCACACCCTCCCTTCGAAGGAGGGTCTAGCCTTCGTCTCCCGCTTCGTCTCATACTCATACAGTGGTTCCGCTTAACCAATGACCAGCTTGCCGTCCTCGGGGAATTCGTACTCGGGGATCTCGAGGTTGAGGGGAGCAGGTCCCTTTCTGATACGGCCGGAAATATCGTAGTGGGATCCGTGGCAGGGGCAGAACCAACCGCCAAAGTCGCCGGCCTCGCCAATGGGGACACAACCCAAGTGTGTGCAGACACCTAGAAGCCATGTTGTTAGCTCGCGTGCACTGAGTTTGGGGTCTTGTTTTGATATGCGGTTGCCGAAAAGGCATCGATCCTTCGTCCCCAACACTGGTCTCAAAAAGGCCGCAATATCTAGCCATCAAAATATTCGAATCAATCGTCGTCAGAGAACACGTACCCAGCATGATGAGCCACTCGGGGGTCTTGACACGGTCGTCGTCCTTCTGGGGGTCACGGAGGGAGGAAACGGAGACCTTGTTGGCCTCATCGATCTCGGACTGGGTGCGGTGGCGGATGAAGACGGGCTTGCCTCTCCACTTGATGATAACCTGCCGTCCAAAAATATCAGTATGTCCGTCTCATCAATGAGTGCCGCACGGGTTCCAATCAGGTCACTCACGTTCTTGCCCTCGGGAATGGTGCTGAGGTCAACCTCGACCTTGGCCATGGCCAGAACGTCGGCGGAAGCGGACATGTTGACGAGGAATTCTGCAATTGAAAATGCCCGTCAGCAATTGGTTCCCACTGATCCATCCTCCCATTGTCCATTCCTCGCATGCCGGTTCGGTTTTCGGGTTTACGGAAGGGTTTCCCTACCCTGGACGGTGGACTTCGCGCCGGCGGCGGTGATGGCGCCCATGGTGCCGACCATGAAGTATCCGAAAAGCTGGTTGGTGCCGGCGGAGCCCTTGCTCATGTACTTGCTGAAGTCGGGGATGCTGCTGCCCTTCTGGGCGCCCTTGAAGGGGCTCGAGTAGCTGGTGGCGGTCGAGTCGTTCCGAGCGGCCGAGGTGCTGAGCGCGCGCGCAGCCGTCGAAGGGCTGGTGCGCGCCAATTGCCGCAGGCAGGTGCGGGAAGCGTGTGCGAGGGGCGCCATCTCGTAGGTTCCGGAGGAGAGGAGAGGGTTTGTGGCGAGGGTTGTTGCGAGATGCAATTGGGAGAGAGATGACGTTTGGAGGCAGGAGAGCGTCTTTTTTCGTGATGCCGTGGTTTGAGGATTGCCGAAAGCTTTCTGGCTGGTCGCCTCAGGCAGAAGGTTCTGAAATTGGTGCTTGTTGATTGGCTGGTGGGGACAGCTGGGACCCGGCCCTTTCCGGAGTGGCACGAGTGATGACTGCCACGATGTGGATAAATGCAAGTCCCCCATTAGGAAAATCGACTGAGAAGCAAACTTTGATCTCGGTAATCCTGAGAAAATGATTACTTTTGCGTCCATCTTCCGCGAGACCGATCCATGAGGCAGTCGGATAGGGTAATTGAATTTGTCTAGTCATTGTCATCTTTCTCACACTATCTACTCCTACCGCCATGGTCGTCAATCATTCCGAGTCCATTCGCCCAACTCCTTTTTACTAAATATCTTACATCATCCTATGATGCTTTAATGTATGCGCTTCAGCTCCTCGACCAGGTTGCGCATATTCTCCACCGTCGGTCCTAGCCCTGCGACAACAGCCTCTTGCTTAGTCTCATCCAGGTCTAGAAAACGCTCAATCAACTCGCCGTCGACAAAGCGGAAGGGTGCCTCTGCCGCGCGCTTGGCGTTCCGGAACCCTCGCCACGACATGAAAGACAGCCCACCGCCCGGTGCATTGTCAGCTTGGCCCAAGGTCTTCACTACCCCGGCCAAGTTCTCTTGGAATTGCAGTAGCAAACTTTGGTGCTCCGGCCTGATGTCAGCAAAAACATAAACCGACCCTTCAACCTAGGAGATTGTTAACTATCCGTCTTCGTTTTCTTTTCAAGCTCGGCTGGAAGTTATCTTACCGTTGCGAGGAACGCCCTTGGTACAATTGGGTCGCTCTCGTTGGGAACAATGTCGAGTGATCGAATCCTGTTCACTTGTTCCCCGAGGTGGAATTCACTAATGACTTCCATCTGCTTCTGGTCGTGCTCTGTTGGTGCATCGGGGTTCCTTCGCAATACCATGAGGTTGCCCTGCGCATCGGACTCAAGCCACGAATGCCCGTCCAAGTGACATACCGACGTGGCCCAAATGTACTGAAAGTGACGAGCACGCTCCATAAGCTTGGGTTTGTCTCCGTCTTGTGCCGGAACAAACTCGAGCAAGGTCATGGACTGCATGAGATCAGCGACGCCAATCATGTTTCCGTGGACATTAATGTCAACCGGGAATGTCGAAGGGCGGAAAGTAGCCAGCTTGCGCAGTGCCCCAGACGTGGTCGACTCTTCGGCGTAATCGTAGACCACAACTGTCTTGCTCAAACCGGCAACAATCTTTTCACCCATCACACCAAGACTGCGACAAGCACCCTTCAGCTCGTGACTGACAATCAGGTAGGGATTCTTGTCATAGTCAACCCCCAGCACCAGAATCCGGCCCTTGAAATCATTGTTTTCATCAATCTCCGGGTCTGCCAGGTAACTCGTTCCAATAATGAATCGTTCGGCAGCTTGCCCCATACTATCAGGCAGCTCTGCTCTGATGACGCTTTCGACCATCTCGGTCGATGTGGAGCCATCAAGGTGGAATGCCTTACCAACCACGCCAAGGACAATCTCGTCAACCAATTGGAACGCACTTGTCACCGTCTCTTCGTTGTTGATGAGTTCTCTGCGGATGGTGCCTATACCGAAAGCACGCAAGGCTGGCGAGTAGGCCACCCTTCGAACCGTCTCGCGCAGTGGAAGTGGGTTGACGTGCGTCCTCCTTTCAGCATCGATATGGGCGATTCGTACATTCCGATCCGTGGCAAGGAAGATAGCATCTGGGAAGGCTTCAGAGTCGAATGGCGCGATATGAGTCACGTCCTCCGCAGTCGCCGCAGAGTAGATGATCCTTCCTTCTGAGCTGTATATCAGACTTGAATGCTCGGTAGTAGCAAAGACATTGCTAATGCCCTCATTGCCTGGCCGCGGAAGAATGTGAAGTCCAGCTTGTTTGCTGCCGAGAGTGACGCTCTTGCGACTCGATAAAGAAAAGTCTTCTTTTGACACATTAAACGACATAACCTGGCCATCTTCCATGGCCACGAATAGGGTGGGACCCAGCAGATGCTGTGGATGTAGTTGCACCAGAACCATGTCCCTGGGAACAGAGACACTATCATCGGTTTGCTTGATGGTTTCACCTTGGAGGGCGTTAAGCGTGCGAAGGTCAATGATGGATACTGAGCCCGTTGCCCAGAAGCCTACCACGCCAATGTTGTCGAGATCGCTGGCTGCATGGATGCAAGAAATCTGGTCCTCCTCACCACCGACGCCACGACCCAAGACTTGCTCTTGAACTGCCAGGTTATCGGCCAAGTTTAAAGATACCAGAGAGGTGCCATTAATGGACAGCAATACCCACTTGTTGTTGGCAGACGCATTAACAATGGTCTTGCCATCTGGCACTGACCAAGTGTTTAGAACAACGCCGCTCTCCAGATCGAGCAGTGTCACAGTTGCTGCGGTGACCTGGAGCAATTCACCACTGGGTAATGTTGTTGCAATCAGAGTCGGCTTATCCAGAGTGAGCCCTTGAAAATCAAACACTTCCTCAATGCCGCCCTCGGCATCAAAGCTGAAAACTCTGGTTTCTGTCATGAAGGAAACCACCAGGGTGTCAACTTTTTCTGAACCGTGCGACCGAAGAGTGAAGAGACCACGGACATCCTTCAAGTCTTCTAGAACGCCAATGTCTTCTAGTCCAACACTGCTTCGAATGCTTCGCAAACTGCCATTTTGATGGACACCACAGCCGGCGACGATACGCGCTTGGCCTGATGAGAAAGCGTTGCCAACTTGGCTGTCTCCGGCGTTTCCCAAATCCATGATGGCAAAGTCGAGAATAGGTGCGATGTTTGGAATGGTCTGCACAAGCTTTGTCGTCAACTCCGCGAGGTCTACTTGCAACAATTGCGAGTCGCCGTAGTGAGAGCCCAAGAAAAGCATGCCATCTCCCATATAGACCAGACATGACGCACGAGACGTCACACCGAGAGTCTTCATGGTCATACCCAGAACAACAACGCCCTCGGTCTCAATCGTCAGAAGGTGGAGGTTGCCGTAGTCATCTGAGAGGAAGAAATTTGTGTCATCATAGGCAGCCCATGCGACGAATATGGCTGGGCTGACCAATGCACTCTCCACGACAGACTTTGTCAAGGTATCGACATAAACCAGCAGGGTTTCGCCAACCACAATTAGGCCACCGAGTTGTGCCTTGGCCGTTGATGTGTCTCTTTTGTGGTATCGCTTTACTTCATCCTCGACGATGTCCACAGGGATGAGGATGCGGGCATAAGGGTCCTTGATCTCAATGTCGAGATCTCTATCCCGGTCTGGGTCGAATCTCGAAACATTTGTGTTCTTGTCGTCCGTCATTAGTCTGTAGATGGCGAGTCTCGCATCCTCCTTGTCGATCTTGGACTGGTATAAGAAGGCAACGGTGGGGTGGCCAGTCTCAGTGGGCACAAAAGTGCTCGCCTTCATAAAGAGCTCGGAGAGGCGGACCTGTTCCCATGCATCGTCAAGGCGAGTAAGCTGTCCTTTCCTACTTCCCAAGCGCATGACGTTCATGACACCCTCCCACAAATGCATCGCCATGAACCTCCCTGTCGGGTCAACCAGGCACTTGTCCTGGCTCTGCGCTTCGCGCATGTGCGGCTCGGCCGTATCCTCGACGACCTGCTCCGTTTGGAGCCTCTGTGTGCCAGAGTCCCACCTCGCCGTGAAGTATTGAAATCGATCGGTGCCGACAAAAAGCAGGTCAGCCTTGCTGTCCTTGGGTCGCAGTCGCTGTAGGAGGAGGATGGTGCCGTAGACTGCGGCGGAGCCGAGCAAGTACATGTCGGTAGGCGTAATGCGCCATACTTCCAGTCTGTTTGATCGCCTTGGAGGTTGTTAGTGGGAGGTGCTACACGTCAAAGACCTTGCTCTCCTGCCTGACAATGAGACATCTCGGCGAGAGAGAGGGAAACCACGAAGGAGGTGCAGTACAGGAGGAGAGCCAAACTCACGCTGCCACCAAGCTCTCGTTCTCGTCTTCCTCGGATAGGCGTATTCTGATGGCCTGCCGTATGCTGCTTGGCCTATGGATGGGCGCGACGTACGACATGGTGCCGGTCTGTGAGGTATGAGCTACAGCTATGTGAGGTAGGAGCTCGTATTCCACGCGATGGCAGCCATAGACAAAAGGGACGGCGTGGGGGAGTATTGAATCGGTCGGTGCTCTTGCTGATGTCGGAGTTTAGCAGTGCAGGCCCGGGCCCCTCCAATGCAGCAGTGGAAGGTCGGGTTCGATTTCATCATCAATTCCACCGCTCACAGTGGGGCCGCGAGGCATCGGCAGGTGCAAGTCAAAGGTGCAGGGGCCACAAGCCGCCCCGCTTCCAGTGCCTGTCACTGCACTCAATTTACCTAGGCGCTGGGTGTATCTTAGTAATCCACACTGTCCGGCTGCTTAGACAATATGTGGAGCCGGACAGTGAGGCGCATCGTTCTGCACAGTATTAAGGTCCCTGCACATCTATCGGGGAGGCCCATTGGGGGCCCGTCAGGGCTGAAATGTGCATTTGTTTCTTCAGAACGGCAAACTATTGATACAGATGTGTCTGTGTCTGTCTCCGATCAACCTCGCCTATCAAACGGTCCTCTTCGGATTTTGCGATGGTTCCATGAGATCATCATCGTCAAGAAGGATTCTTGTCTCAAGCGGTTGCTCCATCCCCTCCACCTAAGACGTATTGTATCGGATTCCCACCGTTCGACCGTGCACTCATGGGCATCGCCGGTTGGGGAGCTCCCAGAGCATCGCCCAGTTCAAGTGAGGCTCCGACTGGCCAAATTTGCTAAAGTCCACCCGGTGCTCGTGGATATCCTTGAACCCGACCTTTTGGTATAGATGATGGCCGGAAACAGAGGACTCGAGGTACGCGGGAACACCCAGCCGAACAGCTTCTTGCATTACTGGCGTCATCAACTGCAACCCGGCCCCACGTCTTTGGTGCTTTGGGTCCGTCACCAAGATATGCAGATCTGTTGTCCGCGTTAGTTTGTCATTCGCCTCCGCCATCAACGCATCAAAAGGGCGAAATCCACCACTTACAGACGACCGGCTTGCCACCCATCAAACGCTCGCGCATCTGGTCCAAGCCGGCGAACAACAGTGTGCATGCCTCCTCGTTGCAGCCTGGTCCCCAGACACGTGGTTTTGGCACCGGCAAGCCCTCCGAATACGCGTTCCACTTGCTCCAAGCAATGATCGCTTCGTCGCCAGAGAGATCAGTGTCCACCGCTTTGTAGAAGCGCACGGTTGGGTCCTCTCGAAACTGTTTGGCCATTTCCGCTGCTCGAATCCCCATGATATCCTCCGGCATGGGTCCGGGGAACAAAACTGGGTTCATTGGGCTCCCCGCGAACGCCAGGTTCTCAATCTCGGCGCACCGCCGAAGATCGCCCTCCAACACTGGCTGAATATCGATTGGCATGTTTCCCAGTTATCTGACGCCCGCGACTGGTTTCCGTGTAAGTTGGAGCGACTTCCTCGAATTTGTCGCGAAGACCACGCCTATACTTGTACGCCCGGAAAGGTCGCGCCGCTTGCTTTCTCATGCGGGGTCTCTTCGGCGTGGGGTTCTTATCCAGGTATGCGTATGGCTGGCTCGGAAGCCAATCGGTCTGACTCATTATGGGATGCGTACTGCTTTTCGTCACCTCATTGATCGGCCTCTCGGTGACCATCTAGGAAGCTCGTCCACGTAGGATCACATCCTACATGCATCCTGCGCGTAGTTGGCCCCTCCACGATAACACGAGGATGCCAATTGTGTTGTTCCCGTCAGCTGCAGAAGGGATACGCAAGGCTTATATGCAAACGCATTTTAGCTTCAAGGTTTGTCCTTGGCAACTTTGAAGGCTTGTCCCACTAAAGGAATATCAAAGTCATGATCGCTAGTGTGCCTGTGGGTCCCCAGATGAACCTCACCACGTCTTCCTCCTCATTAAAAGCACCACACAAGGTCCGATTTACCCCTATGGTTCATGGTTCATGGACGATGGTGGATTTGTCTTGGCTGACGGAACGAAGCTTTGACTTTTAGCCAGGGACCGGGGAGCTATGTCCATCGACGATGGAGCGACCAAGTCGCGTTCGTATCAATGACCGAGATACGAAATCTACGGATGGAGCTACCCAAGTCGCGTTCGTATCAAGGACCGAGATGTTTACCACGGAATGTACGGACGGAGCTACCCAGTTAAGGTAGTGTAGCCTCGTCGAAATGGATTTCGGGGGCGTCCCGTCGACGTTAAGAAGCTCGGATGTTATTGAAGCACGGCGAAAGGGAACTGGCAAGTGGAAAGACTAAATCGGCTGGAGACGAAGGGGCGCAGCGATATCTGCGCTCATCACCAAATACCTACATCCACGACACTCGCCAACAAGGCATGTCCACGAAACACGTCTGATCATTCACCTTGCATCCCCGGGCAACTGCCTCAGACCGCATTTAGACCACAGCTTGGTGTCTATCGTCCGTTCATCTCAAATTTTGGGCATCTGATGGCCGCGGCCGATAGTGTCTCCTCCCAGGTCCCTTGGGAGCCTCCCCGAGCTTCAAAGGCTTCGCCGTCGGCGTTACTGTCGGCAAAGCGCGATCCGTTTCATGGCCCATGCAGCCCAGTTGTCGCCGTGTCGCTAGGGCCTCATCGTTGTTGCATCGGGTCCCTGCACCAGCTTGCTCGCACGGGTCAGGGGTTTCTTGCCTACAGAAGCTTAATCCTCCTTTCGGCCGCCGGTCGACGATCAATTTGCCTGTCGTGTACCTGTCAGACTGCCAAAAGTGGAAAATGGCTGCATATTAGTACTTCCCGGCCGAGAATCACGGACGTCAACACGGACGTTAGCGGCCTGCCTTCAGAGGATCCTTGCGTCGGGGACGCAGATGCTGCCGTTGTGAAGGCTGCTTTCGGATTCGAATACGACACTCTCAGGATGTGTGCCGCTGCAAGCTCGAGGACTATCGACTTCTTCCAGGTACGGAGGTGTCTAAGGGTCTCATGCTACAAACGCAGACGGGAGCTTACGAGGGCGCATGTCTCCATCATGGTCTTGGATGTGATCCAAGGTTCAACCAACACAGACGGGTTGACCAAAGCTTATAAACCTATTTGATCTCCCCCCGAAGAGGAATTATCTTTTGGGGCATCAGACAAGGATCTCAAAAACAACAGCTTGGTCATTCCCATAGCCAAAAGTATTTTCTTCGAAAACCTTCAGACCCTTTGTCGGTCACCTTCATATCAAAATGGTCACCACACATTTGGCCCTTGCTCTCTTCGCCCAGGCGGCGATCATCGCTGCCGCACCCCTCCAACCTGTCCGGGTTATCCAGATTGAGGAGAGAGCTGAAGGTGATCTCGATGCCATTGAGCGAGCTCTGGCTCCCGTATCAGAATCACTCGCCAACGTCGATGCCGCAGTCCTCTCGTTGGACGGTGGCGCAGTCACGGCGAACAACCTCCTCATCTTCTCTCAACAGGCCCAGGTGGCCACCGACCAGGCCACAGTCAATATCCAGGCTGCTGGTGAGCTTACTGCCATCAAATCTGCCAGGCTTCGACGGACCACAGACGCTCTCATCGACCAGACGACAGTCACCGTCAAAGACTTGGTCTCCCGCAAGCCTATTCTTGATAACATTGGGGTCAGTGGTGTTGCATTGGAGTCGCTCCAGAGGCAGAAGGTCTCCAGCATGGCCTTGACTGTCGCGCTCGAGCAAAAGGTCCCTAGAGCCGGGCAGAGAATCGCGGCCGAGAGCAGGTCTCAGATCGAGTCTGTCATAGACCAGGCCATCGTCATCTACGCTGAGCCGGCTGCAGCTGCTGTCCCAGTTGTGGTTCCTCCTCCTGCTACACCAGCCAACCCCAACGCTATCCCGATTGCAGTTCCACCTGCTGCTGCTCCACCTGCTGCCGCTCCTCCTGCTGCCGCAGCTCCTGCTCCCCCCGCAGTTGCCCCAGCATGGCCTGATCAAGCGCCTGCCCCTCCGGCCGCGGCCGCTCCTGAACCCCCCGCAGCCGCTCCTGAACCCCCCATGGCCGCTCCTGAACCCCCGGCGGCCGCTCCTGAACCTCCAGCGGCCGCTCCTGAATCCCCCGCTGTTCCGGCAGTAGACCCCAACGCCGCGGTCCCTCAAGCTGGAGCCACCGTTCCTGTTTCAGCTCCTCAGCCGGCGCCGGCAGTCATTGCTCCTCCCGCGGTGGCTCCCGCACCTGTTCCCATGGTGCCCGTAGCTGCTCCCATCGCTGCACCGGTCCCGCCTCCTCAAATCACCACTGCTGCCGGCCGCAAGGACCGCAAGAAGAAGAAGAAGGCCTCAAAGATCAATATGGTCGAGACTGAGGACGAGAGTGCCACTGTCATGACTGCTGAGCAGTAAACCATCCATGAGTGATGATGATGAATTGGAGTTTCAAGGCACCACAGGCGCAAGATTGGGAATGACGGTTTTACTTCAGCATGTAATAATATTACAAAAATAGAATGATCTAATGCATATTAATGCACTATATAACCAATTTGCTGGGGAAGGTCTTGAGCAGTGACAGGTAAACTTGTGTGATTTGGCAGTCCTGTCATCCCTGTCAAAGTACCCAAATATGATATGTGTGACAATGTATTACAAGGTGAGGTATCGAGCGGATGGCATATGTAATAGTAAGTGGATTGATTAAGCTAAGTAAAGCTCTTATATGGGATCGCAGATTTATATGCCGTACGGAGCGAGCCCACGGAGCGGTCGTTCCGTGGCAGGCGGTATCTGGTGGCAATATATTGGGCGGCGCCACATGTGGCGCTACGACACAATGCAAGCCTACAAATGAGCGTACATAAATTTGGTGTCATTGAGCGGGTAGATGCTACCCTACCAATCACAGCATTACGGATAAATCATCCTAAACCAAACATCGCGCTAATGCAGGAGCTCAGCAACGCTAGAGGCTGGACTATTGTGACTAGTTGCTAATGGACTTGAACGACGGATTGCTCAGCGTCAACAACTTTCGACATCTCTCTCTTGCGGAATTCGTGAAGAATGAGGGACAATTTGGTTTTGAAAGCGACGAGGCGGTTTCGGATGCCCTGTGCCTGGTCGTCGAAGCTACCGCGGGGAAGCAGTCGACTCAATGTGGTTTCTTTTGAGCATTAAAGCAACAGCAGGAAGCTGACGGGACCGATGAGGACCTGGACATGATTGCGTTTGTTCTCATATCCGAGCATTGCGGATGCCATGGAACCCATCATGTAAAAATGAAGACTTCTGTGTCGCCCTCCATCAACATCGTGCTTCGGTCTTTAAGAATGGTCATTGTGATTGCAATCGGACCTAAATTCCCTGCAAATCATGTTTGCCCGGATACTATTTGCGTGTGAAATTGATTTCTGCTGTTCACATCCCGCGCAGGACGTCGCCGATGTTGATGTGCTCGAGGTTGAACTTTTCCGAGAGGCGGCGATATTATGTGCCTTTGCCTGATTCTGGTCTACCGAATACGCTAAGAACGATATGAACCAAGGGAGTTTGCTTCGGTAAAGAATCCTGGTGCGGCTCTTTTATGTTGACTGTTTGGTGATCATGGTACTGCGGACTACCTCGAAGGCGCTCACGGTAAAAACTAGGGAAGCTACAAACACAATGCGCACTGGGAGATGACCGCGAAAATCTTCAGCATGGCATCATGGTTGTGGGTCGATCATTTTTGAAGGACGCGGTTCAATTAAGGTTGCGTTGGTACCGAGTTGTGTTGGTTTGGTGTTTTGTTGGTTCACTTGCTTCGCGTGTCACAAATACCCTTGCTTGATTGACTGTTCTGACCGGGCCAGAATGAGGCCCTATACTGTCAGGTTGAAGCCGAATAAAAATCGAAAGACGTGATTCAAGATAGTTTATCATTTAATTACTTTCCCTCACAAACCTCACAAAACCCCGGTTTGTATGGTTCAATGCTACGTTGCAGAGGGGAGGCGTTTGGTTGCTCATGCTGCCCCGACTGAAGTTCGAGATTTGGCTGGGGTTTCCTGGGCGGCGGCTGGGATGTCCGCTGCTCGCAGATGTTGGTGCAACGTGGGGGTCGACTATTTCCCCATCTGGACCATTGAACCTCAAAACAAAAAGCAGTCCCCTTATCCCAACAGCAACACGCATGAACCTGGCCCGTGAGTAAGGCTTGTTCTTAAAGTGCAGCTTAAGCGCAGCTAGGGGAAACATTGTTCCAACGATGAACATGTCTCGACGCTCCGTGTGAAAATGGGCATTAGGCTCTCTGCGTTGCTGCCCAGGAATGATTACTTAATAATCGGAAGAAGTCCGGTGGCAATTCCGTAGTGCCCGACAGCTGAGAGTGCACGGATGCAGCATCCGATCATTCTTGTTTTTTTCCTTAAAACATATCACCTATAGAACTGAACATTGCTTTTGCACGCCCTCGAAACCAAGCACGATCGGCCATCGTTCGACGGCCAAGTCCAATCAGCCGCTGCCTAGCATGCTAGACAAATCCCTCAGTGAATAATGGGATTACACATGAAGCACAATACCAAGGATGAACTGGCGTCAGGCCCACGTCATCTGGAGTTCTGAACCCCAAAATCCTTTCCTCAGACGGAGTTCCAGACTCGCCGTGACGCCGATTCGCGACCTTTACATATGCAAGACGACTAGATGGGAACACTTGGCCACACACACGCTTCGAGCAACTTCACTGCCATTGGAGATTGGTACGCAGGCCGTATCCTCACCGGTGAAAAGGGGGCACAAAAGCAAAGCAGAAACCGGACGATATGACGCCCAGTGGCTTTTTGTGAACCCTTGGCTGTCGTGACCCTTGACTGCATCCGGGGTCCCGGTCGAACGGGGGGGGTCCCTTTCCCTCCTTATCAATTATCTCAATCGTCAAAGCTCAACCGCAGAACCGCTCAACTGCCGTTGCCCCTTTCCCGAGAAACCAAAAAAATTACGGGATCGGCACCCACGAATCAACCTGACATTTACCCCCCCAGTCCTCTCAAGGTGCCACTGCCCACCATGAGGCCCTCGCTCTCTCAAGCGAAATGATAGCATGCCATCAGAAATACAATCCGAAGAGACCATGGCGAACTAGCCGGCCTCCAAACTTCCTTTTAAGACCCTCTGAGCCGCCGTCCCGGGACCAACCTGATTTCCCAAATCCCACATGTTGATCACCTTCTCCTTTGAACACATTCGCATCTTGGATCCAAGAACCGCGGGCAAAGATGGGTCTCATTTCACTCTTGTACAGCCTCCGCTGGCTCTTTGCGGCGATCCTGCTGCTCGCCTACGTCGGCCAAAAGGTCCGGACTTATAACCGGCTCAGGGCGTTCAAGGGGCCGGTCCTCTGCGGCTGGACAGAGGCCTGGCACGCCTGGGCGATTCTGACTTTCAAGTCTCATCTGAAGTACGATGAAGTATGCAGGAAATACGGTACGCTTCCGTCAAGTTTTTTTTTTTCTCGAGACCCTTTTCTTGTTACAAAGCGCAATGCTCTACTTTTGCCAAGCTCGCGCCGTGGCCCGCGCTAACATGAAGAACCATTCGCAGGGACGATCGCTCGCGTCGGGCCGAACGACCTGATCACCTCCTCGCCCGAGCTTCTCGTCTACATGAGCGGCATCCGGTCGCCCTACACGCGGACGGAGTGGTACTACCGCGCGTGCCGGCACATGTCGGAAAATGATCACGTTTTCAGTGAGATGGACGAGGAAAAGCACAGGGTGCTGAGGCAGCGGATGGGAGCCGGGGTAAGTTCCATGACCTGGACCTCGTCGGGGTCTCACGACTAAAGTATTCCTGACTGACGGATTACCCCCCCAAAAAAGTATTCTGGCAAAGAGAACCTTGCGCTAGAAGAGTCGGTCGACACACACGTGTCGGAGCTCGTACAACTCATTCGATCAAAGTATATTTCAACAGAGTTCGCGGCGCGGCCAATGGACCTGGCAATGAAGATGCAGTACCTGACGTTGGACGTCATCAGCAACATTAGCTACGGGAAGCCCTTTGGTGATTTGCGCGCCGACGAGGACATGTTTGGCGTCGCCGAGTCAGCCGAGGTCGGCATGACAATCTTCACTTACAAGATCGGCCTGGGTCTCTACAAGATCCTGCAAAAGCCCTTTGTCGCGCGTCTCCTCGGACCCAAGGAGACGGACGCGTCCGGCTTTGGCCGCATGTTTGCCAACGGCCGCGCCATCATCAAGGAGCGACTGGCGCGCGACACGGAGAAGCGGTCCGACATGATTGCCTCCTTTATCCGGCACGGCCTCAGCGAGGACGAGATCCTCTCCGAGACGACGCTGCAGATGATTGCGGGCTCCGACACCACCGCCGCGTCTCTGCGCATCATCATGCTCTACCTCCTCACCCACGCCCGCGTCTACGCGAAGCTCCAGGCCGAGATTGACACTCTCGTCAGGGACGGGCAGATTGTCCCTGGGCTGTCGGGCATCGTCTCGGACGCGGACAACCGGCGGATGCCGTACCTGCAGGCCGTCATCAAGGAGGGTATGCGCGTGCACCCGCCCGTCACGAACATGGATCCCAAGCGGGTGCCTGACGGCGGCGATACGGTGGTCGTGAACGGCGAGACGGTGTACTTGCCCGGCGGGACCAACATCAACGCCGCGGCGTGGCCGATGCACCTGAGCAAGGAAATCTTTGGCGAGGACGCGGACGAGTTCCGGCCGGAGCGGTGGTTGCTGGAGGAGGACGAGAGGAGGTTGACGAATATGCACCGGGTGCACGAGCTCATCTTTGGGTATGGCAAGTATCAGTGCCTGGGCCGGCCTATTGCGATGATGGAGATTGGGAAGACGATTTTTGAGGTGAGCCGAACGCATCCATCCGCGCATCTTTGTGATACTCGGTTCCTATTGTCGGATTTCCAATGTGGGCTAACAAATCGAGCAGCTGATGCGCAACTTTGACTGGTGCCTTGCGAGACCTGATACACCATGGAAGGAAGCCAATCATGCCGGAGTCTTCACCCACAACGACATGTGGGTGCTTGCTTCCGAGCGACCACAATTCTGAGGGAAGGTTTCTTTTGTCTTTGGTTTGGCGTGAGGGAGTCTGGCACGGGTCAAAGAGTCCAGATCAAAGGAACCGGTAATGGTACAAACTTGGGGATTCGGGGAAACAGGAGGCTATATGCGGGCTGGTAATCAAAGTCTGTCGTGGTTGGGTCGGTGTGTCTTGGTCGGAGATTTGTTTTTCGGGTTGATCAACGGCCGGCGGGATTCAGTTTGACAGGTTGTGGCTGCGGCGCCGCCCGGGGTTCGTGGCTGGTATCGGGGTTCAATACCAGCTAGTTTAGCCGATCACAGCTTGACTACCTCCCGGTGGCTTGGGTGTGATCAGGGATGTATGCAGTCAGCAGATAAGCATCAATGGGGGGGTAATCTGGTCATATAACCAGAAAAACTATATGAACCCGGGAATTCCCATCTACGGCACCAGATGATTATATTGCGTACCTTGGGTGTCTTTTATTCAATTGGCATTACCACGGTTATGTGGCAACGAGAAAATTCCCAATCTGAGCTACCCAGAACCGACAGATCACGCCCTTGTTGAACCCAAGCCGTCTGACAGAGCCACGGTAGCTAACTTTAGACTAAAGTAGCCATGGGGCAAACAAACAGCGTCTCAGCCGAGATTGAAATCCAGGCCCCGCCGTCGGCTGTGAGATCAGTGGTATGAAATAATAGCATACCTATACGAGCACGTTTCGGACAGATCATTGACTTCTGGGTGGCTGACGCTGCATGTGATTAGTTTCTGGAGTTCAGCAAATACAAACAGTGGAGTCAGAAGTGGGCTTTCGAGCCGGCAGAGCCGGGCAAGGATCCCTCGGAGCTCAAGGACGGCGATAAGATCAAGGTTGACATGGGAGGAATGACGTTCAGCCCAGTCATCAGGGTGAGTGGCGGCTCAGCCTGCCTCTTCGAGAGGGATATGCTGTTTTGTGATACTCATGATTGATGCTGAAACTCTCTCCTTCGTGCAGGAAAATACCACAGAGACTCTCGAGTGGGTGGGGTCGATCCCTCTATTGTTCATTGGAAGACATGAGTTCTGGTTCAATCCCAGCGAACAGAACTCTGGAGGGACAACGTTTATCCAGGTCGAAGAGTTTCGTGGGCTGTTGGCGTTCCTCATGGCACCGAGGTGGGGATTCAGGCAGAAGACTCTCGTTGGTTGGAACCAGTTCAACGCCGACCTCAAGAGGGAAGTTGAAAGCCGCCCTTTCTAGGATTCACTCGGTCGAAAAGACCTGGCGAACATCTGAGATTTGGCGTGTGGCGTACACGAAATACAAGTTGCTGGATTGCATTTGATGTGGAGCTACAAAGATAGCTACACGATTACATTTTTTCTGATTGAAATACTGTTTTCCACCAAGAAGATGTGTACTACTTCAGTCAAGCTTCGAATACGAGGTAAGTTGCACGAATAGCACTGATCAAACTCTCTGTCGCCAACTGTAGTGCTCTTTCGGGTTCTGTAACAAGTCTCTCATATCATTGATCTGCTTCGCCCGCGGACCCTTCTCCAGCAAGAGTTGCTCTTCAGCAAGCTTGGCATACTCAAGCGCCTCCTCCTCCATCCCCAAAGAGTTGTAATTCAGCGCAGCCAGTCTAAACGCATCAGAGCCGTGAGACTGATCCAGCTGCTCTTGTCGGTAGAGCGAAATCAGCTCCTCGATCATCTCCTCGTCAACCTGCGCCCCGTTCCAGTGGCTCATCTGCTGCTCAATTTGCCACATCTTGCCGAGACGTTGATCGGAAGAGCGGATGAAGGCCTCGGAGAGACTGCATTGCTGGCAGGTGCATCCGAATCCCCAGTTGCGCTGAGCTCGGTCCTGGCGGACGGCGCGGGAGCTCAGCGAGTCGACGTAGGAAATGGTGAGTTCCTCGCCGGGCTGGATATCTTTGATGGCGTGCGTGTAGTGACGCATGTCCGAGTCGTCAATGTAGAAGGCGACGCTGGGTTTCTGTCAGATGATTGATCCATAGCTAGGATACCATGATGAAGCTCGTGTAACTCACTTGGGCCTACAATCATGATTATAACGCGAAACCTCTGGGTAGTTGCCAAAGTGATGGCCGTCTCGAATCCCGAGGCCCAGCTCAAACGAGTTGGTGTGCATAATATCGTGGACCTTGTGTCCTGTAGACTTTTGCTCGCCTGACTGCCCCATCTGCGCCATGAAGGTCTTTCTGGTATCCTCGGGAAGCTGCGCAGCGGCGACATCAAGCAGACGATACTGGTTCTCCAGATCGAGAACGTCTACGAACCTCCGGTGCACGACGACCGCCGGCGGATGAGCCATGATACGCTGCCCACGCCGAATAGGTTGGTTCGCGATGAGACCCAGTCCCTTGCCGGGCATCTCCACGACGCGAAACAATTCGCTGTCGCCCTCCCCCTTGATAGACTCCTTGGCAAAGGCCTCGAGATGAGACGCCTCTTCGGCGTTGTACGCTGTGCTCACGAGGACGATGCCGCGGCCGTTGGCGAAGGACGGTCGCGAGTAGGCGCAAAAGGCACCGGCGCAAGAGTGAGGGCCTTGCCAGCCTTCGTCCGAACGCCAAATGTCCTTCTTGGGCGGCTTTTCTGTCCTGTTTCCGGCGACATTGTCAAGGACAGGCAACTCTCCCGATTTCAAGATTGTGGCTTTGCTGCAGGCGAGTTGAGAGTCTGGGAGCAGCGGGCTGGCGGCGCACGATTCGGCCATCGGGACTTGTGACTTGAGGCCCAGTGTCTGGCCAAAGGCCAGACCCGCGAGAAGCATGCGTATACTCATTTTGGTCAGTGCCTTTTGTTTTTTTTTACTTTTGATGATTTTGGTAGGAGGAAAGTTCGGTCTGATGTCTTATGTGTCGTTGTAGACCAAGAAAGAAAGCTTGGGACAACTCTCGACGGCCTTCTTGATGTTTCAAGGGCGCGTTTCGAGATCGCCGCAGCAAGGTCCGTGGGTAGCTTGCAATTCTTTAGCTTGTTGCACACCTTAAACGCGATGAACTCCAGGGGACGTGAGAGCACACAGTAGTCTGATGATGGAGGAATCTTCTGCTACTGAATAAGCTTGCTCTAAGTTGTGTCCGCCTAAGGTTTTTTTTGTTTTCAATGTAAGCATGTTCCATCGAGGGGGAGATTTTGCTTAGGTGCCATATTCCGACCAAGCCAATTCATAGTATGGAATATCTGGGGACAGAATAACTGAAAGCCAATAGCTCGGATCAATGAAGTATCAAACCCTCGACGTTGGGGATGTCAAGCATGATCAACGCCGGTTCCTGCCGGGCGCTTCTCTGCTTCGGTACGTATCACCGGCGATATCGGGACCCACTCACCGGCCCGTGCGCCGACATCCGACGTGACATTTCGGGCTGTTTGTCCGAGATCTCATATTCAATGTCATAGAAAGCGATGCTGTGTGAAGCTCAGCCTATAAACCTGTACACGCGAGAATTGTTCAATCCTGCCTGGTAGGGCATGTCAGATTTGTTATGGAGCAGAAGGAAGAGGCCTTTACCAGACTTGTTCCGCTGACCATTCTGAAACCAACTGTCAATCTTGAGAAATAATTTGCCTGGCGATGAGGTAATGGTGTTTAGATCTCAATCCAAAAGATTAGTTCTGAATAATTGTCATCTTCCGTTACACCCGGCGAGTTCCCAACCAAGTCATTGCTGGAGTTGAATGAGTAAAAGCGATCCTGAATGTAGAGGTGAATGTCGGCATCATCCTGATTCTGCTACTTGGCCTCGAAGATATAGATGCGCGACTTCCGTACGAAAATGTTCATCAATTGTTGCTAACATTCTCTCAGAAGCCATGTGTCATGGGCAACCAACTGAGAGGGTAAACTAGATACTAAGAATTATTCAAGTCGAATCACGCGTAACATGTCCCACCCATTTTCGCATTTCTTTTCATTTCCAATCACCCTACTCAAGGAGCAGGGGTGGCAGCGGGCAGACAGGCGCAGGCACTGCTAGCCTGGGCAACCTTGTTCTCCATGGCGCAGTTCTGCACGGCGTGCGCGGGGAGGACGCTGGCGTCCTTGACGGGCTTGCTGAGGAAGGACGCGCAGAACGCCTGGGACTCCTCGAGGCGGCCGGGGACGGAGGTGGCGCGGAACGAGCGCAGGCAGTTGTCGGCGTTGCAGACGGGGGCCTTGGGGCAGTCCTTGCCGGTCAGCTTGACGACGAAGGCGCCGCGCTCGATGGTGTTGATGAAGATGTAGCCCGAGGGGAAGTAGGCGTACGAGGACCAGGTGCCGACGAAGCCGACGTAGCCGCCGCCCTCAAAGTCGTCGTCCTCGGGGTAGATGTCAAAGTAGGCGGCCTCGCAGATGCCGGCGCCGGTGGGGTCCGAGGGGATGGAGGTGCCGTCGAGGACGCGGAGACCGGCGCCGTAGTGGGATTGGTAGATGTAGCTGTCGATGACGTACTGGTTGTGGTCGATGGACTTGGTGGAGTGCTTGAACTCTGTACCGTTGTTAGTATTGCTGTTGTGGCTTCGGAACAGGTTTGTTCGCGATACGCACCTCCCGTCTGCTTGGGGTTCTCAAGGTCCTTGATGTCCCAGATGAAAGTTACGGGGTAGCCATCCCCGCCTGGGCCGTTGCCACGAACCTATGGTACCAATATTAGCTTGTGCAGGTGCAAGAGTTTTCTGTTCGATCAACGTACCTCGTCGAGCTCATCATCGAGGACGAGGAACTCCTGATTGTTCACATCAAGGACCCAACCCTGGTGAGTGTAGGAAGCACCCTCGTACGAGATGCGGGAGATAATATTAGTAACGTTGGCCTTGTCGGTAACGTCGTAGATGGTGAGGGTATCCTCGTTGTAGGCGTAGCAAATGTCACGTCCCTGGTAGCGCTTATCGGGACCACGGTAGACCAGGCACTGGGCATCGTGGACATAGCCATCGTCCTTCGCGCAACCCAGAGAGACGGGATTAGCGGGGTCCGTCAGGTCGAAGAAGTTCAGACCAGCGGCGCAGAGGGGGTCTGTCCGGGGCGCGGCGCCGACGGCGACACCGTAGTTGAGCTCCTCGTTGATGACGACGTTGTGAGCACGGCCCAGGGGCAGAAGGGAGTTGAAGTGGCTGGTCAAGTCGGCCTTGGCGTCGAAGACGACCGGGCTAGCCGGGTCAATTTCCAAGAGCTTTTTCATGTCGAAGATCTGGATGCCGTGGTCGACGGCCTCGGAGCCGATGACCATGTAATGCTTATAGGAGCGGATCTCACGCCACTCGGAGGGCGCCGAGTATTGAGGCAGGCGACCGAGGTATACGAGCTTGCCGTCCGAGAGGATTTCGGCGAAAGCGGTCCCCTCGTACTGGCCGATGGCGACAAATTCACGACCGTCGTCGTTGGTCCATCCCCAAGAGGAAGACCCCTCGGCAAGGGGTCCACCGAGGGCGGCGTGGCTGAGGAAGGAGTACAAATCGGCCTTGAATGTGTTACTCGAGTGTCTCGGGAAGAGCTATGATGACAAGGAAACCTACGTTGTGGCACCTGAAGGTGTTGTTCCTGTCTCCAATGACGGCCTCGGCCCAACCATTCACACAGGGGGTGTAACCCAGTTCAGGCCAGACCTCACTGTTATAAGCACCAGCTTCTCTCTGGCGAGCGAACTCTGCCTGTATTTTGTGTCAGTCGGAGTACTGGCGGTGATGATTGAGATTCCTTTGTTTACCTTCTTGGCAGCAATGACCTGTTCGTGGACCTTGCCAGAGTCGTAAAACTCAGCGGAGATGGCATCACTCATCTGGATCTCCTTGGCCATCGCCGAGGCGGCGAGAACGGCAAGGGAGCCGAGGTAAGCTGAAGCGCGAACCATGGTGCCGGGTGTCCAATGCAAACACTACGCGCGTGTCTTGCGTATTTGAGAGGAAGGGTTGGACTGGGTTGAGCGAGGGAGATGGGTTTGAGGCTTAATTCCCTTGGAGATCAAGAAACATAGTTCTTGTGAGAGGCGGGCATATCTCTGGGTTTATATCCTGTCACAGCCAGTTCGGGGTGTACGAATCATACCAGTCAAACTCCCAATCGTCTGCACGCGCTGCCTGCTAGTCACTACTTCCTGTCACGGAAGCTTGATATGCAGTGGCTATGTCGGGATGCATGCTCGCGCCTAGGACTGCTGGAGTCCATCGATCTGGGCATTGTCTCGGCGGTACCGGGGGTTTGAGCAAATGTCCTCGCGGAGTTGCAACCATGGGAAGCTCGGATGCGACCAGGGCACGACAGGCTCGCTGCACCGCACATGTGTCCGGCCATGTTGCCTTGTGCGAGACGGGCTGGCGGTGCAACAACAACAGCGCGCCGGCCAGTCATACCGCCTGGTCATAAATCGCAGCAGAGTAACATTGCACAGTGAGGAGTAGATGCAGAGCCGTGAGCGATAAATCACGAGGAATTCCGGGCGACGGCCTGCTCAATTGGCCACACGCTCGTGCCTTCTTGGAGGCTCTTGGCGGGGCTCCCGAAAGGGCAGGTCCCGGGATTAGTATGGCCTTGGCGGACAACGGTCCGGGGAAGCCTCGCAGTCACGGCGCAGGAATAGCGGGACATAAGGATCCACTACTCCGGGATGGCCTCCTTTTCTTTGGACCGCTTCTTTTTTTCCCCCTCCAAATCTTTTCCTCTCAAAATGTCTTTTAAGGGGACGTACACGAGGTGCGTAATCACTCGTAGCTTGATAAATGTCGCAAATTTGTTCCTCAGGAGACGTCATATCATCCTGAGATAGGAAACTTCGCGCTTTCACGCGTTTCCGTCTCGCTGGTAGCTACACCGACCAATGCTAATGGTTGAGAGTAGCCAGAACCTACTCAAACTACAATTACCATCACAAATGTTCCGAGGCGGCCAAGATTGAGCTCCCTCTCCGGATCTACGGACGGCTTGGGTCTCCTCGAAGCACGCCCAACTGCATGCGACCTCATCAAGCCCATGACGACAGCTCCCGCGTGGCTCCCCTGGGAGGCCGATGCGTCCGAGCAGTCTCCCCTCCTCCAAGAACGCAGGTCGACAGAAAGCGGTGATGAGGCTCGCAGCAGCAAAAGTCCTTTGGGGTGCGCGATGCATCGGCGCCAAGACTGGTTGGAGTGGACCAAAAGCCTGAATCAAGCAGGACGTCTGCAGTAATTGGTTGGATAGAGACATATTGATAGGCACCTGCCAAGCAAACAAGCGGTTGGTCCGTCTTGTCTTCCAGGCTGCCCTGTCCAGCAAAGAAGTAGAATACGATGGCAGCCCAGAGCTAGCTATCGATGGCGTTGCTTTTCCTGGCGTGGCACGCGACGGCTATCCTGTTATCGAGCATCTTTCAAGTCAAATTGTCTAAGCCACGGTGCGCAGGAAATTACTTGGAAGCAAGCCTATAATATCGCAATATGTAATTGGTAAAAGGTTGTGATCGTTGGCCAGTGTCCAAAAGGTCGGTGGTAATAAGCGACCTCGCCCAAACTCTATCTAGAAGTTAAAAGAGTTTATTTCCCCTTTAGGCACCTCCTGGCGACTACATCTGTACTCTGCAGAGCCAACAGGGATCGGGTCAGGGCCAAGGGCGGTTCCCCGCTGAAAATTGTCTCGGCTTTTTCGCCTCATGCCCTCAAGTACCAAATTCTTACTCGGACTCGGGTCAGCATTGCAATATTTGTCCGTTCGCTTACCACACGAGGTGACGGGTTGGTGATAATAAAGCCAGAGAGCAATGATCTTGGTTGACTGGATCTGAATAAGACTGACCAAGTTGACAGCTGCGAGTGCACTGACTAAAGTAGAAAGACGTAAATCACCCTTCTGACTAAGAATACCCGACCATCAACCCAGCGTGGGGACTCGACCAGGTCAGCCGACGATCGCTATGCGGGTAACTACCAAAGTCTGACTGTCTGACTGAATACACTGTACAAGCCAACTTGCTACGTCGCCAGCCAACAAACGCTTTTTCAGACTCAATTCTTAATGACTTATCCGACATCCCTACCTATCTCCCCCGCTTTGTCGAACCAAGCCTCGCTAAACTGGAATTGGCAGGAGACCAGAACCATTACTTTGGGTCAACATCATCAGGCCTACAGCCGATTCGACGTCTCCACCTCCACAAGCCTTTCTTGACCCTGTGGCTTTATGAAATCTTGATTCGACAGGTACCATACAGAGACACCAATCTCCGTATCCAGAATCATACCCTTACAACCAAGACTTCTCGCACAGCTGCATTACCAGTTGCTGCGGCGGCCCATCCGGGTTTCTCACTTTCGGAGCTGATATCTACCTGGGTCCTCTTTGGCCAGCCAAGAGCGAGGAGAAATGACCCCTCATGGCGCACCCCCCCCCCACAAGATCGAATTCTGTCTAGGCTTTTTGCCTTCTTGTCAGCCAAAGGTGCCCAGTTAGTCGCGGGTAGGTAGAATACCTTGTCCAAGCTAAGAAGCCGCAGTCGTCCGAAATAGCAATTCATCCGCTGGCCCAGGCGTTGGCCAGGTGAATAACTCTGGGCAATGACGGCAAGACGAGGAAAGCAAGACGTCATTACCTAACCCACATGTCCCTGACTCCTTTCTACACAAAAGTCATTCCTTGCATTTGAAGAGATTCACCCTTCATCCAGTAATCCAGTAAGCTTGGAGGGCTTCCGTACATGTACTCAAAAACGTTGGCTAGTAGCAATTGGCGTAGTCCACATTCAAGTAATGCCGACTTGAGCCGCCGAGTGCCTCTCTCTAGCTGCCTCTTCCGATCGGCAACACGCATTGCACTAGATGTCTGTTTGTTCTGTTGCATCCATGCGCCTTTGCATCTCGCGTGGCTTTGCATGGCTAGCCGACGCATGGGTATGCGGGACGGAAATAACCCGAAAGATGTCTCGTTCCGCGCGGCTCCCTTCGCTTCAGTTCCATTCTTCCCATCGGGCTCATGTAACTGCAGCATTCACACATCCCATTGTTCTAGAAGCAGAAGTGGACTTATGGGGCTAGACGATGGATGATCTTTCCGTCAGGGAGTGAGGCTATTTCTTGGCAGGTACTAATATGGATGCTTGAAACATGGATTTGACCTTCCATCAATAACCTGTGAATAGCCTGTGTTCCTATTGACAACATTGCAGTTGAGAATTGAGAAATCGTCGATGTCGCCATGATATACAGCCGTTCTCGGGCCCGCTGGCTACATATACCCGACATTTCATCTCTATTTTACCTAGGAATGCAGATTATGACGGCCGAGTGAATCTCTGGATCGTGATGCTCCCGTGCTTCTGGCTTAAAACCAATAGCTCCTCGTATGCCGTATCTAGATTAGTCACAAGGACTTACTAAAAGAGATGCCTCACAAGCGAATTTCCTGTGTTCTACGTAGTGAACAAAAGAACCATCGATTGCGACAAATATGTGAATACTCCTAAGTCGCAGCAATGGGGAGGAAATCGTTCTGACTTTGGTGGAGCTAGCACAGAACCACAAACATGATCCGATGCGGTGTCTGAAGACTGATTGTAGACGATTAAGTCTCAAAGATTGCATTATGGAAGATATTTATGGGTTCACTCACAGACTTCCCAGGCGCTATCATTACGAGGTTGGTTGCTCTGTACGAGAGCTTGTACGACGGCAAAGGTTTTAAGGGGGTTGAGAACAATATCAGCTTTTTCAGCTTTATGTTGCAAACCGACTCCTTCGCACCGATTCTTTGTCTCCAGGTGGAATTGAACGATCGCTTGCAGCGGCCTTACCGTGGCATCCTTGCATACAAACAACACTGGCAGCCGAGCGGTTTGACCCCGTTTGTCCTTCGTATTTTCTTGTGCAACCATTTGGCTCTGCGGCGGGAAGGCATATAAACATCATCACCAACACATTGGAACGAATCTACATCATTGAGAACATCAATCCTCTATTCTTTTCTATGCCGGGTCCAACTATTTCTTGCGTTAAATAGCACAATGTTCGGATCCCCTCTCTCTGTGATTATTTACGCCCTGGCTGTAAGCCTCGCCACAGGTCTCGCAACTCCGACTACTACGACGCTCGGTTTAAGATCTCTCGAACAGAATGGGGGAGAAAAGTCGCCCTGGAAAGTTCACGATGTCCAATGTCACAACGAAGCCGACTTTCCAGGTCATGCCGACATCAACCCCACCTGGCAAGGGGAGGCTGTGAGGAGCTTCTGCGACAGCGATCAGGCCAGTCGAACTTTCACAACCTACCAAGACCCAGCGGACAACCATTACCCAGTTGTCTTCAAGTTGCGCTTCAGATGGAAGGACATGTGGAAAGTCAACTACGACTTTTACGTCCAGTGGGTGCCCGGCTGCAGAACATCTTTCGGCGCGCAGACTGTACAGAACCCGCTGTTCAGCAGTGAGGGGAATCCAACCTGCGTGAGCATGATGGAAGGCAACTTCAAAAAGTGTAAGGCATCTTCGACGTTGAATTTCCGAGTTTTCATCTTCTCGTCGCTCTTCTCCCGTCCTGCTTCACAAAACGATCCAGACCAAAAGGAACTGTGACACACAAGAAACACTATGCTAATGTGGCACTTTGCAGGTAATAACGGTGGCGTTGGCGGCTCTACGCAAGTTGGCTGTCTTCTTTACACTTTCAGCGGCGGAAGAGGCGGGAACTTGCTTACGGCCGTGGAACTCAAGGAACGCCGAATCTACGACGAGGAGCATGGTATCACGAGGAAGCCGGACCCCTGAGATTGATGCAGACATTCGGCTTCGAATGAGTTATGCTCAAGGGAATCGCTCGACACATGTCGTGGTCATTTAACAACACGTTAAAAGCATATTTTGCGTGGATAATACCGGACATTCATCACTCTATCACTCTCAAGCTATTTTGATTTCAGACAGGATGCAGCAGGCAATACCTCAATGCATAGCTGTCCTCTTCCATACTCTCAGAATGTTCAACTCCTCTCTATCATCTTTTCTTTTCACTTTCAAAAGGATACATCACATAGGACAGTTGATAATATAATTTATCGCACAGTTCTCTCCTTAGAATGATCATCAGTGCTGCTTGTACCTATATGCAACCCTGGAACCGAATTATCGATAACTCGCTTTTTTACACCTTTGATCCTCAACGCAACGCATAGGTATTCTTTACAACCAACATATTACGACTTTTTCAACGATAGGTAGATAGCGCAAGTGAACTTGTGCTGCTCTGTTAATCTTAAAACCGATGTTCAAACCTTGAAAGATCATTTCAATATCATGACTTTGGATGCAGAGGTGGCCAAGATAGGAACTCATTCAGGTAAACGAGCGCCGATGGGAAAAGTTAAAAAAAAGTGTAGATGATGCAATTAGGGTGATAATGGTGGCCCTGCTCCTGCCAGTCTTAATGGACTCCTCTTCATGACTAGGTGTGACAGGTCACAACTGGCTAGTCTGGCTTTGATGCTCGCGTTAGAAGTATCGCTTTTTGTGATAATAGGTATGAGTAGATTGCACTTGACAGACTTCTGCTGTTTGCGAATCAAACCAAGTGCCCTCATCCAGTCTTTGCACTTATTCTTCATTTAGGTGTGTGGGTGATCCAAGAAGTAATCCGCTCTGTTGAATTCTTCCATCTCGGCCTTGTGTTGACACTCGATTCATCTATTCTCACTCTCTTGGTCAATTGAACAACATTGTCAACACATAGTAAACGACTTCATATGAAAATCGCAGCAGAGGTTGCGATCGTAAACTCATTTCTCATCGACATAGCAATCATGGCTTTCCCTGACCAAGGCTTTCCCTTTTAATGTTTACGGTGACGAGGTTGGAAGTTGCTCGTTTGTCATCCTCATTCACTTTAATGGGCGTATTTCAAAAGATCGGATCTGCGTAGCTGCGTGATTCTTAAGTTGCATTTTGAATTCTAGAATTTCAAAAAGGTACAAAATTGTGACATAGCAAGTTCATGGACCATGGCAAGGCGATTTCAGTTGCTAATTAGCTAGGTAGTAGGTAGGGACTTCCCAACAATTTTGGTACAACTCAAAAAGGGTAGTTAGTGTGACTATGCTATGAAAGAATTGCATATACGCGCATGTTTCTCAGCCTAGATAGCCTTTATAGTTCAGACAGGCAATGCCAATTGGCCTAATTGAATCACACGATCTTGTTGCAACTCTGCAGAGTCTCTGGAATAGTGCACGACAGAAATGAAAGAGGGAGAATGTCAGAGAATGTCACTGAGTAATTGCGGCAATGTTGGTCGCTCATGAACCCCACGAAGCAAGGCGGGTACGGCTGCTGGCACATGCGGGGAAATGTACCGGAACCCGGATCCCAGCCGGCCTTCGAGGGGCACGCTTCGTACTTAACCCCCACTCTTCCCCCAGCCAGTCGAGTCGGGGTGCAGCACCAACTCCCGAGAACTCTAACGTTGGCCAACCTCTGAACAAGATATCCTCTTAATTCCGTGACTCGTTTCGCGACCTATGCACTCTCCAAAATGACGAGGGAAGATGAGGACCCTGACCTGTCAGGGAACGAAGAAGCACATTCCCCCACCATAACATCGGGGGCACGCAGAAGGTCGCTGGCTGGCTCGACGCATCCTACGAGGTCTAAGCGTGCCAAATATGCGGCTGCCGCTTGGTGAGTACACCTGAATCTCAGGAATTCGTGGTGAAAACCTGACCGTGGCACAGCGCTGAATGCAAGAAGCGGAAGCTCAAGTGTATCAGGTCTGAGAATGAGGAAGAATGCCAACGATGCATCTCAGGCAGCGTCCCATGCATATTCGGTCCAGCTCCAGTTCAAGAGAGCGGGACTGGCACGAGGGAAAGAATCAGAAGTAGGAGAAAATCGAGACAAAACAGGTCAGCGCTACTCCTCGTCTGAGCAATTTTTGAGTACTAACCCGCTCCAATAGTCAACCAAGTATTGATCTCCGGAGCGAGCTCTCTATGCTCAGGGAGCAAGTGGCCACCCTCGCAAACACCGTGGGCAAGTTAGCCTCAGACAAAAGCCGTCAAGCAACCTCTACTTCTCCAGGATCCCAGCAACAGCCGTCTCTTCACGACAACTCTTCAGCCCACGGGGAACAAGAACCAAAGCAACCCCAGTTCGTGGGACCCACCAGATCGGCCTTCAGTCTCAAAGTTGCAGAGACATCATTGACGAGAATGGGAATCTCAGCTCATGATCCGATTACGACGGCAGTCAGCGAGTCTCTCGCGCCCACTCGATACCCAACTCCCGAACGGTCAGAAACTTCACAATGGGCTCCCGGAACAGATATCCTGCTCACGGTGCCGCTTGAGGAATTCGTGAGGCTTCTTGAAGTCTTTGAAGAAGAGGTTGAGATTGTCTACCCCTTCATCGACACGCGTGATGTGATTTCAAAAGCAGTGGACATTCGTGCGTTCGTGGAAGAAAATACGGATTGCATGGCACCTATCTCTGGTGCAGGTGTAGACATAAAAGACGTCATACTAGCAAAAGTAGCCATTGCCATAAGCATGGTGGTTGAGGCACACGGCAAGAACCACGCAAGTAGCAGGCTGGTCGAGCCTGTGAAACACTTCATATATCAACTTACTCTGGATGCGGAGGCCGATCTGAAAGTCATTCAGATCATGGCTATGATCGTAAGTCAGGCAGAACTTTGAACCCTGTTAGCGGAATAGACTGACACCTTAGAAGAGCATCTATTACTTCTTCTCCGACGAAGAGCTACTGGCATGGAGAAACATCGGCATTGCAGCGCGAGCATCTCTCGAGATGGGTTTGCACCAGAATCTGAGTCTCACAGATAATTTCCTGGACCCCAAGATGCGGAGTCTAGCAGTTCGCGTGTTCTGGTGCGTTTATGTTTTGGATCGTCGCTGGAGTTTCGGGACTAGTCTATCCTTTGCCCTCTTTGACCGAGATATCGACCCAGATTTGCCTGAACCAGTGAGTCTACTCTTTGGTACTCAGAAAACGTGCACTTTGCTAACCAAGGTTTTAGTCAGAAGACTTCCAGTACCTTCGTTGTTTGATAGGTTACGGTCGCTTATGCTCCAAAGCATGGGACGCTCTACCTCCATTCAGCGCACCGTCCCAGTCTATCCCAAAAGACACTGTAGCCTTCCTCGACTTCATGGCACAGAATTGGCTCAAATCAATACCTCCCGATCTTCAACTGCGTCACCCTCAACATGGCAGTATACCGACAACCCAACCCCGTTCCATTCGCCGGCTGCGAGCCCTGCTTTACTTGCGGGGTAATCACATCAGGACTCTGATACATCGACACCATGTCATCAGCTCCACAAGCATCGAAGCTGATGTCGAAAAGGCACGACTTGTCGTGGATATAGCGATTGATAGCATATCCGTCTTGGTACATTTGAGCGAAACGAGCGACATCTATGAACGACAACAAAGCGCGTTCAACTACTTTCTACTGAGCTCTCTAGCGGTCATTTTCCTCGCTGTATGCCACGGTGCAAGACTATTTGCCGAGCCATGCCGAGGTAGCTTCCTCGCTGCGGTGGAGCTCGTCAAAGGCTTTTCTCGACAGGGCACGGCAAGCCGCAGACTTTGGAAGAGCATACGTGGACTTCTTCCTTTGGCCCATCGCATCGGTCTTCGCGGCGACGAGAATGCTGGTGGTATTCGACGGGTTGAATCAAGCGGGCAGTCGCCTCCGACCGTCATCTCCAATTCTTCTCAGCCCATGGACACGGTCATCGAGGAGGAGCATACTGAACCGGCTGCGGGACTGGTTTCAGAATTTGCAGCGATGCCATCAGCGCAGCCCCTTGTTGTGAGTGCGGAGTTCGGTGCAGGAGCGCCGGATGCCTTTGCGCTCAGCAATGATTTGATGTTTCTGTTTGACGCCTTCGGGCAGACGGATGACATTTGGGCGAGCGGGATGCAGGAGTACACGGGAGGCAACGAGCAGCAGCCACCGGTGTCTGGAGAGGAGGAAATTTCGCGTCACTTCTGGGGATTAATTTAGGCTTGTGTAGTGGCATTCTCGACAGGACTTCAATCTTACTAAGAGCTCAAATACCAAATTGCCAGTAACCCGTATCCTCTTCCGACGAGAAGGGGCCATAAAAGTAAATATATCATCGTGTAAAGAGGGACAGCACTGTATCAACTCACTTCATTTTCATGCAGATCATGGCCAATTCCAGGGATTATAACCGATCTAAAGCAATGTCATGTAATTCGGTCGCTAGAGGTTTTGAACGATTCCTCGATTGAATTATAGCATGGCTTTGGTAATTTTATGTTGTTCTCCTTCCGTCGGATTCGCTCTCTCTCCTCCTTGCATCTTCTTCATCTAACTAAACTCATACCCTTGCGCATCAAATCCTAAAAAATCACAACAACTAAGATTTTTCTTCAGTTGCCTTCAGTGCGTTACTCAAAATCGTTGCATTATGGGGCACAAATTTCGCCTTGTACGGCCTGGGCATCGCCACGAGGGAAGTAGGATCGGCATTGCCGGAGATGGGATGATGGTCTACATCATCATGCTTCTCAATCTTGAAGCTATTGAGAAGTCTCATGTAGACGAGGTAGAGCTCGCGGTTGGCCAACAAAGAGCCAGCGCACATGCGATAGCCAACACCATACGTGAATAGCGGCGCGTCAGGCTGTTCAAACCACCGTTCGGGGCGAAAGACTTCTGGGTCGGTCCATACTTCAGAGTCTGGTGGGTGTCAGTGGAGGCTTGGAGAGGAAATTCAAGGAGCCGTCTTACCCATGTTGCAAGCCCAAGCATTCAAGAAGATGACTGATCCCTTGGGGATCACAGTCTGTCCGTAAGGAACATCACGAACTGAGGCTCGTGGGAGAGCCAGGCGAAGGACGGTGTAGTATCTCAGAGACTCCCTCACCAGAGCTACGATGTATCGACACTGTTGGTCATCTTCAGCATCGCAAAGAGGCTGCTTCTCGCTGTAGAATTCTCTAATCGCGGTGACAGCCTTGTCCTGGATGTCTGGTCGCTGGGATAGCATGGCGATGAACCAAGCGACCTGGGTCGTTATGGTGTCGAGTCCTCCAGAAAGCATGGTAAGGCTGATGGAGGTCAGCTCCGCCTGGTTGAGCTTTGCCTCCTTGTCCATGATGACGTTGGCTTGAATACAAGGCTTGTGCGTGCCATTCGCCATACGCTCATCCAGGCCTCTGTTCAGGGCAGTCAGGTAGACGTCGCGTCTGCTGCGCATATCTCGCGCCTTGGCCGAGTGCATGTTGATAGGGTTGATTCGCAGGAGCGGGATGTAGTCTTGAAGGTTGCCCGTGGTTGATCTGAAGCGGCTGATTTCCTCCTCGACATGAGTGATCTCCTTGAAAAGATGGTCTTTCTGACTGCTCATGCGAGTACCCCAGTTGAGGGTCAAGGCGAGAGACAGGGACAGGCGTTGGATCATCGGCATAGGGTCTACAGGAGCCTGTCCAGCCTTCCCATATTCGTGTAGCTCCTTGATGAAGTCCCGTGATTCGACATCGAGGTGCGGTACATAGGTTGCTACTGACGGTCGGTTCAGGGCCGAAGCAGCGCCTTTGCGGCGTCGCTTGAGAGAATCGCTGTATGGAGATGTGCCGATAGTCGTTCCTGCTGTATCCGAAAGAACCTATCCATCATTCGTCAGCCTCTGTGCTATAGTCTTGATTCTGGTACACGATGCCTTCCTCTCTTCTACTTACCTTGTGGAAAGTGTAAAACTCGGGGCGGGAACTAAGCGCCTGGGCATTCTGTCCGAAGAGAGCCCTAGCTGCAGAAGCAGAGTTCACTACAACGACAGGAACATTGCCCAGTTGAATCTGATAGACAGAACCAAACTTCCTGGCCCATCTGCGATACTGCTCCGCCGCATTGACCCGGATATCCCACAAGTTGCCGATAAGCGGTAGTCCTCCAGGACCATCTAGCTTTGCTATCCTGGCCTTGGAACGAATGAACTCATTTGCAATGACGTAAATGAGGGGTATGAGAAGGATTGAAATGGCGGTCGAATGCAGAGCATAGTCGAATACTCTTTGCTTCAAAGCAACGATGGCAGTCGAGATGGCCATGGCGTCGAATTGGCTGTCTCTGTGCTAAAACGTGTTGTAGACGACGAATTATGGTGTGCTTTTGATTCAATTACTCGTACTTGATAGCCGCTACCATCAGCTCCATGATATACGTACAGAGCCAACTCGCCGTTTCTACCCGGCTTCAGAACCATTGCCTGAGTATCAGAAGCAGTGCCACCGGGGCACGTTGGTACGTTACCCCCCAGGAAACAGTGTCATCTGGAAACAGACCTCTCGGAACTGACTAATTACAAAGACCACTAGTTCCCCGCCTTCCCCACCCCCGGGTTACCTTACAGATGCAGGTAAGGGTATGGGATCCCCGCATGGAACGTCGGGATGGCCTGCAAAGAATGCGGGGTGCATTCCGAGCGGAACTGATCGTGTTCCGAGTGAAAAACAAGCCCGTTGCCAAATCTTCTCCTGGAGTTTTGGGGGTTCTAAGATCTCTCTCGATGTGGGCACGATAAAGCAAGAGAAAGCATTGCCTTGCATGAACTCAGATGCCAAACGTGGCTTGGACACATGCCGCCATTCTTCCGCCCAGAACATGAACTACTACTCCACGATTGTTATGGCATCAAATTTTAGTCAGCCTTTGGGCTTATATACTATGTCATCCAAGGTCGCGCCAAATTCGAGGTTCCCGTTGTTGCTTCGGATATTGTTGAGGGGATCAAGGATATCTGAGCGTTGACTTACGCAGGTTAAGATAACTGTCTCTGTTGTGAAAGAATTCTTTACTTTGTCCTATCAAACTTACTTGATAATTTACTTTTCATTGTAAAGGTTTTGACTAAATATTGTCCTCGACGGGCTGAGAGCTGCAGTGCATCCGTAGTTCAACTGTCAATTGCAGTCGTCCAACCCCCACAGCATCGATCCCGAAATCATTAAAAAAAAGAGCAACATGTTTCATAACAAGCTCGTTCTGGCTGACACTAACCTCATGTTTGTATAAATTAGGCGAGACACGAGACACTGGATAGAATTCTCATCTCTTTCAGTTCTCTGAGAGATTCTGATTGACTCAGCTGAAGAACCGGAAATTTACAGATGCAACGAATCGACGTAGAAGCACTGGAAGTCAAAACCACTGGTACATTGACATCGTATTAATACAACCCGCTTTCCCCAGAAGCTTTCCAATCCAATCTCCTTCCTTACTTAACTAGAGCTACGAACTTTGACCCGCCAATTGACCCTTGAAATTACTCTGGCCTTTTGAAATGGGATACCAGTCCTGTCCAGCTATCCTCACTGTAACCCTTCTGAACCTTTTGGCACGTCTCCAAGCCCCAGTCCGTTACTCCGATCATCAGAGAACTCTCAAACATGAAAGCCATGCTTCCCTCTCCGACCTTCTGCGGCTTCAACTCAGCATTGGATGCACGCTCAAATGTGCTCGCATCCGGCCCATGGGCGGACATGACGTTATGCAGACTTGCCCCGGCAGGGCGGAAACCGCCACCAGTCTTTGCGTCATAGTCGCCGCAGATAAGGCCCATGAACTCAGACATCGTGTTCCTGTGGTACCATGGAGGGCGGAAAGTGTCTTCTTGCACAAGCCAACGAGGCGGGAAGATGACAAAGTCGGCCACGGCTGTGCCTGGGTGGTCCGACGGGCCAGTTAGAACCGTGTAGATAGACGGGTCTGGATGGTCGAACGAGATGCTGCCTATGACAGAGAAACGACCAAGATCATACTTGTATGGATAGTATTGGCCATGCCATGCCACGACATCGAATGGCGTGTGGTTTTGTGTGGCAATGAAGAAGTTCCCGTTAAACTTGTTCACAATTGACCACTGACTCCCATCCTCATCGAACGCTGCAGTTGGGACTTGGAAGTCTCGTGGGTTAGCTAAACAGTTGGAACCGATGGGACCCAGTTCAGGAAGTATGAAATGGCCCTGATAGAGCTCAAGGATGTATCCTCGGACTGGTCCACTCGGCAAGTTGACTTGATATCTGATACCTCGCGGAATGACAGCAATCTCGTTGGGACGGATCAGCAGGTTTCCCAGCTCCGTTTTGATATCGAGCACGCCGTGCTGGAGGACGATCAACATATCACCATCTGAGGAGTACATGGCCACGTTGGGTTCCATGCTTCGACCAGCAGCGAAAATGAAAATCCCAAGACCTGTTTTCATACTAGGATCCCCTGCGCCACCGACTAGTCTGAGGCCGCTGATCCAATCTGTCTCGTTGTTGATATCAAAAGGGTCCCATCGTAACTGATTTGGTATCTGGTGGATTTTGCCTCTAGACTCAGGTCTGTTCTGTTTCAACGGCTCGAAGGAAGAGTGTGACGCCGCTGGAATAATGCGATAAAGCCACGTCTGAAGATTTTCATGGCGAGGTGCGGTGAACGCAGTGCCAGATAGCTTCTCTGCATATAAGCCATACGGTGCTTTTTGTGGAGAATTGGCGCCGATAGGAAGAGCGCCTTTGACAGCTTCTGATCTATGTACACAATGGTTAACGCCACGTCGACGACGCGATGGGCCTCAGCGCTAGTGCCACTGCAAGGAGCCTTTACTTACTCATGAAGAGACCCAAATCCGTTGAGATACTCATACTTCTCCTCAGTGGAGAATTTTGTCACAGGCATGGTAGAATGTTGGATGGCGAGAATAATCTTGAAACAGAGTGGTAAGGTGGTAGTCTTCAAAGTTGGATGAGGTTGACTATGGATGTACCATGAATACGAACCTCAATATAACGACTTCCAGTAAGTGTACCTCGATTGTAAAACTCATGTAGTATAAATCCTCTTGGTTTCTTCTCGTTCGGGGATGGCTGTCACATGCGTTTGGCGTAGTACACGCTGAAATGACAAACCCCACGCTACAGTGATCCGAGTAGAAGGCAAACGAAACCTAGAGGAATCGATACTACGGAATTAAATTTCACGGAAACTTGCGTCCACCGGGAGCTGCAATGTCGGAGTTGATGCTTGTAGCCCTCCGGAACTGCGGAACGCAAACCGTTCCGAGTCTCTTGACTGTAGCTCCTGAAGTCGGGAACATGGAGGAATGTGCAGACCGATTAGGAGTGATGTAGCTCGACGAAGAGAAGGCTACTGTACCAGGGTTTACTTCGGCCCTGATATTCAACGAGCGAGTTGACTCAACTATCGAGGAAGGCGAAATAAGGCCCAAGCCGAAAGGGTCTTCACTGGAGTGCACTAATTCGCCATGACCAAAAGGCTGGCAATCATCGCATTTACATTCTCAGTTGTAGCTTTCTTTTGTAATTTCTTTTTTTCTTTTGACGCAAGAAAATAACGATGGTCTATGAAAAGCCAGAGTCATGCTACTCTTAGCTAGGTAGTAATCAAACAAAATGCTGCATCCCACAATTTTTGGCGTTTAAAATGCCGTCTATAGGTTTGATAGCAGCATTGACCCAAGCATCCGACTCTACATATGACGACCTGTACAAATATCTCATCTCCCTATAGCGAAATTGGAGGCAGTATTTGGCCGACACATTCTCCGAACCCAACCAGCTGACCATCCTGATCGCCAGCCCAGCCTCGAATAACTACTTTATCACCATCCTGAATAAACTTTCGCTCTTGCCCACCATCCAACTTGATTGGAGTTTTACCACCTTGAGACTGTTCCAATAAACTTCCCTGCGTACCTGCCTCGGCTCCTGAGATGGTACCAGATCCGAGAAGGTCTCCAGGACGGAGGTTACAACCAGAGATTGAGTGATGAGCCACCATCTGCGGCCATGACCAGAGAAGGTTCTTGGCAGATGTGCGAGTGATTGTTGTTTCCTCGCCTCCTGAAGCTAAATGTGCCAAAAGAACATTCTTTGATCAGCCCAAGTTTCTGCCAACAAGAAGGAGATTTGCCCTAACACGGGAATCAAAGAATGTTGACTTACGAGAAAGAGAGACCTCCAACCTGATATCAAGAACATTGTCTGGTCGATTATCCTGAAGATACTTCTGCAGCTGGACCTCGTTTTCTAGCCCTCTCGTTCTGAAAGGCTCAAGTGCATCCGCAAGTACAACCCAGGCGCTGATCGTCGTTCCAAAGTTCTTCGCGTTGAACGGGCCAAGCGGCACATATTCCCATTGCTGGATATCCCTTGCACTCCAGTCATTCATCAAGACGTAGCCAAAAATGTGCTCATCGGCATCTTCCACAGATATCGGAGTGCCAAGATTGTTTGGCTTGCTTATGAACATACCCATTTCGAGTTCAATGTCGAGACGCGCACATGGCCGGAAAATAGGCTCGGTCGCGCCCGGGGCCGGCAGCGCCTGTCCCCACGGTCGCCGGAGAGGTGTTCCAGAGACAACGACAGAACTAGCACGACCGTGATAGGCAACAGGCAAATGGCTGTAGTTCGGTTGGAGCGCATTGGCTGGTCCGCGGAAAAGAACGCCAACGTTGTGGGCATGATTTCTGCCGGCAAAGAAGTCTGTATAATCTCCGATTGCGAAAGGAAGGTGCATAGAAACCTCTGAAATGGGTCGCAAAGCAGCGTTTTTGAGGGCATCATTGTCCTTCAGGACGTCTGGATGGGGTGTGTCGTTGAGAAACACCTCCTGCAGGTATGAGCGGACGGCGCGATGCACGGGTCTCCCAAGCTCGGCAAAGGCGTTCAGGGTGGGCTGTGAGAACACTTTCGCATGCTCAGAAGACACGTTTGCTGCTTTGTTGAAGCCTCCACCCGCAGAAAAAGCATCAAGGTCGAGAACATGGTTCCCGATGGCGATGGCGAGCCTGTGTGAATGCTTGTCTTTGCTGGAAATCACCCCAAATGGTATGTTTAGTAGCGAAAAGTGCGACCGGGGCGGGATGGGAAGCCAGGATTTCATTTTGCGTAATTTGGACGTAAAGAACTCTCAAACATCTGTTGAGCCAATGACTTGATCGTTCTTGTATGTTTCTTCTCTTGTATTAACAGACTTCAAGCTATATTTCCATGGTCAGACCCGATGTCGTAACTGCCTTCATCAACGTTGGTTCCGAGAATCCGAAATATGGTTCCGAGCCATCGGAATGCAAACACTCCCCTCTTTCAATTGCACACCTGCAACCGCGGGCGATTCAGAGGTGATAGGCAGAGGCGATGGGCCGATGGAATGTCTTGGTTTCTGTGTTATTCATTCGTGTGTAAAAAGAGGAGGCAAGAAAGTTGATTTGGACGGGCGGGAAATCTGACTTCTGCCAAGTTCCAACTTCAACACCAGCCATTGCCACAACACCACAATACCACACAGCCACGTAACTTTTGATCCTCTTCAAGACCCATATTATCAATTTTATCAATATGACTCAACACGTCACGAGAATCACTCTTTTCAAAATCCCGAACGAGGAAAATCAGAGCAAAGTACTGGCGCTCTACCGCCAGATGCCTCAAAAGGCCTTGAAAGTGAGTATACCTACCTAGGCACTTGAGTATCATGTCAACCGCCATCCACTTATGATAAGATTGGCACCCCCTGAGACTACAAGATGAATCCTGGGCTGACCAATAGTAGGATGGTAAACCGTACATACTCTCGGTCAAGGCCGGCCTAGCTGCTGCTGATCAAAGAGCCCAAGGGTTCACAATTGCGGCTGTTTCTATTTTCTCATCCAAAGAAGATATGGATTACTACGATAATGACTGTGTAGCACATCAAGAACTGAAGGGGGTTGCGAAGGGTGTTCATCAAGGCTTCGCCATGGTGTTTTTCAAGGATCAAGTAACAGAGTGAAATCAGTACCTTGTCGGTAGTTCAGAGGACGAAAGAATCCGATTGTCTTATCTCTGTGCCTTTGAATTTCCTAAAAATGAAACCAAGTTTTATGAGTTCGCATCATCTTCAGATGTAGTTTCAGTCAATTGCTCGTCTACCTTTTCTATCCAACAGATGTCGAATTCAACAATTGATAATTGCGTTTAAGTTAGAACAGCACATCACCAAAGTGACAGTGTCATTTTCCAAGAGTTAAATCAAAACGTCAACCCAAAATGCCGCTGGCATCAAAAACACAAAGACACTGCGTCGATACTATGAGCCTTTAAAATATCGAATGAGTTATGCTTGAGAAGTGAATAGAGAAGGCAGAGATGACGAATGCAACAGATATCAAGCACGTGGAACGGCATTCTATCAGAAGAAGAAGCCAAAGAAACGTTACATGGTTCCGACAGCGACTCACTAACTCCTCGTTCTTTCTCATTTCGATAGCCAATGCAAGTAGAGTCCTTCTCGGGTTCCTCTCGAAGGATTGTCTGCGTCATTTACATTCGGTCTGCCTATGATTGTGTCAATACAGTTACAGTGGAGAGCAAGGAGACCGTTCAGGCCCCAAACCCCCTATTGCCACCGTCGGGACCCGTGCATATTTGACAATGAGAATTCTTGGCTATATCGTCGATTGGATGTGTCAGACATGACAGCGACTAGCGGGACGGCGGTCAACTTGGAAAACGGACGGCAAAACTCATGTGGGAATCGTGTCGTGGATCAAAATTCAACCTAGTAACGGCACGTTTCTAAACTTGGTGGCGCCCGCGCTTTGGATTTCTTTGCGAGTTTCATGTAAGCCATGTATCACTACTAAAACTGCCATGAAGTAAAAGTCCGATAATTTACAATGACCTTTTGGGTATTCAAAGCTTGAAATGCTCATTATAAGTCTTCATCTTGCTACACTCTACTTGACCTATGCCTCTCGTCATTCCACTCTTGCTGTCCATACCCTGACTTATCACACGGAATTGGCCCACGGCCCTGCTGGTTTACACAGCCGACGTCGCATCTTGCAACTGCTGGAAGAAACTTTTGTCGGCGATATATTGCCATGGCCAGCTAGACAGCGATGGCGGCTTGACAGTGTGTGCCGGAGACACGCAGGCACGCGCTGGCGCCCAAAAACAGTGCGTCCCCCTATGCTGGGACAATTCGGGAGGGCTATTACCTTCCCCGATCTGTCTTCTACCCATCTACTTTTCTTACTCTCAGGATGCAACGAAGGAGGGTCATTACATATTCTCAAAGAGGATTGGAGGTAGTGTGTACATGAGACGTGGTAAAATGAGACCGCAGTTTTAGCAGCTGCATGAGGTGGAGCAGAATGGCAGCCAGGTTGATATACTGCGGAGCAGCGGGACCTTGACGAGACTCAAGCAGCAACTATTGAAGAAACATACGCCATCCTTCGAAAGCTAAGATACCCAGTCTCATATTTAGAGCCAAAACGGGTAGATTCTCCACCGTGGATAGACAAGCACATGGATATTTTCTTGGATGGTGATAGTTTTCAACTTTGCTGACTTGAGGGATGAACCGGAATAGGAATTAGGTTTGAAGGGAAACCCCAGAATACAGTATTTACATGATCCAATAATACGGTATAAGCTCTATGTCCAAAAACTCATGCTAATCAACTAGCGGAGTAATCTCAATAAGCATACCCAATACAACGGGATTGTGGAACACAAGTACTCAAGTACTTGATGAGCGATCATTTGTGATGCACAAGGTTGTTTTGTGACTGATCCATGTCAAACAACCAATGAAATCTCTCTGATGCGATCCAACATATGCACGTGTTGCCTCTGCGAACCATCTCCTCTTCAACGCAGTTCCCCTCAAACTGCCTCTCAAACTACTCGCAATTCTTTTCAAACTACAAGAGAAATTTAGTAATAGCTTAGAATATGGTCAATATAGGGAGTGGTCCTTTTCTTACATCATCACACCGCGCGAAAATGTTCATCCACGCCTCTCTCAATCAAAGTCGCCGAGAGATCAGGCTCGTACGAATCCGCCGCCCACTCGACAATCAGGCCAACGCCAAGGAGGCGGTCTCACTCGAGGTCAGACATGCATCGCTAGACGAGCAAGAACTGTCGTACTCGGCGCTCTCGTACGTCTGGGGAAGCGCCACCGACACCACAGCGATCGAAATCGAGGGGGCCCTCTTCAATGTCACCAAGAACCTCTACGCTGCCCTCCAGCAACTGCGAATGAATGCAGTAGACTCTTGGCTCTGGATTGACGCGCTCTGCATCGAACAGGCCGACTTGAAGGAGAAGAGCTGGCAAATCAACGCTATGGGGGACATCTTCGGCGGCGCCGACATGGTCTACATGTGGTTAGGACCCGGAAACGAGAACAGTGACATGGCTATGGACTTCATAGCCCGAACAGGAGCCACGCTTCAAAAGTATGACGCTGGAGAATTGCAATCAAATAGGAAACACGACACAGAGATCAAGTCATATACCAGAGCGCGGTTCTCGCCTCAGGGCGAGGCAATCGCTCCCCCCGATTCAACGACTACGATGGAACAGGCCTACGGAATATCGGCAGACTCCACATCCAACGTGAACTCAGATGGAGGAACAGGAACGGTGCTGAGATTTAAGCTGGCCGTGGACGAGATCTTGCGTGACTTTTTTAGTCCCAGGTCACCACGGATCGACCTATGCGTCCGTGACCTCCTGAGCAGAGAATACTGGCATCGCATCTGGATTATCCAAGAAGTTTTCCTCGCCCGGAGTGCCTCTGTGGTCGTTGGCAGCCGAAGCATCCCACTAGACTCATTCGACGCTGCGCTAACCATATTCTGGATCTTTCGAGATGCAGTCCTTCTCGACGGTCCGTCCTGGTCCACGTTCATGTCAAACCTGTCAGGAAAGCTCAGAGGACTCAATTCTTTGGAGGCCCGGCGTCTGCGTCATCAAGGCTATAGAGTACGTTTAGTAGACATTCTATGGGGACCCAGCATCGCGCCAGAACGGCCTCATTACTCTGCCACGGATCCAAGAGACATCATGTTCGGGCTCCTTGGTATTCTCAAAGACGACGAGAAACAATACCTCCGGGCAGACTACTCGCTTTCCAAGGAGGATGTATTCGTGAACATTACAACTGCGGTACTGGACTCCCCCAATGATGGAATGTTTCAGTTTCGCCTCGATTCCATCAACCCAGGAGACCAAAATGGGACGCTGCCCACATGGGTTCCAGACTGGCAAATCATCGGTCAGTACGGCGTGAAAACATGGCCGTTAAGCCTCGGCCGAGAGCTTAAAGCGGCTACACAGCGAAAACAGCAGCGACGAGCCTCATGCTGCGTAGTTCGAGACGGCAAGACGAGCATATCCCAGCAAGGATGTTACGTCGATAGAGTCACCGAGGTGATGGCTGCCCCTGAGTGGGTTCAAGCTGGCGACTATACTGCGTCCATGCTGGCAAAGCCCGACGACTGGTTCCTTTCGATTATCGATTTCGCCGGCCTTGGACCCGAACCTGGCCCTGAAGAGGACGATGTCTGGCGGACAGTAATGCAAGCTGGTTATCGGAATTCCCGGAAGAGCGGCCTCTTTGTCGTCGGCGCAGGAGCCGAGGATTATTGGCGCAGAATCATGCGAGTTCAGCTCGTGGACGCGGCGACGCTGACCGCAGAAGAGACAGCGTTTGTGGTTGCGAACAGTGTCGACCGGGGAAACCCCTCAGGATATGACGGCAGTGACGAGGCTCTTAGGCTATTTGAGCGTGAAGTGCGATCTTCCTTGGGCGCTCTAAATAGAAACAGAACGCTTTTCAAGACGGCAAAAGGGATGTTTGGCCTCGGGCACGTTGGGGTCGAAGTAGGCGATGTGGTGACATTGATTTGGGGAGTACGCTCGCCCATCATTCTCAAGCGAAGAGAGGCTGGAGGGGGCTTCTATTTTGGAGGAGACGCATACGTAGACGGCATCATGCATGGAGAGTTTCTCGAAAATGAACCAGAAGAGGTGGAATTCAGGATCTTCTAATGAGGTTGGCTACCCTGGTGGTTTTCTGATTTTCGGGCTGATTCCTGATTCTCTGCCCCCCGCTTCCGTCAGTCAACCCCCCTCAACTACAGTCGCAGGCACGGCAGGGAAGTTGGTCAGTCGCGAGGTGAGGTGGCCAATTGGACCGAGCACTTGGAATAACCAGCAAGGTATTAAAGACGACTGCCTGGATAGCAAGACTCATTTCAACTGAGATCACAACGGTCAACCACATGCACATCGATTCACACAGCGTTACACCTAGTAGTAGCACCGACTTGTAACTTTTGTCTCATTAACATCAACAACATGTCGACATTTGTAAACATCTTTCCTCCCCTATATCTGAGACCCAGTGACGAACTCGGTCTCCAGCAGTGAAGCACGGATAGACCCCGGCTCGCCTCTCTCTCTCTCTCTCTCTCTCTATCTAGCCTGTGTATGGGATCAAAACTTTTCAAAAGCCCCGACCTCCAAATTATGACAACGTAAAAGCCCGCTTCCCCCCCTTTTCGCCTTCCCTCAGCCCCAGGAGCCAGACGAGAAGATATAAAAAATTGGTCGGGTCGCCGCGGAGGACAAAAGGGGGAGGGAATCATTCATTTCCATTCATGGACACATACAGCCATTTTCCCCACACACACACCCACTTGAAAATGCGCGTGCTACATCTAAGTCGACCGGGGGAAGACGGACTTGCCGGCAGCCTTGGCCGCGGCGAGGGCGCCAGACAGGCCAAACTGGGAGGAGAAGCCGTCGATGCGGTGGGTGGCGTTGAGGTTCTTGACGACGACCATCTGGAAACAGGTGGCGCTGCCCTGGCGGGAGGCGATGACGGACCAGGCGAGGAAGAGCTCCCAGATGCGGTACCACTTCTGGCCGTACTTTGCGTGGACGGTCTCGGCGTTGCCGAGCCAGTTGCGGTACCAGCGCCAGAGGGTGCCCGAGTAGTGGACGCCGACGGTGTCGACGCTCTTGATCTCCCAGCCGGCGCTCTCGAGGCAGCCGACATAGTTGGCGAGCGGGGTGGAGGCGTCGGCGCCGGGGAAGATGTGCTTGTTCAGGTAGAGACCCCAGATAAAGTCCTCGTATTGCCAGGCCTTGCGCAGACCGGAGAGCTGGACGTACATGGCGCCGTCGTCCTCGAGCATGTCGTAGCACTGGCGGAAGAAGGTGGTGAGTCTGCGGATACCAACGTGCTCGCCCATTTCGAGCTGGGAGATCTTGTTGAACTTCTTGGTGGGGATGTCGCGGTAGTCCATGCACAGGATCTGGCTCTGGGTCTCGGGGATGCCGGCGCGGCGGAGGCCGTCGTTGCCCCAGGCGGCCTGGTTCTTGGCAATGGTAGCTCCGGTGACCTTGGCGCCGTAGTTGACACTGGCGAACTTGGCAAGGGTGCCCCATCCGCAGCCGATATCCAGGAGGGTCTCGCCCTCCTTCAGAGCGAGCTTCTCGCAAACGACGGCCATCTTGTTGTCCTGCATCTCCTCAAGAGTCTCCTCGCGGCTGAGGTCGGAGAAGAGACCGCTGGTGTAGACCATGCGGGGGCCGAGGAAGTACGAGTAGTGGTCATTACCCTTGTCGTAGGTGGGGCGGATCTGGTCCTCATCCTGCTGGCGGGAGTGGAAGAGCACGTCGGGGGCGAACTCGAGGAAGATGAAGCGGAACAGGGAGTAGGTGAAGGCGAAGTTGGACCAGTCGTGGCGGTACTCAAGCGCGTCGAGGAGGTCGCCGTTGATGTCGACGAGACCCTCGGTGTAGAGCTCAGCGAAAGTCTGGATGGGGATCTTGTTGCGGCCGCTGTACTGCTTGCGGTCCTCCTCGTTCTTGAAGGTGAGGTAGTGCTCGACGGGGCGGCCGGGGAGCTTGGCCTTGTCGTTGGTGCGGGGGGAGAACCTTGAGGAGATGGTCCAGAAGGCGATCAAGAGAGGGACGACGAAGAGGATGAAGAAGAAGATGAAGGTCTTGAGACCACCACCGAAGAGGCGGGTGAACCAGAGGGGGACACCAGCGAGGACAGCTCCGAGGATCCAGTTGGAGAAGGATTCGTTGCCGGGGCCCTCGGCAGGAAGAGGAGGGTTGTTGATGGTGGGGTACTGGGCAGGAGAGGTCAGCTTGGGTTCGGAATGAGGAGATGCAAAGGCAATTGAGTTCGCATGAGGTTATTCGCAGTTGATTGAGTCAATCTGCGGGATAGGGGTGGTGGGAGAGAATCCTTACGTTTGTGGTCTGGACACCGCAATCCTCGCCGGTGTTGAACGTGGAGGGCTTCGCGGCAGGGGTCGCAATGAAGGTGATGTCACCTTCAAGCTGTGCGCCGTCCTGGCGCTTTTCGGAGGCCATGGTGGACGGTGAGCTGGTGGTTGATTTGCTGAAGAAAGCCCGCGGTCTCGGTCTGTCGCGCGCAGCTTGGTCTTCTCTAACCGCGTATCGGGTACAAGAGGGAAGGAGTTGGAGATGTGTTGGAGACACCGCTTTGGAGGTGTGGACAGATTTAAAGCTGGAGCTGTTTCCGACGCGGGTCGCGACCACCAGCAGGACGGGGGGGGGGGGGTTCACTTGGCATCCAGCAGCGCTCTGGCTTGGCCTAACCGCATTGTGCGTTTCTCGGACGCCGGCTGGCCCGCTTTTGTGGGCAATTTTATGCAGGGGCGCTGATAAAAGAGGGCAGGGCCGCACACAACTGGCTGAGACGACCCTGGCAATCCGAGAGACCCCTGTGGGCAATGCACCGCCAAGTCAGTTGAGGCCACGAAGTGTGTAAAAAAAGTCTTCACCGCCCGGAGGCCGGAGGGGTAGGGGCTTCTGGACGACCAAGGTCTCTCCATTCCCCAGATCTTGGTCGAGGCTTGATAGGTAGGCACACGCAGCGTTGCACGGTAACCCTCTACCAATTTCCTCATCCACCCGTCCGGGTAGTGGGTTTACATAACCCGGGCCACAGCGGTCGAGATGATGATGGTCATGTTGAGCCAATCAGACAATGCGAATTTGCGAAACGAACCGGCTAGAATGAGCGGTGATGGTTATTCAATGACAGCGTAGCGAGATAATGGCGAATTCTGGCTGTGCCGTCTAGATGCGTATCTTGGGTTCTGCATTACGTGGGTACTTAGCGTATGCGATTTCGGTCGAGAATCACGATACAACGCTATCGCGAACACCTCGAAGATTTGTTCCGGGTCCGCTTCGGGTTCCGGAACGGCATTGGTGGATCTATATTACGGCAATGTGGGGTCCTCCGTCTCCGGCCTAATGAAGATTCCAGCAACGACAAGTCCGGCCCGGTTCCGAGCCATCGTTACATTGCAGACGGTGCTGGAAGAATTAAAGGCCCTGCATTACATAAACGTTAAAAAAAGCTCTCAAGCCAATCAGGAATGCAGCCTTTCCAGTGGGTCACCAGTAATCGACAGGGCGTAACAGATCCGTTTCCAAAGTACCTCTCCAAGGCATCTTGAGAGTGCTCGACATTATATACATCAAATAGACTTGGACTTGCATCTCCAGCTGGTATTCTTTCAAACTCACACAACTGTTGAAATCTCATCTCACATTTCTCAATCTCGCCATGTCCCTATCCATCCATGAAGTAGCAGCCAGCGCCGTCCAAGCCAGAGCCCGCATCCGCGACCACATCTACAAGACGCCCCTCCTCCCAGCCCGCAAGACGGGCCACGCCCACAACGCCAAGGTCCTCTTCAAGGCCGAAAACTTCCAGCTCACAGGATCCTTCAAGCTCCGCGGCGCCACATCAAAGATGTCGGTCCAAGCACCCTCGGACCGTCAAAAGCTGATAACAGCATCCTCGGGAAATCACGGTATCGGCGCCGCGCGGGCCGCCCACACTCTGCAGCGGGACCTGACCGTCGTCCTCCCCGAGAAAGTCTTCCCCGCGAAACTGGAAAAGATCAAGTCCTATGGCGTCGAGGTGATCCTGCACGGCGAAGAGACCGGTCTCGCAGAGCAACACGCTCAGAAACTCGCGGCGTCGGGGGAGTACACGTACATCTCGCCCTACAACGACCCCCTCATAGTCGCAGGCCAGGGCACAATCGGCCTCGAGATCCTCGAACAGTGCGCGGCGGTCGACAACGTCTTCATCTCCATGGGCGGCGGGGGGCTCATCAGCGGCATCGGATCCGTCCTCAAGGCCTTTAGCCCGCGCACCAGGGTCTACGGCGTCGCCGCGACCAACTCGCAGGCCCTCGCCGAGTCGATGCGCGCGGGAAAGGTCGTCGAGACGGAGCACCTGCCCACGCTGGCCGAGGCCGTGGCGGGTGGAATGGACCAGGACTCAATCACCCTCCCGCTGGCGACCGCGGTGGTCGACCAGGTCGTCGAGTGCAGCGAGGAGGAGATTGCGGAGGCGATGAGGAAGATTGCGCTCGACGAGAATATGATTGTCGAAGGGTCTGCTGCCCTGGCGCTCGCTGGTTTCGAAAAGGTCGTGCGGGATGTTGCTGGTCAGACGAGTATTATTTTGCTTTGTGGTGCTAATGTTGACCAAGGCGTTGTGAAAGAGATTATTTATGACCTATGATGGTGAGAATGGACCATGTCTGGGCTTGGAAGAATGTGGTACCATAACTGAAAATGGCCGACTAGCCGATTGTTCCATGAAACATGGTCCTTTCAGTCTTTCGTAAGAGATAAACCAAGTAAACAACCAATACCTAGAATCTAAGCAGCATCAGACACTTCATTGAAAGCTCCAACACCAGAACATTTTGTACTGGGTACAAATTATGTATGTATTAAGAGCATGATATATTCGTGTCTAGTCGGGCTGCTGTTGTCCCTCGTCTGTAATAACCATTCCCCGACTCCAAGACACCGAGTCTGACCAAATCAAACCATCTGAACCTCCCATAAATTCTCGTCTCATCTCACATCCACATCAGGTTCCGGCTCTGCCTTCGGTTCTGCTGCCACAACGGTCTCTCCTCGGATCCTTCAGGCCGGTGGCCGGCATTCGTTGCGCCAGCGCCAGCGCCGTAGGGGTTCCCATGCCCCGCGCCATTGTCGGTACCCGAGCTGATCGCCCGGTGCCCCTCGTTTTCACGCCCAACGGCGTCATTATAGCCTTGTGAAAACTCTTCCATCTCGCCTTGATGCGTGAGAGGGATATTGTCGACAGTGGAGCGGGATGCGCCGGACGCAGAGGCGCCACTCGCGGGGTTGTAGCCCCCTGGAGCAGAAGACGGCGGCGTGGTGGTGGACCTACCTCCGCTGATTGAGGTGGTTGTGCCGTGTGCGCCGGGCATCATGGACGGATGTCCGTAGCCTGCCTGGTCGAACATCATCTCGCCGCCGGGCACAGGTGCAAAGTCCTTCTGGTTGGTCTCCGGGCTTAAGAGAGCTGTCAGTATCTTTCACTCAGGTGACAATCGTGGATGAGGTTGGACTTACATGTAAGTGGGACCTTTGCCTGTACCAGGACCTTGGCGCTTGTTCCCACGCTTACGCTTCCGCATCCAGAGAGCCACAGAGACTAGGGCCACAAAGAGCGCGCAGCCGCCGATTACACCGCCGATGATGCCCCCATTACGTCTCAACCCCGCCGCTGCAGCCTCAGCATTCACTGGTGGTGGAGCGCTGCTGGTAGCTGCTGGCGCGGACGAGGTTGACGATGCCGTTGATTTTGTAGAAGTTCTCGAAGATGAACTCGACGTTGAGCTCGAACTCGAGCTCGAGCTTGAGCTCGAAGTGCTTGACGACGTCGAGGAGCTTGTCGACGAGATTGTGCTGCTGGAGGAGGAGCCACTCGAAGAAGCGGTTTCCTGTCTCGTGACGAGACCCGAAATATGCGTAATAGTAACCGTAGTACTGAGTCCTGACGCAGTGGCAGCAACAGTAGTGCCCTGACCTGCGGTGCCGCATCCATATTGGTAGGCACCTCCCGCAAAACTGTTGCGGTAGCAGACATTGGAACCCTGACAAGTGAAGATGTACGGATTCGAAGCCGTTTGAGTGGGGCTGTTGTCGTCGACGCAGCTAGTATATACGCCCGTCGTACAGGCGGCACCGTTCGGGCAGCAGCCGACGGCAGAGACGGAAGCGTCCATGGCGCAATGGGAGCCAGCAGAGCATGTCGCCGGCAGATTTGGGTCACCACCAAGATAACCGCACACGGTGTTGGTGCTGTCGTCCTGCCTCCTTATAATACCCAGCCATGGTGCTGGCGTTTCCAGTGGCCAGTTACGGACGTTCAATGTCCGGAAGGCAATGTGAACTTGTTCTGTCTGGCGGGGGAAAGCGCCGGCCTCGGTGAGGGCGAAGAAATTTGAGAGAAGCAGAATCGCAGCCGTAGGCGGCAGCCGCACAATGCAGTCCGTCAACAACATCTTGTTGATGTGTATGTCCTTTTTACTCCTGGCTCGGCCCTTCCTGGGACTTTCGATCCTTTTCCGGTTCCAAAGTTGACCTCCGCTGAAGGATAGGGTGAGTTATGGTGAAAGTTGTTGCTCAATGGTATCCATATAATTAACAACAGAACGGAGAACAAGAGACTGGATAAGCAGACAGAAGATCTAGAATGATGAGCCAAAAGACCCGGATAGGCAAAAGGAAGAGATTGAGGAAGAAGAAACCGATGCTGACGAGGGATTAGGCGACGGAGTGTAATTAAGACAGGCACAGGGACCTATGGAGGGGCTGTTCATCCTCCGGGCCCCCAGGGGCGACGCCAACAAGGCTGACGCTGATTGGGGAGCCATGTTTCAAGGATCCTCCGATCGTGAGCATACGCCTAAGCCTTTCCAAGACACGAGAGAGGGAGGCCTACCCCCAGGGCCCCAAATGCAAGAAGAAAGCATGCCCTACCGTCAAATCACAGCCCGCAGACTCGCACCGCTCGGGGCGTTAGCGGGGGTCTGAAGATCTCTTGGGATCGTTGGTGGACGTTTTGCCGTCTACCGTGTCGATGAGAGACAAGCGCGGCCCGGGAACAGTCCGTGCGGATCTGAGGACCGCGCAGGCAGCGAAAAGGCGAACGAGGTTCGGTCCCGGTGAGAGTGAGGCTAGTGAACGAAGCTACGGAAAAAAGAGAATGGCAGATAAAAGGGACAGGTAAAAAGCATAAGAAGATTTTTTCGCAATTTACTCTGCCCACCTGCCGACCGAGCGAGTTGCTCACGCTACGCTTCGGCTGGCCTGACCTGACCTAAAAAATGATCCTGGCCGCGCGATGAGGACATGACGAGAGACCAGCTATGTTTCGTGGTGGAGTGATCGTCCCGTTGGCTCGCTGTGCCTAGTTTATAATCGTTATTTATATTTAGTTTTAATTAATATAATTTTTAATAAGTCGTTTATATTCGTTTTTAATATTATCGAATTTAATAAAACGTAGTTTTATAAGCTTATTAGTTAAAAGAATTTAAAT